GAGCCGTGTATCCCTGACATCATCCTTGGCTTCGATGTCCTACGACACGGTGCATATAATAACACAGACGTCCCGGCCCGTGTGTGTAGAGCAAAACCAGTGCCTCTGGTCGCGGCGAAGCTGATCAGATCCAAAGACTTGCGGCGTTCTATCAGCACCTGCTCAGAGAGCCACATCAGTGGCATGATGCGCCGAGCAGGCTTCCATAACTGGAAAGTGGCGACACACTTCAAGTGCGAGCCGCTAAACCCGGGCATGCTCAAGACGGATCTCACAAACACGAAACCCGATCTAACAGCACACAAGACACAATCGATCGACTAGCCAACATGGGGCGCGGTGCACTTGATAACACAGATGCTTCTCAGCCAAGTTCTTCCGCAGCCGCGAGTGCAATCGACGCTCACCACGCCGAACAAGCAAGGCCCTTCACTCCCACCAAGAGTAGGCCTACACCAAGCTCGAGGACGTTGCCGTTTTGCCAGTTAGTGACAATGACGTGCCGGATCCCATACAGTTTCAGGCCGCTGAGCTGTTCGCCTCAGAAAATGCAGAAGACCTGGTGATCGATGACCAAGGTTTCATTCGTAAGAATGATGAGATCTCTCGCTGCGTCACTGGTCAGTACACCATACATCTGTCGCGTAAAGTCATCTCCGATTACTTCAGCTGCATGTTTTCTTGCAGCACTGATACGTCGAACCTCATGCGCAACAAGCAAGCGCCATGAGGATGCAACTGTGCAATTAGACGGAAATCTAGTCGCAGTAATCGAGCATCGGTCTGACCGAGCTCTGGCGCGAATCCAAAGAAGCCATTACACACTAGCCATGGTCAAGAGATCATAGCTTGACTCCTCAGCTCATACTCCTGGCCTGCTGAGCGATGAGCATATGTTGGCAGACTCCTCTGGTATGCTATCAACTTGCCTCGCAACGCTCAGCAACTCAACTGTGCCAGCCTGACAGCTCTAAGCACATGGAGTGCAAACAGTTGGAAGTTCAGGAAGTACGAAGAATGATACGAATGGTACTGGTCTTTGAGGAGCTGGTGGCTGCCCACGGCAGATGGAAATAGTATGTGTTGCCGCTGCTTATAATTTGATCATTTGCTTAACACTTCGCCCAGGAATTGTGGAGTAATTACTGAAAAAGTGGTCGGAGTCTCGTCGATCTGTCCGGGGAGGACGCACATCCCAGGTGGGGGATATGCTGACCCGGCAAGACCAGAAAGGCTAGGAGGTCAATTGCAAACGTAATAGCGGGGCCATTTGGAGAGGACGTACCGGGCCGCCTACCCTCTATCGATTCAGAAACAGAGACCATCTGGATGAAGCACACATCTTCGGAACTTCGAAGCTCTGATGAACTCTGGGTCTCCGCTATCATGCGCGCGAGCGGCCATTTCCTCGTCTCTGGCCAAGGCAAGTCAAGCCGTCTCGTGGGAGACACCAGCCAGGGAGTCCCAAGCTGCATCAGCAGGGCAGGGGTAACACTGCGATTCAGCAGGCTGCCTTGACCGGTAGCCGAACGTCCTTGCCCTCTTGAGGGTTTAGGCAGTCGGAAAGGGTGACGTAGACCACAGCTAGTCGAACATCCTTGCACAAACCATTCGTTGGTCTTCCATCGTGATGTGTGCTGTGTGATGCTTGATGGTGACTGCTACCAACTGACCTCAAACCTGATAGATGTTGGTCGTCCACAAGCACCGTAAAAGATGAGTACAATTCACCTCGTGTTCTTGCAAATGCTGACAACTATGCAGACGAGCAATCGGGCAGGACTGGTAGTACTCATACCGGCCGACGCAAGCGCTCTTTGGGGTCATTCAAACTACTTCATCCCGGAGAGTCTGTTCTCATGACACTTGACCATGGTTACATTAGGCGGGAACAACAGACATAAGTCATACCGATCCAAACTCTTGATGAGAACAATACATGCCTCGCATTTCTCCTGCTTGGATACTAAAAATGCAAAAGGCTGGACAAGAAGCGATACTGTCATGGAGGACTGAAGCCGATCAACTCCTGTTGAATCAAGCCCTGCTGACTTACATGCCACGCTGTGGATATTGTGCGGGAGATGAGGCTCCGAGAGACTAGACTAAGTTGCCCTCATACCCAAGAGATTGCAATGACTGAAACGCGATACTGTCTAATTCCAGAAGTGCTGCTGTCAAACAAGATCGACCTCGGGCGAGTCTTGTTGAGTCAAGCTCTGGGCTTCATGTACGACTCCTTCGGCACAGGAGACTGAAACATTCTTGTCGTGACTGAAACTCGGAAGCAAGATCCGAACCCACGTCTCCATACTCTTGGAGAATTCGGACAGCAAACTCAACGCGCCCGGACCCACGCCATCGCACGGGGCTGACCACAATCAAGCCCTGGCGGATCAAGCTGGTTTCGCTGGGCGCGATGCTGTTGACATCATTCGTGATGGATCTCGCCGAGGCTGCTGTGGCCGAAGAATCGCGCCATGGAACAAGCTGATCACTTCTTAAGTGTCATTAAGCCAAGCTCATCTCGACACATATACTTTCATCAAGTGCTGTACTATCCGAGGTACACCAGCCAGAATACATGGCTCATGTTTGTTCGCTTCTAAAAGCGCCAACATCGATGCAGGCGATACGAAAAGCATTGCCATCGATCCAAAATGACATCTTTGTCTGCCTCTTAAGGCACCGACGGAGATGCAAGCGATCCGAGAGGCGTCATCATCGATCTAACATGATACATTCATCTCATTTGGCGTCAACTTATACCGCCATTCCGACATGTCGCGGACATCGCTTGCCTCTTCCGCCTTGTGAGGACTAGGTACCACGAGCTGGCAGGAGCGTACCTCAGACACTCCGCCAAAGCGACCCAGTATCGCCACGGAACATGAGAGCAGCAATGTTTGCGGCAAAGATCAATGTCGCCTCGCTACTCCAGCCCCATCTTGACAAGTACGTCTGGGTATCTTGTCCTGGGCATGAAGGTTAAAGCGACCTCCGGACATTCCATCTCTTTCACAACGGGCGTTGGATGCTGCGACAACCTCAGCATCGCGCTTGGATACGCCCACTTGCCTCACTTAATATGTGTTACTGATCCGGGATAGACACCCTGGCAGCGCAGGTCCAGTTTCGGGGGTGTCTTCGAGTCCTCGAGATGTCCGGTTCGACGTTCAGGTAGGGTATGTTGCTCGTCCTGGTATGCTAATAGTAATTAGAGTTTCCTATAACTCAAACGGTTATGGTCAGTGATTCCTGGCATCCTGCGCCGACGGCAGTCCTACCTTTAGCGGCTGCGGAGGCCAATCGATGGTGTCTTATGACCGAGTCTGGCAACGATTCAAGTCCGGGCAGCGACCGCCATGACAACCATTGTCTGGCACAGGTCCAGGTATTTTGCAAATCTTGACCACCGGAGCGCGATCTCGGTTCAATGGTCGTTATTGTTTTCTTCGTCGCCGCGGGGCCGCAAATTCGGTCAGCGCACTACATACCTTGGTAGACGACGCGCGATGCCAGCCATGGCCTTGTTTACCGCCTATGAGGTATCAGAGCCGGCTCTATAAGTATCCATCAGTATCTCAGTGCTGTCTCTACTGGGGCGAGTTGGTGAGGTAGTGTCGGGCGTGCTTGCCGCTGTGACAAGACGTCAAACGATACTGCCCTGACCCCTCGACGGTCATCAGGCTTCAGCAAAAGAGTTGGAAGACTTACGATAGCAATCCTACCGATATGCAGGCTTAGGTGAGTCTTCGAGGCAGCTGGCTTGAAGTTGGGAGGGTGATGTTATTGTGGTGGTGGAGGAGAAGGAGCATTGGTGAGATTTCTCCGTAACCCCCGCTACCCGCTAACAACACCGTCAAGTGAGCACATGCCCACAAGACAATATATAAGCTTCATGAGAGCTGTATCTATCTCAGCTTCTGAACTATCACGCCTGGGAACAGAGGAATTCGAGTCCATCGCTTTGGACGGTCAGAGATGGTGTCTTGAGCATCCCCGAGGCCGCGTCCCTCGACGGGTGAGATCAATTGAATGAGGGCGCAGACGCAAGCGATGAAAGGACTCATGTAAAGGAACCTTAAAGAGAGATTGAGATTATCTAGCAGTGATTTGCGTTGCTGGGACATCTTCTGCTCAAGATGGTCCAGGGTGCTTCCAAAATTATTGCCAAGCATAAACAACTCTGTGCGCCCATCTGAACTATCGATCCCCTCCATCTTACCACTCGCTTTCTTTGTTTCTTTCTCTCGTTCAACCCCACTCACACGAGCGGCTCAACTCCACAACACCCGTACCCATGGACCTCAGCTTCGGACAGATCTCCCGGGGTCTGGAAACTCAACAACTACGAGATCGACACCACCCACCCAAGCCGTCACAACTGCGGCATATAGGAAGATCCGGATCGACCACCCTGCGGGATATTTGAGTGCATGGGCCAAGTTCTGGATGTTGGGTGTGTGCCTACGCGTCAGGTTTTCCGGCAGCCAACGTTTCCCAAAGCCGTCTCGAAGGTCAACTGGCGGCTTTACTGGCTCTTGACGTCCTGTCATTCGGGCGCGCGCGCACATGTGGCGTTTGTCATCTATGCTCGGTGAGTGCTCACTTTTTTGTTATTCCCCCTCCCGACATCTTCGTCTCCGACATAGACAGCATGCGTCCAAATAAGAAGCTCAGCGATTTTGCCAATATCACCTAAAGCCGTACGCAACACATCATCGATGACAACCTGCCGGTACAGTAATTCGAGATAGCGTTACACCACACCATATACAGACTCGGAAGAACCAGGCGCCAGAACTGTGGCAAGGCACACGCTGTCGGCAAGCTTGGGATATAAGGCCTTTCGAGGTCACAGAATATCATCTTTTTCTATAAATGATGTGGACAATTGCTGGCTAAGTTATTCAGCTGCCAGCCGCGGCGAAGGCTAAACTGCCGATATACAGTACTTGGTTCCTCCGCAAACTTCCTCACCATTTTCACAGCTCATGAGGGTGTGTCATCATGCTCTCATCAATCAATGAAGATTTGCGCATGGGACTGCGACAGGAAGTGTATTGTGAGAGGTATTTGGTACGTAAAAGAAGGACTAAAAGAATGTACAGGTACAATTTTAAAATACTTTGTTATCTCCACTCACCTGCGACCTGCCTTTATTATTATCTTCGACTTCATCATGATTTCCGTCATCGTCGTTGCTATTACCGCTATCGATGCCCATATCCATTGCTCTCGCCTATTGATTTTCAAGTCGTATTATCGTCCTTGGCATTGGGAGGTCGCCCCAGTGGGCGAAAACTAATTAGCTTTACTGCGTTCATTCGCGGTTGAAAGTGGTAATAGACAACGTGATCGACCACAACTTGCTACTGGTTAGCATCAAGTGCGCCAAGTAATCATCTTATATTGAAATGTTCCTGAGTTTCAAGCATATTCCAGTATAAAGATATCCACTGTGTACATTATTGTCTTTAACGTTGTAGTGAAACCTAGCTTTGGCGGATCGTCCCTACTTTGTGGCCCGTGCTCCGCCCCCATGCTCGGTGTCAAGCGACTACCCCAACTCACCCATGAAACGAAGCACTTGCTAATCTGGTCGCTGTGGCAGCCTGGAGGCTCCTTCCACGGCTGAGGATGGCAGGCGCCTCATACGACATTGTCGTCCTCTCTTCTTCGCCTCCAGCCCACGACCTGTACGCCCCTTCGTCCCCGCTCAATGGCAGCCCGATATCCCCTCCTCGACGCGTCGCAATGCCAGCATCGCCGCTCCCCGCACTCTCTCCGCCTGCCAGCCCACGCAGAAACACATCCGGCGCGTCGGCGCTTGGTTCACGAAAAGCCGACATCCCTCCCGACGCCATTCGAGGGTTCGCCACCGTAGGCAGTCTCGTCCGCTCCGAACACTTTGCGCAGCACTTTGACGACGATATTGCAGGAAAAGACCAGGAACAATCGCGGAAGAAGTCACCCGAAGATGTAGGAAACATTGCGGCAACCAAGAAAAAGCCTGGGAAGCGGGCTGCAACCACGTCTACCGCAGATGGCGAGGCCAAACCGAAACCCAAACCAAGAGCACGGAAACCCAAGGCGGCAGACGAGGAGGCTGTTATAATCGACCCAGAACTACGGCTTCCAGCGGCCAAAGTGTCGCCCTTCTTCGCGGCCGAAGGTGCTCCAGCAGCAATTGAGCCCTCAGACGAGCCCGTAGTCGATGTCCCGAAACTTACAAAAGCTGGAAAGCCACGAAAACCCCGCGCAAAGAAGGAGAATGTAGGTGGAGAAGAGGCGGTGCCCAAGCCGAAGAGAACGAGGGTCACCAAACCCAAAGCTGCCAAGGCTAAGGCTGGTGGGAAGTCGCAGGAGGAGGCGTGTGTCGAGTCTGCACATTTTCGCAAGTCTGAAGACACGGGTGATGAAACCGTCGCAGGTGTGCTAGCAACTCGCAAATCAGCAACCACCGAGAACGTAGGATCGGGCGAAGCGTCGATTTGGGATGTACCGCAAAGTCCAAAGCCCAAGAAGAAGCGGGCGCCCAAGAAACCACCACCAGATCCGGTCATCAATAATCTGGAGTTGGACGAGGCAGTATCAAGGAGGCGAGATTGGACGCCACCACGAGATACGGCAATACCAAGTCCATTCACGGACTCGGTGGGCAAAGAAAACAAGCAGATCGAGCCAGATGCTGACAACGGGGGTTTCACGCACATGATCTCCAACTTTGCCTATGCGCAGGCTCTTCCCGCCCAAGTCGCATCTACTGTCGCAGACTCGGCCACAGGTACCATGGCGGCAACCAAACGACGTCGCATTGAGGTCAGTGCGAGAGTGACGAAATTGATTCTTTGTAAAGTAGAAAGCTGACTTATGGTGTAGCTCCTTGATGTTCCTGGCAATCAAACGACATCGCGTAACTCATCACCGGAAAAGGGCAAAGCACCCAAGAAGAAGCCGCGAACCATTACAGATATTGCTACCGAACAATATCAGCACCGAGCTGCTCAACTTGACCAATCCGATGTTGCCAGCGACTTTTTCCAATCTCACACTGCGGTTACAAAGGTACCGCTGAACGATGCGTCGCTGCCAAATGGCGACGCGCCTACCAAGAAACCACCGCGCAAGCGCTCAACATCTAAGCCAGCTTCCGAGAAAGAAAAAGTTGGCTCGAAGGCCAGGTCAAAGAAGGCGTCGACAAAAGCAGCTGCCAAGCCTAAGCACATCGCCGAGAAGCTTCTCAGCCCAGGATCAGCATTGATGCGTATGAACAAGCAGGACATTCTCTTCGGTACCTCGAGTCAGCTCGCACTCGAAGAGCCTCCGACGTTGGTACGACAGCTGCAGCATGCACTGAAGGAGTCGGAAGTAGAAGCCGACCTCTCTTCCAACGGCATGATTGCTCCTCCACCACGTTGGCCAAAGCTTGACAAAGTCGTAGGCAAGCGCAGCCTGTGGGATGCTAGCTCAAGAGATGTCGAAGGTGGCATGCTCGAGCACATGGAGGACGTGTACATACCCGAATTCGATCGGACCCAAGACTTTCCGCTCCTGATGGATGGCACGAACGACCAGCCGGACGGTGCGCCGCCCTCATTTGCAGATATCGACGACTTCGAGCCAGCGCCACCCGTTATCATTTCATCTGATGGTCCAACACCCCCGCCCACCACATCAAGAACATCGCAAAGAAAAGCCAACGATGAACCTGATCACGTAATGGAAGGTCCTGTTTTCGAAGACATTGATGATTTCGACTTTCAACCTCCGCCTTCAAACCAGAACGTGGAGTTTCAGGACAGTTTTGCAGATGATGACGAAATCCTGCACACGTCTGTTCAGTCAAGTACACATCCGCCGCCGAGACTGCGGCCACCAGCTACATCCGATCCCATGAACGGTTCGTCAAAGAAGCCTCGTGGCTGTCCAGCCAAGTCGCAGTCCGCAATAGCAACAAGTGGCTCTCCAGCCGTTGCGAAGGAGCCCAAGCGAACGAAAGGGAAGGAAGTAAAGAGTGCGCCAGCACCGCCGACGACCCCAGCGAAAGGCTCTGGGCGCTTCATCGACATTGACGAGATTCTAGACTCCGATGATGAAGCCTTGCAAGCTTTGTCTCCTACGCCGCCTCGTATCCATAATTTCGAGAACTCTCAGCCCCTCCCGCTCTACTCCGTATCCCCCACGCGCGCTAAAAAGCCCAAAGCCGACTCCTCCGTAGACTCTAAGATCGTACCTGTGCACATTATACCAACTGCGCATCTTGAATGGCTGAATCTCAAAAATTCCATCTTTCCTTCCATAACCTCGCATATCCGTAGCTTACCTTCCACGCGCGATCCGTCCAAACCTTCCTGGCACGAAAAGATCCTCATGTACGACCCCATCGTCCTCGAAGACTTCACCGCCTATCTCAACGCTAAGACGAGTCTGCGGACATGGCGGCGCGCGACGAAAATCCAATCGAAAGCGTGGAACAAAGCGCAGAAATCGATTGGTGCGCAGGAAATTGGTGTGGTGGAGGGTGGGGGGAATGTGCTTGCTGTTGAAAAGGAATTGGAGGCCTGGCAGGTTCAGTCTTGGTGTGAGAGTATGTCGGTTTGTTGCATTTGGGGTGAGGGTAGGGGGAAGGGGGGTGTGAGGAAGGGGTTTTACTGATGGCGATCGTAGATGCAATACATAATCCTGGGGACATTCACGTGTGCTATGGACAGGTAGAGGTGAAGGTTCCCTATGATGTGCTTTTCACGCAAGGTTATTGCTTGAGGCTTTGCCGGCTTACAGCGGATTGTGTGTATTCAAGACGTCGGTGGATCGATGTGAAGATGGGATCAGGGACGGCTCGAGAGCGTCACACACGCATACCCTGTTTTTGTACAGACAATCAGTCTCGTTCCTGCTATCTCCAACAACTGTGCCGGGACATGATCAACTCCTCAATATGATGGCACTCTCCACACTCAACATCTACGTGTACATCTAGCCATGCTATCTTCAAGCCGTACTCCGCCCAATACCCGCCTTATACCTCGCCAAACACCTTTCCCTCGCAAACTTATGCTCAACCACCGGCTTCGGATATCCATTTTTCCTCGCCACCTCGGCAGCCTTCTTATCCGCATACGGATTATGCACCGCTTTACCCTGCACACCGCTCAACTCCTCCACCCACAGTCTAATAAAGTCGCCCTCCTCATCAAACTTCTCCGACTGCAGCCAAGGGTTGAAAATACGAAAGTACGGCTGCGGATCCACGCCCGTGGAGGCCGAGAAGCCCCACCCCCCATTGTTCGACGCAAAGTCGCCGTCAATCAGGTGCGTCATGAAGTACTGCTCGCCCAGGCGCCAGTCGAGGAGCAAGTGCTTTGCAAGGAACGACGCGGTGATCATGCGATTGCGGTTGTGCATGTATGCGGTGTGCTTGAGGCAGCGCATCGCGGCGTCGACGATGGGATACCCCGTGCGCCCTTCCTTCCACGCCGTGAAATGCGCGTCGTTGTACTCCCATTCGATATTGGTGTATTCGAATTTAAACGGCTTGTTCATGCACACGTACGGCCAGTGGACGAGGACGTGGCGGTAGAAGTCGCGCCAGGCGACTTCCGAGATCCAGGTTTTGATGCCGTCGGAGCCGCCGTCGAGTTTCTTGGAGGTGTTTGCGGAGCGCGCCATGCGCACGCTGGTTCGGGCGGCGAGCGTGCCGGCGGCGTGGTGCGCGCTGACTCGGCCTGTGCTGTTGAGGGCTGGGAAGTTGCGTGTGGCTTGGTAGCGGCCTATCTTTTCGCTCGCGAAGCGTTCGAGGCGGTCGATGGCTGCTGCTTCTCCGGCGGGCCAGAGAGCGTGGAAACGGGTCTTTTCTTCATCGGTCAGGCTCTTTGATTCGGGAAGGTCTGGTATTTTGGCGTCGAAGAGACCCGCGTGTTTCTCCCGAAAACCCGCTAGGTTTCTTTCTGGCATTGGACGTTCGTTGAGCAAGTGTGGGTGGGCATGCAGGTGCGCAACCCATGATCGAAACCATGGGCTGTAGACTGCGTATTGCTTGCCACCACCCGTCTTCAGGGCGCCTGGTGGTACTACGCAATCATCGTGTTGAGGGTTGAAGCCGATGCCATTCTCCAACATGAGCTCTACGAGACGGGCTTCCCGTCGAAGCTCATCGGGCTCGTATTCCAGATTGCAAAAGATATTCTTGACATTCCACTCCTGTGCCAATTCTAACAGCCTCTTTGCCACATTCCTTCGCTTGGGCACTGTTTCAATGTGGAGTGGGATGTCGAGTTCGTCCAGCTCTTTCTTCATCAATTCGACGGATCGCAGCTCGAAATCGCATTTCGGCGGACTGACCAGATGCGCCACCCAGTCTTGTGGGCTCATTATCCACACTCCAATTAGCCCGATTCCCTTCTCCTTCGCGAGCGCTGCCGCTTCAGACAGGCCAGTGTTGTCCCGTATGCGCAAGTCGCGTTTGAACCAATGTATCACGGCCTCTCCGCTCCCTCCGTCCTTGCCCAGTCTGATCGCCTGTCGGGCGTGTTTCGTATCTGCCAACGCCTTTTCCAAGATCTCAATTGGCCGTGGGATCTCGCTGGCATTGTACATGGCGCAGCGCTCATTGCTCATCTCCGCCGGGTAGTACCTCCTATCCACGATTCCAGCCTTTTCTTCTGGTCGCGAATGGTCAAACTCTTCGTTCTTGACAGCTTCGCCGGGAGCTCCGTTCTCGCCATTCTTCGCAATCGATTCGATAGGTGGCGCGCCATTTGTGAAGGCTTTTGCGACAGGTTTCGCTATACGTGATCGTTTGTTTGGTGCATCCCCAGAAACGTCCGTGTACTTCTTCGCGGACACGGCGTTTGGTGGGATGGCAGATGCGAGTTTACGTTTTGGCGGCATGTTTGATAATCCTGCAAGGCTCTCGGGTTATATACAAGGGGCACTGAATGTTCTAATACGGGTGATGGACCGAGGGACAAATTGCATATGAGGGACGGATGACAACGGCGCGCTGGAGACACCAGAAGAAAGAAGTTTTTTCGAACGCGACTACACAACAAGGCGATTGATGTATTTTGAAAGGTAAGAAGAAAGAAGATATTCTTGATGCGCGAATCGCGACGCGTTGAAATCGCGAACGCACAGGGTCCGATCGATGACGCAGATGGTGCCTGAATCGTCGTCGTCCCGATCGCGAGATTAGCGAGTTGAGATACCCGTGCACTAGTGCAGCCTCCTTCTCCACAACACCCAGCCGATCATTCCTCCCAGTTCATATGACCAAACGTACTCCAAGAGCATTCCTACGCTTCGAAGCTCATCTATCCTGACGAAAAGTCGCTTTGGCCCACGAGTCCATCATACTCTTTCTCGAAGAAGAATTGCTTTTGACCGAATGCTGGCCTGAGCTCATCGAACCATGCAGCGTGGGAATCATAAGCTGCAAAGAACACACGTCTGGTCCAGCTAGGCACGTGTGCCTGCAAAAACTTGAGAATAAAGACGCACCCATTGTTGACTTCTTCAGCCCCCACGATAGACACCTTCCCAGCTGAGCAGGACATCGATGGTCCGCGAACAGTGCAAGCCAATCCGCTGACTTGCTCGTATGCGCGAGTGAATATTTCATAGGCTTCAGGAGAGGGGTGCATAAGCAATTTTGCCGCCCCATGTCTCGCTCTACGAACGTTTGATCGTTCGTCAATACCATGTGCTCAGCCCTCCTCACGTCAAATTCACATGTAGTATGGGACTATGCCAAGTCCGACTTCCGTACGCCAAATCTCGGCGCACAGGTCAGCAGAGTCATTGACGTGTCCAATTGGTGGTGCTTGTGCCCGTATTTGCGCTCCTTTCATGCGTATGAGGCATTTCGCTTCTTGTACTACCAGAGTTTCAAGTGCTCTAGGATGGCTGATGTGTGCTTGTAACGAGATTTGTTTCCCGGACTTTTGAACGTCTTCAAACAGCTTCAGAATTTGGTTGCGTCGGGGGGGTATATCGCATTGGCCAACAACCGAGTGACTTTGTGCCGATGTGAGGTCTTGAGATGTGTTGTTTTCGTATTGTGTAGAAGCGGGTTAATACATGAACTAAGTGCCGCAACTGACATGGCCATGGGTCTCCACCAGTGAGAAGAAATCTCTGACTTGTCGGTGCCGTGAAACGTACTCAGCTAGCCGTTGCGTGCTGCTAGACTTCAATTGCTGAGGCGAGCCGACGTATGTGAATTGAGCCTATCTGAAGCGGAAAATGCAGTGCGAATGGCAAAACTGTCCCTATCAGTCGCGGCAAGTCAGCCCAAGTGCTATCGTAAGTACGAAAGCATCAGCAATAACCTCCATAGGGAAGTATAGTACAGTCTCTCGGTACTTGTGCTGCAACCCTGACATAAGGCTTGCGATTCAAAGTCGGAACATTTCCCCCTATTTGATGTGCAGGATATGCATTCAATGTTCCTCGAATATGTTCTGCTACATCTCGCAGTCTCACACGTGAGGTCTCCGGATCCAAAAGTTCTTCCAATTTTGTCTGGCGGTCGCATGTCGAGAGCATCTCCGGCTGGGGAAAACAATCTTGAAGAGAGGGGCGTTCGGCACGTTGGCCCTATTCGTATTACTGTGGGCATGAGATCGAGTTCGTCTAGTTTGAGGTATAATCCACTAGTCAATGTTTCTGGGACAATATTGTTGGCTGGCATCTGGCTTGTCTGGATTGATGTGGAGGCTTGAGCCACGACTCGCACATAGAACACGAAGATACGAATGGTACGAAGACAGGAAGTATACGAGCGGCGCAATGACGCGGTATTTGGTATCGTCAGCGTGGCGCGGGTGCCGAGTTCGCATGATGATAACGGCATGTCTCGAAACTGAATGATGTTGCGACTTTCGATGTACGAATCTTATGATTTCCTGGTCATTCGCGACAGTGCAGGATCCTGGTCGGCCTAATGTCTGAGGACGGAACAGCCGTGCATATTCGATGTCCGAGGAGTTGCTATTCTCATATTACGCCGAAGTGGCATGCTCTGGCCCATCAATTGCTTGGATGCAATATCACTGTACGTTACAAGGTATCGGTCTTGGCTTTGCAAATCTTGGAAGTGCGAAAGTGAACTGACAGAGCTGGTTGCGGCTGATTGTTCGTCAAACTTCCCCGATTGTATGTGCGGAGTAGAGCTCCGATGAAAGACCATGATGCAGGTCGGTCGCAAATTCAAGGGGTTGATGAAGATAGTTTGCCTGCTGAGGTGAGATACCAGTGTGGCTTAGCCTTGTGGCAAGTGTACGGGGTTTAGCGAGTGGCTGAGAAGCTTGAAGATAGGCCTGAGGTGACAAACAGCTCAGAAGGTCATGCTCTTTTGATCACAGAAGATGTCGACAATTTCGCACTCGTTGTGGTTCTGGAGGAAAGGAGGACGGAAGACACGTTGAGGTGCGGGCACATTAGCAAGCACGACTCATGCAAGCGAAATGGACCAACCAGATTTAGACGCACAACTGCAACAACAACTGCAACAACCCTTCGAGTTTTCTCATTCCAAGTAAGACACACACTGCAGGCCTGCTGCAGGTAGTATACCATGATAGCTACATCGAGACCTCCAGTCAGCCCTTCCAGGCATTCAACAGGGCCTTTAGCTCGATCAGCCAATGGTAATTCTCGAACTCTCGCTTACGACCAGCTTCACTGCCCTGCCCAGCTTTTGCTGCGTCTCTTCAAGCACCACAAATCGCTCCTCCCGCGAATAATGGCAAGCCTGACCTACCCGACAGACTGGTCGAAAGCATCAAGTCTCACGACCCGCGACTCGAATAGGCAATCTCGCAACATCAACAACGAGGTTCATTGAGCCTCATTACCTGGCGGTCCACTGTCTTACTAACAAGCGAACCAACCAATCACGATCGTTATAGCCTGCTCTCGGGGTGCATCCAAACCAAACATAGGTAGAATCGTTCCGAGTGTGCCTTCTGCGGTTACCCCGACTTAGATGGCTTGTCATTTGAGTCTTCTACTGGCTGACTGCCGGGTGCATAAGGCCAAATACCAAGAACACTTCGTATGTGGGTAGCATGGCTTTGCAAGAATCGGGACGGGCCTGTTAACCTCTGTACGTCACCGGAAGCTTATAAGATCGATCTGTCGGTAAGTATAAGAGGGAGCTTGAGGCGTTGAATAGAGAAAATGGCAGGAAATACAAGAACTCACACATTGAGGAAACAACCAGCACATCTGCTTTCCCTAGCGCAAGATTACCATCTCAATACTACAACCAGCAAGCTGGCTTCTGAAGTGCTTTATCTCCCCGGTGAGGAATTGAGAAAGCTGCTACAAAGACGATTCCATCAATTCCTGCGCAAATTCTTTTGTGTGCTTCTGGATAACATGTCGGAGAGAGTTCCCGCCAAGCGAACTGCATCTGATCGCGCTGATTGGGACAGCAAACAACGCGGAGATCCAGAGCCAGATCCGGAGCCACCAGCGGCACCACCGTAAGTTGTTAAGTTTTCCTTAGCATGAATGATTATACTGGAAGTAAATATTTCACTAACATTCTGTAGGGTCATAATTCTCTCCGAAAACGGCAAGGTGGGAACGACTGCGCCACAGGCTCAGCCGTACCAAGCGACGTCACCGTGCGTGCAATCGGACCCTGTCTAAATTAACAATACGAGCCTGGGCTGAAATGCGTATAGTCAAAAGTCTCCCACTGCTTCGCGCTACAACTTGCGCATACGAACAGGAAGTCAACCTACTGCTAGAGGAAAGGAACATGATTCTCCTGACGATCCCTTTCCAGCTGCCCCTCCGTAAGCCTCAATTGACGATGTTCGGCGCGCGACGCGCGTTAATCGGACATTCACCACTCGGTGGATAGAAAGTGAAATGCTGCTGACGGCCCGTGCAGAGTGATAATATTGTCCAACAAACGACACGCATCGAGTTCACCACCGCGATCACCTCCCCCTACTCCCAGCAACCAGCTATTGCCCAACTCCGATCCCAACTCCTCAACCGTAAACCCATTGGCGAAACATATTGGACAACCTCCTTCAAGCCCGAACACCGCGCCTGCGTCACCCACATACCACAAACACGCCATGGGCTCCAAATCTTCGAAGCTCGCACCCTCTCATGGCAAGCTGCAGCCTTCGCAAGATAAGCAGGACAAGGCAGAAATGGCTGAACCGACCAACTACTACTCGCATCGCAGCAAGAGTATGATGGAGGAAGGCTGGAAAGACTGGTGCTACTAGCGGCGCTGGTGGCTCTGGCGGAGGTGCCGGTGGAGGTGCTGGTGGAGCTGTTTGAGTTGGAATGGCTTCGAGAGGCTCATTTTGTAAGGAATTGGAGAACTGACTTGGATTTTAGAGAAGCGGCATAGCGGGGATGGAGTTTAGATCAGACGTGCATCCGGAATACAAGATTCGTTGTTTGGATACTCCGCCCAACTCAGGCATGTCAGGGGTGTATTGATGCTTCGTGCGCGTTCGGGATAATTTCAACCCACCTTGGGCCGGATGAGTTATGGTGCTCTTAGTTGTTGCTGTACAAGCTAATCTCTCCTGACGATTCAGATGTGACTTCGTCATCTGGCACGGCGTGGAAGCCCCAACCGGCAGTACGTTGCGGAGTCCAACTGTCGTCAAAGAGCACGTTTCTTCCTAAAATAAATTTGATGTCTGTCCTGGAAAACAGTGCCACTGTACCCGCATAATCATAGAATCTACCTGAGTAGACGATGTCTTCAGCGACAAGGCGGATTTCTTGGAGGTGAGGAGTGCGTGTGGTATAGCTACTTGAAAGGTGCTTCAGGCCGAGAAGCGGGTCGAATGTATCAGGGCCGCTTTGGTTGCTGAGAGAGACGCTCATTGTCTTGAGGGCTGGAGGAAGTCTCTGGGGTAAAGTTGCCGCTGAGTTTCCATCACCAGCGATGCTTTCAAGCTGGCATTTCAGGTGTGCCAATGACGAAAAGCCGCGCAGACTTCCGCACAGGTCAAACATAGGCGGGAGATCTTCGGTCGCTCCTCTGTCTTTGAGAAACACCAAACTCTCCAAAGAGTCACTTTGCGACTCGAGAGCTGCAATAAGTGTCTTTGAGCCCAACTGGCCCAGATCGAATGCTTCGCCCACATTGTCTAGAGTGATATCATAGGAGAAGACCCTCAAATGCTGAGAAGCCTCGACGACAACAGCAAGAATGTCATTTTGCAGAATGCTTTGCTTGATAGAGAGCTCTTCTATATTGTTGCATCGAGATGGAATGAGTTTCCGAATGACTTGTGCCACGCTTTTGCCGCCATATTCGAATTCGACCAAGCCTTTCAGGGTAAGCTTTCGTAGCGAAGGAGTCCGGAGAGCGGGCGCAAGTGCTATCAGTTTCAATTCGAGAAGTTCGACTGTAAGCGATTGCAAGTTCTCAAACTTGTGCATGAGCCCCGGTGACGTCCTCGAATTCGCTCTTCTGAACAGGTCGACCCAGTCCGGGTTTCTCGATTCACCGTAGCTTCCTAGCCAACCGTCATGTACGATCATGGAAGCGATCTTTGGCGTTTGCATGATAATAGCCGCGTATATGCTTTCTAGCTCAACATGATCCGTGTTATACAAAGAGGCCAGCGTCTTCCAATCTGCAATGCCGGAGGCCCTCAGACCGTCTTTGATCGCTTTCTTATCTTGTGCATTTGCAACATATCGCTTGCGCTGCTCGTATGCATTCTCCCCATATGTGATGTCAACATGCCGTACGCGCCTCGCAAGATCAGCGTTGCTGATGATCGATCGGAGGAACAGATATGGTTCACAAAAAAAGCTGTTGTACGTAGCATACAATTCCGCAGCTACCAAGTTGTGGAAACGTCGATTTACTCGAGATAGACTGACTAACGTGGGTAACTGGAAGTTATCAAGGTCAATACCTGGCAGATACTGCAGGATGGCGAGGAGGAGCTCGTTTGGGAAGTCGGTGATTGAGGCGGGAGCTCCGGAGGCGCGTCCCACGTCCGCATCTGTCCTTCTCTTTCTTGGAATGCTCTCTTGACGCAGGGGTGGGAAGTCGCAATCACTGAAGTTTGGCATGGTTGTGGCCCGAGAGCGACAACTGTATTGGACACAGCCCCGTAGTTGGTTGTCGAAGTACTATGAGGCGAAGGGCGGCGCTAACATTTAGGGGCAGTGGCATGGCTTTACCCCCGCCTCACCTGAACCACTACAACTTTCTTATCCACAGATAAATGGATGCGAGTGATTCGGCGATATGCAAGGATGGAAAGGCGTCTCTGAGATTCTATGGGACACGCCTCTGTCCTTGTACGTTCGACCCATGAGCGATGCGAATACCTCGGTTGAGGAAAAGACGTCTCACGATGGAGGCGCTATCAAAAGATCATCCGGTTCACATTTTGCTCCGCTTCAACGTCGATTGCCTTGATCGCTCAACACCTAACATCCAGAAGCCTTAGTACGTGCCCGTTCTTAGGTACGCAGCAGTTACGGCGAACCGTCGCACCGCACCTTGTCCGTGTTTAGGCCATAAATAAAGTTCATATAGACGAACAAGGCCTCTGCTTCTTGAGTCGTGATTGAAGTACACCTGGTAGATGTGAGTCCAATAACGCTTGTTTACGCTGTCGAGATCGAATTTGCAAGTTTTGTAGATCATGTTGCAGTAGAGGATCGAGAGCTCACGCCTTGGCCGATGCAGCAAGATCAACTCGCTTGCACTTGGATTTGGTATTGCAGACGAGGTCTTAACTATGGATGTGACATGAACATGTACTAGCACGCTCTTAGCGGATTTAAGGCAGCAGTTGGCACGAGTATGAACAGGGAGGCCAGTTCCATTTTGGCCGAAATGCACCAAAGATCACGACCTGCGCAATCATGCGTTCCGCCCCAACCGCCGTATTAACTCTGCAAATCAAAGTATTCCCCTTTTGCTTTGTATACAGCCGCAACTTTATCTTTGCGACCGAACAACCACCCGAAGCCACCTCGCTCGACGACTTGCCAGCACGCCAGGCTGAAAAGACACGCCGCACAAACTGCCATAGGGACAGTCAAAGTCCTTGCGGTTCCCTGTACAAGTATGAGCTTTGTCATCAATCTTCGGGCCCGACTTACGAATCTAGAACATGCCTGGTTTGCCCAGTGCCCTTCCTTCTCAGGATAAAGAGCGTTCATCGAGCACGACCATGCTTCCTTTGTATACAGTGTACCACCAGTGCTGTACTTTCCGTTCGCATATCGAATCTGGTCTCTTGAAGTTGCCGCCGGGTTCCTGTTATTGAATATGAAGACGGCAACACAGCATCCGACTTGGCTCAGAATGTTCAGCAGCGCGGGGCCAAACGCGAGCCATCCAAAGGCGTTATGCTCGGTGAAGTGACGGGTTAAAACTAAGCCAATGATGATGAGAGCCGTCGAAGCTATCGAGATGAGAGCAGCTACCAATATGGCATCATTTGGGCCAGTCAAAATACCGAAATCGATCGTTGTCGTTTTGCCCAAGCCGGTGTTTATAGTCTTCGAGCCCAGAATGACTTTGGGCACCCAGTTTTGATTGAAAAGGAGTGTGGCCACGGCGACGGGGAGGCCCAAGATTATTGATATCACACTGATGACGACTGTAATGACTGGATCACTTCGTACCATGGTTTTTGCGATGATGTGAAGGTGGGAACGAACGAGCGCACTTCGAGAAACAGGCGCAAGGAAGGAGTAGAACAACGCGTCAACAAAGCGAAACTTTTATATCGGTCGGACCAAATATATATGCCTACATCAAACCTACGTGGTTGATCTTTGAGATACTCAAAGACGGAGTAGCAAATCTTTGGCGGATAGATAGCCTGAACGCTGACTGGCTGGGTCGGACACTTGGATACTCGAACTTAGCACAGCTTAACCCCTTTCGGCTTTCGAGAAGAGCTGATTGGTGAGTTCGCGAAGGTGTTGTAGAACAGCGACATGGGTTTGCACAGCCTACAACGAGACGGACTTGCGCCAAACCCGTCCGCTTCTTGAGTCCAGGAAGCCGAACGTACACCGGCTGTGCAGCTGTGCGCACGCATGATTTTGACTGGACACTTCGCACATTGTTGCAGAGTTGCCAAACCTATCTGCGCGATACAGCCCCGAGGCGTAGCGTAGTTTCATTTCTACAATTACAACAACATAGCAAGATTTAGAGCTGCGCCCCAGAGGCCGAAGCATCTGATGTGCATGTCTTTGGTGATGCTTAGCTCTCGTTACGCGTGTTGGCAGGCTCGGACAAAATCCACAGGATCGTTTCCGCCGATCCCCCGTCATCCGAACACAGCCTCTTTCATACACGTTGACAGTCTGACAGTGCCTCTGCAAGCGCAACACATACCCAATCCATCCGACTTTCCCGTTGCGCTATACGCGTCAACCTATCGCAGAAGGTAAAGACCATAGACATATATATTGCACATCCCCACGCCATGGTAGCAACATACAACTTCTCCAGCTCACAACGTCAAACACACTGTCGTCCACCAAAACCATTCTCGGCCATCATCTTACTGTACCCTCTCAGTCTCCAATCATCCACACCATGTTCTCTCAATCCACCCCAGCTTCCGCTCCCATGAAAGACACCAACAACCCCAACATGATCGTTATCCAAAACACCATGGTTGGCGGCAACTTTAGGAAGGGTCTCGATCGCTTGACCAGGATGTTAGAACACAAGGTCGACAACCAAGTTATGAACGCCCAGATCCGAGCGTACGACAGTCCCTCTGGCCTCAATGACAAGCCTCGTTATTCGTAGAGCATGGGGAAGGTCGTCACCGGCCGCATTGTGATGAGATGGTAGCATCGGACCGAAAGACAGGGTCGAATCCCGGCACATGCGACGCCACATATCAAACTCGACCTTGATGGAACGCAGACAAAGCCACATGAACAACGATTGACAGCGCAAGTGTGTTACTCTGCAGTGTTATTTCTAGGCACTGGAGCTTGAGGCGGACATGGTGTGGTCTGCCGAGAAAAGGCGATCCATGAGTGTGGCCAAGACGATGGAAAACATGAAGATGTGGTGTGGTGTTGAGATCAGGAACAGGACTAGAGTGTAACAATACGTGTATAAAGTACTGCTGAGAATATATTATGAACGTAACGCAAACAGAAACAACGCTTCGCTTGAACGCTCGCAAAGAATTTTGCCACAACATGCGTGACCACTTGTCAATTTAATGGACGGCGGAGGGGATTATTTGCGCATCTAGCGAGCTGCCGGGGGCGGGCTGCCGTTCTCGAGGACTGGAGCCTTATCATAGGTGTCGCTTGAACCACCAGATGCGGTCCTGCGATGGCCTGAAACAGCGCCGTCGCGGGAGGCGGGAGCTCCTTTGAACTTTTCACCTAGAGCTGCCTTTGGATCATCACCTTCAAGGTTGACAGTCTCATACTCCACTATTGGCATGTGTTAGTAGATGCGTGCTTAGAGAGATACAGGAAGTGATCTTACAAGCTTTGATGAACATGTAGAAGGTACTCGCAAGGATAGCTCCAAGAATGGGTCCGACCCAATAGATCCAATGGTACGAAGCAAAAGTGTGAGATACCACAGCTGGGCCGAAGGATCGGGCCGGGTTGACACTGCCACCGGTGTAGTAGACACCCATAAGCTCAGCGACGAAGAGAGACTATACCAAATTAGCACTGCGGATCTCACATCGAGCGAGTTGGACACTTGCCAGTCCTATACCAACAGGAGCAATGAAGGTACCTTCGTGCTTCTCGGTAGCAAGCATGAAGATGGTGAAGACCAACTGCGCCGTCAAGAACATCTGTAAACTCGGTTAGTAAAAGATTACTGAACGAGCCGGAGTATATCATTCAACATACCTCAATAAACAGTCCCTGAACCACGGTGGTACCACCGCCCAGCTCAGTCCTCACAGCCAAGACGTTGGGCATCATTCCAGACACAACGGCTGAAGCTGCGATGCCACCAATGATCTGGGAAATGATGATTAGGAGGCCACGCATGTAAGCAGTAGCTCCAACAAGCATCATGCCGAGGGTGACGGCAGGATTGAACAATCCTCCACTAATGCGGAAGAACACCCAGGCGTTCACCATGAGTGCTAGACCAAACACCAAAGAGATGTACATGATTTTGCTCGGATTGGCAGCGAGATCTGTCGCGTTGGCACCTTGCGCTGGTGCAGTATTGACGACATTTGTCCCGCCTAAAGCAAAGAGCAAAAACATGAACTGCGGAACAAGAACACCCAGTCAGCAATGCTTCTGTCGTCTTTCGTGTGTGGGAAACTCACTGTGCCCACAAATTCGCCTAAGCATGCGACAATATGCCCCTTTACAGTCTTTGGGAGGAAGTTAAGCCAGTCCAGAGGACGTGCCACATGATGCTCGTGTTTGTGGGGTCGTTGGTGATGGCGGGACTTCCATGGAATGCGCAGGCCACGCGTGGGACGGTCGACGTTCATGTTGAAGGCGTTTGGTGGAGACGGACTGGTATGGGAGCGATGCAAGGGGTACGAATGGGGAACGAAGGGTCCGAAAGTGGAAGTAATACGAGACCAGGGTTATGAATGGAGCAAGAGACGAGCAATGTGCAACCTGGATTAGAAACTCTCCGACTACCTTGCTCTTTTGTACATCTCTACTTGTCCTACGACAATGGCGTCTTCGAGGCCTTTTACCATGACGTGGTTCTGTTTATGCCCAGCCACACAGGGTCAGGATCCTGTGTCTGAAGCAAGTTCAGCTTGCATACTTAGCGGCATTTGACAAAGTAGCATGGCAGCTTGGTGGTGTTTTACTTTGAGCATCTGCTTTCCAAAAGCCATGACAATCAATAGGAGCCATATCCTTGTGTCACATCTCCGTAATAGGCGCAGACCGTTCAGTGAACCATCTGCTTTGGGCGCTGGACAGCAGGGATCAGGTGCTTACTTTGGCGGAATTAGTGTGTGAGCTATCTCAAAGGATCGTAGTGCTCGATGGAAATCAGGTTTGGGGACAATGATCTCATGCGCTAAAGACAGCTACCATCTCATCTCGAAGATCAGGGTCCGCTTCCTAGACGCCACAAACACCAGCCTTCCGATCGTCGCGGAGATTTTGGGGCGTCAACGGGGTGACCCCACATCGTGCAACTGGATAAACTCATAAATCTAGGTCTTTCACTTACTCGCTGTGAAGTTTTATGAAGTAGTGCAAATTTGACAGGCGCCCATTTGAATGCGCGCAACAACTTTTTCCTGAGAGCATCAATTTCGCAGAACTTCCACCACATCGGACTGTGACATTACGAGCTTGCAAGCTATGAAACGCCTATCGAGCTACTGGCGATGAGCCACTGCACTGTAGACAGCACAGAGAAAACCAAGTTTCGAGCATGAAGACCTGGGAGGTTGCGTCATGCCGACGGTGAGTGTTGCGGCCTCCATGCCAAGGAAGAAAGCTCATGGTGCTAGACTAGATGACGGGAATGGCACATGATGGTCCATGTCCCCGGAGATCTTCTGCATATTCAAATAAACCCCAAAGAGGTAAGATACAACGTAACGCTGCGATCTCGACACCTCGGGAGAACGCTGCACATCTATATTGTGTGAGATTCTCGTGTACAAGCGCAAAGCACCATCGGAAGCAAGGAGTGTACCGAAAATGTAGGCCACTTTCATACGCTGCCGTGTGACATGAGCCGAACGCCTCGGTGCCAGAATATGCTGGAGAACCAGTGAGCTGCACAGCCACCCTAACATAATGCAAGCGCACAGTGAGCAATCTAGACTGGAAAACGATTACAAACACTAGAACAGTACTGCGACACTTATACTTCTCTGTCGATTAACTTTTTGCAGGACACAACATCAGAAAACACCCACAACCTCTCCACTAGCCATCAAGATCTACGGATACCGGGATTTGATCAGATCAGCAGCCTTCTCGCCAATAGCATACGCAGTCGTCTGCGTATGGGTACGCTCGTATGAGCGGAATGATACTTGTGTCCGCAATACTTAGACCCAGCGTTCCGTACACCTTGAGCTGGTTGTCAACCACACCAACTAATTCTTGAGGCATCATCGCCGCAGTTCCCACGCTGTGACCGTTGGACGCCATCAACTTATCTTGATTAAGTAGCCAGCCCTCCCAGCCCGCGTCATCAGTGACAGCGCCCGGCGCTAGATCTTGTTCAACAACATTAAAATCATTGAAAGCCTCAGATTCGAGAAAGTGCCTGCGTATGTACGCCTGCATGCGAATGTGCATTTTCTTATCGATGGGGTTGGACCAAATGCGGTAATCGAAGATTGGGTCGCCGAGTGGGTCGTCCGAGTTGATGTTGACGGAGCCGCGAGAGAATGGTTTAAGTAAGATACACATGCCCCAGCCTTTACCGGCGAAAGGGTGCTCGAGCCAAGCATTCGTTTTAGACTTGAAAGATGCCAGTAAGATCTCTTTCTGCTTCTCGTAACCCGCAATGAGTTCTTTAGGGGTATCATCGGGGAGGTACGCATATGGCTTTTGGGTCGCGATCTCCTCCACCATCTTGTCGAAATGATCGCCAACGAAGGAAGAAGGAGGAAGAAAGGCACCACTGACGGTAACAACAGCCGTGTAAGGGCCTCCATTAGTCTGTTTGAAGATATCGTAAGCTTCTGCTTTATACGTCGTATTGGAAGCGATCGTGGTCGGTTTAGGGAATGAAGAGTCGGTAGTAAAGTTGTACAAGCTGAGCGCGAAAGAGTGATCCTGAAGGTTCCAACCTACACCAGGCAGGTCAATCAATGTATCGATCTTAGCAGCGTCAAGAACCTTCCTAGGACCAATGCCAGAGTATTGAAGCAATAGTGGAGTGCGTGTGGCAGATGCGGAGAGGATAATTTCACGCTTTGCCTTAACGGTGAAATTTTTTGAACTGTATCGGTCCTTTATATCGACACTGACGGCCTGCTTCTTGTCGTCTTGGTCGACGAAGTTCACCTTGATAACACGATGCAACGTCAGCAAGTGATAGTTCTTGCGTGGCTGTACTTCGATATAGTGGCCCAGTCCAGAGAAACTTCGATTGTATGCCCTCGCCGGGTCCATGGATGTTGGAATCCAGAACACACCATATGCGTTTCCATTCGCATGCTCCTTCTGGATCGGAACATCGTCCTTCTCCACCCAAGCGACCCAGTGATTTTTCTGGGTGGCGTATTGGTAATCCGGGTAAGCTCCAACCGCTGTACCGTTACTGCTATATGCATGGGGGTCATGTGTAATTCCCCATTTCTGCATGGCCGGCGTTGGTGGTACAAGAGCGGAACTTTTCTTAAAGTAAGGGAACAGTCCTTCGCAGTCCCATCCAGTGTTACCAGGAAATTGAGCCTAGTTGTTGTAGTCTTCAGCACTACCGCGGTCGAAGAATTGGCCATTGACTGCAGAACTACCGCCCACGACAACTCCGTTGGCTGTCGGAAAAGTACGATTGTTCAGGTTGGTTTGCGGTACTGATGTCAGATTGTACATGAATTTAGGAGCTGGAGAGTTGTACAATGGCATGAATGAATCGTCCTGAGCAAGAGGACCATACTCAACAACGAGAACATTTCATGTCTCACGGATTAGCGACAGGTAGACGAGCAGAAGCTATGCCCACGTTTGCCATCTTCGGAGAGACGATTAGCTACTGTGAGGCCGGCAGTCCCACCGCCGACTACGATGTAGTCGTACTCCTGAGACACATCAGTGGCGTGTCGTTTGATCTCGGCATTTTGCCACGAAGGAAGTGCGTAAGTAGCGGCGAGAATACTAAAGACAGCTACAAGTGCCAGTGCCATGCTGAAGGTTCGGGATGCTGCACACCAGCGATAGGGTAGACTAAGACTGCGTATTGAAGACTCCTCAAATGAATTTCAAGTTGAGATTGGCAGATTGGCAGTTCGTTTAGCGGGGAAATACCTACTTTATGCCTTTTGTGCATCCTATCCTAGTACTTTACGAGAGGTCATGCATCGTACACGCATAGAAAATAAGCACTAGCTGTGTGGAGTACAGTGTCTTACCTGACTATTGAATTCAGTAGGAGAATGGTAGAGTACTAGTTGGTTAAGGTTTTCTGCTTGCCAACGGAGATTCTCGATGAAGATGTAGGGTCAGTATTGCCCATACACCCGTCACCCAACATCAGCTGTGCGTAAATACACAACATTCATGTCGTAAACCTGGCGTAATTATTTAAAATCTCCATCGGCTTTTATGCTGTACTTGCCTCCAGCCGATATCGGGTTCTGGAATGTCGCACTAATGCACATCAGCTTAGCCAATTCATCCGGTCCCACATCCTATCAGAATTTTCATCTGCTCTATCATCTTACAAGACCTTCTCGGCGGTTCATTACCTGGGGAGAATACAGTGGAAGAAACCAGCACTCCATTATATTGGCGGTAATTGTCAGTTTTCCATCGATCAAGCCTCCCTTGATTCGACTCATCGCATCGGTGGTTTAGTGGTAAAATTAGCCGTTGCCATCTGCAAAGATCAATTCGGCTAGCCCCGGGTTCGATTCCCGGCCGATGCAAGACACTTTGTTTTTGCTTACAGAGTGTTCTGGTGGTGGCCGTGATGGTGGACTTGTGATGTGGAAGGCGGAGATGAGATTCTGACATTTTTGCATGGCTTTTGGCGTGACAGGAACAACAGATACGTACATGCGGACGAATAAGGAGGTCTTAGTCATACTAACACGCTTTCATTTTATTATTGCAGGTAATATTGTAGTTGGTGGTGTGCTGGATTTGTCTCCAGGGGCGCGGAAGTTTGCTTACGCCCCACGACCTTTTCTCCTGAAAGCTCGGTCAGAGCGATTTCGAACTCCGCAGTATTTCTGAATGCGGCGTATGTGATGATAGGCTAAGTTGCAATTGCCAATGTCTCTACCTGAAGTTGTGCCTTTACGATGATTTTTCAACTCGGGAAATATTCCTTCGGTACATTGAGACAACTTCCAACTCACAACGCGATATGAAGTCAGCCGGCCACAGGCATACTAGCTGAAAACATCTGAGTGAGCGAAGCGGCAAGGAACATATACATTCTGGAATGGATTTATCACGACCTGATATTATATACACGGTCTTGCTATTATGAAACTGTGTTCATCTCCAAGCTTTTGATGCCGTTTTGGTAACCTAGTGTCTATTGTCAATGTGCTCAAAGAACTTGAGCGTGACGGATCATAAGATTCACAGTTTACATAAAGACCTGGGTAATGATGAATCCCTGTAGTTATATGAGCGTCCTGGAAAGAACCCAGTCTTGATTGCGTACCGAAAACCACGGTTAAGGGTTTTGTATTTATCTGGTGTGAGGCGTAATCTGGCACTGCAAACTGGGAATCGGCGATATACCGCACGCGGATGCCATGTTACAGCTGATGGTAGCTAGCTTACCTTTGTATGAGTAAAATTGCGTAGCTCTTGGATGTAAAGAACGGAGTGAATGTACGCATATTGAAGGTCAAGATCCGCCATACCTCAGCTCTTGGATGTTCAGGCCTGTAGGTAGATTCAAGTATGACGTAGCGGATTTAGGAAATTGGAGGGGTGCAGCACCCATATACTTGCGATGGTCCATCCAAAAAAGATAATATTAAATCTCTGAACTAAAAAGACAGAAACGATTCAAAGTTGAGTCGCAATCGCAACATTTGGGGGAAGTGTCGGGAGTGCCAAGATGGACTAGCCGTATCAGGGCTAGCGTCAACGCTCGCTTGCGAGAGGTCGAAATTGGTCGAAATCCCACAACCGCACCTCGACGACGACGACTACCCAACGCAGCACCACTCAATAAACCCCGCCCTTCTACCTACATATCATTCAAAATGGAGAACGAACGCGGAGAGCTCGTTGACCGTGAGTGCACCTTGTCCTTGCGCATCCGGAGATGTTGCAATTTCGCACCCCACCAGAGTCGCGATACAATGTTTGGAGGCCTGGTTGCTAACATCTGACATAGTTTACGTCCCCCGCAAATGCGTGAGTGCTCGCCACAGGCCCGAATGATACTCGAACCGCGATACTAATACCTCCCAAGTCGGCCACCGGACGCATCATCAAGTCCAAGGACCATGCTTCCGTCCAGATCAGTGTTGGCAAGGTTGACGAGAACGGCCGCTACACCGGTGACAACCAGGTCTACGCCCTCAGCGGCTTCGTCCGCGCCATGGGCGAGAGCGACGACAGCTTGAACAGGCTGGCACAGAAGGACGGCTTCCTCAAGAGCGTCTGGAGCGGATCCCGATAAATGCTTGGGGATACGGAGTTGAGGTACGGCACACATCCGACATGTTCCCATGGCTGGGCGCATCGCTGACGAAATCAGGGTTTCGGTATTTGAGCTGCCTTTCGGAGGCACGGACATGCATTTCATGGCGACCTAGGCCTGTACTTCCCTTCTTACGAAGATCACCACGGTGTCACGAGGAACGGAAGCCGGTTGAGCTTACTCTACGAACAATTCTACGAAAGTCCAACAATTTGATTCCCGTGGTTTCACATGATATGGTGATGTACAGGCTATACGGACGGTGCTCGAGCCAGACTCAGGTCTAAGGCATTCGGGGGGATTGTGTTGCTACGGCATTCGATAGGATATGAGCATGGACGCCGATCTTGGTCTATTCAGCTGCTTGCAGTAGCTATACTGGAAGATTTTGGTTTTGCTGTTCCCGCCACCCCTACACTGTTGTCTTCTCGTCACAACCACCACGGCCATGCAAGTCTGATTCAGCACCAAGCACACGTTTCCGAGCATAACATATACGGACGGACACTTAAAGCCAGGGCTCACTTTCATGCACTCACAGTACATGGCTTCACCTCAACAACGTTCACTGACCACTAACCAGCGCAACAGCCACGGAGACAGCTATCGCAAACCCTACAGCGTGCCCCGAATTCCAATAGATCTCGCCCAATCTATCGACGTCCGCAGGCTGCATGGGGCGATTCTAGACCGGCGCTGATTGCTTACCAGCTCGAATCCCGATCACTCTGCAGATCCGTTCGATTTGCAACCGATACCTTGGAATCAACAGCGCATCCGCGAACGTGGAGCCGTTACAACCTTAGACAACCGCCTGCACACCACCACCAAAGCGCCTCAATAGACCCACCCACACCTCGCTAATGCATCGCACCCCGCGCCTATCAATACCCTGGAAACACATCATGTTGTGCAACATGCGACGAAAATGCCTACCAAGGTCAGTGTACAGCGCAGGGCAGACTGGTAATTGTCACGAACAAAGCACGATGATAAGCATGACTCGTGACGTGTCCGCAGGTTCCACGATGCTAACTTGACCACGTCTCTGGACCATCTAGATTCGGAGAACGGGAGTTGACCAACATCGCCGTTAGTCGCTGTGTCACCGAATACGAGCATCCAAAGGGTGGATGTACAACCTTTTACCGCCCTCACCGTTCATATCACTACTTTAGGCTGGAGCGACCACATCATCTTGCAGACGTCCTTGTGCTAGAAAGATCTCATCGGTAGCGGTAGCGGTGACTCATCCCCTACCACGCAGGAGTATGACATTGTGCTGTCAATAAGCCGGTGCTCAACAACACTCTGGGAAAACTGGGATCGCGGGGTATGCGTGGCAGGGCGTCGACGGTCCGCAAAGGCTATGTGCTTGTTGCACACCGATCAGGAGGGACGCGCAGGCGGATGGGGATACCGACGCCGCTGCCGCAATTCGCAGCCTGCAAAGTACATGTTTAGATGACTGCGGGCATGGTTGTACATACGTGTAAGCAAGTTGCTATTCCGGCGCGCGGTTGGTGAATCGTGCTGGAGATGGACGTCACGTTCTCGGCTGTACTACTGCAAGGCTGCAGGGCTGCAGGACTGCAGGACTGCAAAGTTAACGAAGTGTCGTGTGAACAACATCACATGGCCTTTTGCATGAGAACTTAGTTGTAGGAGTAGCACAAGATAGGAGAGTATGGTCGTGTATAAACTGTATTTCCCCAATCACGCATGCCGATCAAGTACCACCGTCCGTCCATCCACCTCGATGCATCAACAACTTGATTACCCCCACACACAATCAGCCATTTACCCCAGCACGGCGACCGGTGCGACCTACAACGTGGCCAGCAGTCTCCGCATCCGGGGAAGCGGCGAGGCTTGGCATGCAGGCATACAAAAGCGGTGTGATAGATGCACGATTGCGGGCAGCTCCGCAAGCTAACGCGGTCAAGGCCTCGCACGCGAGAAAGTGTGTCGACATCAATTCTGCGGGATTAACATGGACTATTTCGGTAACTTGGCAGAAGCTGACGGTTCGACGACTCGTACTCTCTTGCCGACGCTGTCTTCACGGAGTCTCTTGGTGTTGTTGTGCATGGAGCTGGGCGTCTGAGAAGAAGCCTGTGTAGAAGCGTCGTCGTCGAGAGCAGCGCGACGTACCTCTGATACAGCTTTACTTTCTTTGACTTTCCAGTCGTCGCCTTTGCGGACGGGTTTGGCGCGCTCCTTTGCTGCTTTCATGCGTAGCGTTTCTTCAATCTTCTCGTCACGGCGTTTGCCTCGCACGCAATCGCACAGACAGCCTTCAGTCGCACATGCACCGTCCGATAGCAGAGGGTCAGCAAACCATGTCGAGAGACAATTTGTGTGTCCGCCATGCCCGCATAGCGAGCACCATGTCCACAGCGTTGCTTTATGCGGCGACCAATTCTCCGGCTCGCTTGGAGAAGGGTGGTCAGCAGCATGGAGGATGTCCAGATCCACCGCCTGATTGGACATGAGCGAGGATCGTTTCCTTCGATGATCACGATCTTTGAAGCTAGAGCGAATCTTGTGTTTGGTCTTTTTCTGTGCGGTGATGGGTTCAAAAGCCGGATACTTGGCCCAGCAAATAGGACACGGTGCTTGAGCACGCTTGCATGACTCGCAACGCATCTTGTCCTTGGGATTGTTGATGGGCGATTTACAGCTGAGGCAGAGTAGCCCAATTTGAGTGTCTTTCAGCGCTTGTTCATATACGGCAGGATAGGCGGGATACGACAGGCGTCGAAGTGATGCTGCGGAATTGAACAGCGACAGACCGTGCAATTGTGCATGGTATGTGTGGAGGATCGACTCTGCTTGGTAAGGATTGATACCTGTTGCGATCAATTGGCTCAGTTGGGTTGATAAAACTGCCTTTGCTTGCGTGGGAGTCAGACCCAGTGAGATGAAAGTGTCAGAGAACGCCGCAAGAACGTCTCCAACATCGATGTCGGTGGTCGATGTCGGCCCGTGCGTCTGCGGTAGCAATGGCGCTAGCAGCAGTAGCAGTATTGATGAGAATTGCGCATCGGACTGTGCGACAGTATGGAATGCGAGAAGTTTGTTAAGGAGGCCAACGATGGTGTAAGCCGATCCTGCCTCGGCATCAACATGCATAGCCTGATAGTCTGACAGCAACAACGCATCCTCGCCTGATGGATCAAGTACTGGAGGTGCGCTCTGGGCTGCATGAGATAGCGGTAAGGGAAGCCTTGAAGTATGCAGCGATCTCACGTCCTCAGGTCCCTCCGGCACAATCGTACCGCTTGCATCCATTTCGGGATTGTACTCAAAGGAAGAAGTACTATCGCCTCGGCTGCTTGCATACGCCTCCGACTCGGAGCTATCGTGACGGAGCAGCTGATTGTTGCGCCGCAAATGTTCCATATTCTGCACAGCTCTTTCACCGCTACTGAATTCGACCAAGTGCTCCGGAACATCACCGACCGAGTGTTGGACGCCTTGGTACGGGGGTATTTTGCCGAGAGGCACAGTAGTGGGGGAGATCTCAACACTCTTACCCAGAACATCGGTGAAGCCGTTGCTGGATGAAGTCCTGGCATTACCAAAGCTGGCCTTTTCAGCGCCTATCCGCCACTTCTGTCCAGCGGACTCTATGCTACGAGGATGAGAGTTGCCGCTGGCGAATGAGCTTGGCATTGAATTGCCTTTTTGGGAATCTGTAGACGCGGAGAACATGGTGAAACTTTCCCCAGAATCGTGGCGCCCCAATGGCGGCGGAACATTTATGTCAATCCCTGGCTTGTTGCTTGGCCCAAGGCTTAGTGGTATGCGGGGTGATGCTCGATAGCTGCCGACAAGGGCACGGCGCTCGTCGAGACCATCGGCAGATTGGTACCATTGAGGACCATTGAAGGCCGTCTTTGGGACGGCAAGTCTATCGCTGGCTCCGCTGATCTCAGTGTGCGCACCTGTCAAAGAAGGTGGAAGTGCAATGATATCTTCTTGGTCCAGATCAGGTATTTCAGATGCTCCTGATTCACCCTTTGCCGAAGCGGAAACGGCCATTGGCCGAGCGAGAGGTGTCGCAAGATTAGATGTGCTCTCAATTGAGGGTGCTGACTGGCTGTTAGTCGTCTTTTCTAGTGTGCCGAGGATGGCACGCAGTGCAGGATTTGTCGGAATCGCCGCGTTCTTGTTACGGGCTTCGAGTCGCTCCGATGCGGTGCGTATGCCTGGCACAAGTGGGCTTGCCGTGAAAGCCTTTCGTTGCAAGCGTCTGCTCTGTCTGTGTAGCTCTGCACGGTTCCGCGTAACAGTAGCTATGGACTTTCCGACAATATTCCATGTCTGAGCAAGACGATACATGGACGCTCGCTGCGCATACTCGGCATTTTGTCCGAATACGTGTTCTAAGTCTTCAAATGCCTGCAAATCTGGAGGATCCGATAAAGGAATACTTTTGTACTTTTGGGCCAGGTACGCAAAGACCTGAACGTTGGCAGTACCGGGCAGAATACCACGAAAAGCAACCTGGTTAGGCTTGATCGCTTCACTCGTTGTAGTCATGGAATCGGTCAGGAACATGACTTTGGGAGCCGAATCAGATGGCGGCGTGCTGCCAAATGATCTGGCCGACCTGCTGCTGGCAGTGCGACCATGATGACGCTTCACCGACGAGGCGAGGAAGCTATCGTTCAAGCTATCATCTGCTGAGCTCCTCATGCTGCCTTTCTCTGGGCTGCCGCGCAGAACACGTGGATCGCCCAGATACGCATCGTCGGTATACGCTAGACTTGCAGAGCGCCGCGGTCGTGGTCGCTTCTGCGCCACGCCACTCAATTCGCCACTTGGCGATACTGCAAGTGCCTGCAGGCTACGTCGATCAACGGTCTTTGGTGCGTGGTGGACATCATTTTGCTGGAAGACACCTTCCTTGCCCACAGTCCACAAGGTGTCACGCGAGTGCCAGAGCATATCGGAGGGTGCGCTGGCGAATTTGTTGATCTCACGGAATGGTAAGTGGGGTCTGCGGAAATCCCACACGTGTATGGGGGAATGCTCGCGATCGTAGTACGTGGCCAACTGGGTGCTTTGATAGGCACCCCGGTCCTGGTGGTCGTCGGACCAGTATGGAGGTCTCCATCGGGCTTTATGAACAGGATAAGGCGTGGTCAGAACCCAAGTAGGCTTTTGGCGGCGCCCATCCTGGGAAAAGTCCCACACTTTGACGGTTCGATCTACACCAGAGCTGAGCATGTGCTTACCATCGGGATGCCAGTCGATAGACGTGCAGATGCGCTGGTCGTGGGCTGTGATTTTCTGCTTGGGACCCTTGTTGTACCGAAAGTCCCAACGCTGTATGTTACCGTTGTCAGTGCCAAAGGCAAATTCTACAGCATCAGTAGGAGACCACTGCACATCGCGGATGCCGCCATTCATGCCCGAGTAATGGTCTCGGCTGCGACAGGTGGAGACATCTCTGCGCATGTCTCGCAGGTCCCACAGACGGACAGTCGCATCTTGACTGGCAGAGAGGAGCAAGTAGCCCTGGTGCGGATTGAATGCAAGCTTGTGCACCTGGCGGTTGTGTTCGTGCAACCGGGTGAGCTCAACGCTCGCGCGGTTCAAGTCGTAGAGAATGACCTTGCCGTTTGCTGCAGCAGTCGCAATATGCGAGCTGAACTGGCCGTGCGACCACTTCACGTCATGGATGCCCAAGCCCTCGCGCTGTCTGGCATGGGAATCTGCATAGTTGAGCACAGCAGCACGCAGATTGGTCTCGTCGACAATCTTGGCATCCTGCACACGGACGGTCTTGAGAATCTCCTTGCCAGCGAGGACTGCATGCGTGCGCTCGCGGTTGATGTCGAGGGCAGAGATGTCGAGGCCGGTCTTATGGCTGGCATCCTGCGAATATCCGGTGCGGATGCTGGGGTAGATTGTTTAGTGAACGAAAATAGCACGGGACGGAAACGGAAGGCGCGCGGTGCAGGTACGATAAATGCCGCGGGCAGGACAGCGGACAGCGGACAGCGGATGGTGGAGGTGATGAGCAGAGGCGGGCACATGGCATGATGCTCGCTACTCACTGCTCGCTGCATGGCTACATACATTGGACAGACGTGTTGGTGCAGACGGGACGAGAAGGAACACCTACATACCCGGGAAGCTTCGGGACTAGCGGGTTCGGAGGCCCACCATCGGGACGATTGGTCTGCACGCTTGGAGGTCGCGAAGCATAGGCAGTCGTCAGCGGTTGCGCAACGAAACGCTCAAAGTACGAGCGCTGCTTCTGCTTGGGTGGCGGCGGCGGCGGCGGCGCGGGGGGGATTTTTGGCGAGGGAGCCGCGGACGCCCGCCGGTCAGTCATCTGAGAGGCTAGGACGGGGGCATCATGGGAGAGGCGAGTCGTGGTGGTGTTGCGGTGAGACGGGGGCAGAGTTTGGGACGGGGACTGGGACTGGGAACTGAGCGCGCAGGGCGAGGACGGCGGAAGCGGGCCCGATGCGGCGGCGCTTTAGAGACGTATTGTACTGCGCGACGAGCGGCGCTGTGTGGAGTGGAGAGTCGCTGAGGGTGCAGCGCCGTGCAGCATGGGGGACGCGCAGGTGGTGTGCCCTGAAGCCAATGCAGGCCGCTGCGTCTTGCAGGCGGCCACTGCCAGGGTCGCGCCTGCCTCGCTCCCCTGGCTCCTTCCGACTTGTCTAGATTGATGATCGCGCCGCCACCAGCTGGAGGGCCCACTTACTTGTACATGCGCTACAAGAGACTCGATACACTAACGACTAACCATGTCACCCGTCGACCGTCAGTGCAGGCCTGTGTCTGTGTGTCTCTTGTAGCACCCTCCTTCATTCCTCTCCCTCTCTCCAACACCCCGCATCCCGCCGAGCTCTGTCTGACCAAGACGCTCATCATGGCCGGACAGCTGCACATGGCCGGGCTGGACCTCTCCGCCGACGACGATGCTCGCTGGGCCTATGCCGCCGCACTGCGCAAAACCGTCACGGTGCTGCAGTACGCCTATCCCATCTTTATGCTCGTCTTCTTCCTGGCCGCCTTCACCACCCGCAGCATTGCCGCCTCTAATTCTAATGCTAATATCGCCAAACCCACCACCACCGGCCCTGGAGGCAAGCCGCTGCCCGCAACCGACCCGACTCGCAACTTTGTGAAGAGACCCGTCCACGACGACGTCACGCACACGCAGAAGCGCGTCTTCGAATGGGTCTCCTTTGCCACGGCCCTGACCTTCATCGGCAACTCAGTCCTGGTCATTGCCCACTCGCTGGTCATGAAGAAGGAGCACTGGTGGGCCGGCAAGTCGGTCGTGGTATGCACTGCACAGAAACATCTCAACCACCGCAAGACTAACACTGCACCAGATCTACCTTGTGGGCTCCTTCTTCGTCTACTGCCTGTTCCTCATCTCACTGGTCGACTCGAAGCCCTCGCCAACGGGGGCTCATCTGGCGACCTGGGCCGCCGCAACTGTCCTCGAAGTCATCCTCGTCGCCCTGTCCTTTGCAATCTACACGCATGCACACAAGGAGCCCACGGCCGGCCGCCCCAGCACGAGGCTGCGCTTCCACATGACCGATTGGGAGGCTGCCGAGGTTGCCATGGACCTGCTCCGTATCGTGCTGCTGCTCTCTCTCATTGGATTCTACATCGTCTTTGCGGTGATGCCACAGCGAAAGCGCTCTGAAGAGGCGGGAAGCTCCACGGAGACTACGTCCTTATTGGGCAATGGCGCGGATCGAAATGGCCACGCGGAGAACGGTCACGCGAACGGCTCCTATGGCTCGACTCAGCCCGTCGGTGGCAAACACCAGCACACCGAGGGCGCACCTCCAGCCTGGAGCAGACCCACGGGCGCACCTGCACGCAGCTGGTGGGAGTACATCAAAGGCTACCATGTCTTTTTTCCCTACCTGTGGCCGTCCAAGGACCGTAAGCTGCAGATTGTCGTTGTACTCTGCTTTCTGCTTGTCCTAGCGCAGCGCGTAGTCAATTTGCTCGTCCCAGACCAGATGGGACACATTGTGGACCGTCTCGCGCACAAGGAAGAAGGCAGCCCATGGACCGCCATCATCATCTACATTTCGTTCCGCTTTTTGCAGGGCAGCAACGGTGTACTTGGCGCAATGCGGTCTGCACTGTGGATTCCCGTGTCTCAGTACTCGTATCGCGAATTATCCGTTGCGGCATTTGAGCACGTGCACAGCCTCAGCCTCGATTTCCACCTTGGCAAAAAAACGGGCGAGGTCTTGTCTGCACTCGGAAAAGGCAGCTCCATCAACACCTTCCTGGAGCAGGTGACCTTCCAAGTCGTGCCCATGCTGATCGACCTGGCTGTCGCCATTGGCTACTTCCTGTACAAGTTTGACGCTTACTATGCGCTTGTGATCGCCATTGTCACGTTTTGGTACATTTATCTGACTATTCGTATGGCGCAGTGGCGTGCTGAGATTCGTCGCGAAATGGTCAATGCCGACAGGGAAGAAGATGCGGTCAAGTAAGCAACTCAATCCTCACACATGCATGATTGGACTAACACGTGCAGAAACGACTCCATGGTCTCCTACGAAACAGTGAAGTATTTCAACGCCGAAGCTTACGAATTTAACCGCTACCGTGAAGCTGTGCAGAAGTACCAAAACGCCGAGTACAAGGTCATGTTCTCGCTCAACATCATGAACATTACTCAAAACATGGTTTTCATGACCGGTTTACTTGTGACCTGCTTCATAGCAGCGTGGCAAGTTGCAAATGGCGAACAGGAAGTCGGCAAATTTGTTGTCCTCATTACCTACATGGGCCAACTTCAGAGTCCGCTCAATTTCTTCGGGACTTTCTACAGGATGATTCAGTCGGCTATGATCAACTCTGAGCGTATGCTCGAGCTCTTCAAAGAGCAACCTACCGTGGTTGACAAGGAGGATGCGGCGGAGCTACCATCGTGCGAGGGCCAACTCCGATTCCAGGACGTCCACTTTTCCTACGACCAGCGTAAGCCCGCATTGACGGGTCTCGACTTCTACTGCACGCCAGGCACCACAACTGCCTTCGTCGGCGAGTCCGGTGGTGGCAAGTCGACTATTTTCCGCCTCCTCTACAGGTTCTACAACACCCTTTCCGGCAGTATCCAGGTTGATGGCCACGATGTCGAAGACCTCACGATTGACTCTGTTCGCCGCCACATTGGTGTAGTTCCTCAGGACACGGTCCTTTTCAACGAGACTTTGATGTATAACCTCAAATATGCCAATCCGGAGGCGACCGACGAACAGGTCTACGAAGCATGTAGAGCCGCCAGCATTCATGACAAGATCATGACGTTCCCAGACAAGTACGAGACTAAGGTCGGTGAGCGTGGCCTGCGCCTCTCCGGAGGTGAGAAGCAGCGTGTGGCTATTGCTCGCACCATCCTGAAGAATCCTCGCATCATTATGCTTGACGAAGCTACAGCGGCCCTCGACACCGAAACAGAACAGCACATCCAGGAAGCGTTTACCTCATTAGCGCAAGGACGCACCATGCTTATCATTGCTCATCGGCTCAGTACCATTACTCACGCTGATCAGATTCTCGTCTTGCACAAAGGACGAGTTCAAGAACGCGGCACTCACGAAGAGCTCCTGGAGAGGAATGGCCACTATGCAGCAATGTGGAAGAAGCAGATTCGTGCTCAGCGAGCAGCCGAACAGGCCAAGGTGCTGAAGGACAAAGCAGACCGCCTGCGCCGCGAGTCCAAGGATGGTAACATTCGCCTCGATGACGGAAGCAGCAGCCACTCCAACTCGTCATCCGACGACGAAAGGAACAAGAAGACCAAATCCGCACAGACCTCGAGCTCTTACCGCGAAGAAGGCTCTGGCAAACCTCATGGACACCCATAGATGGTCTTCGCTTTTGCCATCGACTTAGGGCCGCTCCGAGCGCAATGATATGTACTTAGTGTTGCATGGCGTATCGAGCACCACGCATAAATCAGTACTCAGTACAGTGTGTCTGATATGATACCTGTGAACTGATGTCTCGAAGTTAGCACGACGGACGTTGGCACACATTTTATAGGCACTCTGCCTGCCCATGACGTAACGAACCGTATATCTCACAATGTATCCCCCAGATCATGTGCGCACGCGCACGCAACAGCCCAATACGGCTGTCTCATCCAAAAATCGGCTGCCAGTTACATTTTTCAAAACTGGCGCCATGAACTTTATGGCGTAAGTGGTGGTATCTGAATCTTGTTGTATATGGCACCATTTCTGCACGTTTATGATTCCACGGCGTCACCAACACACGGCTGTATACACACCGTCGGCGAGTTTTAGTTGTTGCGCCGAATGAGTGCCATGGGCGGAGTTTTGGTCTTTCATGTCGCTACGCGAGAAGCATTAAAAAAACGAAATATGGTAATGGACACAAAGATCAAGGAGGATTCAGATAGGTCGTTTTTCTATACGCGATTGTTGTGTCGCGGTGCATGAACTTGTACGTAGCGTGGGCGGATGTTGTTTTATTCTGCTAGAAAGAAAGAAAGGAAAACCATCTGGGTTGCTTCGTAGCGAATAGAATGGATACTTCACTGACCATGACCGCATTTCGCGTGACTTTCCAGCGAAAAGAACTACGTGCCTCTGTCTCACATACTAGATGCAATACTATCACGACAAAGATGAACTCGAAAAACCACAGGGATTCAGTAAATCATCGAACCTACCATTTCTGTGTACCATGAAATTCGCCTTTGCCACCCAATATTCCTCGCGGCCCACCCCGCCACTCAGATCCCCCGCGCCAGCCTCGCGCTCGCCACGAGCCTCGGAATGCACGAATGCGGCACCACATCGTTCTCGATCCCAACGCAGCGGAATCCGCTTGTCGCGCCCCAGCCGAGCGGTAGCGCTACTCGTATTCCAATGTCATTCACAAAGGATCGTAACAGGAACAGTAGACTGCAAACATCAATGGGCAGACAGTTGGCCAGACCCATTCGCGCCGATTACGCGTTGGGGCTCGCGGGGGCCGGCAAGTGCCGTGGTGACGCTTGTAGTGGGCGGAGATATCTTCGATGATAGATGGACGTACGGACGGCTTGTGCACTTTTGCGCATTGAATCGAAGTGGATTGAAGTGGAGCAAGGATTGGCCAGAAGATTGAGATTGAAGGCGACATATCCAGGAAGAGATAGATTGAAGTGGTGACGTGGGAGTCTCGGTGTTGTGCGGACGCGGAAGAGCCGGGCGTGACCTGGTAGAGTGTACACGACGGTCGTTTCGGACGAGAGACACGGCGCTGACGGGCGGGAAGGAGGGATCAGAGGTTTCAGATATTATTGAAGAAGTGCGATTGTCCCGGGGATCTGATATTTTTTTCTAAATCGGAGCGCAAGGCGTCGGATCCCGGTACATATTCGACTGAGAACGGGAAGAGCCCGTCATCGGGCCCGGAGTGGTTTGTGATGTTTGCTGGAGGATTGTTTCGGAGAAAGAAGAAGATGGAAGCTGTTTCTTCGCCTGGGACTGATGCGGAGATGGATATGGGAGGGGCGGACATTGATGTTGTGAGTGTGAATTCTTTTTCTCTCATTCTCCTCTGATATCAACTTTGCTTCTCCTTCACCGTCTCCTCCATCTCTCAATCCGTCATACATGCATACAGACGTCCAAACCTCTCTCATTCTCCCTCCTATCCTGACCCACCCCAGGACGCAACCTACACCTCCTACCAAGAATCCGCCGACGCCCAAACCGACCGCGCATCCTACGCCTCCTCCAGCATCTGCTCCCTCGCCTCCTCCGCCACACGCTACCGCTATGAAAATGGACGCCGCTACCACGCCTGGCGCGACGGCACCTACTACGCGCCCAACGACGAAGGCGCGCAATCCTACGAGCTGATCGTGCACCACCTCTGGCTCCTCACGTTGCACGACAAGCTCTTCCTCGCGCCCATCACTTCGCCCAAACGCATCCTCGACGTGGGCACCGGCACGGGGCTGTGGGCCGTAGACATCGCCGACCACTTCCCCGCCGCCGAGATTACCGCGACCGACCTCAGCCCGATCCTGTACACCGCCGCGCCGCCGAACCTCGTGTTTGAAATCGACGATGCCTGCAGCGAGTGGACGTATCCGCCCGACCACTTCGACTTCATCCACATCCGCGGGCTAACTGGGTGCGTCAAGGACTGGCCGCACATGTACGCGCAGGTCTACGCCCACCTCGCGCCCGGCGCGTGGTTCGAGCAGCTGGAATTTGAAATCCGCACGAATGCCGACCCGGCGAGTGGGCGCCATGCCGACCAGATTGTCGCGGCGTTTAGCGATAGTGTGATTGATGTGGGCGAGAGGCTGACCGGCATGACGTTCAAGATTGTCGAGCAGATGGCGGCGCTGTTGCCGCAGGCCGGATTTGTGGATGTCCATGAAGAGAGGTTTATTTGGCCGATTGGGGCGTGGCCGAAGGATCCGCATTTGAAGGATTTGGGGAGGTGGGGAGAGAGGAATTGGAGTGAGGGGATTGAGGGGTGGGTCATGGCGCTGTATACGCGATTACTTGGGTGGACGTACGCAGAAGTGCAAGCTTTTGTGAAGGATTTTAGGAGCGTGATCAAGAACCGTGGGAATCATTTCTATCACGAGGTCAGGTGTGTTTATGCGCGGAAACCATTCCCGGGCGAGGTTGTGGAGAAGAGTGGGGATGATGGAGCGAGCGCTGAAGCATAAAGATTGACATAAGAGTGCTTTATGTCGGAATGGCAATTGGGTCTCGGCATTGGGAGGAAATTTTGTTTAGCTGATAGGAACGATACCCTGACAATATGCATAATTTGTTTGTATGATGTTTCATTATATCATGCTATTGATGGCATTTCTCTACGGCATGCTTCGTATTTGCCGAATTGGACTTCTTCTGCAGAGCGTCTGCTGTAGCGCTCTCCACGGCACCCCGTCGTGCCTGCACCATCATGATGGGAGGATATCGTTCGTGCCAAGTGATCTGCTCCAAGCTTCTTGGTCCGTATCTCCTGGTACGCAAGTAGGCCTCGGTGAGACATGCTTTGTAGCCTACTCTTTCATGTGCAAGACGATGGTCAAGCTGCTCTGGGGTGAAATCTACTCATCCATCTCGACATCGTCGTTGCTGGCTTCGGCATTTCCGTTTTGCCGCGAGGCTGGCTTTGGCACCGAGGCCTCCTTGTCGATCATTTGTCGCGAGACGGACACGATGTTGTCCTCGATGAGCTGTTGGCCGACGTCTTCGATGTCTATGAGGGTGAATTAGCATGACTATGATATCTCGGGTAGGAGGGAGTACGCACGCTTCTTGGGGTCGACCTTTCCAACGTATCGCGTCTTGAGCTGGTCCTTGGTGAGCTCCGTCTCCTCCTTGACGCGCTTCTCGTAACCCTCGGCCAACGAGACCAGCTTCTGCAGCCTGTCGTTGTTCCGCTCGCCCTCGCCCTTGAAGTCCTCCATCAGCAGTGCCTCGGTCCAGACGTGCTTGTGCAGGTTCATCAGCATGTTCTCCTCCAGCGCAGTCTTCTTGTAATCGATGCCTATTGAGTAGTAGTGGCGGTTCAGGCCGTGGATGAGGGCTTGGATCGAGGGCTTGTTGAGGTGGCCGACGTTGGATGTGGTCTGGCGGGGCTCGTGGCCCATCATGAGGGTTTGCGGATTTATTAGGCGGAAGGCATCGATGACGACTTTGCCCTTGACGGACTGGATGGGATCGACTACGACGGCGACGGCGCGGGGCGTGAGCTGCTCAAAGGACTGTTGCGTGTTGATGTCGACGGACGACAGCCAGCAGCCGAAGCCAGGATGTGAGTGGTACCAGCCGACGACCGTCTCTTGCCTGTGTCTGTCAGCTGCCGCTCTCACTCTCAAGAGTACTCGTGGTGAGAAGCAACGCACCTTCCTGTCTGCCTCAGCATGTCCATCATCTTGGTCTGGAAGACGGGGTCGACAGCCTCGACGGAAACACCGGTACCGGACTGCGGCATGGCGAATACATCCACGACGCGTACTGTGTAGTCATCCACAAACTCGCCCAGCATGAGGCCCATGACCTCCATGGGCACACCCGCCCGCCCGTGCCGCAGCATCTTGAGCAGCGCCAGAGACGAGATGTAGACGGTTTCCGAGTTGTCGATCAGGTTGGTGTCTTGTGCGGGACCTCCGCCCATGCCTCCCATGCCCTGCGCGGCGGCCAACATTCTGCTTAGCCGGTCCATGATGGTGTGGGGGGTATGGGTGAGTCTATGAAGAAGTAGGTTCCGAGGGAGACGGGGTATCCAGAGAGGGAGCGTGGTGTTGATGTGGGTTGTACGGCGAGGCGGCGGCGATGGGTGAAGCTCCGAGCTGTCGCGATATGTAATCGGCCCCACGTTTCTCCGAAAAGCGCGCTAAGGCGAGCAAGGATGCTGGCCGCCCGCGGTCGAAGCTCAAGCTCGGAGCGCCTTTGTTCCCACCATCTCTCCCGCATTGGGTGTCTTTGACGCTTTATATTGCCGACCACGCCTCGAGTCCCTGCATTGTAGTTCCCGCCGCTCCAGAAACACCAGCTAACACTCACATTCACTATCTAAAAATCCAAGCTACCAAACTGCCAAACTCCAGCAACCACAGTCGCTTCAAAGCAGTGCCAAAATGGCAGACGACATGTCGGCGGCCCCGGCCTCTGCCAGCCTGAGCAATAGTGTGGGCGCACAACCCAAGAAAGTCGCATACTTCTACGACTCGGATGTGGGCAACTATGCCTACGTTGCAGGCCATCCCATGAAGCCTCATCGCATACGCATGGCGCATAGTCTTATTATGAACTATGGCCTTTACAGCAAGATGGAGATCTACGTACGCCCATACCTATAGCACGCGCATATGTTTAATTCCTAACAAGAACAGCGCGCAAAACCCGCCTCCAAGTACGAAATGACGCAGTTCCACACAGACGAGTACATAGAGTTTCTGCACAAGGTCACTCCAGACAACATGGACAACTTCACCAAGGAGCAGAGCAAATACAACGTCGGAGACGATTGTCCCGTCTTTGACGGCCTCTTCGAGTTCTGCGGCATCAGCGCCGGAGGTACCATGGAGGGCGCGGCGCGTCTGAACCGCGGCAAATGCGACGTCGCAGTCAACTGGGCGGGCGGACTGCATCACGCAAAAAAGAGCGAAGCTAGTGGTTTCTGCTATGTCAACGGTCAGTATGCGCCAGCTTTTTGCGCCGACTTTAGCTGATTTCTCAGACATTGTCCTTGGCATCATCGAGCTTCTGCGGTACAAGCAGCGCGTCCTGTACATCGATATCGACGTGCACCATGGAGATGGTGTGGAGGAGGCTTTCTACACGACCGATCGTGTCATGACTGTATCCTTCCACAAGTACGGCGAGTACTTCCCCGGTACCGGTGAACTGCGCGACATTGGTGTTGGCACTGGCAAGAACTATTCTGTCAACTTCCCTCTGCGCGACGGCATAACAGACGAGACCTACCGCAACATCTTCGAGCCAGTCATCGAGGCGGTCATGACCCACTACGGCCCAGAAGCCATTGTGCTCCAGTGCGGAGGCGACAGTCTCTCGGGCGACCGACTTGGATGCTTCAACTTGAGCATGGACGGCCATGCCAACTGCGTTCGCTACGTCAAGAGCTTCGGCGTGCCTGTCATCATCTTGGGTGGTGGTGGTTACACCATGCGCAACGTTGCCCGCACCTGGGCATACGAGACGGGTGAGCTTGTAGGGGAGAAGATGTCCAAGCAGCTTCCCTTCAATGACTACTACGAGGCAAGTTCTTGATATTCCCACCCTTTCGATATGGCACTAACATCATGCAGTACTTTGCGCCTGACTACGAGCTGGATGTTCGGCCATCAAACATGGAGAACGCCAACTCGCACGACTATCTCCACAAGATCAAGTCTACTGTGATTGAGAACATTCGAAGAACAGGCAGGCCCTCGGTAGAAGCCTTCACCAACATTCCTAATGCATTGCCTCGGATGGCAGACTCAGATGGTGAAGACGAGGACGACGACCTCGACGCTGACATGAACCCGGATGTGAGAATGACTCAGCGTCAGCGAGACGAACACATCGAGCGCGATGGCGAGCTGTACGACGAAAGCGACGACGAAGAGTACAAGAACAGTCTCGGTGTACGCGCTCAGCCAGGCGTTAAGAAGCGGAGAAACATCAGCGACTTCCCCAATCCAAATGCTGCACCCGCTCAGGACATCGACGCGCTCAATGGCATGGAGGAGATCAATGGGGATAGCGCTGTATCGACAAGACAGCCTTCGGCCGCTCCAGCGTCTCGTACACAGACACCTGCCGTGGCAGAGCAAGGGGCTGACGATGATGGTGATGTTGATATGGACGAGGCAGAGGTACCCGCCGCTACTGCAACCTCAACTCGCTCTCAATCACCTGCCGGTGTGGTCACACCCCCTGACTCACCACCAGCCGCGACCGCTGCACCAGCATTAGCTCCAACATCAGCACCCACGGCAGACGTCTCAATGGAGGGCGTTGACGAGGACACCAAGGAAGCCATCGCCGACGCGAAAGAGGAGGGTGAAGCGGAGCGCGACACTAAGAACGTCAACGGTGAAGTGCGCACAGAAGTTGCTAAGGATTAGTTCTTCTAGCGTAACGTGACGGCGGCTGTAATGACGAATGGTGGCACGCATTGACGGCGTTTCCTGGGCTCCTCTTCTGATCTAAATGGTAGCGGTTGGTGTTATGGTGCAAAGGCTGGATGTCCACGATACCTTTGTTGTTTTCTCATCATTTTGTGTGAAGAATGTCTTCAAATTGACGTTCACGAGATGTTCGTAGTGCTTTTTCCGAATTGATATTTGCATACTCCATACAGTCGTGTTCTCGTCGTTCATAGATGCGGAATCATGGTAACTATATCACAAGCGGCAAGTTATCCAAATCGATGTCAAGGCCAGAACTCAGTTGCGGCACCTGAGTATAGTTGGACTGGTCCAGCACTTGCCTCGTCATCTGGAGCGTCTGGTTGCAGTCAGCGATTTTTCACTTCCCCGAATGCCTTTGTGTACTCACCTGCGCATACGACGGATTCGGATTACTCTTCATCGTCTCCAAGAAAGCCCACGTCATCGCGCCCGTGGCCTCACCCTCAATATTCGCATCCGCACTCGTCTGATCATCCTTGCACCCCGAAAACATCGTCACCATCTTCTGCTCGCTGCCATACTGCCCCGCAAACTCCCCCGCATCCAGCCCCTCCTCCTCCTGCTCGCCCATATGCCTCAATCCCTTGAAGAAACTACTCGCACCCGCGAGTAACTGCTGCGCCTCCCCAACCTTACTATAACTAAACCCCCCATCAATCAGCCTCTGCGCCTCCCCAACCAACCTCGCCCCAACCCGCAGATTGTCCAGCAAACTAATCTGCCCATCGCTATCCGAGCGGTACACATAGGGCAGTTCCACCGCAGAGCCCGAGTGACAGCAATCCATGATGATAAACAAAGTACACCCCGGCGCCATCCTCGTGACCAAATGCTCGTGCAGCAACGTACTACTAATCTGGCCGCGCGTCTCGAAATCAACAGGCACAATCGTGTCGTCGATGCCCGTGGAGCGGTTCCCATCCACATCGGCAATCTGCCCGCCGTGGCCCGAGTAGTGCAGGAATAGCGTGCAGCCGGGCTCAGACACGAGCCAGTCCATGGCCGCCAGCAGGTTGTGGCCGGAGGGGTAGAAGGGGCTGTCATGAGGTACCTCGGGGCGGTCAGTGAGGATCACCTGGTTCTTGTGCGAGTTGTCGTAGCCACGGTAGGAGAGGAAGTCGGTCATGTTGTCCACGTCGGAGTGGCAGCCGCGCAGGGCGTGGCTGGAGTTTGTGTAGTTTATCCCGATGAGGAGGGATTTCTTGCGTTGGTGAGACATTTTCGGAGGAGGACTTGGGAAATGGGTGACGGGAGAAAAAAGGTTGATGATGTGAGGTAGTTGGGGAAACTTGGCAGGGGTTTGCGAGGTTGATGGTTGCGGCTGAAATGGAGGGGCTGTGAATGTATATGCAGATCTAAGCCATGTTGGAGTTAGTGGGGCTTCCGGCCCGCAACGTGCATGCGCGTCAGAGGCAAACATCAGAGATGAGCTATCGTGTTAGCTCGGGAACTTGTACGAGATGATATGATGAGTGAAGAGGACGTTCGTGGTCTGCGTAGGAACATGGGCGCGCTTACATTACCTCATGACGTCATTGCTTCCGTTCAGCTCGTTCTTTCGCTCCAAGTATGTTCTCGCGAGTGCATTTAGATGTAGATACACCAAGATGAGCCGGGACATTAGCCCACCTCCGGCAAAACGGCACAAGATATTGGCTCAGACGACTGGATCGACTGCGAAGCAAAGTCCAACGACGCCACAGCCTCTGCCACCACTGCACACGAATAGCATCCGAATCTTCTCATGGAACGTCAATGGAATCGCTCCTTTCTTGCAAAAGTCCATAAAGTCGTTCTTCGCTGCGTCGGACCCCCAAGATAAAGAAGACAACATCCCTCCTCCATCACTTCGAGGCATTTTGCAGAGACACAAATGGCCCTCTATCCTTTTTCTGCAAGAAGTCAAAATCGCAACCAAAGACACAAAGACCCAAGACGCGGTCAAGGCCGCCGTGAACACCAAATTCCCATCAGAAACCGACGACGAAGGCCCAACATACGAAGCGCATTTCACACTTCCGAATGATCCACACAACGCGCGCGGCCTACGAGGCAGTGGAAAACTCTACGGCGTATGCAGCATCCTCCGCACCGACCTCCAAAACCCCTACCAGATCAACATCCGAACAGTAGACTGGGACAAAGAAGGCCGCATCTCCATCGTCCAACTCACCGGCAAATCCGCAAAGCTCGCCATCTTCAACATCTATGCCGTCAACGGCACCTCCAACCCTTACCGCGACCCAACAACAGGCGTAGTAACCGGCACACGCCACGACCGCAAACTCCAATTCCACCGCCTGTTGATGCAAGAATGTCTGGATCTCGAAGCAGCAGGTTGGCGTGTGCTGCTCGCAGGCGACATGAACGTTGCGCCCGACGCGCGCGATGGACATCCCAAGCTCCGAACATTCCCCAAGCAGCATGCGCTCAACCGGGCGGATTTTCACGAGAGGTTTCTGGAGGGGACGGGGCTGGGTGGCGTGGATGTGTGGCGCGAGATGCATGGGAATGAGCGGCGGTATACGTATTATCCGAGGGGGAGGGAGTGGGGGTCGAGTTGTGATAGAGTGGATTATGTGGTTGCTGGGAGGGGGGCGTGGGATGCGGGGATGGTGAAGGCGAGTGGGATCTTGGATACTGAGGGGGAGAGGGGAATGAGTGATCATTGTCCGGTTTGGGTAGATGTTGGGCTTGAGAGAAGGGATGGGGAAGATGCGGGAAAAGTACAGCAATTGTGAAGAAAGAGCGTGGGAATTCCTTAATTGGGTAATAGGAGAGTGGAATTAAATTCCCGCTCATGTTGCGTATATTGGTCTCGTACTTTTCCATCGCATCCTTTGTATACTATGAATTCACTGAAAATGAATAATTTCTCAATGTTTCCAAGGGATTGAAGCACATTCGTTGACGGGCTGCAGCTTAGAATCGCACGCATTCTTGATGCACAACGTCTCGAAAGCATCGATTTTGAATTATTAGCAATGTCTCGCACCGTCTGATGAAGAGAGTCTAAATACAGTCACGTGGTGGAGCCTATCACCTCTGCTGAGAGTATTTACACATGCGAAACATGCCGAGGTTAGCCGTATTGTAAACCATCATCATGCTGTTCTGTATAGAAATTATTCAAGAGCAAACTAGTTTGTGGATACAGCGCTCGAAATAACGACTACGTCATACTGACCATGCAGCCCATACCTAAGTATTTATTTCTTTTAACATCAAACACCATACCGCACACCACAAAATCCTAGACCTCCAGACATATTCATAAAAAGTTTCCAAGTATACATCGCCATCATGACGCCCGAACAACTGCAAACATACAACAAGGCCTCGAAAAAGATCCTCATCATCGTCTCCGACGCCTCAAGCTTCCCCCTCTACAACACTGGCAACGATGGCAAGACCGTCTCCCAGGACTCCGGCTACTTCCTCATGGAACTCGCCAAGCCCCTCCAAAAATTCCTCGACGCCGGCTACGAAGTAACATTCGCCTCACCTGAAGGCAAGGAGCCCACACCAGACCCAAACAGCCTATCACTCATGGCATTTGCCGGCAACTTCTACGAGCGCCAGCGCGAACTTGACCTCATCGAGCGCATGAAGAAAGAGAATGGATTCAGCCGACCGCGCAAGTTCAGCGAGATCAGCGATGACCAGCTAAAGAACTTTGGCGGCGTGTTCATCCCAGGCGGGCATGCACCGCTGAGTGATCTGGGCGACAATGCGGATCTAGGACGCATACTCAGCCACTTCCATCAGAATGCTAAACCGACTGCTGCGCTGTGCCATGGGCCGTGGGCGTTCTTGTCGACGAAGTATGGCCCGCAGAAGGAGTTTGCGTACAAAGGATACAAGATGACGAGCTGGAGTGATGCTGAGGAGAAGATGATGGAGGTGTACTTCAGGGGCGAGATTACGAAGGTCGAGGGTACGCTGAGAGAAGAGGGTGCGGATATGCAGGAGGGTTTGGCGAAGAGCATGGGTAGTATTACGGTGGATCGGGAGCTGATCACTGGTGATAATCCGATGGCGGCGAATGCCATCGGAGACAAGTTCTTGGAAATGCTCGCAGGGGTGAAATGAGCTGGATATTGTAGCTCCAAGCATATCATTGGCAACCGAACTTGCTAGGGCGCAATGAGAAATTAGAGATACCACCTTCCCCGACATCAGGTGGCACAATAATTCATGCGTGCTCTAATCAAAATTAATCCACTATTAGAAAACAGCATTCATGTCGTGTTCGGGCCTGAACAGACTCAGCAGCTTACTTGTATGTGAGGACGTGCTAAAACAGCCTCGAAGCTAGAGAGCTTGATCAATCTGCGCTTAGATGGTGTTCAGAATTCTTAAGACACAGCGCGTGCAAATTATTGCAGCACCTGGTTACAGTACTCGATGCTTGAAGTCTACTGTTGTATTCCTGTAGTTCTCCGTGGTCTACTCGTAATTCTCCGATATTGTCTAGTCGTCACTCTTTGTCGGATCCCACGCGCAAGGCTCATACACTCCAGTATCTAAGCTCTTCATATCCTCGCTGGATAACTCGAAATCATACACATTCGCATTTTCCTCGATGCGCGCCGGTGTCACAGACTTCGGGAGAGGAATGAAGCCCTAGCATAAATGTCAGTGTGGCCATGGTAACACCACCATACGAGTACTCACCATCTGCAAACTCCACCTGATCAAAATCTGTGAAGGCGTCTTATTGTATTTCTTCGCCAAGGGCTGTAGTAGTGGATCATCATTCTTCTGCGCCCTCACGATCGGACAATACGCCTCGAGAAGGACGCCTCTCTTCTTGCACCAATCCACGATATCTGTGCGCGCAAGCCACGGATGTAGTTCAACTTGGTTGACGCTGAGTACGCCGCCCTTGCCTTTGCCTTCTTTCTCATCGGTCGCTTTGATGTATGCTTCCAGCTCATCGAGGTGATGCACGCCGTAATTTGAAACACCGATTGATCGGATCTTCCCAGCCTGCACGCCTTCCACAAGCGCTTTCCACGCCCCAATGCGGTTTTCTTTACCGCCGTAGGGGCTGTGGAGGAGGTACAAGTCGACGTAGTCAAAGCCCGTGATCTTGAGCGTGTTTTCAATGTGTTCTTTGGCAGTCTCATAGCGCATATCCTTGGGTGGGATCTTTGTGGTGAAGAAGAGCTCTTCTCTTGGGATGCCGGACTTCTTCATTCCATCTGCAGAGGGCTGTTCGTTCCGATATGCTACCGCGGAGTCCACATGACGATAGCCGGTTTTGAGGGCGTGATGCACAACTTCAGATGCCACGTCTGCTGGGGTTTGATAAACGCCATAGCCTAGGACTGGGATGTCGTAACCCGAGTTCATACGGTATGTGGAGTTGATGGCAAGGTTTGCCATGGTGGGCGATGACGTATGAAATCCTCGGGCGGACGTGAGATGCGCGCGAAGTGTAGAAAGACGATTCAACGCTGATTGCATGCTATGTCAAGTCTGGAGAAGAACTGGAAAGTTCAGTTTATACTTCTAGCATCAACTTCGGATGTGGACTTATGAGCGTAGAAGTCCGAGGGTTGATCCGATGGACATAGCAGCGATAGGTGGGGGCTAGCGTAAACCATAACGCCACAACGCCACAAGGACTCTTCAAAGGGCGATTTCACCATTAATTCCTCAACTTGCTTTCTGCCTTCTTGATTTCATCGTTGAAGACCTCTAGGATGAGAATGAGGCATGCACGTCCCCAGTCGGTGACGTACTGAGCTGGATGAACAGCAAGCGTCTCACAGCAGGGATACCTTCTCATGTCAGCGCTGGACGTTGTGCCCCACTATGTTACGGCCTGATAAATCACCATTCTACATCCGACTTTGCACCGAAAACAGGGGAAGCAGTAGTATCTCTGTAGACACAACAATTCAGGTTGCGCCGTGCTGACTGTGAGGAAGAGGAGTAGCTCCCGACATACGCAACACTGAATGAACTCTCAGCGTATCTATGGTGTCACAACATCTCGGATGTCTCTACCGAGCTGACAGGTTTACGTCAAAATTCTATTCTCTTGCTTATCATGCTACTACACGATGGGTCATGCGCGCCTCCTCCGTCTGATCGCTTTGAACAATGTACACATCGCCTCATATCATTCCGCATCAGCTTACAGCTAGCCAATTTAGGACACCTGCCCCCCGGAAGCAGTACAGCCGAGCTTACGCCATCTCGTAACCATCGCGAGATGAGCTTCAGTTAAGGAATGTATCGTAGCATTGTCGAGATCCCTTCGCGCAAAGCTGTGAGTTATTTACAACCGTCCGTCTGTATTCTCCGCGTCAAGCATCATGATGGCCTTCTATAGGGCCTTGAAGAACGCTCAAAGCAAGCTTGACTCTGCTATGCCGGGTGCATGGGAAATTGCGCCATGAAATAAACTTTAGTGGGAAGTAACACGCCGAAACCATCTCGAGGTCGTTTCAGCCGTACCGCATTTTTTCACCTCAGGTGAGACGAAACTCGCTTGGCATCTATGCAATTTCCAGCCCTACAGCACTAACAAAACTAAAGGAATAACAATTATTTACAGGAAAGGAGAGATAAAACAGATATTTAGACGTATTAACTACTTACTCAATTCTATGGAGGCGTTGTGCTGCTGCTACGGTTGTGGCTACGCCAGATGTCCCATCAGAGTTGGTAAGGTGCGGTACGTACGCCATCTTACCACCGGTTGAGACAAGATGAGGCCGAGCTCAACTCTAGAAGCAATCAAACGTTGGTGCGAACAAGGAACAGGTCCAGATAGCATTATGGCCGAGTTCTTTTCGAGAGTAATCATTCATCTTACTCCAACTGACCTGGAAATTGAAGATATAAAGGGAATGGAGAACTGCGCATGGGACCGTTTTCTATCTCAGCAACAGTTCCATCATCCATCACTTCAATCTTCACTTTAAAACTAATTTCATTCTATTATCTCTTTCCAACTTTCACTTCGCATCCAACATATTCATCCAACTTAGAAAGGTTCAAGATGCAGCTCACCACCATCCTCGCCTCAAGCATCCTCGCCTTTGCCAGCAGCATCTCAGCTGCGCCAACTACCACGAATACCACTTCCACCGTCACCCTCCGTGTCTACGACGATATCTCCGGCGTCAACTCCGACGCAACCGTTCCTGACGACAACGTTCCTCGCGCGATAACAGACCTTTTCGAAGGAACTGCCATCGGAAACGCTGGCTTTAACGCAACCTCTGCCCAGCTCGTCAAGTTCGCGGATCTCACCCAGTGCGTTCTGGTCAACAGCGCTCTAGGCCGGACGATTCAGCTGGACGGACGCTCCAAGAACTATGCCGACATTGACGGCGATCGCGCCATAGCTGTGCCTACCTACATTGGTGGATTCACTTTCCAGTGCACTCCGTCGTAGATGCTACGAGTATTTAGGAACACACGGACGAGAGCAACTAGCGTGTATCTTGGGGCACGACTTTGGTTTAATGTTTTAGACTTCTCTTCTCTTTTATCCTTCATTGGGATTTCTTTTAATGGTGGTCAAGGGCCCACATGAATATTCTCTATAACTACTTTCAATGTAGTTAGTATAGCCCTTTAGTGCGTTAATGCATAAAGATGCGCATTGGCATGATTTCCGAGCTCAAGTTGCGTGACTGTTCACTTCCTTACAGCCCTACAGCCTTACAGCCTTGTAGACGACTCTTTATCCACAGCTTACCGCCTCACTACAAAATCAATAGATACGCCAAATGGGTCTTTCCACGAAAGTACTGAAAGCAATGAAGCCGACCTAGTCGCAATTATTCCGCGTCTAAAACTCTCGGTTGCAGCTTTCGCGAACCCTAACTTACCCCTCTTTCACGCCTTGTTTATCCGACTCTACTGTACATCCCCGATTTGACGCAAAGACCAATTTTCGTCTAATATCTCCTATCGCAGGTGATTTTGCGTACAATATCCTCCCGCCTTGTCGAAAACACACAGAATCCTACGCCGCATGCGCAAACCGTCACCTCAACGTGCCGACCGAGCGGCTCCGGGTAAATCATCTATTCCACATCCTGCTTGTGCGTCCTTCATCCCCAGCCCATAATCGTCATAATGTCTCTTTCTCCTCAGCGATCAGTGCTGACCCACGGCTTCCGACACCACGGACCCCGTCAGCACTAGAAGCAGCATGGAAGATCTGTCGAAGGCCGTTGAGTGAGTGGGGCGAAACTGCATGTAGCACGCGGTTATGCGCCTAGGGCAATATGGATAAATGAGTTCCACGTTTTCTTGTCCTAGCACCGCAGGCTTTGAAACGTCCCGAACGTGGCATTTGCGGGCTTTTTGGGCTCAGCTATGTGGCCGCAAATGGGTTGTGTAGCAATTGGCTGTCTCTCGCTTGCTGATCGATGGTTCGGAAACGGTGCCGACTGATCCTGGGAGACCTAGCGCAAGGCGTATATTTGACTTCGGCTGCTGGTGTCCTCGTGCTTTGTTGCTGAAAATAGATTTTTCTTGGTGCGTCTGTCGCACGGGTTGGAGGTGTGTATGTTCAGCGGCAGCAATGAGCGTTTCCTGGTCGCAACATGATCTACTTCTCCAGATCGGATCTGCGTGGACGGTCGGATGCTAGAGGCCGCTGCATGCCGTTCAACCATTTATCGGTGAGCAGGAGGAACTGCGTGATGACGGCAGGAAGCACGCAGGCGCAGGCACTGTCGCTCTGTGCCACACAATGCGGCTAAAACGTTTGCAGTTCAACAAGAAAACGCAATGGGCAAGTCTTACCAAGGGAAGATAGGTGAGCTATTGGACACACGCCGCTTACACAGGAGCTTACAGGCTGGAACGAATGCTTGTCGGAACTCGCAGGACTTGAAACCTTGGCCCTTGTTCGAATACCGAAGTCGATGCTAGGCTGACTGCAGATAGGTAGCTACACCTGCTGATCACTTGTCGTCCATCCATCTTGCCACCACCCCCTCTACTGGGCTGGTCACTTATGTTTCAGTTTCTGTACCTTCACAAAACGTCATGCACGTACTAGTCTTCGCTGCCACTCCACCGAGTCATATCAGGCCGATGACGTTCCGCTACCCGGTCTTGGTGCCGAAGGAATGCAGCACGTTGGACGCCCTTGCCGTAGCGGACTTGACGGTTTCTCATCACCAGCTCATTGGCCACAGACTTTTGTAATTCGCAGAGATGTGCAGTTCCGCCAAGAAGTATCGGCGCGATAATCCGCAATCAAGCTCTATGAGAAGCGGCGAAATGGCACACTGCTGCTAGCTGCTTTTTGACGTAGAAAAGTGTTGCTATGTGAGTTCTAGTAGGGATTGCGAGCTCTCGCCTTCAGGGTTGATCTGACCCGTTGTTCACAATACAGGAGAAAGTGGGTGTCGCCAAGAATCAAGTGTCATGGCGGTGACGCAGCCATTTCAAGCAAATCTGCTGATATGTTCAAGTCTTGCACATGAAATATATACACTTCAGTGAGTGATAAATCTGGAATTAGGCATCGTATTTAGATGCATCATACGAGACGAAGTGAAGATGGCCAGGTTGAGAACACAGTGCAGTCAGCTTACATACTGCACTGTTCGAGTGGCAGTGTGACAGGCTCTCCACACTACTCCAAGGGCCAGTTCCAGACACATTCTGCTTTGTCTTTCTTACCGACCAGGTACTCTAATCGAGGCACTTGACGTGCAGACGTTTCTGACACGTAGGTGTGCGGCCGTTAGTGTGGACAGATTGTGATATTTGACCTCGACATGACTAAGGGGCATGCTGTAAGGTTTACATTCGGCCTACTGAATACCGAGGGTAGCCTGGAGAACTCCGTGCCTCAATTAAGGCTCATCTGCTAACTGTTCATGGTCGTTCGAGCCAGAGCACAGGAGATGCTGTGATGGCGGGATCAGGCGTTCAGTTCGGCACGATCACTCCACGAATTGCGCGACTACTTCGGTCCTTTCTCATACGGTATCCAGAAGCCAGTTCGTTACGGAGAAGCCAGTTCGTTACGGAGAGACACTGCATGACCTTTGCACCTTCTACTTTTGCCTCGCCATGTAATCTTACTTCACTAACTCTCCTTAACGTGCATCCCCAATACACCTTAGGGCAGACTCGAGTGTGCGCATTCCAACGAGGCTCTTCGCCCCGTAGCGAGTGAATTCCATACCCCTCTGTGTAGTCAGTGAACCCTTCAGTGTTGGTGTTGCCATGGTATGCAAGAAGTGATGCTGTATGGCCCAAGTGCAACCACCCAGGTAACTGAGCGTTTGCGCAAGGTGTGGATAGCGGCGGAGCATGCGTGAATCACGTCCACCAACTCGGAGAATTTCCAAATGATACTCGATTCGATGTTTGGAAGATTGCACGCCTTGTTGATGTTTGGGGACCCGCCTAACGCCCCAAACGTGGCGGAGCACCCAGCGATCTCCCGCACAGCGCTTGGGTTGAGGCTGCGATGGTCGCCGTTCATGGGTTCGTGTAACCGTGCTGAGTGTCACGCCTGATCTGTGCTTGTGTCAAGGCACTCGTCTTCGCCGAAGTTTGTGTAATAAAAATGAGGCTGGGGCGCGAAGTCTTTTCTCGACACACGCACGCAGCAATATGACTACACTAAACTCGGATTCGGTTGCAAATCTATACCGCAAATCTCTTGCCCCATGAAATAGTGATCATCGCACAAGAGCTGCGAAATCGCGCAAAGCATCCTGTCCCACGGGTCCAGAACAACCGTCATGTCACTCACTTCCTGGAACTCCAACGGGGGCCAGAAGCTGCCTTGAGCGCCGTTGCACAACACCATGCTTCGCCGCTGACCGATCACGGTACAGCGGCGAAGCATGCTATCTGTAGCCAAATCCACTGTGCTGGAATAGAGGCGGCAACAGTGCCCCAACCGCGCGTTTGAATCGCCATTTGCAACATAGTCATACGCGCCTCATTGGCGGCGCAGAATTCTCCCTATACTAATGAAGCGCTATTGTTTTGTTGATTTGTCCTGATTGCGGCGTTGCAAGTTACGGCGCAGTCGTTAGCGACTGACTCCACAATTGGGCAAAGGCACGGCTAAGAAGGAAGAGCAACGTGTACGAATGGCTGAATTTGGGTCATTTGGTCATATTTGATTTGACACATTTGCTCGAAGGCAAGACGCGGGTTGCGCGTAGTAGTTGGTAAAATATGGCAAGTATACACATGAAGAACAAGGGTATCAAAGAACAAGACGTAGAGCCGTCTGGGTATAGGTTTTCGTCGTACACCGGACACCGTACCGACCAGGAGGGCCGTGAAGTAAAGTAGGAAACAGCGTGAAGACCCGTAAACGTTGATTCATCTTCATTGGACGTTCATGTATGGTGGAAAGAGCTGAGGCGGCTCGACTGGACTCATGGTGTATGGGGCAAAGGAAGGCTGGAGATGCTGCTCGAAATGTGTGTACGGTGTGGGCGCCGGGTCCATCTCAGCCCATTTACGTGCGCACTGGCGGCCTGTCCATTTTTCTTGTGCGCCAAACTCAAGCATCTGGGTTGTGTTAGCATGCTGTTACAAAGGACAGGCGGCAGGCGTGGCATACCTTTTGCGCGATGATTTCGAACTTGTTTTGTGCCCAAAACTCGTGTGCTAGTCGTAAGGCTCTCAGATCTGTCTCGGTCCACACACGCATCCGTTCACGTAAGCGCTTGAGACGCATTTGTAGAGCTGGGATCTGGTATGTCTTGCCCAAGTCCGACTGGAAACGAGCTGCAATATCTTTCCAGGGCATTGACTCTTCCTCCTTGAGTTGAAGGAGCAGCTTATCTTCTTCACTAAGCTCAAACTGCACTGAGGTGTTGGAGTCGGATCGCTTCCTTCGCTTGATCTCGTCGGCTGCTTCTTCATCCTCGTCTCGAGTACGCTTCATCCCGCTCGATCGTGGCGGTTCCAGGGGTTGGGGTGCGATGGGAGTGTACAAGCGTCGCGGTTGTGGCGAAATGAGGTGGTTCGAGGGAAGCTCCATCAATGGTTCACTAAGACGTGGACTACGTGCCAAGTGCTGGAAGGGGGCATAGTATTGGTCGTGTCCGTGATGTAAGTTGCCACTGTGGATTCCGAGTGGGTTCATCGTCCATGTAGAGTTGACTGGCGCGGAATGTAGGCTGCTCGAACTGCTGTGAGGACGTTCCATTAGATGCGAGTTTGGTCTCCAGCGTGCGGATGACTGTTCAGTAAGGTGACCCGGGTTCGACTGGGGTTCCTCAGACGGGCGCGATGACTCGGGTAATACAGAGTCTCGCGCATGAGCAGAGATCGGGGACATGGCAATGGCTGGCGTCCCTCTCCGGTTACTTGATGCTGGCGCTTTCCCCACATAAGTGTAAGTAGAAGCAGGTGGCGACAAGGCCACGGAAGATGTGTGCGGAGGCATATAGTGGCCCATATGCGGCGTAGCCAGTCTAGAGATGAAATTCGTGAGCGACAGGTCTTAGCGAGAAAAGGTAGTACGTACCGGTGGATGACATTCTGGGGCGGAAACAGAGGGGTTGTACCAAGTCGAGGCTGGCAAAGTGTTCAAGTCCTGCGATGGCAACGGCGTGTCTGGCCCATGGGACATGTAGGACTGGAGCGACTGGGAAGACATTGAAGCCGGCGAGGAGGCGACGGCGGGGTACTCTTGATAGTCGTAGAGGTTTGGCCACTGCACTGACCTGGACTGTAGAAGATGTGGTGGGGGGCCGGCGCTATCAAGTACGAGAGACATGATACCTTATGCTGCAGGATGGGGGTGTGTGAGCTTCAAGTAGTAGGCGTCTACCTCATAGTAGTATAGCCAAAGATGATGGGGACAATGCGGGAGCTTGAGGGAAGGTGCGGTGCACGGTCAGCATAGAGAGCTTGAGCTTGTACCGTAGTCGACTGGGCCGCGCAAAAGGCGCAGCCGTATTTATCAAGATGCTCAATGGAGGGCAGCACAAGTGCAGTGCTTCGACTCCATCCTACCCCCGGCTCGCGGGAGCACTGGGGGAGTTGACTGCGCACTGACTTTCAGGCCAGCTGCACCTTAGCGCCCATCCTTCACCCTCTCTAGAAGACTCGGCCAGCCATGTCGTTGCGCTAGAGCCGCGTGATGGCTGGCCATCCTGGCCTGTCAACGCTTGCGCCCCGACCCAGTTGCTGACCAGGAACGGCCTGCTGGGACTGTGCTCTCCTGCAACGGTGATGATCGTGACCAGATGCCGTTGGAGCACGTCTGCAATGCCGGGTCCGGACTGGTCATCATCCCAGCACTGGGTTCGACGGTGAGAGAAGATCCGGCCGTGATTACACTTCCATCATGGCGCGGCACTTGGATGCTCCTGTTGAAGGATAGTCTCCCCTGACGCAAGAGGATGGGCCCACGAGCCTCGCCGTCGGACTCTTCTCGCAGGGTAATCTCTCTGCGCCTGCGGCGTGATATCGATGAACCTGTCTGTGCTGGCGGCGCCAGAGGATCCCGTCGCGAGGATGCAAATCCTTCGCGTGGCACGAGGAAATTTGGCAGCCCGTGTCTTCCCATTCGGTGAGCAGTGCAATTGCGCCGCAACAATGCAGCCATTTAGTCGCACTTTGCAGTGAGACATGGCGTTGAAAAGCGCTTAATTGCATGATTGAGGCAGTGGTAATTGGCCCCAAATGCCTTGACCCGGGCGAAATGGCCACTAATTAGCTGCAAAGGGTGCGCCTTGGTCTCCACGTCAGAACCCTCTTGTTGGTCTCCATCATCTCCACCACTGACCACCACAGCGAAATGCAGGGCGTTATCGGCACCAGTGAGCTTCATGGCGAGCCTCGCAGCATCGCCTCGAAGCCCGGCGGTCCACCACCTCGACTTCCTCCATTCTCCGCCTCGTCACTTTGCCCAGGCTACTGCTTCGGCTAAACCGCGCCACGGCCAAGTGCTGTGCTGGTAGCTTCCGCAGCCTTGCGCAGCACGCCCGACTATTTCGATGCCAGCGGCAACAGATGGCCCATGATTCTCTCCTTTCGAAGCCCGCGGGTTTTCGGTAGTCATGGCCCTACCGCGATCAAGGATGGTCGATGTTCTTTTTTTCGTCGATCTGCAAGAGTTTCGGAGATGGGCCGAATAGGTCACTTACGGATGACTGCTTGCGGGCGAAGCATGAGGCTGGCTCTACATGGCGGCCCGTCGGTCACCAGCGTGTTGCGGTCAAAATGGCCGAATGGCGTGCCTTGCAGCTGGATCTGCCTTGCGATGCTCCCGCTGTTTCTACTTCTGTGACCCTTCTCAGTCTTGACAGCTCTACTGCAACTCTTTCCAAGAATAGACCCAAACCTTCAAGTCGGCTAAGGCAACACAATCTTTTGCGCTTCAGATCTCGAAACGCTGTAGCTACCCAGGAGACTTGGGCTCTACCATGCAACACCATGCCGCGCCAGAGAGCCCCCATTAAAGAAGATTACACCAAGTGGTCCCCTTACAGGTGCATGATTCTTTACGGTCTGTCTACCCCTGGTGACAGACTATCTGGGATTGTGTGAGCCTATTCCTCAACCAGTAGGCCGGGCAATTCTCAGCCAGATTGGCAGTCATCAGACGGTCTGGATGTGCAGCGATTCTACGGTATGACCAGTGCTTTAGCTATGCTGGGCGCTGTACGACTCAGGGACCTACCTCCCAGCTAACTATTTGTTTTTGTTCTTTTTTACGCTATCGTGTTGGTTGTGTACTTTTCTTTTAGGTCGCAAGTCTTGCTGCTCCGCAATTGTTTGGTATTCTGCACCTACAGCACCAGCGCAGTTGGCGGGACCATGCGGCTACAAAGTGAGGCTCTGTGCTTAGAGTCTTGGAGACATACGCAGTACGTCGGAAAAAAAGGAAAAGTCGGTCCTTCTTTCGCTACAGCTTCCTCGCACATGCGTTGCATGCTCACCTCGACGTGTTAATCTCACAGTTCCACGAGCGCAGTAGAGCCGACGATCTACGATAAATCTCCTTGTCTAGCTGTTTTTAAGCTAGCATTAATCAAACGGGTAGGCCCTATAAGCTTCATCAGACCGACATTAAAAGCGAGTAATCACGCCTCGACCCAGTGCAGATGGGCTGTCATACCGGATGTGGAGTGATGGGTAGGGCTCGACCGAATGAGGCTAGCGTGCTACGCAATACGAAGGTGCAGGGTCTGGGGACAGCTGGAGCTTGTGGAGCTGCCGCGCACGACAAGGCATCACCACCACCAACAGGAAAGCCGCTCTGCACCTTCACTCTTCACCATCACTATCCAGCATCCCGGAGTCGTTGAGCGCTATCCGGAAGGTACTCCCGAGAATTGCTGCGTTTCTTGCCGAACCAGACGGCCCTTGCAACTGAGACGCGGAGATCCCGCTGCTAGGCGACAGGCCGCGTGCTGTGTCGCCGTCTTGCACTGTGTAGCACACCACGATGAAGTTCAACGTCTTCCGCATCCTGGGCGATGTCTCGCATACGTCATCGAAGCTCATTCTGATATGGGCCATTCACTCCAACAGCAGCGCTGAGGGTAAGCATTGGTCGACTGCTCTGCTGTGAAATATGGCTGCTGACGTGGGTGAAAGGTGTCTCGCTCATCACACAAGCTCTCTATGCACTCGTTTTCTGCACGCGCTATCTCGACATTTTCACATCATCTGCGACGGCAGATGGCTGGCACACATGGAACTTCACGCTAAAGGTGTGTGCAGTGATGAGAGCTGCACACAACATGAATTGTGCTGACCGCTATCAGATCTTCTACACGCTGTCCTCACTGTACATCATCTTCCTTATGACCAGCGTATATGCACGCACACGGGAACGAGAAAAGGCATGGAAGTTCGGTCTCTACTGTCTGGCTGGGGCTATTGTCATTGCGCCGTTCTGGTACCTCATCTTCCAGAAGTGGATCATCAGACACAACACTTTCATGGGAGTATGTATGCCGCAACCCAAGTCAAGAGAGACTGCTGACGTGTCTAGCTACTTTGGGTTTTCTCTGAGATACTCGAATCCGTCTGCGTGATACCGCAGCTGCTGTTGCTCCGCCAGACCACCGTCCCGACCGTCATCGATTCCTACTACCTCGTCACGCTCGGCACATACCGCTTCATGTATGTCCTAAATTGGATTGTGCGCGGCGCCAACGAGCCCGCATATGCGGACCCTACAAGCTGGATCTGGGGCTCTATCCAGACCGCACTCATGGTCGACTTCGCATGGGTCTACTACACACGGCAGCGCGTCAAGTTACGAAGAGGCGGCGTGGTCGACTCGGAAGATTTGGGACGCGGCTGGCTCGTCGGTCGCTTGGCCGGTGGGCGCAAGAGCGTGGACTTTGACTTTGACGAGGAATCCGCGCCACGCAACGAAGAACCTGAGCCAGCGAACAAGTGGGGAAGGCGCGGCATCTCGGTGTCCGCAGATGAAGGCGTCGAGGGCGCGCCGAAGAGAAAGAGCCCGGCGGCAGGCAGTGTGGACCCAGAGAGTCAGCCTCTGACCGACCCCGCTGCTTTTGAAGATGAGAGCGACGATGATGCGCCACCGCCGGCTGCTTCGGGAAGCTCTGCAGTCGCGCATGACAGCGGCGTCAGACGAGACGAGTGGGACGACGACGTCGACGACGACGCGACGCCACATGATGGAGCAGCCAAATAAGCCATATGCTTTCTCGATTTCTTCTGAGTATTAGCACGCGTCCATAGCATTTGCAAATTATCACAAGCGAACATGTACATGATCAAGCAAAACTCTAGTCCAACCATGTGCTTTCATGGTCAATTACCATGCAGACTTCCACGCCCGCTGTCGTCCTTCGCTCCACTCCACACCGCGCACCTCACCCGAACTTCGTGTCACACTCGACGTCATTGGTCGCCTGCACTGATCATATCGACAGGGGTGCATATACTTGACCCAAACGATTTCCCATGTGCTTTCCAGGCGAACGGCTGACTGCATATTTGACCGCATTCCGAGGTTTCTAGAAGGCGCGGAGGAAGAAAAAAAAAGTGGGCGGGAACTCATCGTCGCTGATGGTTCGGTCGGGCTGTGTCCTCTGGCTGACTCTACATTGACACGGTGGGAGGCACGCCTCGCCTCCACGCTTGCACCTGCGCACGCGCATGCCACCACACCCAAACAGCAGAAATCTGACCACATCTGCAAGTCCACAGCTGGGTGAAACACACGGCCACCCACTCACCCACCCGCATCCTTCTAGAAGGCGCACTAGAATCCTCCCCGCTGCTGCATGTGTTGTTTCGGACACCGAATTGAACGGGCGCGCGGTGCCCTGCAGCAGGCGTTATAAGACCGCTAATTAGGGCGCGGACGAAGGAATCCTGGCGCCTAATTAGCTGACGGGCTGGTGCGAAGGGCGAGGCTGGATATGTGTGTGGCGAAGGGGTGGTTATGTTGGGTGTAGATGTGTTTGCTGATTGTCATGGTGGGCGCGGTTGCGGTTACTTTTGCTGCGAGGGAGTGCACGGAAATCTGCTTGGATGGAAGTACATCAAGATTAAGCCGTATGCCGCCCACAAGACAGCACAAGACAGCAACCTGGATGGTATTTCTGCCATTGATAATGGGTTCGGAAACGATGTTTTTTGATTGAACTACTTCCACCACTGCTAGCCGTCTCTGGGAACTTGGTTTTATGTAGCTTTTCGCGGCTGTCGAATAAATATTAAGGAAACTGTGTAATATGCTATAATATGAATTGCCGCTATAATAAGCATTACAAGAATTCACGCGCGCTCTGTACAGACCCGATGAACTGTTAATAAGCATCTGGTATATCATATACGAGCCTGAACAGGCTCAATGGCTTGTTAGCACGCGACATATGTCTGGGAAGAACTTAGAGATAGAGAGCTCGTCACTGCCCTCATTAGCGTTTTCAGAGACAGCGGGCACGAATCATTAGCATACCTGGTAGCTATGTAGCTTGATTTACTTCATCTGTAATATTCTGCTAGACTTATGTACAGCTAAGAATTACAATTATGCAGACTCTTTTAGTGTTTAGTTAAAGTTATATTGCCCTCGAAAGAATGAGACCATAAAGCCTGAATTTTAGAACACGATGTTTGCAAATGATACTACGAAGATTTCTTTAAAAAGTATATTTAGAAAGTTTTAGAACAGGGTACTTGCAAATGAAATTAGGAAGATTTGTCTACGAAGTATACTCGTAGAATGTTAGGATAAGGTATTTGCTTGTGGCTTCCTGTGGCATCGTTCTAGCTGTTGGTTTGGTAGTTCCCTTTGAATGCGTGGTGTGTTGCTGAGGTGGTGCGCTGGTGTGCGCAAGATGGAGGGATGAATCATATCTCGACTACAAGCTAACTAACTTTCCGCGCTCGCATCGGGTTTGAAAAACGGACTCTCGCCCATGCCATTGTACGCGTTATATTCCCAAGCTTCCGTCGTGCCGTGCAGGACTTCATACTTAACATGCTGTCCACATCCACTCTCAGCATTCCGACACTCTTGCGTCAGCATGCCCGCGATCTTCAAACCCGCTTCCTGTCCTTCGAACCATGCGCCTTGCAAGTAGCCAAAGTGCTCGGTGCTCGTGGCCTCGCCGGCAAAGTACAAGCGTCCCACGTTGGCGCGCAGATTCTGGTGCATCTCGAGCGTCGTGCCAGAGGGCCAGTTGGTGAATGAGCCGTAAGACCATGGCGTGTTGGTCCAGCGCGGGTAGTGGAATGCCACGGGCTCGGGGATGTTGATGTCCGGGAACATTTGGCGGAGGACGGCGAGGCCTTCTTGCTTGGTGACTTCGTCGTCTTGAGCCTCGATGCGGTAGCTCTGCTCGTCTACCACCGTCACAAAGAGGATATTGGAGCCCGGGAAGAAGCCTTCAGTGGACAGAGATTGCCAGGCTGTGTAGTACCCGCGCGTTGTAGGGTGGGCGTAGAGGAAGAACTGGGTATCTTCTGGCCAAAAGGTCTCGTTGAATTGGTAGAAGATCTTGGTGTAAGTGCCCATGGCAAACGTGGCGATCGAGTCCTGCTTCCAGCTGGGGAGTTCTGGAGTGTACTTGATGACTTCATTCTGGAGAACGCCGAGTGAGACAGTGTTGATGGCATAGTCAGCTTCGACACAAGTACCATCCTCATTCGTGATCGTGACATGAGTATCGCAGTACTCAATGTCCTTTACCACGGTATTAAGGAGCAGTCTGGGATCATTTGCCTTGAGGAACTTGGCTGCTTGCGCGTAGAGCCATATACTGAAGCCTCTGGGATCTACACTCATGTTGTCGTCCTCAGAGTAGCGGTAGAAGGTGAAGTTGTACACGGTGATGCCGAAGACGAAACTGGACTCTTCTGGGGTTTGTGACATCTCCCAATCCCATTCCCACCACTCGATAGCCTTCCGATGAGCGTCCTTCGGCCGCCAACCACCCTGCCATAGACCAGCGCGCATGCTGCGATCTTGCAGACTTTTTGTAAGGATAGTTCCGGCGTTCTGTTCAGCAACAGCATATTTCTCTTCAAACTCATCAATAAGATCGAGGAAGTCGTTGGCACCAGTCTCGTCGTATGTCAAGATCGACGAAAGGTTCGAATTTGTGTTCGATAAATTGGCCTGCTTCGCAAACGTCCAGATTGGGTTCTCAGGGCCGCCTTCCGTACCAGTGCCTTGGACCCAGTTGGCGCCCAGCTCCAAGGTGTATGGATCCCCATTGGCATCGGAGCCGAATTTGAAGCTCTGCATGCGCCCTCCGATGCGATTGTTGTATTCCAGGATGAGAAAGTCAGAGACGGACTGATTTGCCAGAGCTTGCTAGAGGACTTGTTAGTAGCTGTTGGTCCATCAATGCAGTACCTGTTGAAGCTGTCCACACTTGCGTTTTTTGTACTTGCCGACCCCATACCTACCTGGCTGACTATATACATGTAGGAAAAGATGTAAAGTCAATTTCAGATGGGATGCTGTTTAGGTACAAATCTAGATACTGATGGAAGCACACTCACAGCAGCCGTTATACCAGCGACGCCCCCACCGCTACGAAAAGGATGATTAATTTACAGCACCCTGGAGTCGTATGAAATACTCACATGATGGCAACACTAGTCTGCCGACATGCACTGTTCCCATTTCGCCTGCCCTGTGCTGTTGGTGCAGCAAAAGTGGAAACAGAAAGCAGGCACATGGCCATGGAAAGACGCGTAACGCCCATCATGATGGTATTGCCTCTAATATTAAGAGACAGGAATGAAGACGACCTGCACCTCCAGCAAGCAGGTACTTAAACTCCTGGACCCTGTCGTACGTCTCCGGGCACGATGCACCCATGCTACATGACCTAACCCCGCATGCAGCGGGAGCTTCCCTCGATGTGTCTCAACCTATCTTGCTAGATGTCAGGCTGTGGCCAGTGAGTACTGGGTGACGGACGAATCATGTGGTGTTCAAAGTCAGGTCTAGATTGGATGCAGTAGCTAATTATGCAGGTTCCTGATAGCGGAGTAGCGCCAGATGAGTGGATAGGGCAGACACGATAAGGGTTCGCTTGTATTTGCTTCTTGAGGAGGTAAAGCTTTAGCCTCAGCTGTTGGTGTTTGGGGCGTGCACATGTGGCTTGGAGCTATGCGACGCGTCTGTGGTGCACCGACAAAGACGTGTAGCAGACAGCTGAATACAAGCAGCGGTGTGTATCGGTGGCTTGCATAGCTGAGGTACAAGGAGGTGCTGAAGTCGTTGAGATGGCACGATCGAATGCGGGGTTGGTACCACAGTCACGGGTGCACGGAAGGCGCGAGTTCAACGGAGCGGCCGAGTATCTTCATGTCATGATGCAGTCACCTGACTCTTACTCACGAATGATGGACTTGGGTGAAGTTGATAGATGACTGATGGCGCGGGATGAGCAGGGTTTAGGGTTCTACGCGTGGGTGCGGGAGGGGATCCCGCGGGGTACTGGCAGATGTCAACCAAATCTCCCGCCCGCAGCCATCAATCCTCCTAACTTTTCGCTTCAATCGCGCAGGAAAGCACAGGATCATTCCGATTTCACCTCAATTGCTGCCATTGCACCGCCCCACGTGACCAGTACGACCATCAACCGCAAGGATGCAGCTGAGTAGCAGAAACCAGCCCGATCAAGGTATCTTTTGTTAGCAATTGCATGAGACCGGTGTTCGCTGTCAGCGCTGCGAAACCTCGATGAGAGTAGTTTCAAGGCACTGGCGGCGATCTGAGAAATACGGTCGGAACTTGATCAGGTTCATACCTGCGAAAGGACTTCATGCTTGCTTCCCTGCCTGGAAGCCGCTACTAATGTGTCTAGGTCGCCGTCATGGACCTGAATGCTCAACACCAGCACGCGTCCGTCCCGCACGATGAGAAAACGAAATTGGCAGCGGAACCGGACGATGCAGCCCACCATCTGCCGACTCATGAAAGCGATACACATGCCAACCATGGAACACTGCTTGGAAGAACGCAAAGAGCATGGAAAGGCTTTGAGAGACAGCTCGTGGCGTACAACCTCGAGGCGCGAGGCATCCAGCGCGTAGAGCCAGACGAGCGACAAGACCTGAGTTTATTGGGCTATTCCCAGGTTGCTATCATGTGGTTCTCGGTCAATTTGGCCGCGAACAACATCACCCTGGGCATGCTGGGTCCGGCCATCTTCTCGCTCGGATTCCTCGATGCGTGTATGACGAGCGTGTTTGGCGCTGTCGTAGGTTCACTGGTCGTCGCGTATGTTGCGACATTTGGGCCAAAGAGCGGTAACAGGACCATGATATTCTCAAGGTAGGCTTTGAAGGCATCACATGCGCAAACCGGGAACTAACCGCAATAGGTATATTATGGGCTGGTGGCCTTCGAAGATTGTCGTCATCCTCAACATCGTTGTGCTTCTGGGCTACGGCATGATCGATTGCGTGGTTGCTGGCCAGATCCTGTCCGCTGTTGCAGACGGCTCCATGTCGCTTGTTGTGGGCATCATCGTTGTTGCGATCATTGCTTGGCTCATCACGACCTTCGGATATCAAATCTTCCATTACTACGAGCGATGGGCGTGGCTACCTCAGATTATCGTTCTGTGCATCCTGGCAGGCGTTGCGGGGCCGCACTTCAACGTGTCGGCCGAGTCCCATGGCGACGAGGACTCACGAACTATCATTGGCAACAGGATCAGCTTCTTCGGCCTGTCGCTTGCTGCAGCTATAACTTACGGTGGTGGAGCTGCCGACTACTTCGTCTACTACCCGGAACATGCATCTGCATGGAATATCTTCGGGATGACTTTGGCCGGCTTGGTATGCAGCTTCACTTTCGCTTTTGTGCTGGGCATTGGTCTCGCATGCGGTATGGTCATGAGGCCTGACTGGGAAGCTGCATACGGCGTCTCTCAAGGTGCGCTCATTGTGGAAGCGTACAAGCCCCTCGGCTCGTTCGGATCTTTCTGTGGTGTCGTAGTTGCTCTAGGCCTGGTCGCAAACCTCATCGTCCCCACTTACTCGTCTGGTATCGATGCACAGATCCTAGGCCGCTATGCTGAGGCTGTGCCTCGCGTCATCTGGAACACTGTCGGCGTTGTCATCTATACGATTTGCGCGCTTGCAGGCCGTGCGTATCTTGCCGAAATCTTCACCAACTTTCTTGCGCTCATGGGCTACTGGGTTTCGATCTGGATCGCCATCACCTTGGAAGAGCATCTCATCTTCCGTCGTAAGACAAAGTTCAATTGGGCGATCTGGAATCAGAAACAGAAGCTTCCGCTCGGCATTGCGGCATTCGTTGCATTTGTGATCGGCTGGATTGGGGCAATCCTAAGTATGGCGCAAGTCTGGTACCACGGACCCATTGCGAAGCAGGTTGGCACATATGGCGCTGATATGGGAAACTACGTTGGCTTTTCATGGGCGGCAGCCGTGTATCCACCACTCAGGATGTGGGAGCTCAAGAGATTTGGACGTTGATCATACAAGCATCTCGCAGCTCTGATTGAACTCAGCGTGCCAGGTGAGATAGACATGCACACAATACTCATATCAGAGCAAGCCCGTTTTGTGTGCTCAAGCGTTCTTCCTGTCCTCATCGCGCATATTTCAACTGCATAGCAAACATCTTGCCGCTGCCATCTCGTCTCATCTGTTACCTTGTAGTGTATCATCTCGTATCGTTTGCTTGCTTGCTTGTTTCTTTCTCAAGTGTCCGCTCTTTCCTCATTCACCTTGTGTACACGAGGCTTGGCGCGCCTGCCGTGGCAACAGCAGCCCGCATGAGAGGAAATATTCAACCTGCACGCTCCGCTCTCGCCCCACCACCCTCATTTATAGGTTTCACGAGCTTGAAGCGGTCTCCGTCGTCATTGCTGCTATGCCTAGCTGTAAGTACTCAAGATTCCTCGTTCATTTGAACCCAGCGCTTACCAACAGACGCCGAAGCCGACCTGCTTGGTTTGGCGGAGTCGCCGGAGAGCGCAAAGCCAGATGTGCTCTCTCAAGTCAGCTTTGGCTCTGCAAGAAAAAAGCCGACGCTGAAGAACTCTCTCAATGGGGTTCACCACGACAGTTTCTCCGACCTTGTGGGCGCCATGAAGGCGAAAAAGCCATACGCCTGGACTCCCTTACCTATGACAAGACCGTCCTTGATTGATTCTACCAATGGTATGTGAATTGCACCGCAGTGTTACATCTGATTGACTCTATGCTGATCGATGATCAGGCCAACAGCTTGCGTCGCGCGATCGCAACACGAGCGGTCGGACCATCCTCTCGCCGACAGCGAAGACTTTCGTTTCGCCGTTTACGGTAGCGGAATATCTCGAACAGCAAGAGAGCGCACCTTTCTCGCCCCACACTTCTGGACCCCAGGAATCCGTCCACATGGGCTTGGGCACGAGGTTAGCTGCATTGACCCACGAGCTCAATGACTTCTCTTTTGGCGAGGCTAGGCGTCAGCCGCAAAATCTCTCTCCTCCAGCGGCCCCAACATTCCAATCCTCACAGCCTCAGAGATTCGGTCCCATCGATCCACCAACTCCGGTTGAGTCTGTCCGTCAAGATTCCATTGTATCAGTATACCCACATCCCATCGAGGCTGCTCGGCCTTCAGTATCAACCTACGACCGTGCGTCAGAGCCCACTGTACGTGTAACCAAGCTGGGCTGGACATCGGTGCTCGACGAGCTGGAGTTGGTGAAGAGGCAGAAACAAGAAGTCGAGCAACAGCTCGCTACTGCTCAAAGGGAACACCTCGCGCACCTTGACGAAGACCACGATAATGGCGCACAGCTTGGCAAACTTAGATACCAGAACGAAGTCAATCGCGACCAGAAGGCGGCTATGAGCAGGGAGATTGCCCAGAGAGACGTGAAAATCAAGGAACAGCAACTCGATGTTGACAACCTGGACAAGAAGGTCACTGAGATCAAGGACGAGCTTGAACGATGCTCAAGAGTCAAGGGAGAAGTAGAGACTTTGCGCAAAGCCCACCACCTCAAAGCGGAGCAATCAGTCGAACGCGCACGCAAGATGGAGGCTGCTATGGAACAACTCCGACTTGAGCGAGATGCAGCTGTTCGTGCTAACGCTTACGCTGGAGATCACGCTACGCGTGCGCAGGACCTAGTGGAGACTCTCACTAAGCGCGAGAAGATGGTCACTGATCTGCGCCAGAAGTTGCTTGCAGAGCAACTGCGCGTCACGGATTTCGAGGATGAAGTCGAACGGCTCCAAGAGTTGTGCAACCAGGAGAACCTAGACCAAGTCAAAGAGAAACTACTCGAAAAGACCAAGGACTGCGATCGCTTCCGCACTCAGCTCAAGCTGGTAGAGCACCATCTGAAGCTCAGCCAGTCGCGTCTGATGACTGCCACCAATAACGGCGCACTCCTCCGCGGAGCAGCACACATTGTTGCACCTAACGAGAACTGCAAGCTTCCCAAAAAGGTCATGCCATGCTCGGAGTGCTACGCCCTCAACTTACCTTGCGACAGTGGCTCACGCTGCCGCAACTGCATCGAAAGTAACAAGAAGTGTGCCCGGTGGAGGTGCTCGCTGAAGCATAAGCTTGGAGTGTGCGAACGTGCTCCTTGCGCACCCCCGCACGATCCAGATGGTTGGTTGGTGACTGAGCCAAGGCCAGAGTGGTAGACCTCTATCTACCCCTAGCTGGCTACGAAGTGGTGGTGTATAGATAGCTGAGATTGAGGTTCATGGAGTCGATGGGGAAATGCAGGTGTACACTTTGCATGTGCTCTGGTGAGGTACTCATGAGGTTCGCCATACTGCATTGCTAATTCAGTTATAGCGTAGACGGCAAAACGAACTTGACTCCGATGAACTTATGGACATAGTCGCTTCGATCATGGGAGGGATACATTCGCATGCATTCTAGATGCTAGACCAAGCGACTCGTGCGAAAATGATGGATTAAAGAGCATATTCTCATGTGTGTCCTCAAATGCATCTCTGCTCATCATGTTACAAGTAGAGCGCTGATCTATGTCCCCTGTCCAAGTTTCTTCCCTCCCCTCGCTATTTCGTACTGTACCAAACCCTCATGCTTGCCCTGCCACTCATGCCTATGCGCCGCAAAACTCTCACATTCTGGCTGCGGTATCCGCGGAAACATGCCCATCTTCACAATCACCATAGTCGGAAAAATCTCCGCAATGCTCATAATCGGACTAAAAGTAAACCATTAGCCGCCGATCTTGCTCCAACATCTCTCATCCAACGCAGCAGAAACACACTTACTTCCCACACTCCCCACAAAAGCACCTCTCCACACACTTCCCACTCCCCGTCTGCATGTCCCGATACCTCTTCATCACACCCTTGGGATCCTCGACGGACACTTTCTCCTTCTCAATCGCCAGGTTCGAACTCACGTAGGAACCTGCTACTTTGCGGCAGTTGGAGCAGTGACATAGGTGGCCGCGCGGGCGAGTGAAGAGCTCCGAATCCGTGATGGTGACGCGGATGGCGGTGCAGAGACAGGTGGCGGTTAGGTGGGTGGGGAAGGAGGAGGGGGGGTAGAGTGAGGGGGCGCCGGTCAGAGTTGATTGAGACATGGTGGTGATGTTGGTGTTGGTGTTGGTGCTGGTGTTTGAAAGTGAAGTCGGAGTTGGATATGGTGTCGGGTTTGAGGTTGGGCAACTTGATGTATGATCGGCCGCGGAAATAAGCGGCCGTGGAGTCCGTATACGTGCATGAAATGATTTCGGATGGGAAACTGGGGTAAGGATGTTGTGCATATGTCATCGCGTTTAGGGCGTGCGGAGATCTGGATCCTGGGGTCCGGGGGTGGTGATTGGCTGCCTGGATCGAGGGAGCGGGAATGTAAGCGTATAGTACCGGCCTCGCAAGTGGAAACGATTGATGCGACGTCTTTAAATTACAGAGAGAGCTTGTAGATGCACTATGCGTCGGTGGAATTCCTGGCTGCTTTCCCTCACGAGAAGAGGTGAAGAGGTTCTCTACAGAGTTTTGTAGAGAATTTCAGGCTCCCCAAAGCTGTTACTAAGTATACCTCTAAGAACTATTAGCTTATATCGTGCAGTTGTTGCAGAAGAGACACGAGTTCTGCTGCTGCTGCCAGGTGATGTAGAGTTGATGATGTGGTAATCAGATGTGCGATCCTTGCTCCGTCGTGCACGATGGATAATCGCCATTATTTTATCACGCCTCCAATTAGAGAAGAGCGAATTAAGCCAATATACGATGCCCTGGAATGGAGACTCCGCTTTATTTCTTTTAAGAAAAAACCGTCCGGCTAGTATCCAAAATGTCACAAGTACCTCTCATTGCTCCAATAATTCTCTCCTGCTTCAACAACACACCACCCCTCATCTCTTTCTCCATCTCCGTCCGCGGTACACACAACCTTCGCGCGCTTTCCCTCCAACCACTCCGGGGAATGCAACGGCCCGTCATCCTTCCGCGTCCAATCTCCCACCCAGAACGTCACGTTTGACAATGACAAAACTTGCTTTTTCCGCCTCATGTACGCGAACATTCCCTCCGCGCCTTCCTTGTCCACAAAAGGGTTTTGGAACCGCTCTTCGCCCTCACAATCGTGCGAGTCGATCATGGACGGGTCACGTTGCTGCTGGCATTCAGATGCCATGTTCATGTATATGTCCGCGGATTCGAGATGTGGTAGGGAAGCAATGATTCGCAGCGTTTCTAGCGGCCATGTGCCGTTTCGCGGGACGTTGACGGCCAAATGGCTTAGATTGGGCGCCATGCTGGGTAAAATACTGGTGTCAAAGTCCGCAAAGAACGGCTCGTGCACTTGTTCCGGACGGCGGAATTCCAGGGACTGGAGAGAGCTGCCCTGGTGTGCGAGGATGGTCCGGAGCTTGAGGGGGTCGGCATTGCCGACAAATTTGAGATGCGTCAATGTGTTGTTGGGCAGAGCGGTGATGAAGCGTACTTTAGTTGTTTCGAGCTTATGCGGAAACAACAAATAAGGTGGGAGTATGACCAAGACTTCCTTTGTCATGTTGTAGCTGTCGAATTTATGAACTGCATCCATCGTATCGAATTCGGATTCCGATGTACAAGGATGCTGACCGGTTTCATCTTCGCAGGATCTGCCATTTACACTCGTTTTAATGGTTTCCGGACATTTGTCATTCATTGTCCACGAGCTTGCGAATGTAAAAGGAAGAAGGACGGATAGAAGCTTGAGTATTATGGTGATCCGCATGTTAGCGTACGCGGGGAGTTTTGCTGAAACTTCGTGCAGTTGTGATCGAGTTTATATGCAGTGTGCGCCTGTACTGGTTGTTATGAGTCAACGGAAGAGGAGAGCTGTCCTGTTGATGTGTTTGGATGCCTGATTTTGATTTTGCTAGCGCAACAACGCAACACAACATCTGGTGTTGTAACAGTTCGTGCACGCTCCGACTTGACTCAATCTACTTTTAGAGAGCAGCTGGTATCTTACATATAGGCCTGAATGGACTCGATCGCACAATAGTACGTTATAAAGAGGTAAACCAACCATGCAGTTAGACAGCCTAACTGAAATGAACTTACTTCGTGGATGGTGCTCAGGATTGTGGGGCGCGGCGCGCCCGAATTATTGCTACATCTGGTGACACCAGCATCTTGCCTAGGCAGCAGTTTCCAGGATACATCTTTCGTACATGCATCACTTTAATTCTGTCAGGGTCTCCCGACCTAAAAAATCACTGCGTCTACACAAGAATTTGACATGAATCATTAAAATTTAACGTTACTATGCTCATCGCCAATGCTGCGAAACGCCTCAAAATGCTGTTCAAACGCTGACACTTTATGCGCATACGCCCTCTGGTAAATCGTAGCTCTCTGTCCTTGCGACACGGTCGTACTTTGCGTCCTTGCCAAGACCCCTCTTCGCGAAACCCTTCCAGATCTCGCACTTGTTGTCTCCACCAGTCAGGATTTTGTCGGCATCAACAATCGCATCGCGGGCGGACACGAAGTTGGGGTTGCATGGCTGCAATGCCATTCCTTCCATGACAATCTTCATTGCAAGGTACTTGCCGTCGGTGGGGAGACCGTTGCTGTCGAAGTCGGGTGTGCCAGCGTCGTTCTTGCCGTGCTTGTCGATGAGGTTCCAGAGAACCTCGTAAAGCATACCAGCCCAGATGTTGCCAATAGGATGCACCCTGGTCTGAGGGTCAACGTAGATGTATGTTTGAGGGTTGACGTTGATGTCGGTGGAGTACAAGTAATTCCTGATGCCATTGGGCTTACCGCTGACCCATGGGGCCATCGGGTAGTCGGTTTCGCGAGTGTCACCGGCCTTGAGGTGGGTTGCAATGGCGTAGAAGTCACTCCAGCCTTCACCCATGCCTCCTGATTCCAGGACGTTTAGACAGTTAGAGTTTGCAGGGCCACCCGTGAGGCGGTTAGAAAGTCCGTGCGTGTATTCGTGAATAATGACACTGGCATCAAAGGAGCAATCTCTGAAAGGTGTGGTTCCGTTCCACATGTACATCCTCATACGCGCAGCCTGACCGTCTGGTGGTGTAGCAAAGTTGGCATTGTTGAAATCGCTACCGTCTTGCGCATTGAGGAAGACAAAGTCGTTTCCTGCTCCACCGGCACCGTTGTTGTTAATCTCGAAGTTTCCGGCCTGTTCGTTGAAGCCGAGCTTGTGCAGCAGATCATGGTACACGTTGGATGTATAGAACAGCTGGGTGACCGAGGCGTTTGAATACTTCTGGAAATCGGTCTCATTGAGTGAGTACGGGTAGTGGAATTTTAGGTCGGTGCTGACGGGCCGAGGAAGGTTCAGGTACTCGCTTGCTGATTTGTTGGCCCAGTTGTTTTGTGCCACACCGTTGTTACCACGGGTGGTATCGTATGTCTTGGAGCCATCGCTGTGCCATCCGAACTCACTCGCTTGTTTGTCGAATGGATCTACAACGATGGTGCGCTCGCCTTCAGTTGGGTCGTTGATCCCCCATGGGTAGACTTGGTAGCTTGCATCAGCGGAATAGTCGACGACCGCGTGCACTTGGCTACCGTCGATAGCGTCGACATATGTCAAGAGCCAGTTGCTCAGGACATCAGTCTCAACTCTCCAGGTCAAAGCCAGCTTGCCGTTAGTCTGAACGTAGACAAGGCGTGCTTCTGGCTCAGACACTGTACCCTCAGATTGCTTGATTGCGAAAGTGTTCTCAGCCTCCTTTGGCTCCGACGTAGCAGAACCAGCAGATACCGGGAGGTCCAGAACGCTGACCGCCGACTTGAAAGCGGCGGCAGGCTCGATTGTGTCACGCTTGCTCTTGGAGGGCGCAGTAGGGATGTCCCCAGTGTAGAAGGAGTTTCCGAAACTGAAGACCGTGCCGTCACGACCAACCTGGGTATGATCAGCAACATGTAAAGGAAAAGTATAGAGTCAAATGAGGCTTACGTTGACATTGAAGTCGCCATTGTCGACATCAAGGCCGTTGGCGGTCTGCTTAAAGTAGACGTGGGCAACGCCGTTGGAGCCAACATAGTTGTCTGCAACTCGGAAGGTAGCTCCAGGAACAACCTTCTTCACCAACTCGCTTGCAGTCTCCTCCGCAGTGGCGCGGCGAGTAAGCGACGAGATTGAGGCGTCCGATCCGACATCGTTGGCATTGGTGTAAGACACCGGCTGCTTCAGACGGTACGAATCGAGATCGATTCCCCGCTTGCTCAATCCGCGGGTGCTGTGCGCAGGGTGGGCTTGGGCGCTCTTCAACGTGGCGACAGACGCCAAAGAAGCGAGAAGGAATGACCGCATGTTGGAAGGGTTTGAAAGAGCGAAAGGACCAAGGACGACCTGAGGAGTTGGGAATCGAGTATTGTCCAGTCTACTTATACCAGCCTATCTCCTGACTACGATCCTACGGCTCGAAGCAGTCTACATGTTCACGAGGCAAGCCATAGGCTCGAAGTAACATTGGACGATAGCAAACGGTAGCGTACGCGCATACGCCACACTTGCGGCCGCTAAGCTTTCCCGACCTACCATTCCTGGCCTCGATTCGACATTAGCCCTTCTCGAGGTGTAAATGAAGGTGCAGCGGAGGCTTGGCGAAGTGTTCGAATAGGCAGTCATCTACCCACATCCTGGCTATACTATGCCTTGGCACTCTATCGTGCAGAACGATGCCCCAGGAACCATGTCGACCTTCCGGATCCAGATATTCGACCTGTGACATCCGATAGCCGTATCCGTGGACGTGGTATGGCAGGACCATCGGGAATTGGTTTGACGGATCCTAGAGGCACATCATCGCCTTGATGGCTCGCGACTCCGCGTAGAACAAGCGCTCTACTTCGTCACCCTGAAGCACCGGCGTATCGTTCAGGACTGCAGGTACCCGTTCTCAAATCTCTCTCCCGTCAAATGCAACTGCAGATTTGCTGCGCAACCTGCGAGTGGCAATCCTTGGCAGCGGCGGGAGTCATGTTAAGCGACGTGATTGGTGGTGATTAGGGGGTTTCGTGTCTAGTCACCTGCCTATTCGGCATCGGACGGCCGACATCGCGCTTTGCATCAAGCTCCGAGGCACCTAGCTATACAATCGCGTCATGTTACGAGCGACCATCGCATCAGGGCGTGATTTTGGATATGATGATCGTCCAGGAGATGTTTCCGATGTTGTGAAATGAGGTGTGGTCAGACGAACCTCCATGGGAAGTTTGGTAAGACGGATCTGCCAAGCGCCGCTACGTACGGCTACGCTCTTAGTTGCAAATCTTCGTGCTCACATGCTGAGCGGTGATCCTACACCTGCCTTCGAGATTTGCTTGTTCTGTCGATCTATCTGCTCACATATCAGCAGCAGCATTTGCCATTGTCGATATGCTATATTTAAGATGGCGCACACAGCACGTCGCACCCACAAACGGCCAATATTGCTTTTCGGACCGAGCTGTTCGTCCTTGTCATGGACGTGCGGCATCACCGGCATTTCCGATTCATATGCCGCAAGCCGATATTCACAATTTGCGTTTTTATGCCAATGGCACTGGGAGTCGTGCAATTATCCACACGCTCAGCCCCGGCAGAACTAAGAACTATCACGCTAACGAATGAATGTAGACACGGTGAAATGATTACAGATCCAATCAGTCCTTCATCTTCTACTTATCGTAACAGACACTCTACCTTCTCTAACGCTCAAGCACCGAATGCATTCGTCTTCTTCAAGTACTCCTCGTACGTCGTCAGCTTCTCCTCAAGGTTGTTATGGCTCAGTTCCACGCCCCCTAATAAGAGATGAGCATCGGACGTGACTTCGGCCCACCGCATAGTGGATCGACTTACAGTGACCACCTCTACACCCTTCTTTGCTAAATCTTGAGCAGCAGGCTTGGAGATGTCGCGCGTGACACCACGGATCTTGAACTCTTTTGCGAGGCTGGAGTCATTGAGCAGCTGTGTGACAACTGAGCCACCCTGATTGCCGGTAACGCCAAAAACTGTGATGAGCTTAGACACGATGGGATGTTTGGTATTACGATTGGGATTTTGGGTTTAATAGTGTTACTGGGTTGTTGGGAAAGTAGATGAGAATTGTTTGTTGAAGAAAATAATATCTCTCGTGACGCCTACATTCCTATATAGCTCACATGTTACCATGTTACCATTTCTTCAAAGTCGCCGCAGACAGCATGTTACGCCTGACTTCAAGTTGCTTGTGCTGCGCTTGACAAATGTGTAAGATGACTGACATCCTCGGCCCGGCTACAAAGAGTTCCGACTGGTTTGTCATACCGCGCTTCCCCACTGCGTAAGCCATCACGCTTACACGGCCCTTCGAATTACATCCTACTTGCGTGGTAATACTACCGAAGAGCAGATCTACCCTTGATGCTAACTCGTTCGGAGCGTTGTTTACACAGATACACACGATAGTGTTGTCCGTCCGAGTTGCGGACTAAACACGTCCAAGAGCAGTGGCATGGAGATTAATCCCATTACCAAGGCCACTGATACGCGCACTGCAAACATGCTGTGATAAGATGATATTGCCGTGTATTGTTGGTGTTCTGGTTTTGGATAGCCAAGAACGTGGGGAGGCTGAGGACGTTCAGCCCTGGGCAGATTGAAAGATCCATCACAGCTTCGCAAAGCTCCCCGAACGTCCCTGCCCACTTGCGAACCGTTTCGCGCCCTGAAGACTCTCTTTTTCTAGCACATCTTCTGCATTTGTGTATTCAAAGTTCATCGCATCTTCAAAACTCTTCGCTTCGAAAGCGGCATAATATGCGCTTCGTCTGTCCTTGTTCATGCACGACTGTGGGAACTCGAGCAGCTGCTCTGCAAGCTTCGTCGCTTCTTCAAATGCTTTGCCTGTCGGTACAACACGATTTGCGAGCCCCATAGTCAGCGCTTCCTGAGCGCCGACAGGACGTCCAGTGAGTACCATGTCCATCGCGCGACCGAGTCCGATGATGGCTTGTAACCGTACAGTTCCGCCATCAATGAGCGGAACCCCAAATCGTCGACAGAAAACGCCAAACACTGCATCTTCTTCGACTACACGTATGTCGGCTATCAGGCTCAGCTCAAGACCACCGGCGACTGCGTAACCGGACACGGCGCATATAACCGGCTTGCGAATTTGCATGCGCGACGGGCCCATGGGTGCGATGTTGCGTCCTTCGACTGGGCCAAAGTGTTTGGTGTCAGCTGTCGACGTATTGGCAACGGCTTGCAGATCGGCACCGGCGCAGAAAGTGCCATTCGCACCATGGAAGACGCAGACCTTTTGGGTCTCGTCTGCTTCATACTTGAGGAAAGCCTCGTATAGCTTTCGAGCTGTGCTGGGATCGACTGCGTTACGTCGAGAGCTGCGACCGAGCGTTATCGCCGTGATGCCTTTTGGAGACGAAGCATATTGGACTGCGTCCAGCTCCGAGTCTGATGTTGACTGACCCATAATCAATGTTCGATTTGATGAAAACGGTGCTGATGATGACCCAACATGCAAATCTTTAGATGTAATATACCTCGGCATCATGAAGGCGCCTCCTCCATTCCAAGAACTTCACCTAACAATTCCTCAGTCTCTTCAATCAACTTTACGAGGTATCGCCGCAATTAAACTGCGCTTGTGGATGATGCATGATTGGTACTTTGGACATTTTCATATGTCATCTAACATGGTACCTGTTACACCCCACCCCGTTGTTGTGGGTTTCGCTGGACACCGTACTTTTCGTCAGCATTAGACCTCATCTCTACAAGTCATCAACCCTTGAATGCTTATTGATCGACTATATTTACGATGATGCTCCACAAGAAATTTGTACTTTGAACGTTTCGATGCGTTATCTAAAGTGGGTATCTATTCAACCTTCTGCTCTTGATGGCGTCTCTATCTATTGCTCCTCCAGATAGCTCAAGCCATGCGAGAAGCGGAAGACAGGATCCTCAGTATCGAATGGCACATCTTCTTTCGACGCAGCAACAGCCGCATCGCTCCTTGGCAGATCAAAAGGCAGCTTGCCCATTGGCTTGGCTCCATCAACATTGAATACAACATCAAGGAACGCATCCGGACTGGCACCATAGTTGGCCATGACGGCTTTCGCGGACTCGACAATCTCAGGGATAGCGGCAGGGCGCTCGAGGTAAATGTCGACGATGGTAGGGACTGCCTCGTAGATGGCTGCTTGACGAGCTTTTTCTGTCGCGTTAAATTCGAGCGAACCGGAGTGCTGGATAAACAGTTAGTTCACCATCTTGAATAAAGCTACTCACGAAACTTACGTAGTTCGCCTCAAAGCCTCCCGGACGCGGCTCATACGGAGTTTGAAGACGGATGAGCGCAAAGTCAGCTTCAGCAGTGCTGTTGACGACTTGCAAGTTGCGCTTCTGCATGTCAGTCGCGTTAAAGCCCTCGATGTAGAACTTCAAGTTCTCGGCTGACTTCATTGGTAGCACGTTGTCGCTGTTGGTGAGCAGAGTGAACGACTTGCGTTGCGCATCGTTACCGGCCTTCTTGAACTCTGGGTTGCCAACAATCTTGACAGACTCCTCGACATCGACAAACGGGTTATCGAAGAGACCGAGCAAGAACTTCTCACGAAGCAGCTTTCCAACGGACTCATCGATGCGCTCCTCGCTGATAGTACCGTTTCCAACAACTTGAAGGATCAGGTCTGTCCTGTTCTCTCCACCAAGCTGGTCGACACCGGCATCCAGGATCTTTGCGGTGCGCTGGATTTCTGTCAAGTTCTCAGCACCCCATGCGCGGGCTGGCATGTCCTGCCCAGCGATGATGGCGTCAGTAACTAGTCCCCAGTCGCTAACGACGATACCCTTGAAGCCAAGCTCGGTCTTCAAGAGATCCGTGATTAGGCCCTTGTTCATTCCGGAAGCGACCTCTTCGTACTTGGTTCCCATGGGTCGGCTGTAGTATGGCATCATTTGTCTCGCTCCAGCTGCGATCGCTGCCTTGAAGGGAATGAGATGGTACTCCATGTTGTCCTAGACGACGTTAGTGCCGAAGCGAACCTGCCAGACGGAAAAACTTACACCTGGATATGTCGCATTTTTACCGTACGTGAAATGGCTATCCTCACCATCCTCAACAGGACCGCTACCCGGAAAGTGCTTGGTCACTGTGGTGACAGACTGTGTTCCAAATTCCCCGTGAGTGAAGCCCTTGATGTACGCAACAACAAGCTCAGCAGTCAAGTTGGCATCCTCTCCCATCGTACCACCAATCCTGGCCCACCTCGGCTCGGTCGCAAGATCGATTTGAGGGTGGAGCGAAGATCGAAGTCCTATCCCCATATATTCCTGGCGGGCAATGTTTGCAAATTGCTCGACGAGCGCAGCATCGCGGATCGCCGAGAGGCCTAGAGCCTCTGGCCACTGCGAGAATGACTCGGCGATGAAACCAGTACCGATGTTGTTGGTGAACGCGTGACGGGGATCCGATGATAGTGTGATCGGTATGCCGAGACGAGTCTCCAGAGCAAGTCTCTGCAGACTGTTATACCACTCAGCATACATACGTACCGAAGTGATCGAGCCGTGTAAGTTAAAATGCGTCATGAACTGCGTCTTGACCGTGTGTAGTGTGTCCCTTGTGAAGGTACCATTGGGACCCATGGAAATGATTTGGTGGAACAACTGCCCGGCCTTTTCTTCCAATGTCATCCGCTGGAGCAGATCTTCCACACGCTCGTCGACTGACAGTGATGCATTCCGGTATGGCAGATTCGCAGTTTCTGTTTGTCTTGGATATGACCGTGGCCTCTGGAGATCATGTGAAGCCGGAACATTGATCGCAGACGCCATTGCTGTTGCCGCAAGGAAGAAAGAAGTGAAGATGTTCTGCTTTCGCAGACTGTTTTGTTGTCTCGCCATAATGATAGGTCGGCTAATGGCTCTTGTGAATCCTTGGTGCCTCTTCCATGGTCGGGACTTCATCCGACTATTTGTACTCTTGCTTCGGAGCTATTTTTCATGGTGTCAAGGCCGTGGTGCAAGCCACAGCCGAACTTTACCCGTCACTACTGATCAAGCCATTGCACATCTGGTCTACACCACCGTCTTTTCCCTGACTCGATCGCTTTCTCGCACTGCCGTGAGTCCGTGGCGGAGGTGCCAAGGCACTAAAGTGTGGAGGGCATCTGAACTTCCGGGGTCCCCAAAGCCCGGGTTTTGTCCGGCAGATATGTGATTGGAGCATCGTGACTTAATGACGATGGACTAACGGCCTATTCAGCCTCTTCCGAAAGGTTTCCGTTGTCACCTGGATCCAAGATGGAGTTCTTCATCGTTTCCTCCACATCCCGCCGCCAACAATGCTGTTGTTTGCCTGGAGCGCCGAGCGGAATCTTCATCAAAATTTTCCTTACCAAGATTTGGCAATTTTCGACGCTCGATGGAAGGACTGTTCATGACTCGGCAGACAGTGTTTGCGGATGAGCCTCGGTAACTTGATGATGGTGTGCTTGCCATCATCATTGCTGCGCCTTAGAGTTGCATTTGAATATGCAAGGACACGCCATAACTGCGGAGGGTCGTCGGCAAAACCGGCATGTGGTAGTAGACAGGTTTTCTCTGACATTGTCCGATTGGGTTGGCGTGAAAGTCATTGTCGTATACATACTTTTATTGCACAGAGATGTGTCAGTGTCTCCATACATGTAGTCACGCGACGTCGGGATCTTTGGCCGGTGGATACCCATGTGGGTCCATCATACCGGTACCAGTTTCCTGGTTCTGCAAAATTTCCACGTGGCACAGTAACTTCATTTTTTTTAAATCGTCAAATTGAATGTATGTGGGTTGACATGCCATATGCAAGCTGAGGTACCAGCTTCGCGATGCCACCACCAGGATTTGAGGTACATATATAACTTGTGCCATCAACATTTCCACATTCTCATGGAAAACATTTGGCTCATTTCAAGCCATGGGTACAACGACAGTACATATCCCGGATCTAAGCAACAATGATTCAATTTGTCACGGACCAGTCTCGCGGCGAGGTCGATGTAGCAGATCTTCAACCACCCAAACAGTCTCATTTTCCCAGACCTAGAAAGGGTAATCCCAATCCATCCCAATCCATCCCAATCCATTAGATCCTCACAGCCTCCACCACATCAAACGTCGGCCTCAGCAGAAACTCCTCCCAATATCCTTCTCCAACCCTCTCATCATCTGGCAATACTACCTCACCCCACTTCAACCTCAAGCCCGCCTCCCTCGCGCACCTCTCATAAACCTCCGCCCGGAACTGGAAAACATCAAACCCAAACCCTCCCTCGCCTCCTACCACGACTCGTGCTTTAATCCCCACCTCGACCCCGGAATCAGGCGCGACGTAGCGCTCCTCCAAAACGAGTACATCGAGCCCGTAAAATCCTGTCTTTGGCTGCGTCATGCATGCGTCATGTGCATTCGTCGTAACGCCGACAAATCTACCGCCGGGCGTGAGATTCTGCTCGATCACGCGGAACATGTTGGTGAGTTCGGTTTCTGTGCCGGCGTAGTTGAGGAACCAGCCTGCGAAGACGATGTCGAAGGGAGTAGGATGCTGCATGAGAGATGGAATGCTGCAGTCGCGCGTGTCGAAGGTGAGGGAGGGAGAGGGATGGAGAGATCGTGCACTCGTGATCATGGGGGTGGATATGTCGTATGCTACGACAGAGGAGGCGCCGAGGCGAGAGAGGAGGGAGGTAGATTTTCCAGTGCCGCAAGCGAGATCTGGGGTTGAAGTTTAGTATGATGGTCAGGTAAGTGATGTGTGAGACCGGAAGATGCTGGAGGACGTACCGAGACATCTTGCTCCCTTGATGTCTCCTAACGCTTTGATGATACTTGGTTCTTCGGGCTCGGTAGCTGGCAACACTTTGATATTGTTGTATTTTCTGCCGATTTTGTCATATTGCGTGTTTTGTGTACTTCCTGTTTGCTGAGACGCCATCTCGACGACCGTTATCCTAAGCTAATGCTGGAATGCTAAAATAGGCGTGGACTGTAAGTCGAGACTGAATTCAGGAAGATTGTCTCTCTGATTGGTCAGCGTTTCACTCCACATGCAGGCGAAATAGCTGTACATGCCAGTGTCAATAAGAGCTGACTGCAGTTAACCAATGCAGGTAGCTGCTATTCGATACGTAATCAACTCAATGGCACTTTTGTACACCTGACTCGCGCAATTGCAAAAGTGCGCAAAGTTTGACCAGACCTGGGGGGAAATGCCAGCACACCAGTGAATGATCCTGCAACAAGGCTCTGCCCCGCTGCCGAGGATAGTCAGGATCCCGCTCAGGCACTGCTACAAATGAAGCAAGGGTATTGGAAGTCTAGACCCGACGGACGAAAACAATTCTTCTTTGAGACAGAAATGCAGAGCGAGAATTTGCGAAGGGAGTGAGTCTTATTTTTACGCCGACGTTCTGGTAAGAAGGCCTATGAGCGCTGGCCTGCTCCTCGAATTACTGCCTAGCCTAAGATAAGCCTTTGACATAGCTGCACTAAGCACAATCGCTGGGCAATGGTAAACTGTATCGATTGAGAGTTTTAACAGACGTTGAAACTTAATTTTTCGGCTGCTATAGCAAGTGCGGAAGGGTTTTCCACGATCCTGAACCTTTGATGTTCCTCAGGGTCTGGACCATGGTGCTTAGCGGCCACTAGCGCGCTTACATTACTGCCGGCGTAGCGCCGTCAAAATCGGTCTCCTGATTTGATCCGTCACCATCTGGGCAGCCATATCAAAACTCAATGTGTGTAGAAATTTCATTTGATTCAAAGGTCGCATTCATATATCATATCATAATCAGATCATCGGGCTGCCGATGTCTGCATACTGTTCCCGCAGTTTCGTTGTGCTCTCAAAGCGTGCAAAGTGATATGACATTTAAGCCTTTTCCTTATGGTTCTCGTCAACGATCTCGACAGCACGAGCACCGTCCTTCTCGCTGTGAATGCTGCCCTCCTCGATATCCTTGGGTGCGTTCAAGTCCTGTGCGCCAATAGGTCCGGCCTGCTCGAAGTGGCGACCCTTCTTCTCAGGTCCCAGAGCGGTGGTGCACATAATACCAATGACAATGATGGCAGTCGCAACACCCATGACGGGACCGTAGGCAGGCGACTTGGTGCCCTTGGAGGTAGTTATCATAGTCGCTTCGGCAACGGCGTTGACGATTTGTGCTGAGGGAGACGAAATCATGTTTCCGAGCTGGTATGTGATACCGACGAATGAAGTAACGGAAAGCAGGAGGCGACAGCTCAGACAGATGAATCGGAATAACACCCCAGGCTCCCTGGACAAAGAACTGGATCATGAAGCCGGAGGCAGACAGGCCGCGCTCGGTGGTGGGCAGGATCCAGGCGGGGATGAGGCAGCCGGAGATGAATGCAGCGCAAACGATGGTACGACGACGTCCAAAGAATTGCGAGCCATAGCCGAGAATGGTACCACCGACGCAAGCCGGCCAGTCTTCATGAGGATGGAAGCACGGTTGGCACCGGCGGGGCTGAGGTGCTTGGACTGCTTCATGAAAGTGGTGTAACTGTCCTGGCTAGTGTGCGAGTAGAAGTTGAACCAGGTCATGAGGAAGATGCAGTAAAGACACATGCGCCACTCCTTCTTGAGCATAGCCTTGGTCTCGACCCAGAAAGCACCAGGTGTCTTTCCGCTCTTGCCAGCCTTCTTGGCCTCGATGAACTGCTTGGATTCGGGGAAAGCGATACGAACGAGACCAATGGCAATGGAGAAACCGGCACCGATCCAGAAGACTGTCTTCCAAGAATTCACTGAGTCACCAACACCCAAGTTGGCACAAGCAGCGAGCACATAACCGAATGAGTATCCTTGCTGGAGGATACCAGACATCAGACCACGAGCATTGGTGGGACAGTTCTCGAGGGCCATGGAGATGGCGTTACCGTAGACACCGCCCATGAAGAGACCAAAAAGGGCACGGACGGCAAGGAATTGCTGGAAAGTAGCAGAGTAGATGGTGGCGATCTGGAGAAGACCAAGAATGATCATGTTCAGGACCATGGGCCATTTCCTGCCAAACTTGTCTCCGGCAAGTCCAAAGAAGGCAGCACCAACTGAACGCAAGAGCAGTGTCAAGGTGATGGCAGTCGTGATGCTAGTTCATGTTAACCTACGAAATACTCTTATAGTGTAGTATGCATACCTAGTGTTGCTCTGGTGGTAGTATTTTGCCAGCTTGGTGGTCTGAATAGATAGAGCGTGGAAGTCGAAGGCATCGGCAGTCCACGCAAGGAAGCCGACGACGAAGTAAAGCCAGTCCTTCAGACGGAGCTGAGCGAAGAGGCTGAAAGGGTTCTTGAGCGGCTCAGGCTTCTGCCACTCGCAGTGCTCCTCGCCATAGTCGTTCCTGACCACAACACGCTGGTCCCAGATGAACAAGTCCTTAAGACCTTGCTTTGCGGTGGCCAAAGTGCCTTTGGCCAAAGGATCGGCAGGGCGGTTGGTGCTTGCCATAGCTACTGACGTGTAGATAACTTGAAGGCGAAGACTGAAGTAGAAGGAATGGACGCGTGAAAGATGCAGTCCGATTGCGATGCCAGGTGCTACAGTCGGGGAAACACCTGTGCAATATATACCTGCTACCCCGACCTTCAGGCCGCCGTGTCCATTCCTGGTTCGAAACCATCCTATCGCTTACCTTGCCAGTCATCTGTACAACGGAGCCGATAGCCAAGACGGTGCCAAGGAGCTTATTGCAGCACAGTACGGATAGTGCACGATGAATGCAACCGCACCTGGCCAGCCAAGCCGCACTAATTCTCCTTGGTGGACCAAGCTAAGACCGGCCACGAGTGAGAAGACGGAACGAGGCCCAGGATCTCGCAAACGTATCACTTTTGTGTTGAGCGGGCCATGAGGAGTCCATGGGGTGTGGTGATCTCTCGACGCCGTTGACATAACCCCACGGGGTCAGGAAGACCGTTTTTTCCCAACCCACAGCCTTGGGGAATGCGCGTTTTCGTCTGTGCACTGTCAACCTTCAACTCTTTTGATGCCGCGTACTTGAGCAACCACAAAGGGCCTTTTTTGTGCTTGTCATGCACAAGCTATGTGGCGCGAACTCGTCAGACTCGCGCGACGAAGCTTCACGCCGAATGCTGCAGCCACCAAACTTGGCGACGACCCCGCAACGAGACTCAAGACGGACGGCCCTGCCGAAGCTTTCAAGGAGCCCTGGTGCGCCGAGAACAACAAGATGCACTTACGACGGCCAAGAGCACGAAGCCGTGTGGCTTGCAGGCCGCCTGAGGGCAATCGTCAGCCCAGCGTCCTTGACCAGGCTTCTTTTAACAGCTGCCCAGATGGTGTTCACGATGGTGCTGCATCAATATGTGCAGCTGATGCGGTTCTTTTTTTGATACCGATAGCTGCAAAGTTTATTGCAGCCACAATATCGACGTTCTAGATGCATTTTCTCCGCGAGGCTGGGTCTGAGTCGCACGACTGGATCTGGGGTTGTTTTGCTGTGGAGACGTATGGACCGCATGGCGCTCAGAGAAACAACGGCGCACAAGACGGGAGGCGATGCTAAGCAACACGATGCAAGAGCGGAGCGGCCAGTCTTGGCCGTGATAATGTAGTGCAGGTCAACGGGCTGACTCGCTGATGGCCTGCTGACGCGCAGAAAGTCCAACAAAGGCATGCGTTGAAGCTCAATTTTGGATCGGCAGTGGTAAAATGTGGAGAATGCACCATGCACCCCAAGCCTCGCTAGCACATCACACTGACCCCAGTTTGCGAACGCCGACCGGAAGCCTTTGTGGTCGGACACTTGCCCTGCGCTCGTCTACCGCGTGGGTGAAGGATGAACATTGACTAGTTGGCCACTAAGGTCGATGAGGCCTTTCGCCCACGCGACTTGACCCGAAGAAGCCTCGAGATGCCGCACCACGATAGGGTTCACGGTTTTCCGGCACAGGCTAATGCTTGACTTCACCGGTCCCACCCTCAACCCATGGGGTTCGTCTTCGATAAACCTCCTCGGAGCTTCGCATTTATTTTCATACTCAGCGGGTCCTCCGATGAGATGCCGACCCAAGCCTGTAGAGCCTCAATGTGGCTCCACGCGCTGTGGATCATTTGAATTCCAAGAGTCTTGACCTGGCCTGATTTTTTGTGCGCATCTCCACTGGTGGGCGCCTACAGCCACCCGAGCAAGCCTGCGCTGCAGAATCGGAGCCACTCCCGTGCGGCGTGGGCGTCTTGGACTTGGAAATCAGGGCACAGCATGGTGCTTCATCCGCGCGCGAGGCAGCGATCCGGATTGCCTGATACGGGTGAACAGGATCCGAGACTCGCTCTGAGAGCGAGAAGATGAGAAACGAAGATAACTCCGAATTATTCACATTTACCCAATGTAGTTACAATATGTCATAATGAACTGATCTCGTATGCCATACCCCGCGTTATCTTCTAGCGGTGGCAAGCAAAGTGTATTGTCGGATGGCAGCTCCAGGACCGCGGCCGTGGGAGGGCAGACAGATCGCGCTGCGGCAAACTTGTGTGCTAAGTTTCGTGGGGTCTGAACTGTATCCAACAAGCATGCTCCTAACAGCAATGAGCGGGTGTTCAGGCTAATGACCACTGAGCACGTACCTTCATCTCCGCAAACGTTTCGTCTGTGAACACCTCGAACCTGGAGGTGATTCCCGGGGCCATCCCTTCGAAATCTGGCTTGATGTTTGTCGAGAACCGTCGGTATATTGATGGGACAAGCGCCAATTCTGCCATCGCGAGGCTGAGATAGTTTAGTGAAAGATTGCAGCTCGAGAACACTCGCACTTACTGCAAACCGATGCACATACGCGCACCACTCGAAAACGGCCACCACCACTTCTTCATCTCAAGAAGTGCGATATCACCATCGTCCTTTAGCCAGCGTTCAGGGTCCCACCTCAATGGCTCCGGAAAGACCTCAGCATTTCGATGCAGCGAGTACGGGGCTGCCGAACAAACAGTCCCCCGCGGTATTCTGTAGCCATCGATGACCGTGTCGACAGGACTTGATCGAGGTTCAGAAGCTGGGAGTGGCGCGTACAGACGGAGAGTCTCCTTGATCACGGCATCGAGATATGGCAGACGATCTGCAACAGCGCAACTGACGATGTCGTCGTTTTCGCCATCGCTGTCAATACTTTTGCACTCTTCGATGAGTTTGCGCTGGATATGGGAATTCTTCGGAAGTGACAACGCCCAAACAAGAAACATCAACGTGTCGCTCGTGGTGTCAATACCTGCGAGCAAATGATCGGCGCATTCACTTGCGATATCGAGATCACTGAGTCCGGCCTCATCTTTCATTTTCCAGAGCCGCGCAATAATGGACTCTTGCGCTTTCGCCCTTGTTTCGACATCAGCACCCCGATACTTTTGCATCGCCAACAGTGCATGCGCCCGTATACCGCTGTAAGTTGCAGGCTTTTGCATCGGCAACAATGGTTTAACAAGCTGGCCCATGAGACCGTCCCGTGTGTATAGCCATGCAGTCAGTGTTGGGAGATGCACAGCAAACCATGACAGATGCCGTCGAGAGTGGTCCATAATGTCGTTCAGGAGATTCACATAGATGGGAGTGCCATGAAGAGCTGTAGTCGCTCCAAAGTCTTGTGTTCCATACAGAAAGGCAGTGATCACATCGATGGCATAGTAGTGGAATGTTGAGAAGATCTCCATACCGTCACCAAGTGGTGTCTTTTCGAGTAGCTGGAGGAAGTCCCTAATCTTTTCTGCAATGATCGAGGCTGGTTGGCCCTTGAGCATGGCAGATTTTGAGTATACATGTGCAACTAGGCGTTTTCTCTTTGCATGGTCTGCAACACCAGGGAAGGTGAAGAGGTTTTTCCGACCATAGACATCAAACATGGCGTAAAAGTTGGTTCGCTCGAAGCCACTGCCTGCACCATATATCGTACGCAGCGCGGTGGTTGAGTTGAAATGGACCTCATTGGGCCCGATGCGCACAACAGGACCGTACTGTTTGTGGAGCGCATCGATAGTGCGAGTGCGTTGACCCCAGTCATCCCTTGCGAGTCGCCATCTCGTAAGAGCGTAAAGCTTTGGACCCGGTATCTTGCTCAATTCACTGAGGAACAGTGGTTGTATAACCAGTCGATGAAGTAGTGTAATGAACAGTGCAGTGCTTGCCAAGACGAAGAGCGAGCGGGCCATGGTTGGCGATGCAAGAGTGAAGGAATGCAGTGCACGATCACGATGGTGGACCAAAGCTGGAAAATGTTTGCGACAAATGAGGTTTGTGCGATGGCACCATGTAGTTGGTACACAGTGCAGCTTGAGTGATACGTGAGGGTTTAGATAAGCTAGTGAAGGTGGGGTTGGGGAAGCTATGTCCAGCCCAAGACACTTTTTCCGAGGATCGTGGCGGGCGACAAAAGTCGCGCCGAAACTCGCTTTGGACCACTTGTTACATGGCGCTTTCTTCGCCGTGTATAGATGCCTTTCCGCGATCTCTTCTTCTTGAGTCTCAGCAGTTGAGTCGCGCCAATTGCAGGCGTTGCTTGAGCACCAACTTTGGCTCTCTAGGGTGCATGTTTGCACCGGGTGCCTCGCCGGGGAGACGCATTTCAAATGCCTTTCTGGCCACACAAAGAACCAGCTTGTAGACTCTTTCAACCAAAGCGCTTTCCGTATCCCTTCACTACTTCGTCGAGGATGCTTCTGAGCCTCTTGCAGCCCTCGATGCCCACAGCTAGCATACCCTCAAGCCGCTCCATCCTGACCCTTGTCTCCAGGACACAGACCGCAACTTTATCGCTCTCGCCCAGCGTGCCGACGGTGAGGAATGGTAGCTCCTGCTCTTCCAAGGTGTTGAGGTCAAGCAGTGGATCCTCTGCGGATGCGTTGTCAGCAGCGGACGAGGACGCGCTCGAGGCGGCTGTGCACGCCACGAGGTAATCGGTCATGGGTATGCCGGCATCGATGAGGGCGAGTGTGGAAGCATTTATACATGCTGCGAGGAGCGAACCGTCTTGCGATATGATGTGTATGTTGAGTGTGATGGTCGAATGTGGGTAGAGGTGGAGCAAAAGGACGCCTTCGAACGCGCTTCTCACGCAATGCTCCATTTCTTTGCTGCGCTTGTCGCCGCCTCCTCTTCGCCGCCTCTCCATACCACTGAAGCCCGCAAAATTGATCTCGACCTCGACTTTTGCTTGTCCACCGTTACCTCCTCTTTGGCCAGCCTGTTTTCCCTCGGCGGGGCCTGTCACGGAGACAAGAATCTTGGTGTTGCCCATTTCGAGGTAGGAAGAGCCATCCGCGGCGGCTTGTGTCGATATCTGCGCATGGATGCGACGTAGCTCATTCCACCGGCGTCCGTCAAGGCGGAGGAGAGCCAGAGAGTAGGTGGAGGTGTCGAGTGGCATTTTGACGTGTCTGGGCGTAGTTCAATCGCACATGCGAGATCATTGCTGTCCATGAACTTGCTTGACGATAATTTGGGTGGTCCGAGCTCGAAAGAGCAGGGATCGTCCTGCAAGCGTGCCCCGCTCACACGTGATAGCGCGTTAGCGCGCCTGGACAGTGGCGCCTTCCTTTCACCCAAACACACGCACAAGTGCGCGCTTCACAAAATGCACCACGCTAGCATGAAACGACTGCCACCTTCTCGTGGCACAGGCTTATCAGATTCTTGCGCTCTGATCGTCGTCCCCACTCCACTCACGTGCTACACTCAACCACAATGTCCAATGCTGGCAAAGACAAGAGCCATCGCCGTGCACTGCGCGCATTCGCAGAGAGCGAGGCGATGAGTGATAGCGGTGACGAAGATGGTCTCGATATCTTGGCTTCGTCTCGAAAAGGCTTGGACCTGTCGCAGTACATTGATGGTCAGTCAACGATTCCTAACCCCTCACATTTTAGGCATGCTGAAGATTTGGCAGTCTTAACACAGACTCAGTCTCAATCTCAAGACACAAATGCCAAGCGCAAGGAGCGTGATGTGGTTGAGCTGAGTTCGAACGATGAAATCCAGCCTGTGCGGCGAGCCAAAGCGCAGAACTCGCCCGCCCCGGACTCTGGACTTGACGATGTCACGGCCGAGGAGGACGACAACGCAGAGTCCGAGTGGTCAGAAGAGGATACACGGGCAGCTTACCGCGAATGGAAAGACCGCAAAACCAACAAGCGTAAGCGTGTCGCAGCAGAAACTACCAGGATCCGGACACAGAAAAAATCAAAAGTAGCGAGTGCAGCAGCGTCTAGCATTGTTGGCCGCAAGCCACCACCCAAGAAGAAAGATAGACACGGGCCAACTGGATTCAGCACCGACTCCGTTGCGGAGGACGTGGATACTAACGCTACGTTCTTGGACGACCCCATACCGGACTACATAACCTCACGTCTGAAGAGCCTCAAGAAGCTACACGAAGCTGGCTTGAGATATCCGCCTAGCTACGAAGGCATTGATGTAGATGTAGTGGAGAAGGAACAGAGGCCAGTGCTCGACAGGGCCATCAAGCCACAGCGCGAGAATAAAGACATCAAGCTAAAGGAATCTGGAGGCGTTATCCCCGCACCGATTGCGCAGTGGTTACGCGACTATCAAGTTGGAGGCGTGCAGTTTCTCCACGAAAGGTTTGTCAAACAGACCGGTGCCATTCTGGGCGACGATATGGGTCTCGGAAAAACCATCCAGGTCATTGCTTTCCTCACTGCTGCTTTTGGCAAGAAAGCGACCAAGAGTGATGCCAAATGCATGCGTGCTATGCGACGCGAGGGCAAGGACCGGTGGTATCCGCGCATATTAATCGTTTGCCCGGGCACTCTGATGCAGAACTGGGAAGAGGAACTCGCCAAGTGGGGTTGGTGGGAAGTCTACCGATATCACGGTAATGCGGCAGACCGAAAAGGAGTTCTCGGTGCTGCAGCAAAAGGCATGCTCGAGATCATGATCACAACTTATACGACTTACCGCAATCATGAAAGCGAAATCAATACAATAGACTGGGATTGTGTCGTCGCGGACGAGTGTCATCAGATCAAGAGCAAGAACGCAGAAATCACCAAAGCAATGAACAAGATCAATGCTCTGTGTCGGATTGGACTCACGGGAACTGCCATACAGAACAAGTATGAAGAGCTGTGGAACCTGCTGAACTGGGCACGCCCTGGCGCATATGGATCTGCGCAGGAATGGAAGCAAATGATCAGCCTTCCTTTGAAGCTCGGCCAAGCACACGATGCCACCAACGCTCAGCTAGCTGATTCCAGGAGCCGAGCGCAGGAATTGGTACACAAGATTCTACCCAGTGTGTTCCTCCGCCGGATGAAGACGCTCATCGCGCACCAGTTGCCGAAGAAAAGTGATCGCATCATCTTCTGCCAGCTCACAAACACTCAAGCGGATGCTTATCGCGAATTTCTAGATAGTGACAAGTGTCAGTTCATCCAAACTGCAAGAGAGGATTGCGACTGCGGTTCTGGCAAGAAGCGAGGCTGGTGCTGCTACGTTAAAGTTTCGGAAGCAGAAGAGAACTGGAGCAACTTTGTCTTCCCATGTATGGCGACACTAATGAAACTAGCCAACCATCTCGCTCTCATCGTTCCGCAATCTTCTGATCTTCCCGAAAAGCGCTCCAAAGATCTCGAGCTCTTGGAACTGGCTTGTCCAAGGCAATATCGAGAGCTGTACAAGAATAGAGACAGCATACTGAAGCAGTCACAGCGCGAGTTTTGCGGCAAGTGGAAGGTGCTTCGACGTTTGCTCGACTTTTGGCATTCCAATGGCGACAAAGTCCTCATCTTCTCACACTCAGTACGCTTGCTGAGGCTTCTAAGAGGGTTGTTTGACATTGATGGAACGAAGTACAACTTCTCGTACCTGGACGGTAGCATGAAGTATGAGGATCGATCGAAGGTTGTTGCAGACTTCAACGCCGATCCCGATCAGTTCGTGTTCTTGATCAGTACAAAAGCTGGAGGTGTCGGGCTCAACATCACTTCCGCGAACAAGGTCGTGATTGTGGATCCCCACTGGAATCCAGCCTACGACTTACAAGCCCAGGACCGTGCATACCGTATCGGACAAACGCGGGATGTCGAAGTTTTCCGTCTCGTCTCTAGCGGCACGATTGAAGAAATAGTATATGCGCGTCAGATTTACAAGCAGCAACAAGCCAACATCGGCTATAATGCCTCGGAAGAGCGGCGCTATTTCAAGGGTGTAATGGATCAGGCCGGAAAGAAAGGCGAACTCTTTGGTCTTGAGAACCTCTTTACCTTTCAAGAAGACAGCGTTCTCCTCCGCGACATCATGCACAAGACCAACATCGCCGAGTCGAAAGCGGGCATCACCGCCGCAGACTTCAACTACGACGCCTCGCAACTCGATTCCGATGACGACGACATCCTTTCCAACAAGTCCCTCGGCATCGCAGACGACGACATCAACCTCGGCGAAATGAAGAAACTCGTCGAGTCGTTCACATCCACATCCTCAACAGGAAGCAAATCCCGCGGCAAGAGCTTCACAAAGCGCACCGGTCCGGACCCCATCAACGCCATCCTCGCAAAAGCTGGTGTTCAATACACGCACGAAAACTCCGAAGTCATCGGCCGCAGCGAGATAGAAGCTCGTCTCGGCAAACAAGCCATGGAACTTCGCAACGACATTGACCTCTCCAGCAAGCGCGTATTCCAGGCTTCACAGTCGCAATCCCAATCACAACATACACCACATTCGCACCCGTTTTCGCACGCCTCTGATCGGGACGACAGTGATGTGGAGGAGCTCGGCAGTGCCGTCAATGGCGAGTTTAAGATCACGTACAGATATAGACCCGACGAGAAGATTCGGAGGAGGCAGTTTTGCAGTGTCGCCGAGAGCATGGGGTTTGATGATCCGATGGAGTTTGCGCTGCTGGTGGAGAGTAGCACGCAGATTGAGAGGAGGAAGATGCTGGAGAGGTTTTATCGTGGGCGCAGGAGGGAGATTTTGAGGGATGATGGGGGTGAAGGGTAAAGTGGTTCTGGCGTTTATGGAAGGCTGGACGATACCCATGTGTTATTCAAGTAGTCACGGTACTATGGTGGGGGTTTGAAGCAATTGCGCGGTTTCTTCAGGCGAAATATTGCACGGCGCCAGGTCAATTTCACAATGGCAGGTTTTATTGTTGTGTTTAATGAGCGTGCAGGATTGTCCCTGTTCCGAAATTTGGCACGAGAAACGAAAGCAAAAAGATACAAAGCAAGACTGAACAAGCGGGACGGACCACCACATGTCCTGTATACATCCTTATCCTTCCCATCCAACTATTCTTTCAAGAGGTGCGTCCAAGCAAATCCAAGCGCAGAGCACCCGGCATGCTCGACCACCAAATCCATCATCATCCATCGTGATACAACAGCTAGCTTGAGGCTTAGCTACCACAACACGCATACAAGCCCGTGGATCCTCGCTGGTACGCGGACTTCCGAGTCCCTCACGAGCGGTACGCCAGGGTCGTTCATGAAAAGCTATCTGCATCCCCTTTGAAACCGGCACAATACCTCGCACGACCGCGGCGTCAGCCACACAACCGGCCTCTACGATTGTGTGCCTGGGGCTGCTGTTGTGGAGGGTGTTCTGCGCCAGCCTCAAAAGGGCTGCAAACATCGTTTCATCAAGGACCCTGGGGTCAGGCTCGTGGAGGGCTCGGAGTCCCGCGTACGGCGTATCCAGGGGCTGGTATGTTAGTTATCGACTGTTGCTCTCACGAGGCGATTATGTCGAGAAGAGAGGGGGATTGTCGAGGCCAAGCCTCGCCATGATGGCGTTGACGACTGCGAGGCCGTTGACGCCAGCGTCGATGTATGCAGCTCCAATGACTGCTTCGACGGTGTTTGCGACCATTCCATCGCTTGCGCGGTTGCCCATACCTGCATTCATCAGGATGCACGCATCGATGCCGTTTGCGCGGCCAATCGCTGTGAAGAAGTTGTTGCAGGCGTTGCGCTGACGAATTTGGGAGTCGAATTGTTCGACTGAGAGACGATGTCCTGCGGTGAGGTTGTTAGAAGGTGCATTACATCGTTTGGCAATTGATAGGACTGGGCTTACCGTGGCTGTCACGAAATTCGTACCATTTCTTGCAAAGGACGGCGTCGATGATGGCGTCGCCTACGGTTTCGAGGTTCTTGTTCTTCCTCACTAGATGGCGGATTCCACCTAGTGAAACATACATCGGGTCCATGTTCATCTGCAAGGCCTCGAGACAGATGAGTTTATCGGTGTAAATGTATCCGATGATTTGTTCGATTATGGCAATCTTTTGCTCGATGTTGGCCATGGTTTCTGCGTTTGTATGCTGCGGGATGGGTGATGTGGTTTTGAGAAGCTGTGAAAGGAGAGAACGTGATGAAGATGAAGGGAGTGTGGAAGTCGGACTGTATCTATAGTATTCGTGCTGGATGCTATTCAGCCTCGTCGACTTGTTGCCTGGCACGCCGCACCAGCCACAGTGGTGTTTGACCGGTCTGCAACTTTATAGTGCTATATGCGTGCCACAGGCATAGACAGAACAGCCCCGTCGAATCAAGTGGCATCGTCTACGCAGATGCATTGATCAGGACGGCGTAGGGTGGCGGTTGGCTGGCAATGCTGACCACGACAGATGTCTAGGACTCGAGCCTGATGACATCCTGGTATCGATATGGCCGCCCACTGGTGCAATCGTTCGGTGCGACAATGATTCTGTTGCTTGGTACTAATGCGCAGCACCGAAGTCGACTGTGAACGAATAACTGTTTGCACTCCAGCGAGTCAAGAAGCGACTTGATCGACGTGCAGTGATCGCATTCGCGCCTTCGCGTTGGTGGCTTCGTGGGCGCCATGCTAGCGTGCCGCAGTACGTCATAACTTAGAACAGGGTCTCGCCTCTGCCGGAACGAATCCAAGAGGTCAAGAAAAGGATGTGCGCCATTAACCTAGCACTAAAACCAAAGCTTGTAGCCGTTCATACCGAGCGAAAAGCACCGAAGTACGGATCAATCGGATCACAAGCGTCATGGCAGACTATGGAGAGCTTGCGGTACGCACTCCGCAAACATCCATCCCAGCTTGCTCTACGTACATGAACCCTGACACATTTTTTCATTAAAGGAACTTGGCTTCGAAGTTGTAGACAAAGGTGTCGACAAGTATCACGATAAGGTCTACGATCACTTGCCAGCCTGGAAAAGGAAGCAACAGAGACAAGATCGACGACGGTCTCAGGAACAGCAACAGCACAATCAAGCACCTTTAGGGAACGAACACAATCGCTCGAGGGACATCGAAGCAGGAGAGCCCTACGAAGAAGACTACAACAACAATCGAGGCATGTCGTCATACGGCCAGTCGCAGGCGCCGTCTTACACTCCCAACGGACGCCAGGACTATCGCGACTATCGCGACGATAGAGATGACCGGTACGTGCGAAACGAAGGGGCAACGAGCGCGTACTATAGAGACGCAAACGCCGGTGCGATTGTGATGCGCGACAACGAAGCATATCAAGGAGAGCCAGAATATGGAGGCGTTGTACGTCAAACTCCCAAGCTGATCTGAAGCCAGAGCTAATGGGCTCCCTCAGCCAAACGCACCGCCCCCGCCACCGCCTCCTCCCTATGGCTACGGCTACGATGACAACGACACGCGTGATCGCGGCAGACCGGCACCGTCAAGGATGCGCTCAAACTCGTGGTCGCCGCCGCGCAACCAGAGAGATGAGGACGAGAAGCCGCGCCGCCGTCGACACTCCAGATCACGCTCAAGCTCCAGAGAGATAATGGACAACAAGCAGCGCCTTGCGGCCACCCTCATTGGAGGTCTGGTAGGAGGATTCGCTGGGAGCAGAGCCGGCAAAGGCAAAAAATACGACACTGTAGCCACGGTCGCAGGCGCCGTCCTAGGCGGCATCGCTAGTCGCGAAATCTCGGAAAAGATTGGCGAGAGGAAAGAGGGCCGCAAGGACAAGAGACGAGACGAGCAGGAAGCGTGGGAACAGAAACGTATCGGCGATGGGGGTCGTGACGACAACCGCAGTAGAGGCCGCGACGACAGCCGCAGACGCGAGCGCGACTCTGGAGACTATTCTAGAGATTCGCACGGCTGGTGTGAGCGCTGCGGACGCGAACGCTCGCGCTGCAGATGCAGATAAAACTGCAATTCTAAAGCGGAAAGTGGGGTCTGTGACGAGTGGCTGAAAGGCCATGCTCGCGCTGACAGACGACGGTTTACGAGGGTATTTCCATTGGACGGCCTAAAATTGCGACATTTTTATTAGGGCTCAGGAGTCTGGTGTACGCTGTGAATAGCAAGATACCCCTGGGCGGCTTTGTAGGGTTGAATCATCATGACGGTTTTCGTGAGTGAATGGCACTGCTGGGCGATGACTGCGAGTTTGGAAAGGTGATGCAGTGATGCACTAACAAGATGGGGCTGCAACGCGGTGTGAAGCGAGTGGGCCATGCCAGGGGTAGATTTGATAGCGTGCAGGGTGATGTCGCGATAGTTGGGTGCAGATGTAGATGACGGGGTCAGCACACACAACTGCACAACTGCACACGGACCGGGGAACAGCAGCGGGCGCGCGGGAAGTTGCCACGAGCACGCCGTGTAGGGGAATAAGCAAAGCGTCGCCGTGTAAGGCTGAGCTAGAGTTCGGGGTTGAAGCACTGGGGGGGGGGGGGCCTGTGCGTTTCGAGAAGGATGGTCGAAGCTGGCTCCCGCAAAGCCCAAGCCGCGCCCGCATCGCATCATCCCTCCCGGAAGCATCACGGTTCACCCTCAGTGACCCTCTTTCTGCATAGACAGCACCGCATCTGAGCACCCGCACTGCACCCGCACTGCATCCGCGAGAGACACGGCTGCAGCTCGCCCAAAGCCACCACCGTCTTCCAAAATTGGACAGCCGAGCTGTAGCTTGCTCACCCGCGGCCATTGCATTGCCTGCCTGCGGCTCTTTCGCGCAACAAGCACCCACACGCGCACAAGACACGTACTAGAAGAGCTGCACCACCACACCACCACACCGCGCACCAGCACCAGCACCATGAGCTGAGCCCTCACCACCGCTCCCATTGCTCTTTCCTTGCCCGGCACGAGCTCCTTCCTCTCTGAGCTGCTTTAATCCCGCCCTCACACCCGCCTGTTTGCCTCTGGCGCTGCTCCCCCGCCAGCACCACCACGATGCGAAGATACAGGCCCGGCGGCGGCGGTCCGGTGCGCGCCCATGGCGGTGTCGCTGTCCCGGACCCCTTCGCCATGGTGCGCGCGTACGACAGCGACACCAATCCCGCCCGCCCCATACGCCCCTCTCCTCTGGCCGCCTCTACCATCCAGGGTCTCCCACTCGACCTGCTCGACCGCCTGCGCTCCTTCCCTCTCTTCCAGGCAGCCCCGGACTCCTTCCTCACCGCCGTAGGACTGCACCTCAAGCCGCAACTCTACCAGCCGCACGACACCATCCTCACCGAGGGCGAGACGGGCAAGGCCATGTACTGGCTGGTGCGCGGTGCCGTGCGAGTCACCTCCCGGGACCAGGAGAGTACATATGCGGAACTGAAGCCTGGTGCTTTCTTTGGCGAGATTGGCATCCTGATGGACATCCCCCGCACCGCCACCATCATCGCCAACATGCGCTCGCTCGTCGTGCGTCTGAACAAGGAGGATCTCAAGAAGGAGCTGCCCAAGTTCCCCGAGGTCGAAATGGCCATCATGCACGAAGCGCAGGAGCGGCTGGCCATCCTGGAGCGCAAGAAGAAGGAGCTCCGCGGCAAGCGCCCCGCACTTCCCCTGCGCCAGATCACGGGCAAGCGCGAACGGGAGGACGGCGACGTGGTCATGGCAGAGACAGGTGTCTTGCGTGATGGCGACGTCGTCAATGCATACAAGAAAAGGAAGTCTCCGAGTCCGGGACTCACCGACGCAATAGCCCATAGCGCGTTCGGAAACGGTGGTGTCCATGTGAGACCTCTGCTCAAAGAACTGCCGCTCTTCTCCAGCCTGCCCGACGATATCCTGCACTTTATCGGCATGCGCGCGCAGCCGCTCACCTTCCCTCCCTTCTACGACATCATCAAGCAGGGCACTCAGGGGCGCGACGTCTTCTTCATCGTCAAGGGCGAAGTCGAGGTGGTGAATGTGAATGGGCCCGAGATGAACGGACACACATCGCCCATTCTAGGCCGCAGAAGATCCATCGCCGCAGGTGAACACCACTTCCAAGAAGTCAGGGCGCGGTTAAAAACAGGCCAGTACTTTGGCGAAGTCGTCAGTCTCTCACTAGCACCCCGCCGAACCGCGACTGTCCGCTCCGTCTCTTCTGTGGAGCTTCTGATGATCAGTGGGGATACCCTGAACCAGCTGTGGGAAAAGTGCACGCCAGATGTACGGCGGCAGGTCGAGTCGGTCGCGAAAGAGAGATTACAGACCGCAAAGGACAACGACGTACACATGGCCGACATCAATGGCACCCCCAATATCGACGACCTTGCGATTGTCGACATCACAGTTCCTCGAACGCCGAGGCGAAAGAAGAGCGTGCCGACCGTTACTTTCAATGACATCCCCAACCACATCGACAGCCCCGTCACTCCCTCGCGAAGAGAGGAGAAGGTCATGGAGCCATTCGACCCTGACCCGTTCCTCAATGTTGACTTGGATAACGTCCGATCGAGATCGAGAAGAGGGTCATTAGCACCGCCTACTCCAGAGTCTCCGCACAGTCCGACAAAGAGCGAGTTTCCCAAAAACCCGTCGGCAAACGGGTCGCCACTGTCGCCGTCGCCCATGCCCATCTCAAAGCACACTTCAACGCCACCAGACGCTCCTCTCGACTTCAAGCGACCGCGCATGATAAGGAGACCGAGCAAGTACAGCAGAGGAAGGTTACCGGATCCGCTCTTGACCAAGGTCTTTGCGTATCTCAACATACACGAGCTGATGAAGTTGCGGAGCGTATCGTGGCATTGGCACAAGACCATCTCTTCATCACCCGACATCATGCACAACCTCGATCTGACCAAATTCAACCGAAAAGTCACTGACCGCACACTTGTCGACATAATATGTCCCTTTGTCGGCACGCGGCCAAGATACATCAACATCAGCAACTGCTTCCACGTCACGGACGAAGGCTTTGCAGAGTTGGCCAAGACGTGCGGGCCAAGCGTACGGATATGGCGCATGAAGAGCGTGTGGGATATTACAGGACCGGCAGTCCTCGAGATGGTACAAAAGGCAAAAGGACTGGAAGAGGTCGACCTCAGCAACTGCAGAAAAGTAGGAGACAACCTTCTCGCTCGCATAATCGGCTGGGTCGTTCCCGAACTTCCACCACAAATGGCAATGGCACACGCACAGCACCAAGCGCAAATGAACGGCCGGAGAGGAAAGGGGGCAAACAGCCAGCCGCCGCCGCAACCACTGCCACCGGGGACGGTTGTTGGATGCCCGAAGCTTCGGAGGCTAACCCTGAGTTACTGCAAGCACATCACCGACCGAAGCATGGCGCATATTGCTGTCCATGCCGCCAACAGGATCGAAAGCATTGATCTGACAAGATGTACAACTATCACAGATGTGGGCTTCCAGCACTGGAGCGTCTACCCCTTCCCGCGGTTGACGAAGCTGTGTTTGGCCGACTGCACATACCTCACAGACAACGCCATCGTCTATCTCACCAACGCGGCCAAGGGGCTGAGGGAGTTGGACTTGGTAAGCCACACCATTCTATGACAGAGAACTATCGCTAACATCAATACAGTCCTTCTGTTGCGCCCTCTCCGATACTGCAACAGAAGTCCTCGCCCTCGGCCTCCCCTCCCTCACACATCTCAACCTCGCCTTCTGCGGCTCCGCCGTCTCCGACACCTCCCTCCGCTGCATATCCCTACACCTCCTCGAACTCCGCAATCTGTCTGTGCGCGGCTGTGTCAGGGTCACCGGGACCGGTGTCGAGGCTGTCATCGAGGGATGCAGAGACTTAGAACTCTTCGATGTCAGTCAGTGCAAGAATCTTGGACGATGGCTGGACGCAGGTGGCGTCCAGGCAGTCAAACAACGAGGACGAAACGTCAAGTTTGAAACGGTGGCGGATGGCAAGTGGAGGGTTGGAAAGCAGCCGTTGTAAATTGGCGAGAGTTTATGAAGCAAGGCGAAGAAGTCATGTGATGAAGGGAAACGATTTCACGGCGATATGGAGCATGTTCTGCGCATTTATCCTGCGCACGAGCGAACAAACAACGGATAGTCGGTCGACTTCATGTACTTGTTTGTATTCTTTTTGCGGGGCGGTGCATTTGATCAGGTCATTCTAGACTTTCGTTATCCCTCTCTGTTTTGGGTTTTTGGAAAAGAGGTAACATCAACTTGTGTACGATTTTCTTGATACCATCACCATGTATCTCATTTTCTCTCGTAGCGTCATTCTTGCTATTGTTTTGTATAGTTGAATGTGAGAGTGAATAGATTTCGGTTCACGCCTTGTGTATGTTCGGGTTTTTTTGTGGGATGTGCATATGTGACTTGCATACGGAGGTTTACGAGTGTGACGATCACAAGTCTGACCTGGATCATTGAATTTGAAGGGGCCACTGATGCAGTACCTATTTTTATTTTCTAAGATTATTGGCCAACATCGATTGAGTTTCTCGTCGGCTCAAGGCAGGTTTCCTCTCCTCCGATTTCCCGCCCGCAGTACTCAAAGTCCAGACGTTTGTGCTGAAATCGCCAGACGGGCCTGGTCCCATGGGAAGCCGCTAATCGCCAACTGATCAGGACATGCTTTACTTTTGAGAAGCACCGATAGTCACAATCTAGCGTTCTCAAGGACCTTCTAGGCAACGAATGGATGTACCTTGTTCATTTGTGAGATGTGGCAAGTCGCCTGCAGCATATCCCGCTCTCTCAGGACTTGTCATGGTCCGACTTTCGGTTTTTTCTTTCTCCTTCTAAACTCTAATTTCTACGCGGTGGCGATTGGGTGAGTACATGGGTAGGAACCTTGTGGTGGCAGCGGAGTCTAGTGTCTCTTCGACACGCTAGTGGTTCGGGCGTCGGGTGAATGTCTTCGTTGCAGCCTTCGCGGAGATTAAGGGTTCCTGAGATGTGCGGGGAACTATTCTTCAGTTTTGTAGGATTATTTCTTACTGCAATGCGGAAATGCTGTGACGACATGTTTTTCTTGGGAGTGTACGTCGGTTTTAATGCTCGAGGCTCCTGTCACACCATTTCCGTACTCGCGCAAATCTCGCTTGAGCAAGTATCGACTGGCAGACATTCTTTTACCAGAAGAAATGGCGATAGCTGCAGGCGTAGCGATGAACGGTTGTGAAGACCTACCTAGGCAGTGGGTAAAATTAGCCCGAAACTCTAATCTGATGGAGGGAACATCGGTGCATCCGGCCACGCGACTGCTCCAACGGCATTTAAACTTACTACGCACCGCCCTAGCATAGGTACTGACCCTGTTCTCCAATACTCAGCATAACTTGTTCGCCCTCTCATCCTTGGACGCACTTCATTGGAAACCTGGTTCTTTGCGGCACCAGCCTCAAGGCTAAGTGCGATGTTGCAACACCATTTGCTATGCAGATCTATGGCAGCTCGAACTAGCGAATTGCGGAAGTCTTATAAGGGCAAATGAATCAAAAGATAAGGCGCTGAAGCATGCGAATAGGGGATTTGGTCTTCGCATACATGAATTCTGGTAATGACGGGCTACAGCAGTCGCCCTGTGAACTGCGCGCTTGAGATGACAGTGCGGCAGAAAATCGAGTAGGCTATCTCTGAATTGACTAACCACTGCCGCCATCGAACGTTCTTTAGCGCAAATGTTGTTTGTAGTTCGTCAACCCTTTGCAAGGCTCAACTATCAGAGCTTAATCCAGCCCTTAACCGGCGATGAACCGTTCTAGGCGATGCACGCGGAGACTTTCCAAGCAATCAGAAGAACGAAACAAACTAGTCTAAGCCGTCTTGGCGATTGCGAATGTCCAAGAAGGTTTGGGCCGCTGTCAAACACGAGATTCTCGAACTTCCCGTCCATGGCTAGTACCAGTAAAGAACATGCTCATCCATGTCATCAGCGCCGATAAACGGCAAACAACGATAAGCTTTTTCGACAAGGAAACTTATCCGAACCTGGCGTCAGAATTGATGATGGTGTAATGTGTTCTTCTCTTTTGGGTCATCTCCCAGTCGTATCGTGGCTGACCTTGAGGCTACCTGAATAGGAACTATTGTACATGCTTCTACCATCGTTATATTCAGATTCCAGAAAAGCATTAGATCTGCGAAATGCACAGTGAATCTCCCCTTCCTTGGACTGAAGCATATGGTGGAGGTCTCGACGCGGCAGCATGTCTGACTCGTGTTGAAAGTTTGGCCCTACACGCAATGAGGGGTAAAGAGCCTGGGAGTACTACAATAATGCTACTCTCCCGTAACGCCACCTGATTCAGGCGAAATAGTCATATCGCCTTGCCTTCATTCTAGGTTTGCTGTCTCGACATACACAAGACTAGGAAGGCATGAGTAGCTTCACGGAACACTAGCGCTCCGTAAGTGCCAGTATATTTTCCAAGCTTGAGCCTGGAAGTCGAGTGGGTTTTCAGGGGATTTGCATCAAGCTAAATATTATCAGGAAGGTATCATTGGCCACTGTAGATTTGCCATGGTGCTAGAGTACCAGAAGTCTATCTGCGAGGATGTATACGCGAGTTGCGAGGATGCAGATATAAAGGAGTGCAAGCACCACTGGTCTATCTCCTCTACTACCGGTAGAGTCCAGAGCTGGTCTATTCTCTTACCTTTGGATCTCCAGATATTCTTTGTATCTACTCTAGTACCATCACTAAGCCATCATGAAGTTCTCCGTTGCTTTCCTGACGGCAGCGCTCGCCACCTCAGCGGTTGCAGCTCCTTGGACGCTCGCCGACCGGATAAAAGCCCGCGCAGAAGGCAGACAACTCCATCATTCCAACCCTTCCAAGGCATTTGGAGCCAGTGAAGAACGGACATTCAGCGCCCAGAGCGATGAAACCAACAACACAGTCTATGGCCCCCACTACTCACCCACTTGGGGCGGTGCTGTCCTCCGTACTCCCTCCCGCAGCACCTTCAAGACAGCCACAGGTCGCTTCACCGTTCCCGTCCCTAGACACGTTCCTGGAGCCGGCAAGGAATCAGCAGCAGCATGGGTCGGCATTGACGGCGACACATGCGAAGGCGCAATTCTCCAGACCGGGGTAGACTTCACCATCGACGAGAACGGAAACGTCAACTATGAATCGTGGTATCAGTTCTTCCCCGCCGATTCTGGCGACTACATAAACTTCAAAATCCGCGCCGGCGACGTCATGCAGGTCGACGTCAACGTGCTCTCATCAACCACAGGCACGGTCAAACTCTCGAACCCTCAGCACCGGCCAGAGCATGGGAAAGACGTTGACCGCAGCACGGGGATCGGAGCTGTGTCAACAGAATGCCGAGTGGATTGTGGAAGACTTTACATATGATGGGGTGCAGGTCCCGATGAGCGACTTTGGTATGGTGGTGTTTACGAATGCGGCTGCTACGCATTCTGATGGTAGTAAGGAGGGGCTTGAGCGCGCTACGGTCTTCAATCTCCGCAAGGACGGTGATTATTATACGGAGGCTACTATCGACAGCGCTTCTCAGGCGACTGTCAATTTCACATACCGGTACTAGGCAAGAGGTATACAGCGGTATCCTCCAAGGCAATGTCGCGGTGGGTGAGGTACAATTTAATGTAACGTTTTGCTCGCGAACGAAACATCTTGCTACAATCAATCGGGACAGTGAACCCTCGCAATGTTTTGTCATCTGCCGCGTCACCATAAATGTGTTTGATCTTGGATTTTTCTTTTGGGTAGTCGAGTCGGCAGACGGGACTTTGTATCCCACCTGCTATGATGCTTATGCATCTGATCACGCAGCGGCAATCAACTACCTATAGTCCTAAGGGTAGCCAGACACCCATGAAGCACCAAAGCAGGTTTATGCACCTATCATTAACCCCATCACGTTCACAGTGAGCATGTCATCAGCTTTTCTGGATACATCAAGATACATCCAACACGAAAAAAAGGTCCTTGAACAGGCTTTGGGCACGTGGAAGATACTTCAAGCTTTAGACAAAGCTTGGAAATATCGTCCTATTTAAGCGACTGGTTCTGAGCATGAATGATCACGAGATCGCGGTACGGGGCTTGTTGACAATCTCGTTGGGAATGAACGTAGTTTGCAGCCAAGTTCACCCATGTTCACGCGTTTTCGAATCTTACAAAATAAGGCATACAAAGAAATTACTTCGAATAGTCCTTGTGTGAAGGTCTGCATGTACCGGAGGTCTTCATCAGTGCGTTGTGAGAAGTCTTGAAGACGGTTTAGGAGAAAACTTTGTATACTACATATCAAGACTTCATAGACATCTATAGACCGCAACCATGAGCATATCAATATCATAAAGGGAGGCTTTCTGGCTCTGGAGAAAAATGTTGCGATAAGTCTTAATGCTTGTGGAGAGACTTGTGTCGGCTCAGGATTTGAATTGGTCGTGCTCATGTGATAGCAATCCCTCGGTCATCATAACTGTTCGGTTGGTTGGTGCGCACTGGACAAACGGCAGCATGATTTATGAGTACAATTACTTTGCTCGCCCTTCTCCGGTCTTGGGCCAGCTCTTTCACCATTATCTCAGTGACGTTCGTACCACCTGACAGCTTACGAGTTCCTTCAGCACTAATGTCTTTGCTACTTGCAGTCCTGGATACATGTGGTGCAAGCGCACCGCTGACAGTGGCCACGCTACGTCTCGGCACTGTTCGTTCTGACCCGACCTTAAGGTGCCAAGCTCAATTAATTCATCAAGAGCGTCGCCAAAATAGCTTGCAGTCTGTAGGCACAAATTGTATATCTGACCCGCGCGGCGCATATATGAAGGAGTTGAAGGCAATGGTGAAGAATGTACAGCTAGATAGCTCAGTGTCCTCGTGTAGACGGAACCTGGCAATAGCAAAGTTCGTGTAACCTTTTGCTTAGAACCCGAGGTGTTTGATGTGGATCCAGAGAGATCTGCAAGCGGTTTTGCGGGTATACGTCTTGTGTTCTAGACGCGTCTATCCAGCCTTCATATATGTGCATGTTTTTGCTCTGCCTATCGTCCAAGGACCGCTTTACCCACGCGGTTGGCTGAAACCACTTTTCCTGTAAGCTTGACTGAGGTTGGTAATCTCCCGGTGTGCCGAAGCAACAAGAACTGTGAAATCTTGTGCTTGTCGATAATGTGTCTCATCGGTCCGATCTGTACGGTTTTTCACGTTGCGTGCCTTACTTTATGCGAGTCGCGTTTTCATGTAGAGTGCCTAATCGGGCGCAAAGTCAGCGAACATGTGAAATGAAGGGCCGTCTCTGATCCTTTCGGCGCATTGACATCGAAGCCGCATGATCGCTTACAGTAGGTAATGCATTCTCCACGCTTCCCAAAACGTACGGGAGGGCCGGAAGTCGTTATAACTGGCAACGATGAACACCGCTGTTCGGCGCGCGATTCATTAGCTCGATTCATTAGCGCGATTCCGCCGAGTTGGAAGATCCCACAAGTCGTCACTCGGCCCTTTTGCGGACTATTTGCGCCTGATTTCGATGGCGTAACGTCCCGGACGTTTGATAGCTACTCGTGCTTCTAGCTTTACCGTTCTACGCGCGCGCTTGAACAAATGCCGAACGCAAAGAATCTTGCAAGTCGGTACCTCATCCTTGGGAATGGTTTGCGCCAAGGTCCAGGCGATTCAGTAGGCTCCCCGCTACTGTCCCGCGACTAGTGGTGTATCAAGGCACAAATATTCGAAAGGTAGCCGCATCGAAGTACCAATGACACAATCTTCACCGAAAACTCGATTACATTAAGAAGGTGCTTACATCGTCGCTTACCTCTTTCAACGCTAGGAGGACGAGCCGACTTGATGTAAATGGGTAAAAGGAGTGTATATGCAGTCTTTCGGGTCAATAATGTGGATGTCTCTAGCAGGCTTTGGAAGTGTTGCGGTGAGACTCTTGGTCGGCTAAGATCACACATAACACGGCTTTCTGCACGCAAGCAGCTTGGGCGGAACCGGCTGCCGGTGTTATGGAGAGCACAGATAAGCAGTGCGTGGGGGTGGATCAGGTGCTGAGGAGAACTGAAGAAATCTGTTCGACAACATTGCCGCATCAGCGGAAGAATAGGTACCTGGTGCTCCTGTGGAGACGCCTGGTCGTTGTAGCCCACTTTCCGTGACCGGTTTACAGACCATAGGTTGACGGGCCACGCGCACGCGATGAGCAAGGGAGGAAAAAATGTTTGCATGAGCAGACGCGAGATAGTCAGAAATTTGCATGCGCATGTCAGTCGACTGTGTCGAAGTATAGCACCCTTGCTAATCCGATCGGGGAAGTGGAGCTGACTCAGCATCCAGATCCTGTGCAACAAGCAGGGTCTTCCATGCTGCGCCTGCTGCGCCTGTCGCGCTCCGCGGGGCGAGCCACAACCCTCTCTCCATGACCCGATCACGGAACAGTACTTCATCTCTCCAGTCTCGGTATCATTAAGATCAATTTACATGTTGCAGGGGCTTGGTCATCAAAATGTCGACGCCACGCTTGCGTTCCGTTTCACGGCAGCGGGTACCTGTTCTGCCACGAGACCGGTCCTATGCCCTTTGCGCAAACGACTCCGCGGATTGCGCATCATGTCAGAACTAGTTCTGGGTACTAGTGAATAAGCCCAGGACCTAGTCGTCCTAGATCATACGAGCATGGCGCGCTGCTAGTGTAGCAACATTTTACCGCAAGAGCTTGGATCGACGTTGGACGCGACCATCACTACCCAAGCCTCTCTCAGAAGACACTGAGCTCGGTACACCTACCAAGTTGGAAAAGCTCCTATGTTAGTTGAAGGCCTTACATGCGTCCTTACAGTCTGTCAAAGCAGGTTCCACACGGCTCCGATTGACTGCTGCCAGGACTATCGTTCGTTGCGCCTAGCATTGACCACATGCTTAGGAAAAGACGGTCTCCGTACCAATAGTACTCCATGGAGACCCATGCGAAAGGCCCGCGAACAGGTACCCAACAGATCGTCCACGCGTTCACTAAGCAGAACCACGAAACGGCCCGAACGCCTCATACAAAGTGCGGTTAAAGATGACAGGGCCTGGAAAAAGAGCGATGTGTATTTCGCTGATTCGATCGGTCCCATTCCGGACCAACTGGTCGTATTTAATCGCAGCACACATCGCGTGCGCTAGCAAAGAGCGAGCATGCTAGGCCCGACAAGGGAGAGGATGGCGGAATCTGCGATGCTCCCTCGACACCGGCCGCCTGTCTTTCTTGCGGCCTCTGATCTTTCAGTCGAAGTATGCTTAATCTGCTTTCACGGTCAAAGTACATTTTGTGGTAAACGATCATCAGCAGCATCACCCCATTTACACTCCTTGCGATTGTCTGCCCTTCCATCACGGCGGACAACTCTCAAAACAATTACATAGTTTCGGTACCGTCCGGGTCGAGCCGCGCGGAAATGCCGACGAACTATGCATGCATCCTCACGGCAGACAGGTGGGAAAATGGAGACGCACGGCGAAAGGCTCAGATTGGTAGATTGTGGGCCAGCTAACGCGCGGAACACAGATGAACTAGCAAGAGTGTTAGTTGAACAAGGGTACACATCAAAGGATGCCCTTGCGGCAATTGTTTGTAAAAGATAGCATGTGAACCGATAGTGGACTGCTGAGATATAAGACAGTAGTGCTTTCGATATTGTCCGGTCAACCCTAGGCCATGGCGACCCCGGATGACCCAGCGACGCCAGCCTTGTCTCTATCTGCATCTAATTCTTCGTCTCCAACAGCTGCATCTTCCGTCCCGCCGCCCACCGGGACTTCTGAAATCCAATATGACGATGTAGCAATCATTGGAATGTCATGCCGCACAGCTGGTGGCAATGACTCGCCCGAGAAACTATGGCGGTTCATAATGGACAAGAAGGATGCGTCGGGAGAGAGCCCGAGCTGGCGCTGGGAACCATGGGTGCGACGAGACACTCGCAACGCAAAAGTCATCGAGAAGACCATCTCCAAAGGCTACTTCATTGAGGATCTTGAGAACTTTGACGCATCCTTCTTTGGTATTTCACCCAAGGAGGCCGAGCAGATGGATCCTCACCAAAGACTTGGCCTGGAAGTTACGTGGGAAGCTCTCGAAGACGCTGGAATTAACCCACAGTCACTCTCAGGGTCTGACACTGCTGTCTACGTTGGTGTTGACTCGGATGATTACTCCAGACTTCTACTCGAAGACATACCCAACATCGAGGCGTGGATGGGGATCGGAACCACAGCGCATGGCATTCCTAACAGAATCTCATACCATCTTGACCTAATGGGCCCCAGTGCTGCGGTAGATGCGGCGTGTGCTTCATCCATGGTCGCCGTCCATACAGGGAGACAAGCCATTCTCGCAGGAGAATCGCGGATTGCAATTGTGGGTGGAGTGAATGTTTGCTTGTCCCCGGCATTATTCCACATGCTAGGAGCAGCTGGTGCACTCTCTCCGGATGGTGTCTGCCTTTCCTTTGATGAGGAAGCCCGCGGTTACGCTAGAGGAGAAGGTGCTGCAATCCTCATCCTCAAGAAAATGTCGCATGCGATCATGGACGGAGATCACATTCTTGCCACCATAAAAGGAAGCGCCATCGCTCAGGACGGAAAGACAAATGGCATCATGGCTCCAAATGCCAAAGCGCAGGAGCTGGTGGCCAGGAAGGCCCTCAAACAAGCGGGTATTAATGCTTTGACAGTAGGCTACATCGAAGCTCATGCCACATCGACCCCTTTGGGTGATCCCACGGAAGTATCTGCTATCTCTGCAGTATATGGAGTGGGCCGCCCCACAGATACCCCAGCCCTCATCGGATCTATCAAGCCAAACGTTGGCCATCTCGAGGCTGCCGCTGGTGCCATCAGTCTCGTGAAGGCAGTGATGGCGGTCCAGAAAGGGATCGTTCCCCCACAGACAAGACTTAACAAACTCAACACCAGGGTGGATTGGGCGAAGTCCGGTCTGCATGTGGTTCGAGAGAGCACGCAGTGGGGCACAGAAGATAGTCCTCGTCGTGCTGCCATCTGTTCTTACGGATACGGCGGAACGGTGAGTCATGCCATCATCGAGCAGTTTGCACATGCCGCAGACCCATTTACAGCCTCAACGAGTGACGATAACCACCCCACTCTCCTGTTACTCTCCGCACCGCAGGGAAAACAAAGACTGCCAGCGCAGAGTGCAGCTTTGGCTGAGTGGATCTCACCAGCCGGCGCACACGAAAGCCTTAGATCTATCGCAGCAACCTTGGCAACACGCAGAGCTCATCACGAAAACCGTGCCGCTTTTATCGTCTCTAGTCACACAGAGGCTGCCGAGACGCTCAATCTCTTCTCCAAAGGAGCAGAACATGATTCAATTGTACAAAGCCGCACCCTGGACAATAACATCAACAAGCAAATTGTCTGGGTTTTCTCGGGGCATGGAAGTCATTGGTCAGGCATGGGCAAGCAACTTCTTCAAAATGCGGTTTTCTACCGTACTGTGGCGCCACTGGACATTGTTGTGGTACAGGAACTAGGCTATTCTGCAATTGAGGCCCTCAAGACGGGCAGATTTGAAAGTTCGGGCCAAGTCCAGGTCTTAACATATATGACGCAAATTGGTTTGATTCAACTCCTCAAGGCCAAGGGCGTCCATCCCCATGCGGTAATCGGACATTCCGTTGGCGAGATCGCTGCGTCAGTAGCCGCCGGCTGCCTTACTCCGGAGGAGGGAATGATCATAGTCACAAGGCGTGCACGCCTCTTCGCCAAAGTTATCGGTTGCGGAGGCATGTTCCTCGTGAGTCTGCCGTTTGCTGAGGTCCTCGCAGAGCTAGGTGGCAGGACTGATATAGTGGCCGCTATTGACTCATCACCTTCATCCTGTGTCATCAGTGGCCTCAATGCGCCCCTGGAAGAATACGTCGAGAAGTTAAAAAATCGAGGTATCAGGGTGTTCCAGGTCAAAACAGACATAGCCTTTCACAGTCCCATGCTTGAGGTTCTATCAAAGCCTTTGAAAGAAAGCTTAGAAGGTTCACTAAACCCACAGCCGCCAAATATCAAGCTGTATTCGACATCCCAGGCGGACACTCGACACCCAGCTCGCAGAGATGCAGAATATTGGGTTGACAACATGGTCAAGCCAGTATGGCTTCGACCTGCCGTGACCGCAGCTATCGAAGACCATTACAGGATCTTCATGGAAGTCTCAACCCATCCAATCGTGTCACATTCTCTTGATGAGACCTTGGCTGAGAATGGGGCGAGCGACTTCACTACAATCCATACGATGAAGAAAGAGCAATCTGCCGAAAAATGCATTCTTCATGCTGTCGCACAACTCTGGACTAAGGGCGTCAAGATCGACTTCAAGTTCCTTGGTCGGCAGTGGAGTAGAGAGGTTCCCAAGATTCGATGGAGCCACAAGCGATTCTGGAAAGAGGTGTCGACAGGCTCTGCTAGTGCTCAAACTGTACACGATCCTGACAAGAACAACATGCTTGGCCAGCGGATGGTTGTCGCCGGAACTAATATGACAATCTTCACCACCGCTCTTGACGAAAGCAGCAAGCCATTCCCGATGCCACACCAGCTTCACGGAACGGATATCATCCCGGTCTCAGTCTACGTCAACACTTTTATCAAAGCGACTGGTGGCAAAGTACTCTCTAAGATGGAGCTTCGCGTACCTCTCGCGGTCACGAACGATGTCCGCAATGTTCAGGTCATTGTCGATGGACAGAGTGTCAAGGTTGCTTCACGTCTTAGCTCTTCAGACGATATGTCATGGGTGACGCACAGTACTGCATCTTGGGAGAATGAACCAAGTGCAAACGTACTACCATCTCTGGACGTATCATCCGTTATCAAACGAATTGGTACCCGCGTCTCGGAAACATTCTCGGTAGACTACCTCAAGAAGACTGGCGTGTCAGGGATGGCATTTCCATGGGCCGTCAACGACCATTATAACAACACTAAAGAGATGCTTGTAACGCTCGACAACGACCCTGAACATGAGACAATGTCATGGGATCCTTGTTCATGGGGTGCTACACTTGACGCTGCGACTTCAGTCGGTGCTACTTTGTTCTCACGCGAAGTCAAACTACGCATTGTCTCGCACATCGATAGGTTGACCATCTATTCGTCCGATCCACCGCCGAAAAGATATCACCTTTACGTAACCGAAGCAAGCAGCAGCCAAGTCCATGCTTGTTCCGCGGATATCTCTGTACTTGACCTGAGTGGTACACTCCTGGCCAGAATCGAGTCAATCAGGTTCACGGAGGTTGAAGCCACACCAACGAAGAGCACAAGCATTGAGAGTGGGGTACATCAGATTGCATGGGTTCCAGCCCGTCTGTCCGAGAAGCCTCTGTCACTGGAACAAATCGTACTTGTGTCTGAAGACGATGCAAAACTTGAGCAATATGCGAATGAGTTGCAGCGACAGGCTCCAAAAATCGTGAAGTTGACCTCGGCCGCCAAACTTCGTGATAATGGGGCGCTGTTCATGCGTGAGAAGAACGCGACCGTAATCTATTGTCCAGGTACAGTTACATCGCTCGAGGATGTTGCAAGCGCATCTCATCGATTTATCTGGGAGGTTGCAACTGCGATCAAATTCCTTGTCGAGAACAGCATTTCTGCAAAATTCTTTGTAATTCTTGATCGCACCTTCTTGGCTGGATCACCTACCGCGCTGGCCCAAGGTGCTTTGTATGGTCTTGCTCGCGTCGTCGCCTCGGAGCATTCTGACATTTGGGGTGGACTCATCGACAACGAAGGCCCGCTTTTCCCGGTGATGCCACTCAAGTATGTGCAAGACCAGGATATCACACGTTACATCGACGGAGTCCCAAGAGTTGCACGAATGAGGCCATTCACAAAGCAACAACGCTATGCGCCTTCGACCGCTCGAACTCTTCTGCCCAAGCCCGAAGGTACATATGTCCTCACCGGTGGACTAGGTGCTCTTGGTCTTGAGACTTGCGACTTCCTTATTGAGAAGGGTGCACGTCGTATCGTCGTAATCTCGCGGCGTGATATACCCGCTCGTAGCCAGTGGTCAAAAGCTTCTGAAAATTTAGCGCCAATTTTGGAAAGAGTGAAGGCCATGGAGAAGACGGGTGCTAGCATTTACTTTGTTTCCCTTGACATTGGCGCTGCAGATGCGCATCAACAACTCCTTTTTGCACTCGAGCGACTTTCACTACCACCCGTCCTCGGTGTCATTCACGCAAGTGGTGTGCTCGAAGACAGCTTGCTAGTGGATACCACCTCAGACTCTTTCGCACGAGTACTCTCGCCCAAGATCTCCGGCGCCCTCGCACTGCACAAAGCTTTCCCTCCTGGCACTCTCGACTTTTTCGTGCTCTACTCTTCAATAGGACAGCTCGTCGGAACATCTGGACAGAGTTCATATGCTGCCGGCAACTCTTTCCTCGACGTCCTGGCAGCACATCGTCGGAGTCAGGGCGACAATGCAATTGCTTTCCAATGGACAGCTTGGCGCGGCCTAGGTATGGCCACGTCTACCGACTTCCTGACCTTGGAGCTGCAGAGCAAAGGAATAACTGATGTCGGTCGCGATGAGGCTTTCCAAGCGTGGGAGCACATGTCCAAGTACGACGTCGATCAAGCTGTCGTTACGCGTACCTTGGCGCTTGAAGCAGATGACATTCTCCCATGTGCGCTTCTCGAAGAAGTTGTTGTTCGAAAAGCACGCGCGCAAGATCAGAGTGCACCTGCATCTGGCAATGCGAGCGACAGCAGTGGTCGCCCAACAGCGAGCGCAGATCTCAAGCCTTGGCTTGATGTCAAAATTCGAGAGTGCGTCGCCTTGGTCATGGGCGTTGAAGACATCGAGGAGATCGATACCCGTGTGCCCTTATCGGATTACGGTGTTGACAGCATCATGACTATCGCTCTTAGACAAAAGTTGCAGAGCAAACTCAAGATCAAGGTACCCCAAACATTAATGTGGAATTATCCAACTGTTAGTGCTATGGTGGGATGGTTTCAGAAGCAGTTTGAGGAAGGCCAGTAAGACCGCTTGTTCTGGCAAACTTACAGGTAATTCTTTCCTTCTGTGTGGCGTGATGATAGATCGTACCAAGTATGTCTGGAACGTGAAATATTTTCTTTGAGTAGACAAAGTGGCGTGCCTCCTTTGGCGAGGCGTGTCCTATTCTTTTTTCCTAGTAGGCGACCCTTTCATAGTTTTAGACGCTTAATTTAGAGCTTTTCATGAGACGTTCGAGAGCTAGTCAATGTTTACCGTGACAGTCGAAGCTGTAGCAGAAGACTGAAAGATGGAATGACGTCATGTCACCTCGCCTCGATACCAGGTGCAGCAATAATTCGTGCGCATTCTGTCTAAACTCAACCTACTGTTAGAGAGCAACTGTCATCTTATATATAAGCCTAAATAGACTTAGTAGCTAATTACTATGTTGCGAAGAGCTAATCAATCTTTGGAGTTAGACAGTTTAATAGAACTGCCTTTGAATATTGTGAGTCTCAAGTGCAGCGATTCAGCTCTCACCGATAGCAAGTTAGCTCTAACCCATGCTTTTTTTATATGTTAAAGTGGAGCAGTAGATATTCTGATTGGATATATATGGTAATAAGATCTAGTTGATGTGCGTCGCTCTTATCAAGTCTGCATATGCCTTTGCTAAGATTAGTACTGCGAACCAAAGGCTTTTGACTTCTAGTAGCGTGCCTAAGAAAACAACGATGACAGGATTAGTGCCGGATTGCTGCACTTGAGACTCACCGATAGTGCTCAGAATTATGGCGCACCATGCACTTTAGCGCGGTTTCCCACTCTTTCTGGCTTTGTTCTCGTGAAAATACAGTGTATTGTCGAAGTCTGAGTGTCATTTTGATTATCTGAGTACTCAGCAGCAGATTAGATGTGAGTATACTACCGCGCTTGTAGTATAATAGGTACTTACTGCACTAGGATATGATGCAGTCAGCAATGTATACTGCATCGCATAAAGCTGAGTCATACGATTAGATCCTTGAAGGTCCAAAGTAGCTATCCACTATCCGACAACAACGAATGACGACAGCACGCTCGAAGCCCGATTGCTCAAAGAGATCGACTCTGTCAATGTTGCCCTTTCTCATGTGCCATTATGCAGTCCAGGATGGGCGGTTAGATTTGAGACCATGCGTCATGCCGGCCAGCAGCGTGGTGCATATCTCACACCGTTCGATGGAAGAACGCAGTGTTGATTTCGAATCGTGGCTAGCATATGAGGAAGCTTCGTTCACTCATTTCGCTCACAAGGCATTTGCTGTTGTACCCTGTCGATAATCATGTCTGGAAAATTGACAATTGTGCCACTTGCTGATACCAGTAACTTTGGCGTGAAAGCCGATCAGAATACCAACGATGAGCAGCAGCTTGTCACTGAACAGCAACATACCGGAGGAGCACTTGAGGTATTGTGATGGTGGCCAAGACAAAACATACCCCGCTAATTGTTCCAAAGAGATACATCAATGCACCATCAGCCATAAATTTCTCCTTCCTCCTTCAATGCTCATGGGAAGCAGCAGCAGTAACTTTCCAATTCTCTCTTACAAACGGAGGGCCTGCCTCTATCGCCTACGGCAGCATATTCTCTGGTATCGGCACTACACTCATAGCTCTATCTCTGGCAGAGATGGCCTCTATGGACCCAACCGTTGGCGCACAGTATCGATGGACCGCTGCCTTTGCGCCTAAGTACAAAAGATTCTTCGGTCTAATGCAAGGTTGGATTACGGTATTCGCCTGGATCTGTTCCTGCGCATCAAATCCCGCACTCATGTGCAACATCATCGTCAGCCTCGCAAGCTTTAACAACCCGGAGTATATACCGCAATGATGGCATTCCACGCTTATCATGTGGGCTCTGACGCTCTGCCCTTTCATCGGCAATTTCTGGCTGCCCAAATTCATCAACATTCTGGAAACTGCAGGAGCAGTTTGCCATGTCACTTTCTTCTTCGCTAGCATTGTTACATTAGTTGCAATGGCGGAAAAGAACCCCGCAAGTTATGTTTTCAAGACGTTGACACATGGTGCTAGCGGATGGAATGATTCAGTGGTCGCATGGGGTATTGGCCTCTTGACAGTCGCGTATCCTCTGACTGGTATGTAGAGCCCATATTAACTATATCAGACCCTGAATCGCCAACTGAACTAGGCTTCGACGGCGTGTTACACATGAGCGACGAAGTGAAGGGTGCACGGGTTCGTGTTCCACGCGCGATGATATTTTCTGTTGTGGTCAATGCTACCATGCAATTCCTTTACATGGTCACTGTGCTCTTCTGCATTGGCGACGTGGATCGGGTGACCGCCTCGCCTTTACCCATCATTGAGGTTTACTACCAAGCGACAGGCTCGCGTGCTGCGACAAACGTATTTGTCTTCATGTTTATTTTCATCATTTTCGTCTCGTTTGTCAACGTGTTTGCCTCGGTCTCTCGACTTCTGTGGGCTTTCGCCCGAGATGATGGTTTGCCATATTCTCGAGTCATTGTAAAAATACACCCGAAGCTGAAGATCCCGGTTAATGCCCTCAGTATGGTTGCGATCTGTCTTTTCGTGCTTGCACTTATCAATATTGGCTCTAGCACTGCTTTCAATGCTTTCATAAGTCTGCCAGCATTAGCACTATGCATCTCCTGCTTTTTTCCTATCTATTTTCTGTTCTGGACACGCTTATCAAGATTTCGTCCAGCGCCGATATCATGGGGACCCTTTAAGCTTGGTCTCGCTGGACCGTTCGTCAATCTCGGTGCAATGAGCTACATCGTCTTTGTGGTCATTTGGATGCCTTTTCCGGGTAGTCTACCCGTCAATCGACTGAACATGAACTATGCGGGACCTATACTAGGTGGGGCGATATTGGCTGCTGTGTTGGATTGGTGCGTGGATGGTAGGAAACGATTCCGAGTACCTTCCACTGAAAATCATTAAAGCATCCCGATACTCATGGACACGAGAGGTTCCGAGATTTTTCTTGCCTTGTTTATGTGAAAGCAACCAAGACTCGCGAATAGAACATTACTACATGATGCACGCTAGTGACAGCCTGAGGGAATAAATCAATGCCCTTACTCTCCGAGACCGAGCTCTTCCTTAGCGGCACTTCCCGTGCTAATATATATCGCCTTGCGTCTCTGCTCCCTACAAAAGTTGTCGCGAGTTCTTCTTGGAGCTCATAATCACGTTCCCGCGACCATTACGTTTCAACAGCCCCAGAATCGGCTTGTCTCAATCGAAATTCATACTTAAGCAATCCGCCGAACACCTACACCTATAGCAACAACAAACCTAAAATGACGGCCTGTTCCAATCATGGAAGGCCTATTCAGCTTGGCCCTCGATGTGCGCACTTACTACCTGATTTACGCCTCGATCACTTATGGACTGGACGTTGCTGACGTCTTCAACTTACAGATCGTCTGTAATGAAGCTCAGAGTTTGTGCGGCAGTCTGAAGAGGACCTAATGAAACATCAACAATCAACCGCAACTTTACTTTTGAGATGTGGTAAAGTTCCATACACTGCATGCGGACACGAATACACTCATCCTCGAAGATTTCGCGTCCCGTTTCTTCTGTAGAGCAAGCACGACGAGCCGAGATATTGATAGTATTCCCATACTGCATCTTATAGCGAAAGATGGCAGGGACTGTGAAAGGCTTCACAATCTCCTACTCGAAGAGAATTACAGTGTGACGGAAGAACACGATATCAGCACAGCTATTTCCACGCATGTCCGCACAGCCGCCTTTTGGTTCGAGCAAGGCTCACCTCTCAATGAATTGGGAATGATCAACATCCTTGTCAAAGGGCATAGCTTCGTACCCGTCAGCTACCCAAAGAGCTACAGTACGTGGGTACTTCGCACCCTCTGGTATGAACGCGTAGCTCCATGCCCTGACCGCGGGTCATTCCTCGGAGCAATGTCGTAGTCAGTAATTACTGACTGACAGGAAACGCAAAGTCCATATGCCCGAACAAATTATTTTCGTTCCGAAACTGCCTCGTTCTTCGTATTGTTGGGGGCTGCACTGTTCCAAGGTCGTAGCGTCCAGCTCCGCAGTAGGGCCGTCGATCGATTCTCGGGCCGGTACCATGCTCCATCTTGCAGGGAGGTGACTAGTATGAGCTTTATTTGGCACGACCGATGTATAAAACATGATGGCACATGAGCGCAGTTCTAGAAAGCACTTCAGGTTCGACTTCAAAATCTTCCTTTCACCTCTACACCCAAGCAGCACTTTTACAAGATGGTGTCCCTCACAGGTATCCGAATCCTGGCTGCAACAGTCACTGTGTCGATGCTTGCGACCACCGGTCTAGCAGACTTCCACATTTTAGGGTGTGCTAATAATGAGAATGATGCCTCTGCATACGCATTTGTCAGTCTGGCTCCATGATACCTAATCACCAAAAATGCAGCCAACTTCTTACTGACACGGCTTCTAGGCCAAGGCACTTCCCTCCGATCGATACAACTGCGATGGACTTGGGAAGGGAGGAAATAGCCGGCTTGTTATGAATTGGGACGGCCTCGGTCAGGCACCTTCCTATTTCCGAATCGTCAGTGACACTTGCCGCAAGACATACAATCTCTACAAGAATGGTGACAAATACGATTTCTTCGAGGCTGGGGGTAACGGCAAGGCACTGGGTGCATGCTATCCAAATTCAGGACCGGCATTCACATGTACAAACTTAGTACCATTCGAACTTGTATGTCGGGAAAAGTTTGTGTGCTATGGACCTATATGCGCATATTGATATCGGGCGATGACCTCACATCTGCCTGGTAGCGTGATCAGGACGGTTATGGATTTCTGATAGTAAATTTCTTTTAACCCTAAGTCTTTCGCTAGCTTCAGCATGCCCGTGTGTCTCTTATGACATGTCGTTGCTACAATCTTCCTTAGAATTCCCTCGTAGAGGGGATGTGACTCTAGTTGACACGAACCCATCTCCTACTAAAAAAAGAAAACGTTTACAAGCTAGTTCGAGAACTTATTATATGATCCAGTGACACATCATTCATCACACGATCGAACACACCTGAAAGCTGGACAAGGGTTTTCACCGGTCCGTACGATTCGTTGGATCAGTGATGCACCTTTTCTGTTGCAGATGGCATCGTCAGCCAAGCTCACGCAAGCTGTGTTAGGTCCATTTTATCAGGTATTCGATACGACAATGTTCATCGCAAGGCGAGCCCAATGTAAGCTGCAACACATAATTTGGGCATTTTCGATGCTAACAGGTGTAAACGGTACTTTGCGACCGCTTCTTCAACAAGAACACCAAGCAGACCAAGCAGGATCTGAGCACCAAGGAATTCAAGTCCAGGCGCGGTGGATGGTGCCAGACGGGTGAAGATTTTCCCTTCTTCGAGGTCGCTGGCTTGACGTTGTTCCATGAGATGACACACATGCATATGATTGGTCAAAGTGCAGGTCTTACCGCGCGTCCTGATCCAGATGGCTACGATTCAGCTGGTACTGTAGATATATATGTCAAGGGAGGAGATGACGACCGGAAGAAGTATAAGGACAAGGACCCCTGGCAGGCGGCTCGGGAATTGAAGCGCCTATGGGACGTTTATGACGGCGATGACAAAGCGTACAAGCCTACTACTCCGACAATCGAAAACGCGGAGAGTTATGCAGCTGCAGCGCTCGAGTTTTATTTCCTGGGTCGGTGTGAGTGGGATGTTATCTTGCCTAAATAGATCATGTGGTAGACAATGTTTCCACAGGTGCGGTCGGAGTTTGGTCCACAGCAGAGCAAGAAGTACAATTCCAATAGAAATTTCATGGGATAAATAGCTTCTTCGTCTTTCTGTTCATAATAACGATTAGTTCAGACCGTGCATGTAGGATTCTGCCGCGGTTGATAGTTCTGTAGGTTGAATGATCAAGGCATCAGAACACTTAGCTATCATGAAATTCTTCCATCCCCTCCAGAGCATCCAGTCTTCTACTGCACTTCAATCGACTTATCTTATGCACTTGCGCCCTACGCGGGATAGTGGAATCTATGTCATCGTATCGAGTACGTGACGAGTCATTCGCTTCCAGCCATGTCTAGGTAGTAAGCTGATCATCGTTTAACACTTGGATCAGACTGTGTACAGCAATACTGCTATTTGGCATCGTGTATTAGCGATGCTCCACTTCGCACAGTGGTTTGGTCGTGTTCAGAGTTGAGTTCTGTCGGTGGGGCTAGGAAACCCCACCATTCTCAACACGGCTAGCGCGGGCGGAAAAAGCGAGCTTCCGGCACACTTGGATTTCGACGCTCTGGTATTGCGAACTTCAACGACTTCGACAATCCCGCGACGACGCACCCGATTTCCCCTCACAAGTCTACCACCAACCTAATCAGTCGCAATGGCATCCAAGCGTGGGTATGTGTGCCCAAATCTCGGAATAGCCAAATTGGCAGCAGCCATGACGTCTCGCTAACATCTTCGCAGTCGAGGTTCTTCCTCCGGTAACAAGCTCAAGATGACTCTCGGTCTGCCTGTGTACGTTCTCCTCGAATGCGATCGAACCGCCGGATAATCGCGCGCCACGAACTTTGCATGTGATATAGGGAGATGGCTAACGGAAGCACAGCGGAGCCGTCATGAACTGCTGCGACAACTCCGGCGCCCGCAACCTGTACATCATCTCCGTCAAGGGTATCGGTGCGCGTCTTAACCGTCTGCCTGCTGGTGGTGCGGGAGACATGGTCATGGCCACCGTCAAGAAGGGAAAGCCTGAGTTGAGGAAGAAGGTCATGCCCGCTGTCATCGTCCGCCAGAGCAAGCCATGGAGGCGGGCGGACGGTGTCTTCCTGTACTTCGAGGACAACGCTGGTGTGGTGAGTGGTGGCCTGGGAGTCTGACAGCATCGCTTTGCTGGCAGATTTGCTTGGAACGAGACTCGGCTAACCTCACGCAGATTGTCAACCCCAAGGGTGAAATGAAGGGATCCGCCATCACTGGCCCCGTCGCAAAGGAGGCCGCCGAGCTATGGCCGCGTATCGCCTCCAACTCCGGTGTCGTCATGTGAGGTGTCTCTTTTCCTGCTCTTCGACTTTTATGGGTTCACGGGAACGGCGAAAATGCATTTACGGGGTGAAGGAAACGGAAGCAGACATTGCACACATTAGCAATGGCACGATCTTCACAACACCAGTCAAATGAACATTACGAACAGCCACCACTTTGTGCAATACTGAAGTGAATTGATTTGCGGAACGGGAATATGAGGTTGGCAGCATAATATTGGCCTGAGCATACTTACAGAAAGGAAATTTAGGACAATCCACCACGATTAGCACGACGTACGATCGCATGCCACCAACTCCACATCGCCAGTCTCAATGACCTCCAACTGCCTCGCCCACTTCATATTCACCATGGGCGCAATGCTCGCCTCACGCTTCCTCGCACCCGCCGCGAATTGCAGCTTCTCGTTGCCGACGACACCAGTTGTAACGACACCGGCACTGGGCGCTCCAATGCCCTGCACGGCCCCGTTTCCACCCTGCATGACACTCGCATAGCTGGAACTCATGACCTGCACACCGCTAACAAAGTCTTTTCCATCGAATGCGCAGTGCCCTCCAACCGGTGTGTTGTCAACAGTCTGGAGTGCGTTGACCTGTGCTGCACTCATTCCCCCTTGGGCAGCTGCTTGTTCGTACGCTACAACGGCTTGTGGGATGGAGCCTTGCAACAACGTCAATTCATTCTGTGTGCTCTGGAAGTGGATGCGTGTTTGCGACATGACGGTGGCTTGGTCCACAAATGCGACTTGGGGCGGCATACCGCCACAGTTCAGCTCGACAGCGCTGTTTGCAAAGTTCTGCATTTGCGCCGGGATGAAAAAGCCACTCAGCATCAGCGATCCGCCAGATACTCCAGTGAACACGACATTGCTCATGTTCACCGCGACTCTGGCAGGTAGCTCGTTCTGGATGAAGTCATTGACGGCTTGGGAATGCGCAACGCCGTCCGTCCTGTCGAGGCCACTGCCACCACCCCAGAATAGGTTCTTATCGGGTGCAAGCAGCGCAACACCCATGGTGTTGGCTTGCACGTTCTGGTTGGGCATGTCGAAGAAAGACTGTCCACCATCACCGTGCAGGAGGACATTGGCGCCGAGAGTGCCGTTCGCCGAAGTTGCAGCGGCACCGGGGACCCCAGATGTGGTGAGAAATTGGTCTGCCGGCGCAGAGATCTTGAAACGGATCGGAAGGCCGCTGCAGGAGTGTTAGTTTCGATCGTGCTTACGGTGCAGTCATGGGTAAATATGGTGAGAAACAAACGTACTTGATCATCACTGTGTCATCCATGATCACACTTCCATCTTGAGCTTGGCTCAGACCTTGCGGCACTTGAGCGGCTTTCTGCTGTGCTGTGGCGCGTTGCTGGCCGCCTCCGTTGCCATTTCTGTTGCGTTGGGGCAGAGCGCTAGAGAGAGAAAGAAGGGAAAGAGCGATGATGGAGGTTGAAGCGTGCATGTTGAACTCGTTGCTTTCGGATTTTAATTATAGAATTAGATGTTCAAGAAAATGGACCAGCCCAAAAGAATCGAAATGATATGAAGATAAACTGCACGGCAGAAACCTGACAAGAAAGTGTGGAGAGGGAAAAGAAGAAGATGGGGACTGCAGAGGATATGTTCTTCGCATCCATCCCCCTCTTCCTCCTAACTTGAATCTCGAAACAATGCCTGATCCCTAAACATGTCCAAGTAGCCAAGTCTTGCGTATTTGCTTCGTCTAGCCGATCTGAGCTTATCGTCTGCGTTGTTCGCGTGGCTCCGGGGCGGTATTGGTGACGCTTGTTTGATGTGCAGCTCATGCAGCACGTCGGGTTTGGGTGGCGTTTCGGACGCGGGCTTGGCGCCGACAGGGGGACTTTGAGCCTCAGGCCTTGGGAACTATAGCAGATCCAGATGCAAGGAAATTGGACATGTGAAGATTTCATAGGTGGGAAAAGGACGGGTTTGGGTTTGGGAATGAGAATATGGTGGGACCTCAGTATGCACTGTGTTGGCCGTGAGCTGTTGCTATTATCGCAATTGTCGAGGATATAGTGCACACACACGAAGAGCGGTGAGTAGGTTCCAAGCTAGAAATCATGGTTCTTCACATGAGTCGATTTGCATTACTATTGATGTTGGCTTCGTCGTGCCTCCCCCAGAAGCGCTGTTGCTGTATGATGCTAGCGCATCATGCTCGCGCGACCCACCTCCACAAACGACACTCCGTGATGCCTCGTCGCCTTCTCTAAATCTAATTACTTTACAATGCATGGATCTTGCCATTTCGAGATGTTTGGACCTTCAGCTACAATATTTGCGTACATTGTCTGCCTTGTCACTACCGCATTGTCGAAGCCATCGAACCTATTCCGTCCGACGCGTCATCCCAAAGCGCAGAAGTCACGTTCGTTATGCTATAGCCGGGGTAGCGGAACTCCAGCAGATCTCCCAGACATCATGGCCAATGTACTGTATAGCTGAGTTGCCTCCATAAGGATAGATCCCCTCCCATACACCACAACCATGACGTCGAAGGAGAACCCGAATGTGCAGTTTTTGCTGTTACGCGTTCTTCCGTAACAGCATTCACCTGATATTTCGTGTGCTGCATGACTAGATTGGCCCACTACATGCAAAGATCTGGCATCGTCTTCTTTCCATGATATCCCTCAGCGATTCGTATAATATTCCTAATCCTACCCGATCAGATTCGAATACTGTATACAACTTCAATGATTGTTGTTGTCCTCTCATCAGTACCAGGTGTAGCGATAATCCGTGCGCGCTGTGCCGCACGATCCTGAGTACCGTCCGAGGGCAGTTCAATGAAGCTGTCTAACTTCAAAGTTTTCTCAGCTCTTCGCAACGCACTAATCATCTGTTAAGCCTATTCGGGCTGGAGTATAAGATAACAGTTGCTCTGTCGTAATAATTCAAGTTCAAACAGAACACGTACGGATTATTGCTACACCTGGTGCCGGGTTGTCAGGCTGACAGAAGATCTATGCTGTTCTACACACACGATCAATGTTCATCGATCATTGCTACCGTTCTGGCAGACCTGGCGGGGTGGGTACAAACCTTCGGCTGATCTTTAAACACCATCAGAGTGTAATTGAGTCAAAGCGGCATCACCTCAAGACTTCTTCAGACTGCAGCTCCGCTCTAATAGCAGCTGGGGTTTTATCAGCGCGCGAACGAATTATAGCAGTGCCTGGTGCTGTGGTTCATATTCATGACCCATGCGCTGGCGCACATTTGCTTTGCTATTTCAGAGTCTAGGTGAAGGGAAGTGTGTGCGATAGAAAATCTCTCGACCTGGCACAGGTGAAGGTGAGCGCTAGCAACCCGAGATATCAGTGACTAGCACTTTGGTATCTATGGTCACGACCCCGCCGATTATGCCAGTAACTGCCACTCCACTCGAGAAACTGCGCGGCAGTCAAATCTGACTTCCGCAAAGCGTACTCCGTCACGCGACAATGGAAATCATCCGCTGTATCCCGTGCGCGATGAATTCTACCAATCCCCGCCGAAGACTGTCGAGGTTCTCAAGGCTAGCTCTTGTCCCGAGACCAATGACCGACCCTCTTTCCTCACCACCTTACCAGCAGAGTTGCGCAACAACGTCTACAAATGGCTGTTCGCGCGAGACGATCCAATCATATACACCGGGCCGGGAAGGAGAGACAGAGAGCCAGATTTCTTCCCAAAATTCAATGACAACTACGACGAAATGCCATCCTTCAGCCCAGAGGAAGAAATCGTCATGCGCAAGCCTTCGCACGATCTCGGTCCCAATGTGGCGATGTTATGTACATGTCGTCAAATATTCCACGAGGCTGTAGGTGTACTTTACTCAGGCAACTAAATCATCGTCTCAGCCAATCTCAATACCCACAATGAGTGCATGAGTCATTTTCATGACGCTCGCGACTTTCTGTACGACATCGGAACGCAGGTCGCCCACGTCCAGGAAATCCAAATCGACATTAGTCCGCTATGCTCGGCATTTGATTTCGATCGTGTTGATGATGTCGAAGTAGAGGAACAGATCGATCTTCTTCCAGTTGCACATTTGAAATGGTATCCACCATCATCAACGTGTGAATTCCGCCTCGTCAATACAGGAAGAGCTCTGAACCACCGAGTCCACGGGGAATTTACTGGGAATTCAGCTCATATGAGCAACATCAACGCCCAACTTCTTGAAGATATTGTGAAGGCCGTGGGTAGCAATCATGCACTCAAAACAAATGGGCGCTTCGATCGACTCATCGACAGAATCGAGCTCAGTCTCGATCTAGAAAGTGGGAGTGTACACTATCCAATGACAGGTCCCTATCATGAAGTTGACAAGAGGACCATTATTCCATTCGAGATATTGAGGGACGATCAAGATCGATTCCACCGTCTTCATTGGGTCTCGTGTGCCCACACATCTGACCTGCATCCATTACCACCACGTGTTTATCGAAAAGTTGTGTGCTGGGCCATGAATGAAGGAGAGAACATCATCTTTGATCTGGATTGTCGGAACGTGTAAGGTCTACCACTCAACATCCTGCAAGTGGATCGGAGCATGAGGAGCTTGGCTCTCACATGCCTTCCATTCTACAATCATATCACCATCATGATGACAACGAGTCTTCAAGGGAGTAACTTCGACTATTGGAAGTCTCTCAAGGCCTGGTTGGAAGAGTCCATCAGCGGCAGCTTTCCCACAGTTATGAAAGAGCCTTCACCAAGTCACCCGGAGCCACCCGCCACAATCGTCCTCAAGGTCACTCTGGCAACTCTAGCCACACTGGCAGAACTGCGTATCGAAATTACCGGCTTGATCAGACTTACATACAAGTTACGACCGTATTGTCTGCTGCGTTTTGAGCTGCGATCGACACGCGAGGATGGGCTGGAGGAGTGCTCGAATCACGCCACAACGTTATTTCTGCTAAGGAAGACACTATTCGTCTTCATATCTGGCATCATGGAAGATTATCCCTGGCGTAAGGATGACGATTGTCCCGAAATTTGGGTCAATGGGTATGGCCAAATTGTTGAGGCAACGTATCCTGGCGTCTGCGACGAAGGCCCTCAGTCTGTCGTCAACAAGGATTTAGACATGGCTATTGATGCGCTCGAAATATTGGGAGAGACTTACATCAAGAGTCTAAAAAATCGAGTCTTCTCGAAGACCAGATCTGGAGCACCGCGCCGCTTTGTCTCGTTGCGTTCATCATGGCCTGAACGGAGCAATGCACTGAACGAAAGCGCGTCGATGAAAGCCTTTTGGAAATCTCTCTATCATCAAGATTGGTCGAAGGGCTCTGACTCACTCCGGTATCTCGATCTTCGATTGGATACCAGATGATCTTGTTGTTGGTAGACAATGTTGGAAGGTGAGCGCGACATGATAAAGAATGTACTCATACGCTTGAGCCTCTCTCGGCAAGGCTTTGGAGTTGGTTGCTGATATGCGTGAGTCTCTAGTGGTGGAATAGCTTCTAGGTTTCTGATCATACGGCAAAAGATTTAAGTATAACTCATGAGGTTGTGGGCTCTTCATTCCCGCAAACTGTACCCATAGCTAACTACCTATCATGATCTTGGAATCTCGCTTTCACTTTTGAACAGAACAATGCAATCTCCATGTGTGACCACACCTTCATTCTCAACCTACTCTTGCTCTTTCACTTTAGGCACAATCGCTCGTAGTGAATGTGAAAGCTTACCGCTAGGCGGCTTGGCTCTTCACTTCAAATACTTCAAATTTTCCGACCAAAACTACAACAACACAGCGGCGCCCAACTAACCGGAAACTTTTCTGTCAACTGAGAACAACAGCTAACTGACCATGGCAGTGCCTAAGCGACCACTCATTCCGCACTGGATCGAGCACGAACTCATGCCCTACCTCCGGTGCGCATTCAGCCATGAGCTAGCTTACGATACGGACATCAGATCTTCAGTCCTCCGTGCCATCGATCGCGCTCTGAAAAAGGCCGTAAGTACCCCACACCACGATGATTGCTGATACGAGACTGACATTACCAGGACTATCCAAGCGATGGTGACGACCTTGTCTTTGAACGTATCTGCCAGGCCATCCAATTCCGATACAAGAACCTCGCTCCAGACCTAAGCATCGCCACCGAAAACCTCGAGACGTTGGCTACCTTTCTACTTCGACGGGCGCAACTGACGGGGCCGTATGAGCTTCTGGGCAGGATGAATATTGCGAGTGGTGCGTGGCGCGAGTATGAAGAAGGACGACTCGAGGGCTTGAGGTTGGCTGCCGAGGAAGAGAAGAAGAGTATGTGCTTGTCCTGACATAATTTTGGCTCTTGCTAACAACCACAGTTAACCTCACCGTTGTGCTCGATCCACCGCCCAAAGCCGCGCCCACCGAGGATGAGATTGATCCGCGTCTGGTTAACGCACTTCCAGGCCATTACGTGGCTCCGAGTCTTCGAGGTACGCTCACTGTAGTAGAGGACCAGTACCACCGAGAATCGAACGCAAGCTTGAGAAGGTACCGCCAGCAGCAGCAAGCCGCTGCGAATGTCCGTCCTCAGTATCGCGCTCCCATGGTTCCCAGAACTGAGGATCGGCAGCAATACCCGCGCAACGCATTGCCTGTCAAAACTCTTGCATCGTCGTACGCACAAGGATTGGGACAGCAGTACACGCGCAACGCAATGCCTCTCAGGACTCTCGCACCATCGTACATGCAAGGATCGGGGCAGCAACAGCACCCGCAGGCAATGCAAGCTGATCATGGACCATACAGTCCGCCATCGCAGTACAACACACCCTATGCCTACCAGCCATCGTCCGTGCCTGTACCGCAACAGCAGCAGATGCACCATTACCCAGCTCAGCCGACAGCAATGCAAGCACCATGGCCTAATGTCAGTGCTATTGCTTCTCCCTCTGGGTTGATGAGTCCGCCTGCAAACGCTGTACACCAACCGCATTCTACGCCGACTTCCATTACCACTGCAGACATCACCCATCTACGCGGCAATCAGTGGACCGAGGCCGTCGAGCAGCGAGTGCACGACTTCAATCACCAATCGCACCCGCAGTCATTCCAAGCCAACAGCTATCAGCAGCCTACGATGCCAACACAGCAGCGTACAGACACCCCGACGCCTACTGGTATATTCGGTCAAGTTCCAATGTATCAGTCCGCACCAGCGCAGTCCCAACAGACTTACCCGCGGGGCCTCGCACACCACCCCAGCTTCTCCAACGTAACCAGCGCATTTCCAGACGTCAACTCCATCTACAATTGGTCGATGCAAAACGGCCGAGGACAACAATAATGGCGACGACGTGTGAATGACATAGAAAGATTATCGCAGCATCGTGCTCCGAGTAGTTCACGATGTTGTCATGGGCTTGCGCAAGGGTCCAGTTCGTCATTGGTAGATCCCACGTCATCCCGGTATGATAGTAGAAGTTCCGGCGAAATGGTAATTAAGCCTCAAGGGGTCCCCATCGAGTGTCCGCAGAGGGTCTGCGCTGACGATGTGAGGGTGCTGAACCTTCGAGGATGCAGATTTTGTGCGCACGGTTGACGGATTGGATCGACATGTTGGGTGATACGGCAGTGATGAAGGAATTTAGGTTTCGCACAATATTGCCAACACCGCATTGTGTCTTGAACAGACTGGCGAAGCAAATAACGCACGTAGATTGAGCAATTGAATGGAACCAAACGGCCAAAAGTGCGCTCAGTAATCCAGCTACAACTTCACAATGCCATTGTGCTTGATCCACATTGTCTTCATGACGATAGCACAAAAAAAATTCCCCGATGTTAGAACACTAAGTTAACGAGTCGCTTAGCCAATGCGCGCTAATAACCGGACCGGCAGGCGTCCGACCAGATGCATCGACATCAGTGGCGTCTTCGCGACCAGAAGAGTAAGTCGCACTAACTTGTTGGAGCACTAGTATTGCTTATGGATAGGAACGGCGCAGCGTCAGCTCGCCAGTAGTGTAGCGAGATCTGCACCCTGCATTGCGGATCGATATCTCGCAGATGGGATTTTGGACGACAGATGGCCGAGGCGCAAGGAAAGAATGACGAATGGGAGAGACGGGCCGTGACAACATGTGATGGAATAGGGATGGAAGATAAATACCAACCGCCCAGGGTGGAATGAAGGTATCGCTGCTACTATCGTCCCGGTTAATACTTTTCCTTGTACATATTGATAGCCTTTTGAGCATCTTCAATTATGCGTTGCAGCGTGCCTTCATTGGCTCTTTTGAGCTTGATCCCAGCGGCTATAGCAGCTCCTGCTCCTGCTGCTGAACCTGCTCCAGTACAAGCACCGGCACCGACACCTGCTCCATCACTCGACGATGCGTTGGCACTGGAAGAACGACAGCTCGGTGGCCTTTTGGGTGGTATCCTAGGCGGTGTCAATGGCGTTGTGACCGGCCTCCTTGGAAGTGTCGAGAGTGCTGCAGCAGCAAAGAACCCAGCTGCTGTCGGTTCTGCTCTCGTCAAGATTGTAGCGCCAAACCGGCCTACCAACATCGCAGATTGCATGACACGAGCATCAAAAGTATGGGCAAGCCCCACTGGCCGAACGGACATTTACCCTGCTATTGCTTCCCAAGTCGCTGTTGGTCTTGGTCCTCTGCTCGATGGGACGCTCCTCACTGCTCTGACGGGTGGCCTTGCAGTGGGCGAGAACAGCATCAACAACAACAACCCCAATCCTCCCAAGAGCGTGTGGAACATCAAAGGCGACGCGCCCTACTCGCTTTCGGAGAGTGCACTGCGCAAAGCCATCTTCATTCCCCCAACCTTCAAGTATGGCGCTGGTAAGAAGCGCCCCATCATCATGGTTCCAGGAACCGGTGCGTTTGGAGGCGTCAACTTTGCCAACAACCTGCGAAAATTGCTGGTAAACCAGCCTTTTGCCGACCCAGTGTGGCTCAACATCCCCGGTGCCATGTTGGGCGACGCACAGCTCAACTCCGAATACGTTGCGTACGCCATCAACTACATATCAGCAATTTCCAAATCCAACTCAAACAACATGGCGGTCATCTCCTGGTCGCAAGGCGGTCTTGACACGCAATGGGCGTTCAAGTACTGGCCGTCCACCCGCAAAGTCGTGAAGGACTTCTTGCCCATCAGCCCTGATTTCCGCGGCACCGTCCTCGCCAACGCACTATGCTTGACAGCAGACTCCAAGCTGATGTTGAACCCACTTTGCCCACCATCAGTCATCCAGCAAGAAGCGACATCCGACTATGTCAACACTCTCCGGACTGCGAATGGAGATAGCGCATACGTCCCGACCACAACATTCTACTCGGGCTTCTTCGACGAGATTGTCGAGCCGCAGCAAGGCAACTTCGCATCTGCGTTCATGAACGACGGAAGAAATGTTGGCGTGTCAAACAACGAGGTGCAGAAAGTCTGCGCGGGAGGTCTAGCAGGGACGTTCTACGGTCATGCCGGTGTGCTGTTCAACCCACTCACGTATGCTTTGATCGTCGACGCGTTGACACATGATGGACCGGGAAATACTAGTCGCATCAACCTCGCCAGTGTATGCAGCACGTACGCTGCGCCTGGACTGGATCTGGACGACGTTATTGCGACAAGCGGACTCATTCCGATTGCAGGTGTCATGTTACTCACATACCCAGACAAGAGGCTTGCAGAGCCTGGGCTGAAGAGCTATGCGAGGTAAATAATGATGTAATGTCTAGTTTCGTAGTAATGTTTAAGCCCTGATACATTAAAATTATCGCCTTGCGTTTTGACTTTATGTTGATCTAGTGGAAGGTCGAGTGCTGGAGCATCGCGACATGTTCTCGGCCGAGTTCGGAGCGGAGATGTTTTTCGCCGACCCGGTCGCAACCACTGTCACTGCTTACCAGACAGCTCAAAGACCCCGGACCCTGCTTTTGGTTATGCAGCTGACCTGCATCATGTAGAACGAACGTTGCGAATGGAGGGCTCGACTTGGGACAAAACTCCGCACAGGTGTGGGAGGCCTTATCCTGGGGCTACGATTAGCTATCGAAGTATTGCAGCTTCCACGATGAGTCAGATTGACGTGCGATCGTACGAACTGCACTGCGAGTCGGACAATATGGCCGCCATTGTACATAGACGGCTTTCCGTTCATTCACTTCTGCCATCTCAATTTCAGGTAGGACGTATGTGACGGCAGGGCTTCTGTGAGAGGAACTTAGAAGAACTGGCTGGACTGGATGCCTGATTCAACATTCGCCTATTCCGACTTTGGCGCTCAACACAGTCATCGAAAGGTCCGAACGCACAGCTTATAAAACCCACAAGACATACACCTGCTGTGAGGCCCAACACGTGCCGGGGCGTCAATGTCGCAGGGCTGGTTGCATCATGGGAGCATCGGAGCCGCGTCTTTAGCCATCGCCGACATTCGAACAAGCGCCCTCCTCAGCCCTAAAGCCAACAAGGCATCCAGATTCTCGTCCGGCTCTCCTCTGCCATTTGCCGAATTCCTGGCTACAGTAACAAACAGACACATTGGCGCCATGTCTGAAGACTCTCCTCAAGCGGACAACTCGCCCGAGGCCAGCCTTAGAGCCAAGGGCAGCATTAGCGGTCCCTTTGCTGCCGGAGGTCCCTCGCCGAACCCCCGGTCGTGCGTGACATGCCGCAGACGAAAGGTAAGCAGTCCGTGTGCACATCCAACATCGCACACACACTGATCTTGGCAATCCTTTCGTGCAGGTCAAGTGCGACAAGAGACACCCTTGCTCCAACTGTACTCGCGCCAAAATAGAATGCATCTTTCCTGGACCCGGTCGCGCCCCGCGCAAGAGTCGAAAGCCAGCAGATGCGGAGCTCTTGGAACGACTGCGCCGCTTGGAGGGCGTCGTGTCGAGCTTGAATGCCCAGGTCGAGGAACATGAACAGGAGGCGGCCGAGAGGGAGAAGGGGTCCGAAGCAGGCCACCCGGAATGCCCGTTCTCCAACGGCAAGACGAATCCAAATGACGCTTCAGAACCAAGAGTCGTTTTGGATAATAGCGTAGAGGGGCTGGAGAACCGCTTTGGCAGGCTCGTGGTCGAGAAGGGCAGGAGCCGATATATTAACAACAGCTTCTGGGCCAGTCTCAACAACGAGGTCCGTTGGGTAGCCAGGAACACATTGGTGGTCGCATACTGACATGCTGCAGGTGGAAGACCTCAAGTCTGTGCTGATCGAACCCTCCGACGACGAAGACGAGGCGCATTCTCCGAATTCGTCCAATCCTTCTTCGCAGCACCAAGGCTTCGTCTTCGGATACAGCTCTTCCAATGTGGACATGCAAACGCTGCATCCTCTCGAAATGCAAGCGCATCAGTTCTGGCTTGCGTTCAAAGAGAACGTCGACCCCCTCGTCAAAGTCCTACACATCCCCACCTTTGAGCCTGTCTTCTACAACGCCGTGGCACACCCAGACAAAGTCCCCAAGACCCTGGAGCCGCTACTGTTCGCAGTCTACTACGGTGCCGTGACGAGCACGACCCCCGAAGAGTGTCGTGAGCGCTGGGGGGAAGATCGCACAACCATGCTGAACAGGTACCGCTTTGGTCTGGAACAAGCCCTCGCACGGGCAAACTTCCTGTACTGCGACGAAATTGTCATTCTCCAGGCCTTCATCATCTTCCTCATCCTTCTCCGACGAAACGACGATGCGCGCAAGATTTGGACTCTTACCGGGCTGGTGGTGCGCATCGCACAGACGCTGGGCATACACCGAGACGGGACTCATTTCAAGCTCCCGCCTTTCGAGATTGAGTCGCGCAGGCGCCTTTGGTGGCAGGTGTGCATACTTGATGCCCGTTCGTCTGAGGATCATGGCTGTGACCCTACCATCGTCGAGGCCCAGTACGATACAAAAATGGTACGTTGGCTCTGCTCTCATTCCAAGTCCACTATGCTAATGTCAGACCCACAGCCTCTCAACGTGAACGATGACGACCTCCACCCAGACATGACCGAGTTCCCGGAGGAACGCACCGGCTTCACCGACATGACGTTCTGTCTATTGAGGTTCGAAGTCGCTAGCATCTTCCGCCGCATCCTCTATATCCCACCCGGACCGAACAGATGCAACGAGTTCTTCGCGAGCCTCTCTATCGCGGAGAAGGAGAAGTGGATTACCGAGTGCCACCAGAGATTGGAAGCGAAATACCTGACCAACATGGACATGACAATACCGCTGTGTTGGGTGACGGCAACAATTTCAAGGTTGATCATGAGCAAAATGTGGTTGATTGTCTATCATCCACATCAGCGTAAAGACGGCGGTGAGTTGTACACAAATTTTCGGCCATGCATCACGCTGATGAAGACCAGGTGCCACACTCCCACAAGAGACCAAGGATAAGCTCTTCATTACTTCCCTTGAGAACATTGAATACTCCATTCTCCTTGAAACCGAAGCGCGAACAATGAAGTGGGGCTGGCTCTTCCGGACATACGTCCAATGGCATGCAGTAGCTTTTCTCCTTTCTGAGCTATGCGTACGCACCAAGGGCGAGGCAGTCGAGCGCGCATGGCGTGCGCTTGAAGCTACCGCAGGCCGATGGTGGTTCCCACTCAATGATACATCGCCACATCGTTCTGGTCGAGGACAAGGCTGTTTGTGGAACCCATTACGGAAGCTCCTCTTGAAGGCAAAGGCTGCGCGAGAGAGGGAGCTGGCTCTTGACCGAGCAAGCATGGCCCTCCGTGATGGTCAGATGATATATCCTGGGTTCTCACGGGGTATGGATCACAATCTACCGCCTGTTTCTATCGATCAGCCAAGCACAGAGAACCTAGATCGGTTGTTACGCCCCTCGGCCCCAAGACTGGGTGACAGCCCAGCCATGCCGCAGTCGTCATGGCCAAATAGCCCGTCCCTTCCTCATACGCATAGAAACTTCTCCAATGGTTTCTCGGCTGGATTAGGCGACGAGCCGACTGAGGCGCAACGATCCACATATGCCGAGATTAATGGTGTTCCGCGAAGCGTTGCCTCCAGTCCTGGCCAAGACTTTGTGAATTTGAGCAATTTCGGTCTTGACAGCGTTCTAAAAGACGTCGTGGGTGGCATGGACATATATGGCAACTCCACCTACGACTATCCAACTCAGCGCGAGGTCAACGCAGCGCCTGGTCTGACCAACCAAATGGCATCCAATGGATTTCCCATGGAAACAAAACCCGCGCAGGCCAACACGGTGAATTCCACGGCTACGGCTCTCAACGCTGCGCACGGAACCTTTGGCGATCCAATGTTCGGCAACGTCGACTTCGGCACCATGCCCGTACCCAATGGGCAATCAAACGGATCTCCTATGGAAGACGGACACGTAGACTGGCAGGTATGGGACGACATGGTGGCACAGTACGGCATGGATGTGCAAATGGCAAATCCCAACACCAATCCTGCAAGCAACATGGGCTTGACGAATTGGTTCTGATCTATCGTCGATTTCAATGAGATAGGAGGATGTTTCACGGCGTTTGGAAGCAACAAGTCTACACTCAGACATGATTTTTGTATAGATGGAGTGAGTGCGTGGTTGACATATACCCTGGGACATGTTTTCGGGGTTTTGAGTATATTGTAGACAGGCCCACATGTATAAAGACTTGTACATTATGGAAGCATGAACGTCTGTGTTTTATGGAAGTGGATATGTGAGTACCTATTCCCAAGCCATAGCGGGGTAGGTCCGAACGGGTAAGCTTGACCACCACGTGGAGGCGCTGATTGCGTGACTTGATAAGGCCATCTTCACCGCTTTGATGCACAGTCGCCATCATATGATGACATGGGCAGCATTATAATGTGGAGGCTCAAGTCGTTTCTTGCAAATCTCGGACATAGCTATTTGACCTGCAAGTTCGTTTTCTAAGTTTCAACGTACCATAGCGAGAAGAAAATTTGCATGCAAGAGCTGGAAGGACATTTGCTTTGATACCCACACGCGAAAAGAGACTTGGATTGTATAGGAATTTTGGGAGTATTGTCAGAAAGATCTTTCGGTATTGACATTGGTATTGGCATTGGTGGTAGTTTTGCAGTTGTCATTCTCCTTTTGCATTTTCCCCATATATCTCATCACTTCAACGACCATACCGCAAGCCATGTCCGCAGCAGTAACACTCCCCTCGCAAGACGCAGGTTCGCTCTCATCTGACCCGTCGAAACCAACAATCCTCCACCTCGGCGACGACATACGCTGGAACCATGAGCTCTACGCCACCCTCCAGGCCAAATTCAACATCATACGCACGTACTCGATGGGCCGCGCAGACTTCAAAGCCGCGTTGAAAGAGAAGAAATGGGGCGATTTCGTAGCTATGTACCGGCCTTTTTGGAACACAGGGGGCGAAATGGGGAACTGGGATGAAGAATTAATGTACGTTTGCACGTCCCTTCTCCCTACCACCCCTTTCCTTTCCTTTTCTTTTTTTTTTTCCACCAGGAATAGAGTCAAGTTGATATTTATTTATTTCAGTGCCCTCCTCCCATCCTCACTCAAAATCTTCGCCTCCGCCGGCGCCGGCTTCGACTGGGTCAACACATCCGCCCTCGCCGCGCGCGGCATCATATACTGCAACGCCGCCTCGGCGTGCACCGAGTCCGTCGCCGACGCCGCGCTCGTGCTGATTCTCTCGTGCTACCGCGCGATCCCGTGGTCCTTTCTCGCAGCGCGGTCCTGCGACGCGGACGCGTTCAAGGACGCGAACCAGAACATTGCGGCGGTGACGCACAATCCCAACGGCGGGGTGTTGGGCATCGTGGGGCTGGGGCGGATAGGCGTGAGGATTGCGCAGAAGATGAGGGCGGCGTGTGAGATGCGGGTTGTGTATTTTGATGTTGTGAGGCTGAGGGAGAGGGAGGAGGAGGTCGGGGCAAGGTATTGCTCCTCGCTGGAAGAATTGCTGGGCGTCGCGGATTGTGTGGTGCTTGCTACGCCGTTTGCGGGCGCGACGTTGCTTACGCCCAGGGAATTCTCGTGGTTTAAAAAGGGTGCGAGGTTGGTGAATATTGCACGGGGGAAGTTGGTGGATGAACAGGCGTTGATCAAGGCGTTGGATGATGGGACGGTTTCGGCCGCCGGGCTGGATGTGCATGCGGATGAGCCGCGGGTGAATCCTGAATTGGCAGGGAGGAGGAACGTTATGGTTTTGAGTCATACGGCGGGCGCGAGTGTGGAGAGTCATGTGGGGTTTGAGAGGTTGGGGATGGAGAATCTGCTGGGTTGGATTGAGAAGGGGGAAGAGGGGGTTGTTAGTGCGGTCAATCTGGGAGAACTGAAGAGAGATTGATAGAGGAATGGAATGCGAAGACATGGATGGTTATGTTTTTTTTTGAACGGAGTGCTGTTATAGTAGAAAGATTGCCGGGTGTCGGTTTTTGCTCCTTTGCCCTGCGATTGCAGTGCCAGGCGACAGGGGAGATGCGTTTGCGTAGTCAGAAATTATCGAGCCGTATGGTGATGTGTAGCGATGTCGATGGAGTGACTGCAGTCAAGTCAGCACTATTATCAACGTTACAAAAGGAGGTGAGGATGTGAACGTGTCATCTCACAAAGTAGTAGAACCCCATCTCTCCCCTCCTACTCTCAGATTTTCGATCAAATACAGAAACCTCTCTCTAATCCCCCCAAAGACTTTATTTGAACAACTTACTAATAACCTTGCCGCCCTTCTCCAGCCCCTTCAGCACTTTCGTCCTGTTTCCACCTCCGCTGAAACCACCGTGTTTCCCGTCCTCACTCGCTTCCAACATCTTCCCTCCCGCACCTCCATACCCGCCACAATGTCCCGTGCCTCCACACTCGCCCCCAGGACAACCCTGAATAAAATGCTGAACGTCGCTACAACATCTCCCACACTCCCCCGATCCCATGAACGGACCTCCCTGATTCCACCCCACACGCATTAATCTGGCCTTCCTGCCCTCCCAGCCCGTCCTCGCATCCGTAGCATGAAATACCCCCCAAACCTCCGGGCCGCCAGGGCCGTCAACAAGGACAAAGTTACCGTGTCCCGGCCCATAAGGCGGCGTAGAATCGCGACTTGCCGTGAGCAGCGGTGTATTCGACTTGCACCAACTCATTGGATCCAGCGGGTGTCCATTCGTATAATACAGGACGTTCATTTTATACTCGCTCGTCCAGCTGCCGGCGCACGAGTACACCAGCCCTTGCCACCTGCCATCGGGGCTGCACAGGAACTGCGGGCCCTCGTTGATGCCGCTGGTGCCGCTGTATTCGAATTGCAGGTCGGGCGTGCTGATGCGGATGGGATGGCCTGTGACGGATGTGGGTGATGTCATTTCGAGGATGAAGAGCTCCTGGCGGGATTCGTTGGCGGTCGTGCCTAGGGGCCAGCCGGAGTAGACGAATAACATCGAGCCGTGGAGCGTGATGACGGTGCCGTCGATGGCCCATTGATCGGGTGGCATACCGTCCAAGCGGCCGTGGAAACTCCACTTGTCCTTTTCCAGCGGCGAGGAGTCGGCATCTGGTCCCTCGAGCACGTACATTCGGTGGCTCTTGTTGCCGTGCGCTGGATCTGCGGCCGCGAAGTAGACATACCACTTCCCGTTTAAGCTGTGAAGTTCGGGCGCCCAGAGATCGGCGGAGTATGGCTTTTCGGGCGGTGGGCGCCAAATAACTTCTTTCTTGCACTTATTTTCAAACTCGAAGAGGCTATCGGCTGACCAGATTTCAATGTGACCACCGCAGGTGAATGTCATGTAGTATGTGCCCTTCTCCCAAAGTACGTATGGGTCAGCACAGCTGCTGTTTGTGATGGTGAGGATACTGTCGTTGTACGGTGGCCTTGCCATTTTGTGCATTGGACCTGGGTAGCCTTCCATGTTGAAAGGGATACTGTAGAAGTCGAGATTGCACTCTCTCCGCCCGTCGTTTCCTAGCTCTTGTACTCGCGTTCACTCCGGACCTCCAACCGACGTATGACCTGTGGAGCTCGCCAAGACTCAGGCTCTCTGTCGTCTATCTCTATCACTCGATCTTTCCTTCGGTATTCCAAGACCCCGTTTCTCCTTCTCTTACATTGACAAGTCGGTCGTTCAGTCTTTCACCCCGCCGTCGCAATTGAGACAAGAGACGCCATATAGCCAAGTGCGCACCTGACACCTCCTGTGCCTCGGGCGCTATGTCTGACGTCATCTCAAAGCAGTTAGCCCAGGTTGATTTGTCGGTCTCCTTCACTTGATGCAGCAGGTCATGAGAGCGGACGGGCGGCACGAAGAGTGGGTTCGCGCCACGTAAGTGTAGGACCGAAGCCTGTGGAGTCGATTCTTTAGTTCGTGTGGCTGGAAACTGTGGGGTAAGGATTGTCACAAGCCACCTGCCCTGCATAAGTATTACGAGATGAGAGCTGTAAAGGTGCACTTGTGTGGATTATTTGTTCCGTAGTCATAAAGCTACATGCTATCCAAAGCGCATTATCATAAATGTCGCTGCAAAGACTCCAACACTAATTCGCTATGTGTACAAATACGCGGGCGGAAAAAGGCACGCAACTATACTGTTGCTACCAAACACTAAGAATAAGTTGTAGAAGTAGTAGCTTCGTGTCATAGCGCGTGCATGTCGACATTAAGACAAGCGTCAAGTATCCAAACAGGGCGTACAAAAGCCTTTGCAAGCCATCGGAGCAAGTAAATGCCAAATAAACGCCGTGATAAAATGATGCAAAGTACCTTATCCCCACTGAATGTGTACTGAAAATTATAGTTCCGTCTTGAGCGTCTGCTCGAAGGTAAGCTCGCCGGATTCGATGCGATCGACGCGAAGGACAAGTTCCTGTGTACATGTTAGCACGAGTCAAGTTGTTCACTGTGTTAAGCATACCTTTAGTGCCCTCGCCGTCTTGAATGCAAGCGGCGGGATTTTATCGCGACCGCCTCCACTGACGTCGACAGTCACCATACTCTGTCTACAGTCGTCCAACACCTCAACAACGGGGATCGCGTGCTTCTTCAAGGCGGGGTTTGAGAGCTTGTTAACCGCATCGTAGGTCCTGTTGCCCGTGTCCTCAACTGCTTGCGCAATGTCTTGGATATATTCGTAGATTTGCTGCTCATCGGCAGGGGTCGAGGTAGGGCTTGATCGGATGAGGTTTACGAGCGGCTGGATGCTTTGCACAAGGAGTGCGGTCTGGTCTTCAAGATAGTTCTTGAACTCGGTCATGCCACTGTCCACGGGAGGGCCGTTTCCGTTCATTCCTGTACTTTGACGATCATATCCGCTGTAGGGCGAGCTGTACGTGCTGTATCCAGTGGTATCGCTGCTGCCACCTCTGCTACTCTGGTGGCGACGGTGACCAAACCCAGGGCTAGTGCCATTGGTGGGTGCGTTGATACTGTTGGGGGTGAAGGCGGTGTAGTTAGAGAAGACAGTGGGCTTGAGGGGCATTGGGCGATCGTCATCCTCTTCACCCTGTTCCAGCTCACTCTGCGGTGTTGGTCGCACCTTGACGTGCTTCACCAGCTCGACCACAGCAGTCGAAAGATGGCTAGCTGCAGCATCCAAAAGACTGACAGGAGAGATGCCATTCGATGCAACGTGGTTCTTGGTGGCTGTGATGAGGTTGTTGGCAGTTGCACTGACGCGAGACTTGAGCTTGGCCTGTTGCTTTTCAGGACTGGCCATGATATCTCCGCTGATACTGCTGTTCGGGGACTGCATTTGAGATAGAGGTGTGCTGTCAATGTCTCCAGTAATGGCGCGAACACACTTGACCACGTGACGCATGCTGTCAAGTGTCTGCTCCGAACCTGCTCTACGCGCAGTCTGGAGCAACTCATCGATACTGAGCTGGAACTTCGTAACGTGTACATCCTTGACGAGGCCATCGGGCGTGGCGAAACCAGGGTCGCGCATGTAGTTGCTGATGTCGGGCGACGCCATAGCAGAGAGTCCGATGGACGAGGCCTTGAGTGTGCGAATCTGTGTCTTGGTACGAGCGTAGCGGGACTTCCATTCCTTGAGCTCAGCTTCCAACGACGTGACTTGCTGGACGAGGCGTTCCTCCTTTTCAACCGCTGCGTCACTCCGCGCAGAGAGTTCCCTCATTTCCTGCAAGAAAGTTGAAGCGTCTTGTCGGACTTCCTCGGTGACCTGTTGCTGCTCCCTGAGCTCTTGCTCGAGTTCTTCACAACGTTGTCGCCATTCGCCTCCACCGACATCGGATGTCTGGGCGGCTGGTCTTGACTCGAGATCAGCAATCTGTGCACGAAGACCTCTGTGCGATTCTTCATTCTCGCTGCGCAGCCTGTCAATGTCTGCGCGGAGCGCCGAGTTGAGCTTCTCGGCCTGCTCAACCTTCTCTTCCAACGAGAATCGAAGATCGTCCCATTCTGCTCGTTCTGAAGCAGTGTTGCCGTCTCGCATACTGTCCGCGTCCTTGAGTCGTTCTATTTCGTCATCCTTGTCACGTAACGAGCTCTCGAGAGTGCCGATTTTGCCCTGCAGCTCCTTCACCTGACTCTCGAGGTCCATGACCATCTTATCCTGTGCCATGCTCATGCTCTTCGCGCTCTTGTTGGTCTGTCGTCTCCCTGCGGCACCTTCCAGATTGAACGCGTCGTCGTCGTCGCCTGCGCTGTCATCGTCGTCCTCGACTAGCGTTCCCTTGTTCGGGACGATTGTGTTCGACTGGAAAGTCTTTGGCAGCGGTCGTCCAAACGAGTTCTGTGGACCACCTGGCATGAGGCTGCCTGGAGGACCTCCGGGTGGGGGTGGTCCCCGATAGCCCGGGCCTGGCGGTGGTCGATTTCCCATGCCGTTGGGTGTGCCTGACCTGCTCGGCGGCCCTCTGTTGCTTATGCGACTAGCGATGCTGCCATTGGGACTCGACGAGCGCGGCACGTCTCCAGCAGTGAAGCGAGGGAACCTCCGCTCAAGCTCGTAGAAGACGTCGGTCGCGAGCTGGCGGAAGCGTTCGAGGGGCAGTGTCGAGAGTTTCTGTCGCGCTTGGTTGCGCTTCGGATGGAAGTTGTTCTTGGGCAGCAGGAACTTGGGCGTGTCGTTGCCGGGTGCGCCGGGACCGCCTCGTTTGCGGTCGTCCTCTCTGCGTATCGACTCATCGTATACGTCGGTGCTGAGCTCCTGGAACTGCACGGCAGACAGGCGCGTAAGCTTGTCCTTTGCCCTGCTCGGTCGGGGGTTTCCTTGCGCGTCGTTGAGATACGGGCCGAGATATGCCTTCAAAACCTTGAAATGTTCTGACAATGTGTCTTCTAATAGTTGCATCTTCCTGTTGCTGGCAACGCTCGCGTCGCTCATCCTCGAGCTGTACAGGCCGGCGCCATCGCTCGAGCGGCCGATGGAGCTGGGCGGGGAGGGGTTGCCGTTTCCTGCAGAGCGCATTCCATTGGGCATGCCTCCATCTGAATTGCCCAGGGCGCCGTAGTTGGCGGGCGGGAGAGAGGGCGAGTAGGGGTTGTCGCCAGCAATGTTGCGGTAGTTGGTGATGGGCGACCACTCCGGGCTGTCAGTCGAGACAGGCGAGAGGGTGCCATTGCGGGTGTTCATCATGTGCCTGTCGCTGTCGTGTTTCACGGGGCGGCTACGGCTGACGGTCTAACGTCGTATTTATCGATAGTGCGTATCGGACTGGTGAGCGAACTGCAGACGTCAAACTCGGGCTGCACGCTGCTTTCACCAGCAGACGTCGACGGGGAGGGCTGCTGCGGACGCGGACTGCGGGCTGAAACTGTAGGCGTGGTAGAAGACGGGGTAGGCTCTTGTGCCAGTCCAAAAAAGCAGGCGGTGAAGAGCAGGACAATAACAACCAAGACAAAGCGCAGAAAAGAGTGGCACAGCACTGGCAGCGTCTAGCAAAAGAGCCCGCAGCGCAATCAACGATCAACGATCAACGATCAACGAGAGACGGGTACTGCGATAATCCGGATACCGGGGCTCACAGGCTTTTGAGAGCAAGAACGAAGCGGCTGCCGTCGAATGCCAGTGCCTGTGGCCAGTGCCTGTGGCCAGTGCCTGTGAAGCCGGGCCCCTTTCGCGACGCCTTGGGCCTGGCGAGTGTTGGATCGAGCGCTAACTTAGCCGGGAGCGAATGACACAGGCCCTGCCGCCGACCTGCACGCCTCGAGAACCTCACGATGTGGACCGCGGGGGCAGAGAATGCAGACACGCGTGCTCGTTGGACAGTCGCCGCTGCAAGCTTGGCCTGTTCCTGGTGTGCGCGGCGGCTGAGCGTGTCACGACAGCTGCCATGGTTGCTCGTCTGTTGCATGCGAGGCCTGGCACACTGCAGTCGCTCCCACCGGCAGCCTTGCGCCCCGGCCATTCGGTCTAGCCTGAGGCATCCTGGAAACTCTCGGGTTCGAGGCTCTGGTGATGCACCAGGGCACCGGTTCACGCTGTGCCCCTGGCATGCGGCATCATCTTATTAGCAAAGTGCATCTCATTTCACATGGGCCCGTGATTGCAAAGCAGCGCATGCATGGCATTCATTTCATAGGATGACGCGCCGGCCGTAGCTTCCCTTTCTTGCTTCGTCGCCGCGGGAAGGCACGACCTAGGAGCCATACATAGCATCAATGCCACGTGCGCCTATCGATTGTATGGAAGCCGGGACTCCCGCGCGGGAGACTGACCGACAGTTTACCAAAGCAAGTGACTATCATACGCTGAATACGAAGATACATGAGAACGACGATACATGAGACCTCAATCCTAGCGAGCCCTCTTGATCTTCTTCGGATCCTGCTTGGTGCACGCGGGACACAGCCAGTCGCCCACGGGCTCCTCCTTGATGCCCACGCATTCCCAGTGGAACCATTGGTACTTGCATTCGTCGTTGTCGCATGCCACCATGTCGCCAAAGCTGACGCGCTGGCAGAAGCAGTACTTTGTGTCGTCAGATTCTTCTTCGTCCCCGTCGCCTGCAACACCAGACATCTCCTCGTCCTCTGTGCCAGCCTCACTCGCCACGCTCTCATCATCGGCTGTTGTTGACGGCGACGCTCGCGATCCACCTTTGCGCCGCTTCTTATTGATCCCCGACTTCGACGTCAGCGCAGTCCTGCGCAATGGCTGCTGCGGTTTCGCCTTCTTCACCGTGAGTGCGTTCTTCGTCGGTCTGGGTCCCACGCTGCCTGCGCGCGAGCCTGGCGTTGATGGCTTTGGGGTACCTGGCCCGACTGAGCCCTGTCGTCCCAGGTGCGACGATGCGGACGGTAGAGGACCGATGCTGCCATTGGGCCGCCGACGCTTGCTGTCACTGCCGGCGGACATCTCCCGTTCTTGCCGGGCATTTGCCTGTGCTGCGCTCTGGGCGTTGGTAAGTCTTTGCTGATTCATCAGCGCTTGCTGCTGCATATTGTGCAGTGAAGGGTTCAACCTTGAGTTTACATTGACGCTCGTTGCGCTTGTCAGACGCGCAATTGCAGCTGCTTGCGCAAGGTTTGGGGCGCCACCGCCTTGATTGCCAGAGACTGGGTGCAGCGGTGTGCTTGCCCCGGTAGAAACTGAGGAGGGTGGTACCATGTTACCTGGTGAGTCTCTGAGCAACGAAGGCATTGAAGGATCCGAAGGTATGGAACCATCATTTTGCAAGTCGCGCAGCTTGATATCCAGTCGCTTGACGTGGCGGTCCATCTAGAGACTGCTCAGCAAGAGTTATCAAGATAGTGATGTAAACCTACAAGTATGGCGGCCTTGTCTGCAAGTCCTACTTTCTCTTCTTGCAGCACCTGGGCACGCTCGAAATTTTGTGTAATAATTTTTGAGTACGGCTCCTCCTTGGGGTTTTGTACTAGGCTGCCGTTGAGCTTGATGAACTTTTGGAGACTGCCGTCCCGTTGTTGGATGCCAGCGCGCAATTCTTGAATCTGTTGGTCCTTGGCCTGCATCTCCTCGTAGAGATGCGTAATCTCTGCAGGAAGATTGGCGACTGCACGTGATTAGCTGTTGTCGCTGGAGCTGATGTAGTGGGAGCTGGAATTCACCATCATGAATGAACTGCTCCAGCACAGTTGCAGCATCTTCTGCGATCGCCATCTCGAAGTGTCAGGTTCAACGTGTTTGCCTAGCTCAGAGGCGATTGAGTTACAATACCCTCGAGGCGGTTTGCAGGCAGAATGTGGTCCCGTGGGCCGTCAATATCACGCCGTTCGGTGTCAAAATTCGAAAGATAACAGCGTACGAGGTCAGCCAAGTCAGTGTACCTGCTATTTTGATGATTTCCGATGTTGTTTTGATGGATATCGTGGTGAAGGAGCAACGCGCGATAGCGTCGTGAAGAAACCACCTTCACAAGAAGTCGCAGGACCAATTCTCGCGTCTTTTCAACGGAACTCCCTCAAACATCAACTATTGAATATCGCTTCTCGGATATCGTATTGTGAGTTTGAACGAGGTCGCGTGTAGGAAAGATCGCATACTGAAGATGTCCAGGGCTTCGCAACAAAGCGGCTAGACCGCCCCTCACGTGCTCGGCAAAATGCAGGCCTCCTACCAATCAGATGAGCGCGACAACAGTCCTTCTGACGACGAAACATCCAGCGAGTGCGACTCTGAAGAGTCCGAAGAGGAAGAAGAGGACGATTCGTACAGTGATACGCAGGCAGACGAAGAGTCCGAAGAAGACGCCTATCAGTTGCGGAGGCAGCAGCTGGGTCTTCGCACTCGGCCTAGAGGTCGTGTGAACTACAACGAAGAGAAGATCATCCCTGCGGAAGCACCTTTGAAGGTATGTCGCGGTGAACCACCTTCGTAATCTCTAGAGCCTCGGACCGATCTCTCAACAATCCTGAAGATAGCACGTTGTTTGGCGCACTTGCAGCTAAGCTTACCGAGTGCACAGGGCTTCCAAAAGTTGAACAACACAGAGTCCTGGGAAAGTAACACTGCCCGAAGATCTCGGCTTGGATATTCTGCGAACGATAAATTTCTCTGGTCAGATATATCAGCCACTTCGCCAACCAGTTGCGACGATTCTGACCGTTCAGATCCCATATTTCCGCCGCCCACTATGGGCTTCCCTGGAGTGCCACCGCCTAACCCGCGCAACAATATTGTGGAAGAGTATCTTTCTCCCGATGACGCTTACTACGTTGAGGACTACTCAGCCTTCAAAAGGCTCTCGGACGAGGAAAAAGTTGAAGTGGTTGCACGTGAGGCTCAAGACAATGGAATGGAGAAGCCGCTGGGATGGAATGTGTCGTTCCACTACAACCCGCACGTCGAGTATCATCATTTTGGGAGCTCACATCCGATGAAACCATGGCGTTTGACGTTGACGAAGCAGCTTGTGGTCGCATATGGACTAGAGTACACGATGGACTTGTACACGCCACGACCCGCAAATTTTGGTGAACTCGCTCTATTCCATGATCGTGAATACCTGGAATATCTCAGCAAGTCAGTCACTCATATCTACGGACAATTCATTCTTCTGACATTTACACAGAATCACACCTCAGAACGCTCAACCAGAAGACCCCCAATACATCTCCTACGGCTTCGGTGGCGACTCCAACGACTGCCCCGTCTTTGATGGTCTCTGGAACTATGTTTCCCTGTACTCGGGTGCTTCCATGTCTGCCGCCTGGAACCTCTTGAACAAGCAATCAGACATCGCCATCAACTGGTCCGGCGGACTGCACCACGCCAAAAAGAACCTCGCATCAGGATTCTGCTATGTCAACGACATTGTCATCGCCATTCAACTTCTCCTCACTCAACATCAACGTGTCTTGTACATCGATATCGACGTCCATCATGGTGATGGCGTGGAACAAGCCTTCGAAAGCACCGATCGCGTCTTTACACTATCCTACCACAAATACGGAATCGACAGGCACGGCTACCCATTCTTCCCCGGCACTGGTAATATCAACGAAACCGGCCCGCACGATCCCATAAATCGCGGCAAAGGCCACTCCCTCAACATCCCCATCGACGATGGCATTGACGACGCACAGTACAAACACCTCTTCAGCACAATCACATCAGCCGTAGTAGAAAAATACAATCCCCAGGCCATCGTCCTCCAATCCGGCGCCGACAGCCTCGGCGGCGACCGACTCGGTCGCTTCAACCTGAACATCAAAGCCCATGGCTTCTGCATCGAGACGGTGAAGCGCTTCAACCGCCCCCTCCTCCTGATTGGCGGCGGCGGCTACACCCCACGCAACGTCGCGCGAACCTGGTGTCACGAAACCGCCGTCTGCGTCAGTGCAACCCTGCACAACGAACTACCCGCACACATCCCGTACATCCAAGCCTTCCAGGGCGCCGAGAACGGGCACGGCGTGCTCTACCCCGACCTGCATAATGTCAAGCGCCACGACAATCTCAACAGCGACGCTAACATCTCGAAGCTGATTGAGCGCGCGACGGAGAACTTGAGATATCTCGAGGGCGCGCCCAGTGTGGTGTGTAACACAAAGGGCATTGCGGAAGAGGAGATTATGAAGGTGAGAGAGATGGTGGATCAGGAGCTGGAGGATGAGGCGAATGATAGGGAGATGCTTGGGGTAGAGGTGGCGAGGCGGAAGAGGGAGAGGAATGTTGGTGGGCGGGCGGAGAGGGGGTTGAGATGAGATGGAATGGGTAGTGGGTGGCGTTATATGGAATTTTCTTTCACAGCCAGAACAGTTCAAATTATCGCAGCTTCTTGGGCCGTTCTAGGAAAGATCAGGTAGATTTGCGAGTTGGATATGCACATGTATTCTGCATGCTATCTATCTTCTACGCTTCATCGACGTTCTCTTTCATGGCGACTTCATTCTTCTCCATCTTACCATGCATCTTCCTCGCTACTTCGTCCGTCAGATACTGCTCTACGTTCGGGCTGAACAAACCCGCGATAATCAGCAGCGCTCCAAAAGGCAAAGTGCAAAGATACACAGTCCTGAAACTCAACGCATACGCATCCTTCACCGCCGCACCCGTCGCAGCAATGATTTCCGGCGAGATACCCGGAACTGCCGAGAAATCACCCAGAGCGATGCTTTGCAGGAGAGATGGTAGTGAGGAGGAAGGAAGACCCAACGCAGTAACAGCGGGAATGACCTTCTGCGGAATATACTTCGCCGACTCAGTGGCGAGGATGGAGGAATACATGCTCGTCGCTATAGCAGATAGACCAGTACGTATAGCGCCCATGACCCCAGTCACTAATCCCATGTCGGCCGGATCCCATAAATACGCAGTTGAGGACAGTGTAAGGTTCTCGATATATCCCGCAGCAATGGTGCCGATGAGGAGAAGGCCGGTCGTTTGGTTGCGCGTGTTTGCGTTGGAAGCTGCGACAGCGGCGACGAATGCGGTAGTTATGACGGCCGCGACGGTCATTTGAATCTTCATGCGCGGGACGTAACGCACACCTGCGCCACCGAGGATCTGGCCTAAGAGGAGACCGCCGCCTACGGCACACTGGTGATATTAGCCTTTCAATATAGATTGAAGAGTCGGCCGAAAACTCACCGAAAGCCATCCAATCTCCGTTACATCCGTGGTGAATAGCGAGCTGACCATAGTCGGCCAGATGATGGAATTGGCATAGTAAACGATCGCAGCAAGACTGGCACACGCCACGTTGGCGTCGTATGGGATGTTCTTGAACAAGCGCATCGGGATGAGCGGGTATTCAAGTCCCGAGTATGCCTCCCAGAAACAGAACGCGACCAAGGTTGCAAAGCCAGCGAACAACGCTCCTAGTACATGTCCAGACTTCCATGGATATGCGGAGCCGCCCCAGTTCATGCCGATAAGGAAGACGACGAGGCCTGTTGAGAAGAGGAATATGCCGAGCCAGTCGAGGGTCCTGAGTTGCTTCATCTTGGACTTGCCGCCGACGTGTAGCATTTCCTAGCCATCATGTCAGTTTAGACAATGTCTCTCAATAGAAGTCGCTTACATATGTGGGTGGATGGTAGCAGAAATAGTACAGCACGATTGCAAGCGTGTTGACAATCACACCCAAAATGTAGCACCAGCGCCACTGAAGCTCGGTGTTCAAGTACAATGCTCGCGCGACTGGAGGGCCGAAGACGGCGAAGGGAATAGAAGTCGAGAGCACAAAGGCGTTGACGGGACCTCTGACGCTGTTGGGTACGAGTTCACCCAAACTGATATGGAAAGATAATTGTCCAGCTGCAGCCAGACCATTGATGGAGTTCGTGGCCTACATGGTCAGCCTAGTCGAATATGTGGGAGCACATACATACAATAAGCATGTTGATACTCTGTGCACTTGCTCCTATTATGGTGCCAATTAGGCCTAGAACTGACGACGCGATGAAGAACCTTGGAGGTGTCAGTAGGCCAATCAAAATGACTTTGCGAGCATGCTCACCATCTTCTTCCGAAGATATCCGAGAGACGGCCAACTAGCGTGAAGCCGATAGCGAAGCCTGCGGTCCATGATATTCCAACCCATATGATGTTTGGTGATGGTCCGATGGCCGCGTTGATAAGTGTGAGGGTATTGGCCGGCAAGACCCATCCTAAGTAGCCTGATATCTGTGCCAGACAAGTGGCCTATTTCCGGTAAGCCGAACTCTCGTACAGTGTAACGTTATACGACGTACGATGACAGTGCCTATGAAACTCGGGCTTGTAAAGTATGAGCGACCCAGGTCAGCTGTGTGACCACCGATAGCTTCTTCAGCGATATGGTCATGATGCAGACCGGCGCTTGGGTGATGTGTAAGCGATCCTGCCGTAGCAACATCCTCTTGGTACTGCTTCTCGTCCGCCATGATCACCGACAACGATGCGGATATTATTGGGTAGAGAAGCAAAAGCAGAATCTGGGGTAAACAGTTTTGGGCTCTGGGGTATATTTGAACCCTCAATTTGTACGACGCGAGTCATAATGTCCAAGTCTCTGTTCCCCGGATGCATCAGGCTGGGGCTCGACGATGGTTCCTGGGCACCAAGGGTGGTTGTCTGTTCCCGAACCATTGGATCCTTTCTGCATGTAGCGTTTGGCGGTGTCGGGTGCACCAAGCAACGGTGAACCTAGTTCCAAGAGACGATTGATAGGCTTGGAAGGGCCGAAATGCTAGACAATAGGCTGCATCCACGTGGACCCGTACGATTGCGGAAATTAGCGACAATGTGGCTGCTTAGTAGTCAGACGTGTGCTACATCCAGTGGCTAAAGATGTCCGGATATTCGTAACCGAGGGTCTAGAGGCACGCTTTCGAAGCCTGACTGAAGCTAAATAGGGTAGAAACAGCACTAACGGAGAGTCATTGTGCATGGCAGGAACACGATGTAGGTCGATAACTATAAGATAATTGACAGCGAACATCCCAAGAAGGGCTGATGCAGTGTGACTGTTACGCTGCATTTTGATCGTTCCGTCCACCTAATCAAGGCTGCGACTCAGATTGACTTGCAGAAGAGGATCGTCTAACGTTTCCCGCGCGCTATCCCTCGTCTATCGTTAGCCGGGATGTGGTGCTAAGCTTTAGCCCTCTGGTGGCGAAGCTCAGCGTCGTCTGGACAATAACAACACGCATTGTTGGACGGGCTTGGCTCCATGATGGCGTACAGTGCGCCGCACGGAAGCCTGCATGTGCCGCGGCCGTGAATGTTAAAAATAAGGGATGGGTCTTATAAGCGAGACGGTGCAGTCGATGTGTTGAAGGATGGTCAAGCTCTTCCCCGCATTGCGTTCTGTGGGGAAGGCCCACCGCGCGCTAGGGCAGACACGTGAGCTAGGCATCCCATATCCTGACCTCGAGAATGGAGCACACATCTTGGATCTTTGCTAATCACAATGAAAGGCGGTCTCAACTGCTCTCGTTCTATCTAGAAACGCATGTGTAGAATCGTTGTTGTCGAGATGCTATGTATACGCCGGTGACCTACCTAGATAGTTCCAATGCTGTTCACACCCGGGGCCATCTTGGCCATGACAATATATGTAAGACCTGCACTTTACCTTGATACACTTCTCCTTGGATATCTTCCACATCTATAAAGGCAATTTTGGTATGTTAATATCACTGTGTATTCCTTGAGGGGGTTAACGTCTGGGCATCGTACACCTTCAACCTAGATATCAATCCCTGTATGAGTTTTCGTATGTATCATTGTTACTTGAAGTCTTAATAACAGAGAATTGCGGGCAATTCGCCTTTGTTACCATATAGAATCATCATGTTCCATGCGAGATCTACTTAAGGGCCTCCCGCTGGAGCAAAGTCCTCCCTCCCTGTGGAAACATTAGCATAATTCTTCCACCATTGCACGGGCCAATCTTACAATACTCATCCCCCTTTGCGCGACACGCTCCAATAACACAATAGAAGCCCCCGCCACGATTAGCTTTGTTTGGAGATTTCATGATGTAGGGCGGACCCTTCTTGTTGGGAGGGGGTAAGCAGCTATTATACGAAACATCCTGGACGGTATCTATCACGTATTAACGATGCTTCTGAAGCGGTACAGAAGACTTACAGGCCGTGTGCTGGATGTTCAACCAAACGCAGACTTCCTGTCCTTGTTTTCCTGGACATGACGTAGATTCTCCGCCAGTCCAGCTCTTGCTGACACTGAATCCACCCGATATCCACCCTCCTCCAGGAGAAGCTATAGTTAAAGAGAAGCCAACTGAAAAGGTTTCGGACTCCGAGACTGTGGCAGTGCAGGTTTCGGCCGCAGCACAAAAGTTGTTTGACTACATGCTGATTAGGGCAGGAACAAGTGCTGGTGAAGAGGCTTGCTTACTGAAATCTGCCTGTGAAGCTGGTTCTGATGTGGGTCACCATCTCCAACCAGCTCGGTACTAGATGACGATGTGCAGATGATCTGACGTGCGTGAAGCCTGAGTGGATTCGCTGGCGTTTGTTCTTGACTGTTATCAGTCATAGGAGTGGCCGATAGACTGCGAACGCGCTTGATGTTTCGTGACTTTAGCGAATGGAATGCAGCTTTTGCCTCATCCTCTTTGAAGCAGTCTTCTGAAGATACTTTGCCAGGCTCCTGGACATCGAGGGCAACATTGGAGCACTCAACAGTTGCGACCAGATTGCTAAACTTTCGAACGCCAACTAACACCGTCTTCAGAATTGGACACAATTTCGTAGGTCTTGTCGCCCAACAGTGAAAGTTTCCATCGCCGTTCTCGTCGACGTGGAAGATGAGAGACTCAATGGAATTCCCACAGCTCTGCGCAAGGACTGTGTCATTGCCGTTGGCCGGGTACAACGTCAGAGACGTAGCCCCAGACGGTTTCTCTGAAAAGACGGAGTCAGCATGTGTCATGATGACATCTTGTCAACTACGGCGAAAAGCAGCCAGGATGCAACAGGTGGTGAGGTGGTGGCCTTGCCGCCTAGCCATCAGTCTGGAGCTAGACAAAGAGTTTCTACTGTCGCATTCAAAGTCTTGCAATACCGTGCATAGCTTCAGGCTATCGGTTCAGCTGCACGATCCTATCTACTTTCCTTTCTAGTTGATAACTCGCAGGAGGATGTGAAGAATACGTACCGTGTTGCCAGATCACGTCCACATTAGCGGCTATGGCTGATCCCACGAAGGCTAAGACGCCGAAGAGCATGGTTGATAGATGGAAATGAGACGAAGTAGATTTGTTGGAAGACGAAATGTGATGCTCTCCTCCAGGCGCAGACTACAGCGGTATTTATGCCTTCTCGAATGCTTCAATCCGATTCATAGACGCATGCTTGTCCGTTCATCGGACTATATGCGGTCTATCTCTACCTTGCAAAGTCGCCTCGTAGTACACCAACAGCCTGATAAGTCTCAGTCACCGTCATAGCTGGTGGTCACGGACATGGTCAGTCACAGATTGTACCAATGGTAGTTCCAGATGATCCTCGCAGTAGGTTCCGGAATGCAGATCTTGGCTGTCATCCAAAAGCATTTCTCAAGGTTAACGTTGGTGGCCTGATACTGCTTGGGCCCGATGGTAAACTATACAGTACCTTACACCGACCGACTGGTGAGCCTGAGTGGCCGTCGGCGTTTCGTATCCTTGCGCGTACATCCCGTCTACATCGTCGTGGTCTATCTGCAGCTGCTTGCGCCTCTGTGGGTTGCCTGAGGTAAATGTCGATCGAGTGGGCAAAGGTCAGAACGGGGATCTTCCTTGGAGCTGAATTGTGTTGGTGTTGCGATGCGATATTCGCCATGTAGCCATTTTTGCAATCAAATTTCAATCTCAAGATTGGCAGATCTCTTGACACTGAAGGCGCGGAGCGTATGTAATGCTCGCGTATGCTTCTCTTGGGCTGTTGTAGTCAGTCGCATCTTGGATCACACAAGAGGAAGTGAAACTCGGTAGGTTGTCCGGGTATCCAACAGGCACATAACAAGCTTCATCGCTAAAACGGGCCTTCTCATGCTTGTCATGCTTGTAGATGGAAAGGATCTAGGTAGACATCGGTGAATATCCATTGCCCTGATGGGCCTTCTCCTTTGCCATTGGCGCGTGATGTACGGCGCCCATGTCGTCGACGTTGATCGAGGCGTGCCATGTGTATGCGTCTGTTGATGAGATCTGAAACGTCGGCGTGGAGGCCTGAAGGTACAGTGCTGGACTGAGGCGGAGCAACATTGTCGATGGAGCGTCGTTGGGGATGCTTCCCCGCATCACCGTCGCGTGGGGTGAGCTCGAGCCAAGTGCAGGCACGTGAGCCCGCGTCTCCACTCTGAACTTTTTTGTGACTCTCCTCAACGCGTCACAGCCCACGTCCCGCCAGACAGACCAGCTCATGATAGACCGATAGCGTAGTCTACACAACTGCACAACATGGCCTCGGCAGCGGCGCCTTTACCAGTCCCCAAAGTAGAAGACGCTGCAGCCCAGGAACCTAGCAATGAGGTCGTCAGCCCCGCGGATGCGTTGTACGACAAATGCGCAGAGCGGCCGCAAGGCACTGTCTTCTTCCAGCGCGACTTATCCAATATGCAGGTCGCAGAGACTATGGCAGAGCTGACGATGCTCCTGCAAGACCTCTGCGACCGGCACCTGCTGAAGCTCATGACACTGGAAGGCGAGCCTTGCTGGAAGTTGCGGTCACGAACAGACGCCGACAAGTATGCCGACGCCATGTACTTGTCCTATGTTAATTCAGGCTGATATGTTTATAGACTGCGACGATTGACACCCGACGAGCGCCTTCTCTACCACCACATCGACCAAGTCCAGGCCGAGGGCATCTGGTCCAAAGCGCTTCGCATGCGAACAAATGTTACGCAACAAGTTTTGACAAAATGTCTGAAAAGTTTAGAGTCGAAGGATCTGGTACAGTCCGTTATGAGCGTCAAGTTTCCAAATCGCAAGATGTACCTCCTCAAGCACCTCAAACCATCCGAAGACATCGCCGGAGGCCCATGGCAGTCTGAGGGTGACTTTGACACGGCACTCATCGACGCGATATCTAGTGTCATTGCGCAACACATCGAGAACGAGACTTGTGTAAAGGTTCCGGGCAATTGGAATGACTATGGACAACATGACCGCGCGGCCGAGATTGCGCGCAAGAAGGCGCAAGTGCAGGGCGTAAGGGATATCGAAGAAGCTCCCGCGGTGAAGCCATACAGCAGGGATCCGAGTTCCTCAAAGCTCGTGCACAAGAATAGCCCGACATACCCGACTGCTGCATCTGTTGCGACCTGGCTCAACTCGAAGGAAGTGCTGAGGGGCAAAACTTGTCGTGAAGACGATATGGAGCAATTGTTGGAAATGATGGTACTCGATGGCCGGCTGGAGAAGATTTCGGGTACTAACTATCGGACTGTCCTCACTGCGGTTGATAGCAAGGTGTACAACGGCTTCGTCGATGCGCCGTGCGGGAACTGCCCAGTCTTTGATCTATGCGGAGACGAAGGCGAGATTTCCGCGAGGACGTGCGTCTATTTTGGGCAGTGGCTCGAAACCCAGTCTGAGGAGATCTGAGGTCCTTGGTGAAAAGCATAGCGTCGGCGTTTGGATTTTGAGCTTTCTAGGTATACCCATCACAACCCTTGAACGCTAAAGCATGAAGAACAGTAGAATCACAAGTTATCTGTTTCTGATCCTGCGTCCTAATGCGAAACTGAGCGTTTACAGGTGCTGTGTTTGATAAACATTACTCGCATACCGTCCATGGGTTGCCACGTCCCTTCCCATCGCTTGCCGCGCACTTGCTGCGTCCACTGGACCCTGAGTCGCAGATTTCTGTCAGAAATACCCACCTCATCTACACACCTGTTGCAAGGCATGTCGCTCTCGCATTTGCCTCTAGGAACATTCGGTGGCTACGATATGACACGCTCTCTTCAGTCGAAACGAACTTTCGTCAAATCACAGATAGTTGTTCACAAGCTCACAATCATCGCGGCGCTCCCTCTCCTCCCTCTCCTCGCTTGGTACACTACCACTGTGCATGTTCTTGAGACCTATGGCATGCCGCGTCAGTGGATCGAAAGGCTCTGGATGATCGGATTGGCAGGGCGGAAAACTACCCTTTGGATAGCTATGTGGATATTTGTAGGAGAGAAATGGTGTGGTGTTTGCAAGGAAGGATTGGTGGCTGACAATATAAAAAAGGTCCCAATCGACATTTTACACGCGCTGTGGGCCCTGGCTCGGTATCAAGAGCTGCTGCATTCGAGAACAGGAGAAGCGATTGAAGGGTCAAGCATATACGGACAAGCCACCATGCATCACGATAGCCACATATGGCTCGAAGAGCTACCCTCTAGGGAAGTGAAACAAAAAGCTACACCAAAAAAAGTTCGACGGACGCTGTCTACACGATGTGCTTCTACGTGGCGCCGTCTTCGGGACCTTCTCATTCGACAACACCGCACCATGACGCAGACCTCTGGTGGTACGAACTGCATATCACGAAGGCACCGTCTACTTCTACGACCATCAATGCCACCTGTGGCCCGAACCGTCCTCTTGTCACTCTACGACCTCTTCCTCATATTCATCTTGATCGCCCACATCACGACGTATCGTACCCTGATCACACCTGTCGAAAACTTTTGCGACAGCAAATGACGTGATTTCATACCCAGGACAGTGATCTTCCACCTTCTACTACAGTACGAGTTGTGCTAGGGATTCCCGTGTTCCAAAGCATGGCAGAGAGATGCCAGAGATATTCTTTGGAAGCACTCACTGCCAGCTGGGTGGGTTCTCGAGCACGATTGCTGCGATGCTAGCTGCGGCCCCATGTTGCAACTGTCATAAGCAGAGTCGCAGGGATTGTGCTCCACCTGGACAAACGAGGCGAGGGAGAGTAGAAAGGTCAAGGAGGGGGGGAAACTAGATGGACAGGAAAACAAGTGGCATGTCACTCCACGAGATGTCGACATCCACAACCGCGGTACTGTGAGATCGGGGCGCTTGACGGTCATTAGCGAGGAAGAGTACAACTCTTGCGGCGACGCTGTGAGGAGACGAAGGGGGAATAAGTCGAAGAGTAGCGAGAGTGGGCGATCCAAGGCGACATCGGGAGGTACGAAGAAGGTGGAACAGACGCTGTTGGAGTGCTTGGTGGCGTGAATGAGTTCTAAGGTAGCTATAGTTTAAATCGTGCTACTCAACCCATAACTCTTCGACTCATTCTCTCATCATCTCTGCACAATGTTCGAGGATCCAAAACAGACCCCACGTGAGCATGATCATGCTCCGCGTTCAAGTGATGTATGAAATGCGCCAAGCCACATTCCCTGTCGCTTTGGACTACCATCTCACCGAACATCAGCTGCCATAAACTCTAAACACGAACACGTACCATGCTGCCCTGAAGCAGCACCGACACTCCTTTTCTGCGCCCTTCTCCTACTTCGTCTCGCCATTCCACTCTCCACGCACCCATCATGGCGCGCCCCCTCCTCGCCAACCGCGCCTCGAGCGACATCAGCGGCGACCGCGACATCGCCGAGGAAGACGCCCTGCTCACCGGCCAACCCACCCAACGCGCCGCCTCGGGCCCCCGAACCTGGAAATTCTGGCGCGAAGTCGGCCTCTTCGTCTGGGCTGTCGTCGCCACAGCCGGCATTATCGTCCTCGCAGTCGTGTTCCAGAAACACAGCGATACGCAGAATGGCAGCGCAAACCCCTCGGGGAAGCGCAACCTCATCTTCATGGTGTCGGACGGCATGGGTCCGACGAGTCTGAGTCTGACGAGGAGCTTCATGCAGTTCCAGAACGGGCTGCCGTTTGGCGAGCAGCTGGTCATCGATAAGCACTTGATCGGGCAGTCGAGGACGAGGTCGTCTTCGTCGCTGATCACCGACTCGGCGGCTGGCGCGACGGCCTTCTCGTGCGGGAAGAAGAGCTACAACGGTGCCATTTCGGTGACGCCGGACCATGAGCCGTGCGGGACGGTGCTGGAGGCTGCGAAGAAGGCGGGTTACATGACGGGTCTGGTGGTGACGACGAGGATCACGGATGCGACGCCTGCGTGCTTTGCGGCGCACGTGAATATGCGACAGGAGGAGGATCTGATTGCGCAGCAGATGGTTGGAGACTATCCGCTGGGACGAGTTGTGGATCTGATGTTTGGAGGCGGGAGGTGTCACTTTCTGCCCAACTCGACGGCTGAGCATTCGTGCCGTGCAGACGACAAGGATGTCGTGGCCCTGGCGAAGAAGAACGGATACAGCTATGTCGACGACCGCGCGGGCTTCGACAGCTTGAAGGGAGGTGCTGGACTCAAGTTGCCCATGCTGGGACTCTTTGCCGACACCGACATCCCGTATGAGATCGACCGCCGCAACGAGAACGACATCTACCCGAGCTTGCAAGAAATGGCAGAGACAGCGATGAAGGCTCTTAGTGAAGCCACCCGAGACAGTGATAAGGGCTACTTCCTGATGATTGAGGGCTCTCGTATTGACCATGCGGGACATCACAATGACCCCGCTGCCCAAGTGCACGAAGTCCTCGCCTACGACGCAGCCTTCAATTCTGTCCTCGACTACATCAAGAACGAGGAAACAGAGACCGTCATGGTATCAACATCGGACCACGAAACTGGTGGTCTGGCAACTGCGCGCCGTACGTCTTACCATCCCTCTACATATGAACTTCCACTGACTTGTGATTTTAGAGCTCCACACCACCTACCCCGAATACGTATGGTACCCTTCGCCCCTCGCCAACGCCTCGCACTCGGCCGAACGCATGGCTCTGCGCTACAACACATACCTCATCAACGACCCTTCCGATAGCCAGAAACAGGAATTCATCGCCGACGAGATTGAAGACGGGCTTGGTATCTTCGACGCCAAGGACGACGAGATCAACGGCCTGGTCAAAGACCCAGCAACGGCCCTATACCAGTACGCAGACATGATGTCGCGCCGCAGCCAAACCGGCTGGTCTACCCACGGCCACTCAGCCGCCGACGTCAACATCTACTCCTCCAACCCCAAAGCCGCCATGGCGCTGGTCGGCAACCACGAAAACACCGAAGTCGGAGAGTTCCTGAGGAACTACCTCGAAGTGGACGTCGAAGCTGTTACCAAGGAATTGCGCGACAAGGGCACGCACTTGACTGTGCTGAAGGCAGGAGAACAAGTCAGCTGGATGGGCAAGATCCCTGAGGAAGGACAAAGACTCGATGGCCAGAACCATCTCGCCAGCTACGGCGGAGACTTCAAGAAGAGGGGTGTCGAGCACGGTGAGGATTGTGGATGTGGACACTGATTCCATTAGTCATGCGTTTTTACTTGTTTTGGCATAGCTATGGCGTTTCTTGTAGACCTGCATATATACCTTATTGGGGTTCCTATTCGATGAACTTATATCTGGCGCAAACGCCTCGTCTTTTAAATCCGTCATCCGTCACTCAAGATACCGACTTGAAAAGTATCCCGCTGAACGAGTAACCGAACAGGAAATTTACACGGACGACAAAAATGTCTTTGTTTAGATATTATAAAAAAGGGGAGCGCAAGCTTCCACACGAGGTACTACTTCTACGATCCAATCCCACAAATTCTAGCCATGAACCCCTAAACTCCGCGCTAAAATCTACAGAGAGCATCACAAAGAGAGAAGTAAAAAAAAACAATACTCATCATCAATACGACGGACACCAACAAACACGGAAGTTTCAAGGAGCCCAGCGTGAAATGATTTCTCACCGAGGAGATGAACTCTTTTGGCGAGCTTCAGGGAAGAAGTGCGTATTTGTAACACCATTCGGCGGCGCCTAAGCCCCAAAATCGGCTCCCGAAACCTCCAGCAGGATACGTGTTCCAATCGTTCTGCGTATCCAGCATCCCACGACACGGAGTCGAAAAACTCAAAACTGTTCGCGCTCGCCAGACCCTGAGGAAGCTGTGAGCGGCATACTAAGCGTATTGAGATGCGGGTTGAAATTGGGCAGACTATGAGCCGGGTTCTCTACAATCGCGTCTGGCGGAGGCGTCGAGTTGGAGGATGAATCCGGGTTTGTGGGATTCGTCATGACGGTGCTGTCGAGCTGGTCTGCGGCACCGCTGACTTGGGCTTCCCGCCAGCGCCACACGCAGTCGAAGACTACGCTCATGCTCTTTCGGCTCCGGACTATGAGGCCGAGCGGGTCGTCGGCTAGGCCTGCGCTGCTTCGTCGCTGATGTTGGCTGTGTTGCTGGACGGGCGATTGCTGCGCTTGTTGCATTTGGTAGTTCAGCGTCATGCCAGCGTTGCTGACAGAGGGCGACTGCGACATGCTATGCAGGCTCCGTCCTCGCGAGCTCTCTTTCCACAGCTGAGCTAGAACCTCGGCGAAGCGGTCCAAGAGATCGTTGGGCCACACCTTGGCTTTCCGCAGCACTTCGACTGTTTGTGAGGACGTATTTCCGACCTTTGTCCGGAGGGAGTCGGCTGGCAAAGTCGGAATTGAGAATCTTCAGCAGAGCAAATCCACCAGCGAGCGACATCTGCATAATGTAGTATGGAACGAAGAGAAGCTTGTTATCACGATTGAGCTTGAACACACGGTCAAGGAAGCCAGTGGCCGCAAAGTAAAGCGCAACCAGGTCTTCGCGCCGTTCTAAACGGAGGTCCTTAATGAAGAATGAGTAGAGGTGCATGTGCAGCGCGACCGCGCAGTGATAGAGTTCTTCGAGATCTGCGAGGATGTTAGCATAACGCTCGGAAATTCAAGCACGGACAACATACCAATATCCACTCCGTCCACGGCAATGCGTTCAGCTTTCAGTCGCTCGGCCTCCATGTTCAGATAGATAATCGCTGCGTCCTCGGTCCAGTTTTTGTGCGTGGAAAAAAGATGTCTGCCTATGCGGTCTGCTGCCCTCTCCTGCCGTAGTCGGACAAACAAGGTTGGTGGCAAGATCAGCATATCGTTTTCGTCCTCTGTCTTAAACTCGAGAGTCGAGTTATAGAGCGTTATCGAAGGCTGGCCATTCCCTGTGGAGACACTGTAATATGTCAGTTGAGGTCATGATTTGGAAGAAGTTTCCATACGTCTGGGCTACGGTATTGCAGACCGCCCAGGTCCGCAGTCGGTCGTTGATGTCTTCTTGCCGTAATCGAACCTTGGTCCTAGCAAAGTCTTGCGCATGTGTCGGCTGATGCAGCCCAATCTGCATGGCGACCTGCATCATGGCGCCGCATAGTATGAAGGTAGGATCCGTAACAGTTCGTTCCGCAGGGATTGGCCAGGTACAGAGCAGGCAGAGCGCCTTCACAACGTGGTGATTTGGCTGATTCCGGATGGAGTCCCAGATGAGGTCTGTGAGTGGCTTCGCGAGGTCCTTCAGGAGGCCGGGTCGGCCCCCATAGCGACGAGCGGCAACACTAATGATCGCCCAGAACAGGAGTTTGTGGTCCTGCGAATGATACTCGTCCGGAGAGCGCACTTGGTCCAGGAAGGGCAGGAAGGGATGGTATAGCTGAAAGTACTCGGTGAAGAGCTCGTTGACTTCGCTGTGGCTGAGGCGAACATGGTTCTCGCCTGATCCCAGCGGATAGAACATGGGCGATCCGCTCCTGAGGTCTAATAATGAGGTTGCTGCCACCTGCTGGTGCTGTGTCTGGAGAAAGGCCTCGTCCTCTACCTTGGGCGTGATACCGGTGCTGAAGGTATTGCTGTCGCGCGGCGGGTGCGGAGCGTTCAAGGTCGGCTGGCCCGAGAGCGCTTGCGATCCTTCGTATATGGCCAGGCGCTCCCTCAGATATTCCATCTCCTTCTCCATTTCGGCATTGCGATTGCGCTTGCCGACGCGCTTGAAGTTGGGTTCGATGACGCATCGGAGGTTCTGCTTGAGACATCGGTTGCAGCTTACGAAGGGGTCTTGCTGGACATTGCACTTGAGCTGTGCGGTGCGCGTTAGTCATGTGCGTGGAGAGAAGCTTTGGTGTTCTGCATGCGTCGGTACAAGGTGCGCACATGGGCGCAGCAGCGTATTCCTAAAAGGCGCATCATGTTCCAAGGTAGGAAAAGGCTCACCTTCTGCTGGCGACATTCATTGCAGGCGCGCTTCACGGCGGTGTTGCGCCGCGAGGACGAAGGCCGTGTGTCTCCATCGCCATTTTCGTTGTCGTCGTCGCTCGAAGCAGAGCGCTTGAAACCTCGCGTGCTGGTCGGACTCGTTGGTGATATGGCGAAAGGATGTTGGGCCGACATTGAAATCATCGCGCGAGCTTGCGCCCGTCCGATATCGCAGAGGTTTGTGAGTTGGCGTACACAGAAGGTGGGGTGGGAAAAGGCGGAATCGGCCAACGGTGGTGCGAAAATGCTTGGGTCGAGAAATATTCGATACAGCTGCGCCCGCTCGCCAATTGCGAATTCACTGGCTAGACTTACTCGAGCCGCGCAACCATGTGTTCCCAGCGACCGTCAAGCATGCAAGCTTCTGCAGGATGCCGCTGAACTTGAGGAGCGGGCAGAACTGACAGGCCCATGACTCACCAATCACAGCACCGAGAGCAATATACGAGTAGCGCCTTTCCAGCTTCATCCTAGAACCTTCACCGTCACTATCCGCTCCGTGTGAAAAGACTGGCTTTCATTCTCGATGACTGCACTGCTTGGGTCTGGTCGTAAATCAGATGTGAGCATGGGGCTGTAGCGCACCCTTGTCGTTGCTTGCTGTACACATCATCTCTCGGCATTCCTAATGTAGCAACTAAAATGCTTGAGAAGTTTGCATGTACTTCGCCCAGAAGCATGGATTGAGCTGTAGTCTAAAAATGGACACGCACAAGAACGTCATGGCTCGGTGCAGCACGTGGAAAAGGCCTAGGACGAAAACTGATACCTTGCAGGCTGAACGGCCTCATCCGTGCATATCTGTAGCAGCAGCCCGATGAGACCGTCGGCAATCGATTGATGGTAATGTCTCCAGCCAATGCATCACATGTCGCTTGGGGAACTTGCAACCCCACCCTATGCTTCTTTGCACTGCCTTCCACTGCACTCAGAAAACAATCGAAAAATGGTCGATTATAGCTTGTGGATGTATTCGTGATCCTACTCAGCTATTACCGCCTGTGAACGACGGCGTGATGCAGAAATCGCCTTGATATCGTAAAAGCCGACCGAACCAGGAGACTGCCCGTAATGCACATGAACACCGATAGCCCCAGTTTTGACATGCTAAAGCCTTGAGACCCCTCTAACCGCAACTGCTTAACGCTTCTTCTGTTGGGACTCCTTGAGGACCTTCTTGACAACCTTCTGCTCCTCGATCAGGAAAGCGCGGACGATACGGTCCTGGACGCAGTTGGCGCATCGCGATCCACCGTACGCACGCTGGACGGTCTTCTTGGGGCGGGAGACGGTGGCATATTCGCGGGGTCGGAGAGCAGGGATACCGGCGAGCTTGGTACCGCAGTCCTGGAGATTGTTAAAAAAAAAGATTCCGCGATGCTGGACTGGGTCTAACATACACCGCACTTGGGGGCAGTGCCCTTCTTCTTGATGTGGAGGTAACGGAGCTCGCCACCGGGGGTCTGCAATGTCTTAGTGCTGGTCATCAAGGCATGTGTGCTTCAACGACTGACCTTGATAACGCGAACCTTCTGGCTCTTGGTGTTGTACGGCGCGCGACGCCTCTGCGCATTGTTAGCCTCCATGCCACATGTCTATCATCTCCTCCGAGCGAATGGAAGACGTGTGTGTCCGGGTGCGACGTACGTAGGTGAGTCTGTTGGAAGGCATTTTGATAGATTTCCCGGGGAGTCAGTGGGCGATTATCTGGAGCGCGGTGTGAGTGAAAGTTCGTGGATTGTGTTGCGATGCAAGTGCGGTGTTTCGTACCTGAGTCTGCAGGATGATTAGCAGGGACAATTGACAGTATTTCGACAGCAGTGTCTTGGAATCTACTTACCACGGGGGTGCTGTTGTCGTTAGTGTCCGGTCGTCACTTCTGATGTTCGATTTTCGATTGTGCCTAGCGAGTGGGCGCTAGACCCGCACTAGCGCGGCCGATCACGTGCCTCAAATGCCTGGCGCGATGAAACTTATCATCGATGCGCCACTACCCAATTCAACTCCATCGCCAGGTCGCTCCAACGCGTAGGAGATCGATCTCCAACTAGTGCGCGCTGTCACTCCTTACCATTCGAAAACCGGAGACGACTCGATTACCACGCGCGAACGCGACTTTTCCTTCGATCGCGGCGCTTTGCCGTCCGCAAAGTTTCTAGACTCGATACGTAGGGTTTCACGAGACCTGCGCTCAAGTCTTCAGAACTGCGGTGATTGGAACTTCATTGAAGGTCAGTAGCTTTGTGTGTCCTCCAAACTGCTGCGCTAGATGCTCAGCTGTTGCTATTACCCCTATGCGCTTCATTTGAAGCTTTCGTCACCTCTCATCTCGATTTATCACTCCTCAATCGAACGCGATAGAACGCCATGTTTCACTCGTTAACATTACCCAGTACCTGTCAGAAGACATCCATCATGGCGTTCCCACCTCCCCCTCCGCCACCTCCACCACCCGGGCCTCCAGGTGCCGGCTATGCGCCTCCTCCACCACCTCCACCCCCTGGCCCGCCAGGCGCGCCTGGCACAGTAGGACCTCCCGGTATGCGGGGACCTGTCGATCCACAGAGTTGCCAAGTTTGCGCAGAAGAAGAAGGACTGGTTACGGCAACAACGCCAGCGATTCGGCGAGAAGCGCAAGGCTGGTTTCGTGGAGACACAGAAGGCAGATTTGCCTCCTGGAGCATCTGCGCAAAGTCTTTAGAGATATCGGCGATGTGTCGCAGAAGAAGTTCACGAGCGACAAGCGAAGCTACCTTGGTGCACTGAAGTTCATGCCGCACGCGGTTTTGAAGCTTCTCGAAAACATGCCTATGCCCTGGGAGAGCCGACGAGACGTTAAGGTCCTTTACCACACCAACGGCTGTCTGACTCTGGTTAACGAGGTACCCCGAGTTATCGAGCCGGTCTTCCACGCGCAATGGGCGGCAATGTGGTTAGCGATGAGGAAGGAGAAGAGCGATCGTCGCCATTTCAAGCGCATGCGCTTCCCACCATTCGATGACGAGGAACCTCCCCTATCATACTCGGAGAATATCGAGGACGTGGAGCCTTTGGAGCCCATTCAGTTGGAGCTTGACGAGGACGAAGATGGCCCGGTTGTCGAATGGTTCTACGAGCATCGACCGCTACTCGACACTCCTCCACATCAACGGCCCCAGCTACGAAACATGGAACCTGGACCTGCCTCAGATGGCTACATTGTATCGTCTGAGCAGACAGCTGTTGAGCGACATTGTCGACAAGAACTACTTCCACATGTTCGAGATGAACAGCTTTCTTACTGCAAAGGCACTCAACGTGGCGATACCTGGAGGACCTCGCTTTGAGCCGCTGTACAAGGACATCGACCCGAACGATGAGGACTTTGGTGAATTCAATGCCATTGATCGAATCATCTTCCGCGCCCCCATTCGAACGGAATACCGAGTGTCATACCCGTTTCTCTACAACTCGTTGCCACGCAGTGTAAAGATCTCATGGTATTCACATCCTCAGGTAGTCTACGTTCGCGCAGAGGATCCCAGTCTTCCGGCGTTTTACTTCGACCCTATCATCAACCCCATCTCATCCCGCGCCGTCGCACCCAAGAACATTTCGGTCAGTCACGAGGACGAGGTATTTGGCTATGGCAACGATGAAGATGATGAAGACGACTTTCAAATGCCTGAAGAGGTGGAGCCTTTTATGGCTGACGAGGAGCTATCTACACCAGAGACGTCTTCTGCCATTGCATTGTGGTGGGCGCCTCACCCCTTCGACAAGCGTTCAGGTCGCATGGTGAGGGCACAGGATGTTCCACTAGTCAAGCAGTGGTACCTTGAGCACGTGCCTGCCGGTCAGCCAGTCAAGGTCCGGGTCTCTTATCAGAAGTTGCTTAAGACGTTCGTTCTCAACGAGCTGCATAAGAAGAAGCCACAAGCACAGAACAAACAGAACCTTATGCGCACACTCAAGGGCACAAAATTCTTCCAACAAACCAAGATCGACTGGGTTGAAGCAGGTCTGCAAGTTTGCCGTCAAGGTTACAACATGCTCAACCTTTTGATTCATAGGAAGAATTTGACCTACCTGCATCTTGACTACAACTTCAACCTGAAGCCTGTCAAGACACTTACCACAAAAGAGCGGAAGAAGTCGCGGTTCGGAAACGCCTTCCATCTGATGCGAGAAATCTTGCGCTTGACCAAGCTGATCGTGGACGCACAGGTCCAGTACCGCTTGGGCAACATTGATGCTTTCCAGTTGGCAGACGGCATCCTTTACGCCTTCAACCACGTTGGACAACTGACTGGTATGTACCGTTACAAGTACAAGCTCATGCACCAGATTCGCTCGTGCAAAGATCTGAAGCATCTCATCTACTATCGATTCAACTCTGGTCCAGTCGGCAAGGGTCCTGGGTGTGGTTTCTGGGCACCAGCCTGGCGGGTCTGGTTGTTCTTCATGCGCGGTATTATTCCTCTCCTGGAGCGCTGGCTCGGCAACTTGCTCTCGCGTCAATTCGAGGGTAGGCACAGCAAGGGTGTTGCCAAGACTGTAACCAAGCAGCGTGTGGAATCGCACTTCGATCTGGAGCTCCGTGCCGCTGTCATGAGCGATCTGATGGATATGATGCCTGAAGGTATCAAGCAAAACAAGGTCAACACAGTTCTACAACATTTGTCAGAAGCATGGCGATGCTGGAAGAGTAACATCCCGTGGAAGGTACCTGGACTGCCAGCACCAATCGAAAACATCATCTTGCGTTATGTCAAGAGCAAGGCAGATTGGTGGATCTCAGTCGCACACTACAACCGTGAGCGTATCCGACGTGGCGCCACCGTTGACAAGACTGTCGCCAAGAAGAACCTTGGTCGCTTAACCCGATTATGGCTCAAGGCCGAGCAGGAGCGCCAACACAACTACATGAAGGATGGTCCATATGTCTCGTCAGAAGAGGCAGTCGCCATCTACACAACCATGGTCCATTGGCTAGAAGCCCGAAAGTTCCAGCCGATTCCTTTCCCCAGTGTATCCTACAAGCACGATACCAAGATCCTCATCCTCGCTTTGGAGCGTCTACGCGAGGCTTACTCGGTGAAGGGTCGTCTCAATCAGAGTCAACGTGAGGAGTTGGCTCTCATTGAACAGGCTTACGACTCCCCTGGAACGACGTTGGCTCGTATCAAGCGCTTCCTTCTGACACAACGTGCCTTTAAGGAGGTTGGCATTGATATGAATGACAATTACAGCAACATCAATCCTGTCTATGACATCGAGCCCATGGAGAAGATTACCGACGCATACCTGGACCAGTATCTGTGGTACCAAGCCGATCAGCGGCACCTATTCCCTGCTTGGATCAAGCCTTCCGACTCCGAAGTTCCACCCCTGCTGACATACAAGTGGGCGCAAGGCATCAACAACCTTGACAAGGTCTGGGAGCATCAAGATGGCGAGTGCAACGTTATGATCGAGACACAGCTGTCTAAGGTTTACGAGAAAATCGATCTTACCATGCTCAACCGTTTGCTGCGCTTGATCATGGATCACAACTTGGCCGATTACATCACTGCGAAGAATAACGTCCAGCTCAATTACAAAGACATGAACCATGTCAACGCATACGGTATGATTCGTGGACTGCAGTTCTCTGGCTTCGTATTTCAGTTCTACGGACTCGTGCTCGACATCCTTCTACTAGGCTTACAGCGCGCGAACGAAATCGCGGGTGCGCCTGAGAGCCCCAACGACTTCTTGCAATTCAAGGACAAGGAAACGGAGGTGCGACACCCAATCCGCTTGTACACGAGGTACATTGATCGCATTTGGGTATTCTTCAGGTTCACAGCTGAAGAGTCACGCGATCTGATCCAGCGCTTTTTGACTGAGAATCCCGATCCCAACTTCGAGAACGTCATCGGCTACAAGAACAAGAAATGCTGGCCACGAGACTCGAGAATGCGACTGATGCGCCACGATGTCAATCTGGGTCGCGCTGTGTTCTGGGATATGAAGAATCGCCTTCCCCGATCAGTCACGACCATTGAGTGGGACGACACCTTTGCCAGCGTTTACAGCCGAGACAATCCTAATCTCCTGTTCTCCATGTCTGGTTTCGAAGTTCGCATCTTGCCAAAGATGCGCAACCTTACTGGAGAGTTCCCTGTGAAGGACAGTGTCTGGTCGCTGGTAGACAACGCTACGAAGGAGCGCACAGCTGATGCCTTCTTGCAAGTCACAGAAGAAGATGTTCAGAAGTTCAACAATCGCATTCGACAGATCCTCATGTCCTCTGGTAGCACGACGTTCACCAAGATTGCCAACAAGTGGAACACAACCTTGATTGCGCTTTTCACCTACTACCGTGAGGCTGCAGTATCAACGGTGAACTTGCTAGACACCATCGTCAAGTGCGAGACCAAGATTCAGACCCGTGTCAAGATCGGCCTGAACTCGAAGATGCCGTCGCGTTTCCCTCCTGCCGTTTTCTACACGCCCAAGGAGCTTGGCGGTCTGGGTATGATCTCCGGATCTCACATTCTCATTCCCACAAGCGACAAGCGATGGTCAAAGCAGACCGACACTGGCGTTACGCATTACCGTGCCGGTATGTCTCATGACGAAGAGACGCTCATTCCCAACATCTTCCGATACATCATTCCGTGGGAGTCGGAGTTCATCGACTCTCAGCGCGTATGGATGGAGTACTCACAGAAGCGACAAGAAGCTCAGCAGCAAAACCGACGGCTGACTCTCGAGGATCTGGAGGACAGCTGGGATCGTGGCCTTCCTCGTATCAACACTTTGTTCCAGAAAGACCGCAGCACCCTCAGTTTCGACAAGGGCTTCCGTGCTAGGACTGAATTCAAGATCTACCAGCACATGAAGAGCAATCCTTTCTGGTGGACGAGCCAGCGACATGACGGTAAATTGTGGAATTTGAACGCATACCGGACGGATGTCATCCAGGCACTGGGTGGTGTAGAAACCATTCTCGAACATACACTTTTCAAGGCAACGGCTTTCCCATCTTGGGAGGGTTTGTTTTGGGAAAAGGCCAGTGGTAAGTGAATATTGTGGTGTCTGTTTGAGGCTCCTGGTTATCCTCAGCGTATTAATAGTTGCTAATCGATCGCAGGATTTGAGGAGTCGATGAAGTTCAAGAAGTTGACGAACGCCCAACGTTCTGGTCTCAACCAAATCCCGAACCGACGTTTCACTCTCTGGTGGTCACCTACCATCAATCGAGCCAACGTCTACGTCGGTTTCCAGGTCCAACTTGATCTTACAGGTATCTTCTTGCACGGCAAGATCCCAACTCTCAAGATCTCCCTCATCCAGATCTTCCGAGCCCATTTGTGGCAGAAGATCCACGAGTCTGTCGTCATGGATCTGTGCCAGGTGTTCGACCAAGAGCTTGAGGCTCTCGGCATCGAGACCGTTCAGAAGGAGACAATCCATCCTCGTAAATCGTACAAGATGAACAGTTCTTGTGCTGACATTCTGCTCTTCGCCAGCCACAAGTGGAGCGTATCACCTCCTTCCATGCTTTACGATACGAAGGACACCATGAGCGCGACCACGACAAACAAGTTCTGGATCGATGTTCAGCTGCGATATGGTGACTACGACTCGCACGACATTGAGCGCTATGTTCGTGCGAAGTACCTTGATTACACTCAGGACAGCATGAGTATCTACCCTTCGGCGACCGGTTTGATGATTGGTATCGATTTGGCCTACAACCGCTGTACTCGGCCTACGGACAATACTTCCCTGGTTTGAAGCAGCTCATTCAGCAGGCTATGGCTAAGGTGATGAAGGCTAACCCAGCGCTCTACGTTCTTCGTGAGCGCATTCGCAAGGGTCTCCAGCTATATGCCTCTGAGTCTAGCCAAGAGTTCCTCAACTCGCAAAACTACTCGGAACTTTTTAGCAACCAGATTCAGCTGTTCATCGACGATACCAACGTCTACCGTGTCACGATCCACAAGACCTTCGAGGGTAACTTGACGACAAAACCCATCAACGGTGCAATCTTCATCTTCAACCCCCGAACAGGGCAGCTGTTCTTGAAGATCATTCATACAAGTGTCTGGGCCGGGCAGAAGCGTCTTGGTCAACTTGCGAAGTGGAAGACTGCCGAAGAGGTGGCTGCTCTCATTCGATCACTACCCGTTGAGGAGCAGCCCAAGCAGCTCATTGTCACACGAAAAGGTCTCCTAGATCCTCTCGAGGTGCATCTGCTCGACTTCCCCAACATCTCCATCCGTGCTTCTGAGCTCCAGCTGCCCTTCCAGGCTGCTATGAAGGTTGAGAAGCTTGGTGACATGATTCTGCGAGCTACTGGCCCTCAAATGGTCCTCTTCAACCTGTACGATGAGTGGCTTAAGACGATCTCGTCGTACACCGCTTTCTCGCGTCTGATCTTGATCTTGCGTGCACTTCACGTAAACCAAGATAAGACTAAGCTGTTGCTCCGCCCCGATAAGACCGTCATCACTCAAGAGCATCACATCTGGCCTACGCTGTCGGATGAGGACTGGATTAAGGTAGAAGTGCAGCTTCGTGATCTCATCCTGAATGACTACGGCAAGAAGAACAACGTCAACACATCGTCGCTCACGAGCAGTGAGGTCCGTGACATCATCCTGGGTATGGAGATTTCAGCACCCTCGATGCAGCGACAACAAGCAGCCGAAATCGACAAGCAGCAGGAAGAGCAGCAGCAGCTGACTGCGGTTACGACCAAGACTCAGAACATTCACGGCGAAGAGATGGTTGTGACCACAACGTCACAGTACGAGCAAGCAGCATTCAGCTCGAAGACGGAGTGGCGTACTAGAGCAGTCGCCACCTCCAATTTGCGCACTCGTGCGAACAACATCTACATCAACTCCGAGGATGTCAAGGAGGAAGGTCACTTCACCTACGTGATGCCCAAGAATGTGCTCAAGCGCTTCATAACGATTGCCGATCTTCGCGTCCAAGTAGCGGGCTACCTTTACGGCAAATCCCCTCCCGACAACGATCAAGTCAAGGAAATCAGCACCATTGTCATGATTCCCCAAGTCGGCAACACGCGCGATGTTCAGCTCCCCAAGCAGCTGCCCCAGCACGAATACCTCGACGGTCTTGAGCCGCTAGGTATCATCCACACCGTCAGCGGCAATGAGCCACCGTACATGCAAGCCAGCGACGTAACCCAACACGCTCGCCTTATGAACGCGCACGCATCCTGGGACAAGAAGACTGTCTCTATGACTGTCAGCTTTACCCCGGGCTCTGTGTCTCTCGCCGCCTGGGCTCTCACTCCCAACGGATACAAATGGGGTGCTGAGAACAAGGACACCATGTCCGACAATCCCTCCGGATTCAGCACTTCCTTTGGCGAGAAGTGTCAACTCCTGCTTTCTGACAAGATTCGAGGATACTTCCTGGTGCCAGACAATGGCATCTGGAATTACAGCTTTATGGGCAGTACGTTTGGAACAATCGACAAGAAGCCCGTGCACGTGAGGTTAGACACACCGGTCAGATTCTACGACAGCGTGCATCGACCCGTGCACTTCCAAAACTTCGCGGAGTTGGAGGATGTGTGGGTGGACCGGGAAAATCAATTCGAATAGGTGGATTCAAGAGGGAAAATGGAGCGTTTTGAGGAGTGTATGTGTATTGGGCGTTACTTGGGATCCGCGCATTGGGATCGCGGTTGCATGCATAGGGACGGCAAAATGTGTATAGTAGATTCTACATTAATTCATTTCTTGAAAGTGTATCTTGAGGTGCCATCTGTATTTTGTCTTTGGCTGCGGTTTCCTCCACCATTGAAAGGACATGGTCGATGTCGTAGCGCCCGTACCATTATTCCATGCAATTCGAGCCTTCCTTGACAAGTTGGTCGATCCAGCATACTATATTGGTGTTGCTCATCGCTGCGCAAGTATCCTCTGCTTTCTCTCCATGACCTTGGCGTCAAGTAGTGGCGAGGGCGTGAGAAGTGGATTGAACGTTACGACTGGTCGTGCGTTAGTGCCTGTATCGACTTTCCAAAAAAATAGACAGTAAATACCCTTGGTCTTCGCGTGCTGAAGACTGAAGACCATATCGCCGCGAGATATCGACGGTTGGCTCGATGAGGCTGACGTCATTGGCTTTGTCGGACATTTGAGGGGACGCTTCTCCATCTTTGACCTCTCCATGGCGATTGACGTACTCTAATCCAGATGACTGGATGATGGTATGGATGCGCGTGAAGGCAGCGTGGCCAACCGGCCGTACTACCGTGGTAGTCTTCTACTGTGGCTTACATAAGCAATAACCTAATAGGTGTGCCTCGTAACCGTGTCTGCATGTATAGAGGAATTGTTTGGAGACTTATTCAGGGTCAGCCGAAGCATCCCTAATCTAGAAGGCTAAATCTTTTTAAAAAGTCGCTCCATGGAGCATGTGATCCTGGCAGTACTCCGTTCTACAATCGTAGCTCTAAGTAAAGCATAGCCGTACTGTGGTCTGTTGGCCACGCCGAGCGAAGTGCTCCTCACGTCTCTCAAACTTACAGTGAAAGAGACGCTCGTGGTACTGGGACGAGCAGGAGTCAATCTTGGAATTGTCGTGTACAGATGTCTAGACATCACGCATGGAGCAATATCGCCTCTTATGGTACATACAAAAGCCATGTAGCCATCTTGGATGTCACTCGCGCTACATAATGACCCTAGTTTGGGAATATCAAGCCGCTTCCCTTGTCATGGGACCTTGTCAGCGCCTTATTCGTTTGTTGCTTTATTCAGCCCTATATATATTTTACGCGGCACGCAGCACTCTTTCACTTTACTCATTCTCAAATTTGGGCCGATCGGCAGGATCACGTTGATAAATCTTACTTTCCTGGTCTTATCTTGCTAATTTGCCGTGCAAACGGCCTGAGCGCGCAGGTGAATGTGCCTCACAAACAATCGAAAGTCATGGCCACCCCGAGCTGTCGCCCTAGCTCCAAGTATATAAAAATCCTCAGGTCTACCGCTCGTACAATCTCTCTCTACTCTACCCACAATCAACCGCAAGACTCAACTCGGATTCGAGTAAGTACATAACCCCTTTTTGTCCAAGACGATTGACTGATCTTCTACCAGCTAATCGACTTTAACCATAGACAGAGCGCTCAAAATTCTCATCATGTCAACCAACAAGGAGTTCACCTTCCGTGCTCGCCGTCTCGAGAGCGAATCGGCCACTCTGCTCGAAACTTATGGAGAGCGCGACATTAAACAGTTCTACCGATACAACTTGCCGAAAATGCACGACCACCACCCAGATCTCGTCGAAGCCAACTACGACTTCGGCCCCATGATTGAGGATGCCGCCCGCCTGAACGAGAAAATCGTACGCAGGCCCCGACTTCGCTTTCACTCCCAGTTCACTAATACATGGCAGGACATGTTCGACAGCAACCCAGCCCTGCTCGACCAGGTGATCTTCGGCGTGCAGTTCCCAGCTCTCTGCCACCCAGGCGTTGCAGATTTCGTCGACGACAGGAAGCTCATCGCTCTTCTCCTCGTCCGCCACTTTAAGAACCATGGCGGCCTCGTGCTGCCGCCGCTCGATGACGCGCAGCCGCTTTCTGAAGAGCACGCTGAGCGCCTGACACGACACATGGCTGCTGGGGGCCGATATGTCCCTATGCATTACCCCAATTGGTAAGCTACAAGACAGTTCTGGGGCAAGAGTGATGAGAGCTGATGACGATGTAGGCGCCAGACACATACGGTGGCAGCTCCTACAGACCCTGTTCAGCCGGCCCGTGGTACTGCAGGGACTCTGGGCCTTGGGACAGGCAATGTTGGTGCGATTGGCGATCACCGCGCCCGTCTGAGAAATGGCGGTAACTGATCAGTCTACCTTGGGCAAGAGAGGCGGGAAACAAAGAGTGAGACCGAGATACGAAATTTCAAAGTCAGGAATTAAGTCACTCAGACGATGTTACAATAGCCGCAAATTCAGATACCCCATATACACAAGCACTCTGCTAGGTTGGAAGACATAAAAGTAGAATGGCCAAATACTTCACGAGGATGAGTCATACATGATTTAATGTACAATTCAGATTATCTACAGTTCAAGTTCGAATCTGCAAACTGTGTACACCTACGCGTTACTTCTTCTTCGACTTCGGCCGCTCGAGCTTAGTGTCATCATCAAGATAATTTGCACCCTTCCCACTCTTCCTGTCCAATAGCTTGCGTGATGGAGTCTCGCACACCGCCTCCTTTCCATGACCTCCGATCATGCTATCGGACCTGTCATTAAGAGTCGTATTATCCTCTGTTGGTGGAGTCCCAAGTATACCCACCCAATAGTCCACAACAACTCCCCTATTGGCTGCCACCACAAAACCCCTCCAACTTCCACATCCACATCCACAAACACAACTCGCCTCCTTCCCAAATCCCATCCAAGCTCCCTCTCCCTCCCTCAGCCTCTCCAAACCACATCATCAACACCCTCACGGCCTCGAAACATGTCCCCGCCGCCACTCCCCAAAAGCATCCCAAAGTCCAGCCCAAGTTCTCTCCCAGCCATCCCCCTCTGTCGGCGATCCCGCCCGAAACCTAGTCTGCGTAGTAGCCTTCAGCGACGTAGGCGAGTGCACCAGCGGGCTCAGCGTGTGCGTGGACGCGCTCGTTTTGCCCAGAGTGGTGGGGAGGGAGGAGGTTGAAAGTGGGCTAGTGTTGTAGTTATTATTATTTGCTGTGGGCTTCCAGTAGATGTTCTCGGGGTGTGGGGGGTGGAGGGTTGGACATTGCTGCGGTCAGTTGGAATGGTTTTGTATTTCGGTTTGCTGATGGAGTGTGGTGCGGGGTTAAAGAAGAAGGTCGGAGTGGGCATGCTCTGATTCTTGGGTCGGCCGGCGATGGGTAGAAGTGTGATTGGGGGATGAGACATTGTGCCATAAAGTCGGACATTTCAAAGACAAGCGAGACACTCATGTCGCAAACACCCATTACGTTCAGTCAAAGTGAACTTCTCACCATTAGATTCTTGCTCAATAACAGTACAATACCCTCTAATGCTCCGCGTCGTCTATCTCAAAGCACAATCAAATTTCCAATCTTTATGCCCTGGCTCAAAAAGTGATATCGCCGCCTCACACCCACACTCTTCGCTCTTTTCAAAAACTCCATCGCTTCGTCCCCACCGTTGACCATGATGAGTGGAATCGGGTGCGGCCGCAACAGCCCCGAAGGCGAGTGTTGTACATCATCCAAAAGAGGCTGTACAAATCCTTCTGCGTCAGAACTAACTATGATGACAACTTGCAGGCTGTTGCTTTTAGGTGGGATTGCAGGTATGTTGCGTAGCTTATCGGAGAATGAGCAGCCACCGCGAGGTATGGCAATGACCTGATACTTCTTTGGAATATCTGCGTCCAGTTTCTCCTCGCAGAGCTGGCCGTTGTGCACGTAGATGGAGTGCCACGGTAGAGGGTTTGCGTCGCTGTATACGAGTTCTGGATCAGTTGTATCAGGCAGCGGTTCGGCGCCAGGTCCAAGCGGAAGTGCGGCCTCGATGGCGTAGCGTTGTGGCGTTGATCGTGGCGGTGGCGGTGGTTTGGTGCTTGTGTGTGACGGCGCGTCGGCGGAGAGGAGGGATTGGATCGAGGCCAGCAGATTGGAGAGGTAGGATGGTGATGAGCCGAGAAGATCCGGGTCAACTTCTACAATGGAGTCGTCGAGAAACAAGTCCGACACACTGTCCAGGCTGGCAAGTACATTGCTTTCATTTGACAGATCGCTTGAAGATGCTGCATCTGCAGTCTCTGGGGACACATCTAGGATAAGATCGACTGCATTGGTGTCACGGGTTCGCGTAAAGAAGGGATCAAGTGGGTTGAAGTCTTCCATGGTTGCCCGCGACATGAAGACCTTCTCATCACGACCGAGAGCAGTGTTGGAGATGGCGTAGATGCGGAAGTGCTCGGGAAGCTTGGTGTCCTTCGATGCACTTCCTGACATGTCTTCCTCACGAACCATTCCCAAGCGCAACCCACTCATTGAACTGACCAAGATACCTTCATGGACTCGCTGCATGCCGCCGGCTTGCAACGAATTGGGCATGTTGGGGAATGAAAGATCGAAGGTGGTTCGATATGCCTGGGCCGAACTTGTCGCGTTTCGAGGGATGTACTCTAATGGCAAGGTCCATGGGTAGTAAGTGAAGTTCGAAGGCGAATGAATGTTCGAGTGCGAGACGCTAGGATGGCCGGCACTGTATTCAATGATTGGCGTACCGAGCGAATCCGTAACTGGCATGAGGTGCAAGCGTGCAAGACTAGCAGCATGGAAGATATCGGATCGAGCAGCTGTAGCCGAGATACTGAACGGCAGATGGGCTGGCGGAAGGGGGCATACACCAGGCGCTGGCTGTCGTTCGGCCAGTGGCGGTTCCGCACGAGGAGCTCGACGAGGCCGTAGTCGTTTTGGAACGATAAGAGGATGGCCTTCGGTCGTGAATACAAAAGGTGCATCCCATGTATTGAGCGGGTGCGATGGATCAAACAGCAAGAAAAGGTACTTTGCAGTTTCCCCTAGGAAGAAGCTTTCCATGCGATCGCTGAGTTCTCCACTGCGTACGTCCTGGAGACCAGCCCAACCACACTTTGTCCAGCAACGTCGTTTGATATCACGCAGTGCCATCTCGCCTGTATGTAGATACCAGGGGTCTTTTGTCGCATGATAGAGATACCAAGTAGACTCAATCCACTCGGGTCTGCCGCCCCACCAACGCAGACCATGTTCAATGTTGCCGGTAACAGTAGACCATCTCTCTGGTAAAGCAGAGTATCTCGTCCATAGCGCAGTGTAAAGAAGATGTGTTTCGATTGCTTCGTCGAGCTTGCCGGCCATGGCCAGGAGACCCTGGTAGAAGGCACTCAGACTGTCGATCCAGAAAAGCTCGAATTGCGCCCGTGTATAGATCTACTTGGGCATAATGAAGGGTGCTGCTGCTGTGCTCCGCGATAAATCTGGCGCTTGATGCCATCATGCGCGTCCTCCCATGCAGCAAGAAATGCATCGGGAGATTCCGTTCTTGCATTTGCAGGGTCGTATGGCAACCCAGAGAGCAGGATGTGCGTCTTGAGAGCATACTCAAAGAAGCTGTCAATACCCGCACCAATACCAGTATAGGGCGACACCCACTGCCCAGTCTCAGCGTCGATGCCGCCTCCAATGAGTCCAATACTACTGCGTCGGTCCCAGACGGCCCAAAAAGCGTCTTTGGGCCGCTCTCCTCGTAGCGTGGGTTGCCGGTCAATCGACTGAGCGTGGAGAACTCGAGAACCAGACTCGCCGCACCTGCACTGCAGGTCTCGGTGATCTCGGTGCCCCTCTGGCGGGGATTTGTACCGCACTGTCCATCTTTGGCATCCATGTTCAGAGGCGAATTGGCATAGAATGGCACTCCGTGGCGTAGGTTTACCCGAGGGTAGGGGAGGCCGGTCGGTGTGTGGAAGGCGGGTAGGAGACGATCTGCAAGGTCGTTGGCGAGGCGTAGGAGCTGACCATCATAGACTAGGCCGTTGGGCCAGAATATGCCGTGACTGGTTTTTCTCTTCTCCTCCTTTGCCGCATAACCCCGAATCGGAAGGTCTCCAATAGCAAACTGGTGTGCACTGAGCAGTCCCCCTACGCCCCGGATGACCGTCTCAAAGACCTGCACTTTGCTGTCGAGATCAAAGCCCCGCGCTCTTGCTCCCTGCCCGCTCGGTCCAGGCGTGCCATCCCCATAGTTCTCGACCAGAAGCTTGATGCCGTCTTGAAAGTCTTCGAGCGGCTTGTTCCTTCCTTGATCGTCTGGTGACGGCGAGGAAGCGAGGATGGCGAGGGTCGATAGGCTATCAATCAGTGTCAAAGAATAGTTTCCCAGGACGTCGTTGACTTCGATGTGCGCGGGGTTCTGACGGTCACGTGTCAATGGGCCGCATGTCAATGGGCGCAGTTCGTCTTCGGGGAAGGCATGTTCCATGTAGTTGTCATAGCCATGGTAAAAGATGTCGCGTGTCTCTTGTCTGCATTGGTCATTGTCAGCAGTGACAGGCAATGCAACTCTAGGATGCGCACCTCAGTCCAGCAATGACTTCATCGGTCATGCCATGTGCGGCTGTCACCCAGCAACATATCCACAGCAGAGCAGTCCATAGGAGGTGAAAGGGAAGTCCTCCGGGCATTGGCGCATTCCGCCGCAGAGGCCTGGCAGTCTGTCGCATGCCCAAGAACGTGTGCGTGCGGCGACATGAGACTGGAGCGTCTAGGGCCGGTCGGGGAGGAGCGAGAGGTAGTGGGCACGGGCGGGAGGCGCCATCGAGGGCATGCGGCGTCGGTGAAGTTGGACACCTTGCCATATGACGGCCTCGAAAACGGCCGTGCGGGCCCTGGCGTCATTCTCAGCGGGAGCTTTGGGGCGGTCTTCCGAAGCATCTTGAAATTATTGCGCGCCACTCCACCTGCACCGCCGCCAGCCCTCCTTCTGCGCACTTTCTTTTCGTCCATGCCCGGTACACTGGAGTTGCTGTCCTAACTAATTTCTATTTCTCTCCGCCACAATGTTGCCCCGAGCCGGCCTGCGTGCGCTGCGCATCCGCCCTGCACTTGCAGTCCCGCGCACCACTCCCATAGCCTCTGCATCGCAATGGACCCGCACATATGCCAGCAACAACCGGAGAAAAGACAACACGTGGAAGAAGACGGATCCCATCAAGTTTGACGAGAAGAACAAGGCGCGCGCGAACCCCGTCAATCCCTCAGAACAGCCCGAGTTTGACACGGCGGCGTCACCTGACCGCAACACAGCACCAGATGCAACGCAGACTTCACGGCCAAATGGAAGTGCGACACAGGCTTCGGTCGACGCGGGGAAGGACATGAAGCGGGACGAGCAGGCGGAAATGGACGGCCCCAAGTCATCCACAGAGAACACAGATCCCACCACCGAAAGCCCCGAGGCCCAGCAGCGACCCCAGAAGCCGCTGCCCGATCTGCGACAAGGAATTCCCTCGACGTTTGGAGCCGAATTTGCCGGTGCCGAGGGCAAGGCCAAGGATGCGGAAGACTTTGAGGAGCCTGCCCCAGGTAGCACAGGCGGGCGAGAGGGCGGCGAGCTCCCCAAGTCGGCGTACGAGACGAGTACAGACAGGCGGAGGAACCGTGTCGCGAACTGGTCGTATCTGGCCATGCTTCTTTTCGGCACAACGGGCGCCGTCTACATGGGCCGGAACTGGGAGACGGAGGAGGAAGAGCAAGCACATGTGGACGCGCCCAACGGCTGGAGCATCGGCCAGATGTACGCGCGTGCAGCTGCTCGTATCAACGGACAGAAGGCCTACTACACAGAACCCACCTTCCAGAAGCTGCTGCCCGACAAGGACAAGATCCCCGGGGGAGCACCGGAATTGACTCTGGTCCTGAGTTTGGAAGATCTCCTGCTGCACTCGGAATGGAGCACCAAGCACGGCTACCGACTGGCGAAGCGACCTGGGCTCGACTACTTCCTCCGATACCTCAGTTCGCAGTACGAGCTCGTCATCTTCACCTCTGTCAAATCCATGGACGCCGATCCCATCATCAGAAAACTCGATCCCTTCCGTCTCGTCATGTGGCCACTGTTCCGCGAGGCAACACGGTTCGAGAAGGGCGAGTACATCAAGGTATGACACTTGGCGTAGACACATGTGCAACTGCTAACAAGCGCAGGATCTCTCCTACCTCAACCGCGATCTTTCCAAAGTCATCATCATGGACACCGACCCATCGCATGTCAAGCTGCAACCCGAGAACGCCATCGTCATGCCCAAGTGGAAGGGTGAGCCTGGCGACAAGGGCCTCGTAGCCATGATTCCCTTCCTCGAATACCTCGCCATGATGTCGCAGACAGGGCAACCGATAGACGTGCGTACAGTTCTCAAGTCGATGGAAGGCAAGGACATCCCGACAGAATATGCCCGCCGCGAAACAAAGCTCCGTGAAGCTTTCAACCGCGATCTCGCCGACCAAAAGCGCAAGACCAAGGGCAGCGCCGGTGGCATGTTTATGAAGAGCTTGGGTCTAGATGCAGCAAAGCCTGGGATGGTTCTTGGCGACCAGAACCTCTCTCAAGGAATGGCGGAGGGCAAGATGATGATCGACATGTACCGCGATTTCAACAGGCAAAACTACGAGCACCTCGACAAGCAGATTCGAGAGAACGGAGACTCGTGGCTGAAGGAGATGGCCGATGAAGAAAAGAAGATGCAAGAAGCACAATTGAACGAGATGAAGGCCAACACGTTTGGCTGGCTGGGCGGTAACGCTGCGCCTGAGAGTGCAACAGTACCTTCAGCAGGCACTGTGGAGGCTGCAGCCGCTGCACACAGCACTGGAGCATCTGCAAACCAGTCCAAATAAGGTGATGCAATTATAGCAGGAGGCAAAAGATACCATGATTCCACTCTATGATCTGATGATCGGGCGTTCGTTGTACAGCTGTAGGGTTTCAATGGTTGGGGCCGGATAGAACCAGCGCGGTCCGCGCACCAAGTGTATGTATGATATGTTGGAGCACTAAAAGTATGAAATCATTACGACGATACACTAGCGCGCCTCGGCCTGGCTTTAAACGGACTTAGTGACATGGGCGGGGTCACATCTCACCGTCTCTCCCTCACTTATCAGTCCGCACAACAATAACTAATCTTTATGGTGCAATGTCAGCGTCCCTCTTCTCTCTGCCTCTGGAGCTCCGAGAACAGATCTACAGCCTCTACTTCAAGCCATCTGACCGTCTGCTCCACTCCCAGAAGCTCAATGAGGAAGGCTTCTACGGCGGCGTGTATCGCTTCGAATTCCAGCTGTTGAGGGTGAACAAGCAAATCTACAATGAGGCCAATGCTGTGTGGCAGAGAGAGAATGTCTTTGTCAAAATTGCGACGCCGTGGCCTAGTGCGGGTATGTATCGCGTTTACTTGATGAGTGAAGAGGAAGGCATATATGAGGATGAAGACTGGCAGGGAGGGAGTGGTGAGTTTGACCTTGTGGAATTGCGAAGAGAATCAAGAAGTGGTGATGTGAAGATTGGCAGGACCGTGCTGATACCTGTACTTATAGTAAATCACATCGCTCACGAAGGACTCGTGCCTATTGTCTGCACTGACGGTCGCGCCGACAAGTTCACAACAGAACACGCCCTCGTGTCCATCACCGCGCCGTTCCATCAAGCTGTCCCAGAACACACGGTCGTCGTCCTCGCAGATGATATACACCTCTTCAGCCAAACATGGTACTACAGCGCCTTATCCTACCCTATGCTCAACGACCGCCTCTCCACAACCTTCACCCTCCTCAAGCCCTCGACCAGCCTCCAAACCCAACGCCGCCTCCTCCTCCCCTTCACGCAAATCAAAGGCCTCTACAGCAAGGAAATCATCAACTACGCGAGCGAAGTGCGCCTCGAACTAGAAACAGGAATGTCCACCCCCCTCCCCACACTCTCGCAATGCTGCGAATCCGCCGCCGACCTGATGGCCCAAGGCGACGCCCTCGTCTCCACGGACCCCAAAGCCGCCTTGGACCTCTACACCGCCGCCTTCCGCGCCATCCACATCCTCATCCACGGCCGCACGCGCCGCGTCCTCGCCGACGCCTTCTTCCACCACCCCATCACCACGGGCCGCTTCATGCACCAAACGGGTCTAAGCGTGCGCATTGTGCTGCGCCTCAAGCTCGTCTCGCGCACCGTCCTCGCACATCTCAAAATGCGCAACCCCGCTGAAGCGCTGTTCTGGGGCATGCGCAGCATCAACATCATGCGCGAGAGCATGGACGTCGAGTTTGAGGATTTCGTGCACGACTTTGTGGGCGGCGAGGATGTTAGTTGGATCTACATGCGCGCTGGGATTGCGGCGTGGATGATCGAGAAGCAAGGGGGAGGTGGGGAGCTGGATGAGGGGAGTGAGGAGCTGTGGACGGCGGCGGGCAAGTTCGTGAAGAAGAGGGATAGGAAGGATGTGAGACGCGAGTTGAGGGGGTTTGGGGTGGACGAGAGGACGATTTTGGAGCGGTTTGGGGATGGGGGAGAAGGGCAGTGCGAGCGCGCAGGATGGGAGTGGGGATGAGTAGATGCGTATGCGCCGTGCTGGCTTTTTTTTCTGGTGTGAGAATGGCACTTTGTGCCGAAATTTCTCTTGCATTTGCTGGAGTGTCAATGGAAGGTCACGATCTTATGATTGTTCCGCGACTACAGTGACAATTGCGAACGAACCTTGGTCTTTCCCACACTACGTTTTCTCAATCTCTATTGCTCGTGGATTGGCAATGTCTTGTCCTTGAACAAGTGGTCATTCAACACAGATGCCATGCGCCGGAAGACTCCATCCGCCTCATGTCAATCAAAAGTGGAGATGCGCAAGTGCGATTCGGGTGCTGTACCCGACATGTGCGAACGGCAGGCCAAGATGTGGTGTGGCAGTATCTCTGCTAGTTTCTCGGACGTGTGTATGTATCTGTAAGTACACCTCTATCTGCGAGTACAGCATGTCTGTGTATGGTGTAACGAGAGTGCATGGGGTGACTCTCTGTATATGGACACGAAGGATATGTGTGTCATGTCGGCTGTCCCAGATGTCTATGGGGGTCTTGGGGTGCGGAATGATATGGCTTGGAGCGATGGAGCATTGATGGGTCATGCATTACTCTTGCCCAACTCTATGATTGAGCGAACCATTCCCTGCCCAGCCATGTATCGTCGTGCCGCATCACAGTCCGTAAACAAACGTCCACTTGCGATCCGCATACCGTGTCTCAAGCACCCTCTCCGCATGCACTTGCTCTCCGCTCGAGCCCGCCAGCACCGCTTTCCTGCGTCGATTCACCGCCTCGAGCGTGAACCGGTACGCCATGTATCCCAGCAGCGCCGCAACGACGAATCCCAGCGTGGCATAGAACGGCGCCAGGTATCTGGGCGCAAAGCGCTTCTTGTAGAGCTGTGCGCCAATGACACCCGCGAGGTTGCCGAAGCCATTGACGCCGAGGACGAGAGAGCGCTTGCCTGGCTCAGGCGTGTTGCCGCTTAGCCAAACCATGGTGAGCGGAGCAGCGATGTAGCTGCCGAAAAGGAGGATGCAGAGACCGGCATATTTGACGCGATTGCTGTGGCACGTTACGACGACGATGAGGCCGACAAGAGAGATCAGGATGCCCACAACGATGTGGTAGCCGCGCTCTTTGCTATTGAAGAGTTAGCCGGGCAGGAGGTCTTCTTGATTTGGGGATTGGGTTACCGATGGTCAGAGCTGAGTGCGAAGAGGAACAAGCCGATTGCGCCACAGATATAGGGCGGCACTGACATCTGAGACACAGCTGGGGTTATTTTCGCGAGGTACTAGAACCTAAAGTCATTGGTACTTACCAGGTTGGCTTGGATGGACGAGTATCCGAGTCCCCGCACGACCAGTGGCAGGAACACAGAAAATGTCTGATTAGGCACGCTTGCGCATATGTTAAACGCAAGGACATACCAGGTCTTCCAGTCTTTGGCCGTCTCAACAACATCGCGCCGGGTTAGCTGGTCTTCCAGTATGCCATTACTATTGAACGCAGGAGTGTAGTCAGCATTGTCTTTAGTGATGCGTGAAACTGCAAAGAGCCGCTCGTCTGCGTCTAGAAACCAAGCGGATCCTGGATCAGCTGGAAGCCAGAACCAGGCGACCACAGCAATCAAGATGGTGAGTATGCCCTCAATGAGGAAGAGGTACTGCCAGTTGTGCAGTCCATATCCGCGGAGATGAAAGACTCCGAATGCTTTGTCACACTGGTCAATTTTTTGCACTCAACCGGCTGTGAAAACGCGCTGATCACATACCGATCGAGCCTGAGAAAGCGCCGGCTACGGCATACTGGCCGTAGAAAAGCGCGAGTCGGACCGCTAAATCGTATCTGCAGTAGAAGCAAGACAAGTATGCAACAGCAGTTGGGTAGAAGCCAGCTTCAAATGCACCAATTAATAGCCTCATTACGATGAGGCTTGAACGCCCGCGGATGAATGCATTGGCAACAGTGAAGACGCCCCACCCTGTCTTTGTTATGTCAAGCCACCATTCGTTGCCATCCGCGGAGCGTGTTGGAGGAGGCTCACCATCATGATTGGGATCCAACGCTTGGCTCCCAGCCATCTTCCCATCGCAGCTGAGGGCGGCTGGAACAGCACAAAGGTAACGAAGAAAAGCGACACCGCCAGATTCAGATCGTCAGGAGTCGCTCCAATATCTCGACTGAATCCTGTCGCAAAGTGAGCTGATTTAGCTGCTCGCACTCACATGACTCTCTACTTACCCTGAGTCTCTGCGTTGCCAATGTTAGACCGATCAAGTCCGTTGAAGAGGTAGAGAAGAGAGAGGAAGGGTAGGAGCGCAATGTCCATCTTCCTGTTCAAGCGTCGAGACGACATCTGTTCAGCCGCGCTGCATGTCTGCTCCTCGGTTGTGTCTGAATGGTCACTGTCCATGTTTGCTATGTGTATCAGTGTCACTGTTGAGTTACCGTGCAGCAGAAGGGGGGAGCGGACGAGCGGACCCCGGCCTCTTCATATTGACCACGACTCGAACGTCCTCGCGACATTCCCTTCTGCCGTACAACCTTTACGGCTGTACATGATGCCTAGAACCACGCCATGAACGACGCCTTCGACGACATGGCCCCTCTTTTGTAACTCTCATTATAGGTCGAATGGACACCTTTGCGCGCGAAAATGCGCGATGCTTCCGCAGTGATCCAGGCGTCTCCGCTCTTACTGGCATGGTAGTACTAGAAATTGCCCTCGGCAACTAGGGGTTACCGTGCCCGTGGTAAATTTGTAGACTTTGGCCAATCAGCATATTCTCGGGATCCCACCGTGCGAGCCGTCTGACCTATAACAGCGATAAGAATCTTACGGCACCTCCCACAAGCGCGATCCAGCTCAAGAAAACTTCTTCGCGGTTGAATCCACCAAAGGACCTTCCTAATTATGACGGGGTAGGTTTCATTACTTAAGATGCCTGCGTGTGCAACATAGGCGTCCTTGTAGCTTGTACCGACCAACAGATTACTGACTATTTCCATGCGCACACCATGTCGCCTAGACATCATCGCACCGAACGCTAATTGTGCTGCAGATGAGGTATTGGTGTTTGTATTTCCTACATTAATCCCTAGTTGGTCTGGCTATGCCCACGCACATACTAGAGATGTCAGAGTCGTATACCCGCATATTTGCAAAGCCCACGACAAGCTAAGTTGCGTGCATGTCAGCTTCGTTAAGAGCTAGTGTCACCAAATGGTACCCTCATAATTGAAAAAGCAAGGGTTGTGCCGGGGTATCCTGCGAATTCGACCAACAATATGGGTCAGATAAAGAAACTGTTCTGCAGCTGGAGGCCGCTGCATTGGATCCAGGTCACTACCTCAGCATACATAGCGTTGCCCTCGGTAAGCAGGTTCTGGGAGGGTTGCACATCTGCAGCAAAGGTGCTTCTGCGATTTGCAAGTGAGCTTGGTTGGGATGTATCAGTGGCATTCCTCTGATGCACGAGCTGCTCTTGACATCTCGAGTAGCGCTCCGTCAGAACGTCCAAATCCTGCAGTATCTTACAGCAGTCTCTCGGATAGTGCGTACCAGTTCTGGCCTCTTCTTCAAAGCTCTGGATTGCGAACTGTATGTTGGGCTCGAATTCCTCATTTTGAACGGATGCCACGGATGGGCTGCGCACACTCGGGGTCCCAAATTCGGGCTGCGCGGTGCTCCTCATGAAACGCTGGAGTAATAGGATGACAGCACTGTTAAAAACGAAGTGTAGTCCAGCTTGGAGCAATCTTCTTCCCGACTTGATTAGACGTTGGGCAAGTTGTAGATTTCGATGAGCTGCAGCGCAACAAATGGGGATGTGGGGAGTCTGGTCGAACTCTTCGGGAAGGTATTCGCCGTGGATTGATCGTTGCGCGACGGCTTGCTTTACAGCAGCAAAGAAGATGGGACGCGTAGTCAGCACCATGAGCTGATTGTGTGCCATGTGCAGGATGCAACATGTGGGATCCTCATGATTAAGATCGGCTGGCATCTGCAACTGGTGAGGAAGCTGCCACTGCCAAGTGTGAAGCATTTCTAATGCCGTGTCAATGGTACTCGCTGACTGATTAGGTCCATCCTGCCGGGGTGCGATCTTGAACGTCTCGCAAACGATGTAATTGGAGATTCTGGACAGCTCGACGTGAGCTCGAAGACCTGCACTTGAAGGCAATCCACTAGGACACTTAGTGACTATCCTAGAATTTCCTATGTATACACTTACACAGCATCGCTGGGTAAGACCAGACGTATAGCTTCATCTGCTATAGTGGGAGGCCGTCCCATTAGCACCGACAGCCATCGATCAAGAACGTACAGCGTCCACATTGTCCTCCTGGACGGCTCGTCGGGGCATGATCTGAATGAACCGTGCATCACAGCAATGCTGTTGTCATGCATGCACAGATTAGCGTCAGTACCTCAGCAAGGTCTCATGTATTGTATCACTTACCGCACTGCCAGACCAAGATACATATATGCAGCATCTCGACGATTAATCTCGATGAGATAAAAGGCCATCAACGTGAGTACAGGTACATCGCCAGGAGTGAATCGGACAGTGTCGAGAGGATTTCCCAAGAGCATACGGGCTCGCTTGAAATAGGCTTCTCCGGTGTGCTGTTCAGAATGACGGTAGTTTGTGTGGCCGACAGACGAAACAAGAGCAAAGCAAACGTGGTGGAAAGCCAGAGGGCGGAAGGATTCGTCTGTCGTCATGGCGTTCAGTGAGGCTGAGCTGACGCCCGGTGATGGGACGACACTGAGATCACCCCACCTACGATGCAAGCACGAAGTCAGCAAACACGATGGATGTCAGCAATGGCTGATGGCCTCACCAGTAGATACCACCCGAGGCAAAGTCTCCGTTGCCATCTTGGATGTAATAGCACAGCTCAAAAAGCATAGCGGACATCTCCGTCCGGGAGGGAAGCCATACCGGGTTCACTGCATACGAGGTCAGCTATCAGTGTCAGAGCAAGAGCAAGAGCAAGAGCAATGCATGTTGGACTGCCTTACCGTCCGGATTGGGCAGCGGCCGAGAGTCGAAGGTCTGATATTGGCCTATGGTGCTGACGAACGACGAGCTGTCGGCGCAATCATCCTGGAACGTCACTGGGACCAGGGTGAACATGAAATTCTTCAAGTGGTCAAGGAAGGTTGCTCCGGAAGTCTCGCCCAGATATCGCGCTGTGCCATCCGGATCACGAAGCATGCGGCCATCGGACGCATCAGAATCATCTGGGCCCAGGTGGTCCGGGTGGGAGCTTTGAGCAGTCGATGAAGATGTTGCCGAGTTGCCGCGATGGAGGTGCCGCAGGGCATCTGCGGCGCCATCGGATGGTATCGAATGGAGGTTTTTTTCCAGTGCGGCACAGCGCCTGCGCAGGCGGTCGACTTCATTTTTCAAGGCGCATTTATCCGACTCGGGCGCGGGGTACTCGCCTAGAGGTCGTTAGTATCCTAGGGTGCGGTTCCAGACACCAACGGGCTCTAGCAAGACGGTGGGAAGAGCCGGCGAGGGAGGAAAGCCTACATTCGCGCACCTGGCGGGCACATCGTTCGCACGGCTGGCCTCCCGAGCACTTGACACGCCGAAGGTTGCAAGCATTGCATCTGCGTAGGCACGTCAGCAGACCGCTCCCAACAGAGGCGTGCGTGCAGCACAGCGACAAGCGCTGGAGATGGTGCGATAGACTGCATCACGCAGAGGTGCGATTGCAAACATCCGCTTGCGCCCTTGCCCAACACAGGCGAGGACGGGGCCATGAACCGTGGTGAACGGTGAAGTCGCGTCGGTCCGAATAGCACCTTGAATAGCGCCTCGTATGAAGGATTTTGACGCTTTGTAGGACTTACGCTCTGACAACGCGCTTGCGATCTTGAGGGTTGACCTTAATGCGCCGGGGATTCACTTTCAAGGTCAGTCTCAGTTTTGATTATGAGAACTCGGTCGGGACCTGGGAGTGAAATACCTGGCAATCTCATGCGCTGGCGCTGTGTAGCAGAATCCGCTGGGACTAACTCTTCGTTAGATTGCATCGTCAGACAGAGTAACGTCTGACGTCGTATGGCTTGGAGAACTGTTTGTCGTGGAAGAGAGAAGTAGCGATGGGTGCGTCGCCAAGAGCGCCATGACGCGAGTACTCCCTTTTCGTCAGGCATGGAGAAAATAGCTTTCGACATCACATCCATGATATCAGTTTGTGATCGCGCGTCATCTGGCATATTGACCTGCACTCAGACTCAACAATCGCGCCTTATAAGGGCAATGGGGTCGACGGCAATGCTTGCGGCAGCACCACTCAGGCTCGCTGAGCATTTACCCCAACATGGGCGGCATCACCATCGAGGCCGAGTTGCAGCATGGCATCAACTTCTCCCAGCCCAGCTTCTTCGACCTGCGAACACACAGGCCCAACAAGACCATCGACATTGGCAGAGACGGACTGTCGCTGTCGCTGGATGCAAAAGGCCGGGTAACATCACCCCTTGATCGTCAACGCAATATGCTAATCACATATCAAGGTGTTGCAAGCTAGCGCGTACCATCCTGAACATGGTATTATTGTGGCCAACCCATTCCGTTCATTTGACGGGTCGCGCTTCTACGATGTACCCTATGTTCGTGACTACCGGACAGCGCATGCTCCAATGGATCCAAAATGATCGCCCAGGCTTTGGTCTAGACTTTGGCGTGCCCGGCCATCTAGTCTCGATCAAGATTATCGAGACCAACGTCGCATTGTACCACATGAAACTTGTCAACCACGTCGATGTGTCGCTCACGGCCCATATTTCCGCACAGGGCAGCTTCGTGCAGGATGCAAGAGCCACAAACACAAGCTCCGGATGTGTTCTCCTGCCGTATGCCCTGGGCGTCAACGTGAGTCTCAATCGGGCTAGCTACGGTCAATTGACCGAAGGCGGACCCATTGCACTACCTCCCGGTTGCAATATCCTCCGAAAGAGCGGCCCGAACACTCTGCGCGTCTACAACCCAAATCTGGGCGCACAGCTCTCGACCAGCCTGGATATCAATGGCCAGCCTTTGGTCATAGACAGCGTCGAAGATCAAGATGCATCTGAGGCCGTGCTCGACGTCTTTGTGAAAGGCAAAGTATGCATACTGCCTGGAGAAACAGCGACGTTTTGTGCGACGTTTCGATTGATACCAGATGCCAAGGAGCACACAGATGTCTTTCAATCTGGTATGGCGATATCAAAGGCCATGCTCCCCAATGCGAAATCTCGCTGGAAACGCGATGAAATCTTGACCACATATGTACTCAGGAGAAACTTCGAATACATACTCGCAAATTGCGTCGTTCCTATCTCCGAGTCGAGTACTGTAATTCTTACCGACCATGTTGCGCTACCGTTAGGGTGGAACAGGGACAACTAGTAAGTACACCGATAGTTTTGCCTCATATCTTTCTCATGCTGGATAGCTGGCAGGTCCGTCTTCTGCTCGAAACACACGCAAACATCACCGATCTCGTATACTCCGAATTCGTGCCTCATTACAGGGGGAATATCGAATCTGCCGTCCGAGGCCATCTGAAATGGGTATTCATCCACGCTAAGCGGCCACATGGTTTCTGGCACAGATCATACCTCGCCAATGGCCAGCCCAAAGACCGATCCATATTCCAGCTCGACCAGCAGTGCTACCCTCTCTTGGAACTCTGTGACTACGCTGAGCACTTTCCAAGTCAAGTGGACTTCGTAAAGCGCATCGTAGACGCAGGCGTCATACATGAGATACTTGCGGTACTAGCGGCAAAGCAGGACAAGCAGACGAGGCTTTGGCCCACCGATGAGACGCCCGGGGATGATGCAGTCCAATACCCTCACCATTTTTCAAGCCATATACTAATGTGGAGAACATTCACCCGACTCCACCAAATGTTCCTCGACTTGGCAATACCTCTGAACGAACAGATATCAAGACTGGAAGTCATGGCTGCACAATTGAAAAATGACACCGTCAGATCCTTTACTACCACACATTCAAATTGCAGCAGGCCGCTGTTTGCATACCTGACGGATGGCAATGGTCATCACGAATGTTACCATGACGGCAACGATGTACCGACTGCATTCGCGTACGACTGGGGCTTCGCTTCATCAGCGAGCGAAATAACCACATGGAGAGCCACAATGGACTTTGCTCTGTCACCAGCCAATGCGAAAGGCTTCTGCGACGAAGGTCCGTATGGTGGACTGGGCAGTGTACATTCTCCCGGAGCCTGGACGCTAGGCTACTTCCAGGAGTTGGCTTACGCTGCATCCAGCAATAACGTAATAGCCATGCAGGGAGCCTGGACCAAGATTGCTGCAGCCATGCAATGGGACGGCACCTTCCCGGAGGCCGTTGATCCAAAGACTGCACAGTGTACCAGCAAGGCATGGTTCAGTTGGCCTGGCGCAATGATCGGCGCATTGTTGATCCACATGAAGAAGAACGGTCAGGAGGAAATTCTGCTGCAGACAAGGGTCAAGGTGAAGCCGTGTTAAGCAGAAATGGCTGAGTAGGGTGTTTCCGGTTGTTCATGGGCAGTATCACCATCGCTTGTACTACATCGACTACAGGCCACCCAAGCAATGCGCGATAAGGCTTGTTTCTTATTACTCGTACATTTATAAATCCAGTGAGAGGTGTGATTCTTCCAAATGCCCCAAGTGTAATGGGGATCGCGCATGATGGTCAAAATCGAAGGCTCGAATGTGAATGCGTGAGCACTCAATCTGGTAGGATAACCATTTATACATTAGCTATCATAGACAAAGGAGACACTTATGTGGATATCTCGAGCATGGGCTCATCGCTCACTCGGCGCTAAACGGCAGGACAAAGGAAATACGACGATGTCCTAGTATCAATCTTCCAAGTCGAATCCGAAGACAGACTGCACGATCGCTCGCACAAGATACCGCGCCTCGTCGCCATTCGTCCGCCCACCAACATCTTCACCGCCATTCCACTTAATCCCTACAATCTTGCCAGCGCCCTCACCCTTGACATCCATGACAAGGAACAGTTCAGCCACTTTGGTCCCTGTCAAGCTGCGGTGGAAATGCACCTTCAGCTTGCCCATAGTATCTGGGCCCTCGCTGTAGATAAACCACTTGTCGCTCATCAGGCACGGTTGGTAGCCACAATACAAAGCGTGCACCTGTGCCGGCAGCAAGAAGACATCCCATGTCGTGACGCGGATGCGCGCTTGCGGGCCGGCGGGAAACGGCTTCGTGGGGATGGCGGATCCTTGCACGCGCGCGGAGTTGGACGACGAGCTACTTGACCCACGGGAAACGCGTTCGCGGACGACTTGTGGAATGTCGACGCGTTGGGTGTATGTGATCGTCTGACCCTTGCGGTGTTTCTTGTCCTTTGTAAGGTGCGGGGACGGACTGCGTGGAATGTCGATTACGCTGTCATGTTTGGACCAGGCTGGGCTCAGAGGAGGCGACTGGGAGAATTCTTCTTCGATTGGTTGCGAGGCAGTTTCACGGAGCCGCGATGGCGGGCGGACAGCAGTGTTGTAGACGGTGTCATTGGTGATGGGCTCGGGGCTTGGGCGACGCGAGAAGCGTCGGAATATCGAGAGCTTCTTGGGCGCTGCTGGCCAGTCCATGGCTAACATCCTGGATGGTGATCGCTGCGGTGTCCAATTGGTGAGAGGGGTCAGTGTCGTACTGATGTCGTACTGAAGTCACACACGAAACGGCAAATGTGGGACGAAGAAGAAAACAAGAGGATCGGCTGATGTCTGAGTCTAGGGTGGGACTGGGTAATGAGAACAAAGACAAAGAATATTTCTGAGCTCAGCCGTACACTTGATGGCGTTCGAGGGCTGAGATGGCCTTATTTAGTTGACCCTACACCTTACCAAAAACGTCCTACATCAGCCAAGCTACACACATCTCGATTTGGGGGCTTGGGGCCGAAGACTTCTCAACAGGCTAGGCGCGGCACAATGAAATGTTTGGCATGTTGGACGTTTCCCGTGTGCCAAAAGGTTTCAAACGTCATTGCAGCCAAAGAGATCTACAGATCTAAGACGGGAAGCTCGGATCTTTCTGTCCCGCAAGAGTGGATCAGCGCTACGACTTCATCACCATCATTTGTCCTCCATCACGACAATCGTTCATTTCATCTCTACAAAGCCATTGTTGTCACATCTCGTGCGGGGGATTTTTCAGCTGAGAAAGCCCCATGTTCTGGCCCGCTGCACGTTGGAGTCCTGTACATGCACATCCCAGCCCTCTCCCGCCATGCAAGTGCCGATCCTTCGAGGCGCACACCAAGACTAGACACACCGGCTCCGCCATGACCGAGTAGCACACACCACCGACATCTGCTTGGGGCTGCAGATCTGCAACCCTGATGATCGTGAACTTCACGATGCTAGCCACACTAACAGTGACAAGCTTTTGCGCACTCGGCCAGCCAGCGCAGTCGGAAGCGTTCTGGAGAACGCCATCAACATTGAAAGTGCGTGCGCAAAGCCTGTCGGAGATTTCTGCCTCCCACGGGCCACTATCACACTGACTGCGGAGGAAATCTCGCGTGATAATTGTCGAAGGGTGACAGGGCGAGTACCGATATACCTAACGATATGAAGTTTCCTCGAAAAGCAACAGCTTGACCGATATAACATCCAATAGTATCATCAGCCTAGTTTCCCGTGCGGAGACCCTGCCTACCTCTAGCACCTTGACGTATATAACTTCACAATGACGCTGCATCTTCACCACAGCTTTCGCACCCGTCATGAGGGTCCAGCACTGCAAACCTAATAACGATCAGCACCACCTAGTCGGAAGCGACACTCTTCGCGTCCTATCAAAATGCTCCGAGCACACGGAGCCGTCGCAGGGTCGCATTCTCACATACGTAGTCGAGTCACCATCATCAAGCGCGAGTGCGTCATTGCATAGCTACATATCTATTTCATGAGTAGCCAGCTCGACAGATATTACGCTGACATGACACACGCAACGGGAGCAAAGCATGGTTCGTCGCTAGGTAGGCTAACGGTGTAAGACCCGGGGCCGCTTGCGGAAATATACTTTCGCCTACTGGAAAGCAGCGGAGGACAGATCAGGGGCGGATCGGATACTGCTGCATAAATTGTATTGTTGCCATGGTATCATGGAAAAACTTATAGTACGAACAGGTATCTAATAATGAAGGTTTGATTGCGGATGTTCATTACTGGAGTTCGGGTTTGGATAGTCGCATAGTAGGGTGAAGAGATGGACTTGTCTTCGAACTCCCTTCCTGATTTTCGATGGAGTCATATCTCTATGTTTTGGGCAAGGTTTTTGCTTCACTGTGTCAGTGTCACTTCCATGTCGACATGCTGCTAGAACCAGTGCTCTGCTCGCTACCACTCTATACCCAGACACATCAAGCCGTTGTATATGAGATCTTCAACATCTTCACAAATGACAAAATCTCACACTAGGATAGAGAACTCTATTCCAATCTTCTTCATCTTCCCCAAATTTCCTTCTCTCTCATCTCACACCTCACACAACCCCGTCTTCTCAACCCATTTCTCTAACTCGCTATCGCATCCATAACACGCGCAAATCTAAACTCAACATCAACATTCTCCTATAATTCCGTGTACAGTCTCAACTTACATCCCTTTTCGCTCTTGCGGCATCTTCGTCATCCACACACTTTAGAATCACACTCGTGTTGGCGCGGTTGAGAAATTGCGCGAGACAGGCGTTGGATTGCCGGACAGGTTGGCAGGTGGGAGACCAGGGGTCGCAGGGTCCTGCCGTCGAGTTCCGGCGTAGGAATACATGGTGCGGGTAAGGGGTTGCAAAAGTGGAGGATGTGAGAATGAGTGTGGTGGCTATGAGGGTGAGCATGGTGGAGGTATCGGATGGAAGGCGGTGTGGTTGCGAAGAGCTGTTGAGGAATTGTTGGGCAGCGTTGTGTTCATATCGATGCATTCTTGTGCCATGCATTGAGTTCATGTGTGCGTAATTACAACTTGTTCGGTGATTGTCAGGTGGGAGCTGCTATTGGCTCCCCACATGTGGGAGCGAGTGGTTTCAATTTTATGTACAATGTACCCTTGCAAGGCATTGCAACTATATACAACGGAATACGCTTTCATTCCAATCATTCTTAGAAAAAGGAAAACGGGTCTTACGGCGACCTGTCCTTAGCTGCATTGTCATGATATTCTTTCACCACCTAAGTCGAAAGACCGAAGAACTTCAAAAGCACTGGCTCGACTACCGGCGCAATGTGCCCGACACCTTGTCCAAAGTATCCAACGAGTTTGTTGCTGTCACCGTAGATGATCTTGGTGTACTGCGATCCCTGATCAACCCCGCTACCAGTCTGGTTTGCAGTGTTGGTAACACCCAGTACCGCAGACCATTGCTTGAGTTGTTCGTATCCTGCTTGCGGGCGAACAAGTGTATCAGCAAGACCATGCGCGACCAAGAAGCGCGGGCGCTTTCCAGTGTATCCGGGGTATGCGTTGTTGACGAAGCTCGCCCATTGCTGGGGAGTGTGCGTGAGACCTTGAGCACAGGTCTGGTTGGACCCGTAAGGAGTCGGGTCGCCTTTTGAGCCGGCAAAGCACGCAAACGCGACGCCAGAGTACGCAGCACCAGCCTCGAAGACTTCGGGGTAGGAGCCGACCATTACGTTGGCCATCATTGCGCCAGAAGAACCGCCCATGACGAAGAGCTTGGCCTTGTCGGCGCTGTACTTTTGCACGGCGTAGTTGACCATGCTGATGATGCCTGCGGAGTCTCCGCCGGCGCCGTGGGTGAGAGTGGCGGGGTTGTTCACGTCCCAGCAGTTACTGTACTTTTGGGTCTGAGGGTAGATGAGGATGAATCCCAGGCTCTCCGAAGAGGCGGGAAGCTTGGTTCCGCTGTACCATTGAGAAGCAGTGCCACCACAGGGGTGAAGCTGTGAGAGGTTTCAGATCAAGTCATTCTGACCATTTCTCGACAGAGACTTACAGCAACTATGATCGCGGGGTTGGTCGCGATCTTTGCAGGGACCGAGATGTACATCTGGAGGTTTGTGGGGTTGCTGCCAAAGCCGGTGACCTGTTGGAGCGCTCCAAAAGCCGAGCTGGCCGAAGCCAAGATGGCGGTCGCAGTCGTGAATGCCTTCATATTGACGGTATTTGGATTGGACCTCTAATAAGGCTTGTGGATTTTGTTGTTGTTGGTAGTGCCATCTTGCTTGTCGCGCACCCCAAAGGCTCTTATACCAAGTGATCTCCGTTCCAAAATCAAAGGTATAAACAACCGAGATAGGAAGCCGACGCCCCAATCAACTTGCTTAGATTGTTCGACACGATGCACGAATCAGGGTATATAGTAAAGGCACTTTCAATGAATGAGGTAGGTCAGACGAAAGCGGCAAGCGAGCCGTTGTGTTCCTGGCCAGATAACTAGGTATGTTTCAAGAATTGATCAAGAATGGAATGATCTCCAGGAAACATATATTGCGACCCCAGATTGGAGGAAAGGTCCGTAAAAATTCCGAGTCCTGGGATCCCATGATCGCCAGCTGGTGGCAGTTTGGTCAATAGCCGGCGGCAAGGCTCCCCGGTTGGAAAAGCGGAAGGCATGTGCGGTAGGGTTGTGCAGGAGCCGGCTGCGTGTTTCGGCATGCGTCGAATATATTTCACGAGCTACGCGTCCGCCTGCATGGAACAAAGTAATATACTGAATTGCAGTTGTTGTACATTGTCATGCGATGACGCTGTGGGTGAATGGAGAAGTGTGGGGTAGTGCAGCCCCAAAGCTGGGGTGTTGCCGAAGAGTCCTTTTGGTCGACAAGAAGGAAAACCGACCCACCCACCAGCATCTACGGACCGAAACCAACATACAACTTCAAATCGTTGCATCGACTGTCACTTACTTGATGCAAAATCCCCAGGCAACCAACGGCATGCACCCAATCATGAGCAGTCCAGACATCCCGGGGACCAATCCTCCAGTGGTCTTCCGACCAGTCCTTCGATAGGTCGTTTCGTTATGTTACACATAGATTGAAGAGGTGCAACTCACTCCATCCTGGTCTTGGTCCTGTCTGTCGTCCAGTCACTCTCATGGTTGGTGACGACCCTGCTCTGTAAGGCGAGCTTTCTCGTGGCAGATGGGCACAGAAGTTGTTGCTATCAAGTAGCCAAAGTCCGAAGGGACGTTGAATCCATGGAGATGGGCGGATGAGTAGATCGGAAACGAGTCAACCCTTTTCTGGATGTTGTTCTGTTCAACGTCAATGCCTTGACATGTAAAATGCTTCCTTCGGCAGCGAGTAATTTTGGTGTGGTATTTTGTGGTCTTAACAAGGTCTTCATACTAAGATGGCGTGCACTTTCCGGGATCTCTAGGTTGTCTCGAGTTTGCGAGAAGACTGATCGTGACGTCCAATCACTGGAACCGCGTTGTTTCCCGTCTCTTGACCATTAGCTTCTTGCGTACAGTTGAGTACCCGCAGTAATGCGACAGTACTTCATGTATTCCAGACGAACTCTGGTATGAATTTCTACCGGGGACCCGGGTTATCCTTGCAGTAAGCGGATGATGCCATGCCCTGGAGCTAGCGTCTGGTATAGGTAAGGTTCAGTTATAGAAGTAGTCATTCGCTATAACAATATTTGCCGTTTAAATCTTCAGGTCGATCGGACAAATTAAACCTGGCGGGGAAGTAGTGATGTATCGCACCTTGGAAAGTTGTGACCAGCCAGCGTCAACGAGAGCGCGTTGCTATGCCACGCACATTTGACGACATCTCGAATCATATCGAAGTTCCTGTAGCGCTCAAATTTTGATATGGCTTGATTAAGGGCAAAAGGCGTTGCTTTCGATGGACACGCTCACAAGTCGTTTCCAAAATGCGCTAAGTGTTGGGCATGAGAGGAGCTTTAGTGCATTCCAGTATGGCTGCTGCGTACCCAACTGTATAATGTGTCATACCTAAGAGCACCTGCATCAACCTAGTCATCGAACGTAAATTTGTTCAACCCACTATTTCCTTCTTTTTCAGAACAATGCCAGTATCGAGCCCCATCGAGGAGGTGCCTATATCCAAGGAATGCTAGGTTGACATAATCGAATGCTCATCCTTTTTCTCGGATGTGATGGCGAAGTCTAAGCCACTCTGTAATTACATGGCCTCTTTCCAGTAGGACTCAGATCCTGAGCTCAGATTTGAGTTGAAGAAACGATTTCTATTCTGGAAGGAGCATCTGCGTTTGCAAAGGTAAGGAAGCGATGGTATGTGAGCATAACTTCCTGACCGGCTTCGCATGTGCACCCTTACGCATCGTGAACCTGTTCGTGGTATGGAGCGTTGACTTCGCCGCAGACTGGCTGCAATCTGACGTAGGCTATTTCACCAAAGGGGACATACGGACGGAGATGAGGCTGGGCATGAACGCCCCATTACAAGCGAGCCATTGGCACCTGCATTGTTTAGCGTGTCGGCAAGAGTTGACCTGTCAGACCAGATCATGGACTCATACCAGGCTGCAACTCGAAGATGCACGATCATCAAAACAGTCAAGCTTGATATATCCCTTTTTTGGATACCTACTGCCTTTCCCGTATGACAGCAATGAGGAAGCGAAACCGTGCTTGTCAAGAGTGCCATCAACTCAAAATCAAGTGCGATGTAAGCACATCTCCAGGAGGGGCTTGCGAGCGCTGTAGCCGAAATAACGTTGAGTGCGTTCCGGCGGCGCCACGTCTCCAACGCGACCGCATCAACCAGCTCGAGGCTGAAGTCGAGGAACTCAGAAACGCGCTACGAGACCAAAGTAGCAGCGCAACGCCGAGCCGGTCTCCTGGGAGTCTCTTGGATAACTACGAACATAATATGTTAACCTTTCTGGACGCCCGTATCCGTCCGAGCAAGCAGCAAGAACTGCTTAGCCAATTTGCGCACCAGGCCGGAGCCGCATGGCCAGTGCTGCATCTACCGATGGATCTGGATCTTGTCCGTACAAAATCCCCAATTTTACTGCTTTCCGTGCTGGTGTACTCTGTCACGCAGGAGACACAAGGTACCGAGCTCGAAGTACATGATGAGCTCGTGCGGGAGACAATGCACATACTCGGTGATGAGTTGATTGGTAGAGGACAGAGATCCCTCGAGCTCGTTCAAGCGTTGCTCGTAGCTGCCTTTTGGAACAAGACCACGCGCAAGGGGCAACAAGGGAGTTGTTACCAACTCATACAGCTTGCTACTGATATGGCCATTGATCTTGGAGTTGCGGGACCTTCGTTGCAGCCCTCGCCAGTGGCGTATTTCGACCGGCATCAGGATCCTTCGTCTCTGGATGCACGGCGTACTTGGCTTGCCTGCTTCGTAGCATTGTCGACCTCGTCCATTAGTACACGGCGGTCGAATCCAGTTCCCTGGGACTCCCATCTTCAAGACTGTGTCCAGGTCCTGGAGAGCAAGGGCGGTCCATCTGATGTTCTTCTTTGCCAGCTTGTTCGCATAACGCAGCTGATCGAAGACATTATTATCCAAATGTGTCTCTGCCAGACAGCGACATTCATCGATGGGAACGATTACCACACGCATGCCACCATGGAGCCTTTGCGAATCAAAGTCGATGCTTGGGCAGCACGCGTACCAGCAAGCCTTGCGTCTTCACTAACGCTAAAAGTATGGTACCATGTAGCCATGATACTTCTCCATGAGGCAGTGCTTCATACTCCGACGAACAAATCGTCGTTTGCAGCGCCATTCATACCAGGACGCGTCGCGGTGAAAGACTTTCCCAAGCCAACCTTGATCATCCCTCCTTTACAGCCTGCACTCGTGGCCATCGTCCAGCATTGTCAAGCCGTCATTGACACTGCCGCAGACATGGATCCCGTCCTGGTACTCAGCCTCCCTAGCTTCTGCTTCGCCCCAACCGTGCTCTATGCTCTTTTCGTGCTGGTCAACGTCTTCGTCGCAGCCACAGATCCGACGAACACTTACGGAGAATGCTTATCAAAGGACGACTTCCGTATTGAGGACTGTGGATTGAAGCTGCGGAGACTAACAGCAAGTATGAGAGTTCTGGATCCAACCATGAGCTGTTATACGACTCGCATGTTTGATGCAACAAGTTGGCTTGAGGATTGGTACAAAGACTACACAGCCATCCTGTGGCGATATGAGCAAAGTCTTGCCATAGTGTAAAGATTTGACTCGGTGTAATGCGTTAAGATCGGCAGGCATGGGAGCTATATGGCAGTAACGGCCAAAACTCACCGTACTAAAGTAGTCGTAGCAGTGGAGGGATGTACGCTAAAATCTTGCTCGTATTGCTTTCGCAACCATCATCTTGCTCGGGAGATCCTCAGGATCCAGCCACTGGGCGTTTACCCAGCGCTAGCAGGGCTTCCCCGTCTCGCCTCTGCAGCGCACTCTAATCACTTGGCGGGGACCACCAATAATTACCTCTGAATCTCACTTCTCCCTTGCTAGTTCTCGGAGCAATATACGCCAGCCATTAGCCGACGAGCACTAACAAAGACAAGTGGATCATACGTACCGGTTTGATATAATTCTGGTCGAAAGGGTGTTGATCTCCCGAAGGCACAGCATGGGCGATTCCAGGACAAAGAGGGTTAATCGGCAAAAATTGGCCGTCTCCGCTCCGCTCGCAAAAGCACTGCTGGTAATTGGTTTCCGCGCTTCTTGGCTCAGGCTGTGCAGATTCGAGCATCATGCACCGTGATACTCGAGTATTGTTCCGAGGGCGTAAATTCAGGATCAAAAGGCTCGTTTTCGATCTTGGATCTTTGAGGATGACGACGTTGACTTGGCTCTGAATCCTACGGTATTGGAACGCTATGCTTGTTTCGTGGGATATATGTGTAGCCCTTGTTTTGGTTGATTGTATAAAGACCTCTGTGTGAGCTCTTCGAGATGTTCAGAATTACAGCATTACAAGCTTCATTCCATACCTCAAGCAGTATCTGCAGCCTCGCTCTTCTCTCTTTGTTGAGAATAGCCCCTTCCGGCACCTGCCACTACATATTCTGAGGCCTTCAACATGCGTCTCTCGATCCTATCCTCGTTCATGATGGCCGGCTCCTGCCTGGCTCAAGGCGACCTCGCTGGGCTTCTCAAATCCCAACCCGACCTCAGTACCCTCCTTGAACTAGTCGGTCTCGTCGACGGTCTCGCAGAAACACTCTCCACAGCATCCAACATCACCATCATTGCACCCACAAACGAGGCTTTTGCAAAAGTACCACGTGACACTCCGGAAGGCCAGGCGGTCGAGCTCCGCAACGACACCATTGCCATATCCGCACTTCTCGCCAATCACGTCTTCAAAGGAGTATACCCATCCAGCGTGATCACCGACATTCCCACCTTCGGCCAAACGCTCCTCAACGGCTCCTATGTCAGCGCCATCCAGCCCTTCTCCAACTTCACCGGAGGCGCATACAACGCGCTCGTCAAGAACGGTGACAAAGTCGCCATCATCTCCGGCGAGCAGACCGTCTCAACTGTCGTGCAAGCAGACATCAAACTCGGCGAGGGCATCACGATCCACGTTGTCGACGAAGCTCTGTCCTTTGGCGCCCCACTCGAACTCTTTGCCGCGCGCGCTGGCTACAAGGCATTCAACGCCGCTCTGCAAGCCGCCAACCTGGGCTTCTCGTTCGGCGAGACGGGCGCAGATGTCATTGGGCAGAACATCTCCGACTTCACTATCCTCGTGCCTACGGACGAGGCGTTCCTGTCCATTGGCTCCGTGCTCGCGAGTGCGGATGTGCCTACGCTACAGAGCGTGCTGAAGTACCATTTCATTCCGTCGAATGTGATTTTCAGCCCCGATCTCGGAAATGTTACGGTCCAGAGTTTGCAGGGCGAGGAGTTGACGTTTACGGTACTTCCGGATGGTTCGTGCTTTGTGAACAATGCGCAGATTGTGTTTCCCAACACCATCTTGTACAATGGTGTTGCTCATGTGATTGATGCGTAAGTTCTCCCCTAATTGTTATTTGGTTCGTTGGTCTGACTTCATCGTAGTGTCCTGGCTCCTGGACCCTTCGACCGCTCCACTCTCAAGCCTTCCGCGCCAGCACCAGAGCGTCTCGCTTTCGAAGGCGCATCTTCCGTCTCTGCTCTTCCGTTCACAGTTGTATCGTTCGGAGATGATGATATGGGCTACACGACAACCCCCGAGTTGCTGAAGACTGTTGCTGCTATTGCGGTCCCTACGGCGGGTGCAAACGTGACCGTCAGTGGAAGTGTTGCACCGTCAAGGACCGGTGCTCCCGTTGAGACCTTTACCGGAGCTGCTGATGCTATGCTCCCGAGTGCGGGTGGTGCGCTGGCTGCGGCTGTTGGCATTGCTGCCTGGATGCTCTAGATGGGTAAAGTCATGAGGAAGAAGCATGAGAGGATGGGAGAGCTGTCGCTGTTGAGACGAGCATATTTGCATTACCACGGATCTGTCTAGATGATAAGGGGATGCACAGATGGGCTGGGTATTTTGTTTGCGCGTTTGCATTGTTTGTTTAGCATTTAGCATATGTTAGCATTGAATTATGAAATTTGAATAGACATGAATGGCAGTGTCGAGGAGACGCAGAGACCTGATGTTGTAAGGCAATGCCCCTGACTTGATACCTATAGAGAAACTGGAAAAGGAAACGAATTTACCACATCAATGCAAACTGTTGAAGGGAATTGAAGGGCCTAGTAAATCTACTTTTCTTTCCAATATCGAATAGGAGCACACGCTTGCTCATCATCCAGAGGATATGGCTTCCAAGCACCGCTTAACGCAGCGACAGCATTGGTCCATCCCATCAGGGATTCAAAAAAAAAATCTCTGCACCTACACCTGTCATCTCAGATGTTGATGCAACCGCATTAGGACCGACCCGCTGCGCGCATCGGCGTCAAGCGAACGTGTGGAGTGGTGAGAAAAGAAAATTTGATGCCTCCTGCAGACAAAACAATATGGCCCAAGCTCCTTCCCGCGGCCCACTCGTGCTGCTATTGGCTGGAGCTGATTGAGCACCTTCACGGCGAGAGAGGAGCTTGGAAGACGATTGAAGTGTAGACAGTTGACGGGGTTGCGGTTGAAGGAGTGAAGGATCGATCTGCAGATGATAGCTGCAAGAACAAGTACAGTTCACGTAATAGAAAGGATTTGGTTGCCTGCGAAAGATCACGCGCATCCAAATGCCACCCAGGACCTTGGAACACCAACGCCTCATGCTCCGCTCGGCAAGCAGCCCAGGCTCCCCGCTTCTCACCATTCGCGAGCCATGGATCTCGTATATAGGGACCCCTTGGTATCTCCGCTGTTTTTCCCATCATTCCGTTGCTGTCAATTGCTCTTTGGTCCCGTGGTTCAATTGCTTCGGTTGTGCAAGGTTTAGCGCCGAAGACGTCATCCCTGCTTCGCGGCGCGAGATACCGACGAAGCTCGTTTGCTGCTCTTCTGCGCAGACCTCACAGAGAAGACACGTACTGAAAGACACTGCGTGAAGCATGTCGTTGTCACAGCGCCTCACGGCGGTCGAGGAGATTGAGCCATGGAGCAGAGAAGCAAGCCCGGATTCGCGGCATCGCAAGATGTCCTTCAACCCTGTTGGTACATGGACCGAAGCAGCGGGTGAAGAGCCGACAGTGGGCGCCTTCGAGGTACCCAAGTGGAAGCGCATGCGTATGTATTTGCTACCAGCTGCAAAGTTGTATTGCTGATTCAGAACAGTGCAGGTTGGCCTCGCCGTCGTCTACTGCCTCTTCGCAGCTGGGGTTGTCTTCGGATACGCCGCGATAAAGCCCGTCCTTATTGGAGAGGGTGTGTACAGGAATCTATGTACGAAGCAGGAACTCAGGGATGATGTGGATGTATGCTATGAGCAGGAGCTACGGTGCGCACTTTCCGTTCCAGGACTGCTAGACACAACGCTGACCTTATCAACAGGCTGAACCTCATGTTCACCACCGCTGCCGTATCCACCAACGTTGTCGCGCTCCCCGTCGGTACCATTCTCGATCGCTACGGTCCAAGAGTGTGTGGTATCATTGGTGCTATATCAATCTCCATTGGTTCGCTTCTGTTTGCATTTGCATCAGAATTGCCCGTGGATGCATACATTCCTGGATATCTATTCCTGGCACTGGGTGGTCCATTTATATTCATATCGAGCTTTCAGCTCAGCAACACATTCCCGCAATACTCCGGACTTATCTTGGCTCTCTTAACCGGGGCTTTTGATACGTCGAGCGCCATCTTCTTGATCTACCGCTTGATCTACCAAGGCACCGATGGCGACTTTGCGCTCAAGAAGTTCTTCTTGGTGTACTTGATTGTTCCGGCTTTCATTCTGGGCGTCCAGATATTCTTTATGCCGGCTGTCTCGTATAAGACTGTTGGAGAGCTGGTCACCCAAGCAGAAGAGGAACAGGTCAACCACGACTCTGACGATGAGATAGAAGATCAGGCGCGCGTCCAACGCCTCAGAGACGCCCGCCGCATCCACCGCGACAGCATCGTCAGCGAGATCACTGATCTCCTCGGCACTCGGGACGGCCAACAGCAAGCTAAAGAGGAAGAGAAGAAGAAAGCCAAATCTGGAGTATGGGGCGCCCTCCACGGTCGCACTGCCGTGCAGCAAATGAAGACGCCATGGTTCATACTCATCATGCTTTTCACCGTCCTCCAAATGACCCGCATCAACTACTTCGTCGCCACCATCCGCTCGCAGTACACATATCTCTTCCACAGCGTCGAAAAAGCTATCGAAATCAACAACTTCTTCGACGTCGCGTTGCCCGTCGGCGGCGTCATATCCGTCCCCTTCATCGGGCTCCTACTCGACAACACCAGCACAACCTTTACGCTCTCGCTGCTCGTCACCATCGCAACGACCATTGGAGTCCTAGGCGTCATTCCAGAAACATGGGCCGCGTACACCGGCATAATCCTCTTCGTCCTCTACCGCCCCTTGTACTACACCGCCGTATCGTAAGTCCCCCAATCCCTCCGCATACTTGAAAATTCCCAATTAACCCTCGCTCCAGCGACTACTCCGCCAAAGTCTTCGGCTTCGCAACCTTCGGCAAAGTCTACGGGCTCATCATCTGTCTCGCGGGCCTGCTGAACTTCAGCCAGACCGCCCTCGACGCCGCAACGCACAAGACATTCCACAACAACCCGATCCCAGTCAACATGCTACTCTTGGGTCTGGCGCTGCTGGTGGGCATCGCGCTGGTGGCGTTTGTGTGGAGAAGAAGCCATAGAATCATGCGCGAGAATATCGAAGATGAGGCCGAGGAGGCCAGGGAGGTGCTGATGCCGCAGACGGGCGTGGCGGATTATGGCGCGTTGAGCCCGACGCAGGAGAATCGCGGGAGGAGGATGTGAGGCAAGGGACTTGATTTGCACGCTTCGTGAGGGAGTGGAATACGATTTGCATTCCTTATTGGCGCAGACTGCTTGGTTGGTTCTCTGCTCGATTTGCTTGGCGAGGCGCTCGGGGCGTTGATATTTACTTGCATCTATGGGCGACGAGCATTCTTGTTAATAAGGAAGCTGGGCATGTGTATATGGGGAAAATAATTTGGTATATAGTGCACATGTAAATGAAAAACGCACGGCAATGGAATCTGCAATGAAGCATCAACTGTTAAAGAAGTCCAATTTATCGTTCACGCTTAACTACACGTGTACCCGACCCGGACGAAGTACATGTCATCATTCCGCAAGGACATCGCCGTCTTTCTCTTAGAACTTGCTGATAATTCGACTACTTCAACCTCACCGACTCAGACCTTGTAGTTCTTCCCATACACCTCCTTCTGGCTCGTCGCCGGCTTCCACTCAAAATGATGTTTCCCCTCCATCGGCTTCTTGACATTCGCATCTCGATCCCCTTTCTTATCAAACATGTGGCTTCCAAAGTAATCCAGCTCAGCCTCGTAAAAGCTTGTCGGCAGATCGGTGCCAGACGCCACCTTGAAGTATTCCAAGGTCGCGCTGATAGCCGGCGTGACCTGATCTGTTTCTACTGATTTCGCCACCACGCGGCGCAGGGCAGGGAAACAGTTCTTAATGTCCTGTGCGACACGAGGAGAGAAGTTGAGGTTCAGGTCGTCGGATGTGGGGTTGGATTTGAGAATGGGTGCGAGGATCTCGTCGGAGATGTAGTCGGCCTGGATGATGCAGCCTGCGCGCCAGATCTGCCAGACTTGGGAGTAGTCGATGTTCCAGTCGTGTTGTTGGTCTGCGCGCGCAATGATATTGAAGCCTTGGATGAAGGAGGCGAGGCAGGCTGCGTAGGTTGCCTTGCGCAGAGCTTCGATGTATGATGCCTTGTCTTGTACGTCGATTGAGCTGGGAGGAAAGCCGCCGTTTAGTACTTTGCTGGCTTTTTCACGGTCGCCGCGGAATGCAGAGGCGAGGCGGAAAGCGTGCGCAATGTTGAGGGTGAAGGCTGGGACGTGAAGTTCAATAGCTTCGGTGTTGGACCAAATGCCAGTGCCTTCCTCTCCAGTGATGTCTTGGACCACTTTGTCGAGGACTTCTGAGATGACGAGGGGGTGATGTTCGCCTTTCGAACTTGACTTCTCGTCGGGCCTTGAGGAGTCTGGCACGCGCTTGTGTGATAGATCTGCACCGATCGAGATGAGGAAAGTCCCTTTCTGGTGAACAAGTCAGTCATTGGCATTTTACGCATAGCACAGATCAGACGAACCAATTCGCCAGACGAATTCCACTCCTTCAATACGTCACCAATCTCCTCGTAGCCCATGCCCATCTTGCGCATGACGCCCCAGGCTTCGCAGATGGCGCTCATCATACCGTGCTCAATGCCGTTGTGAACCATCTTCACATAATGTCCTGAGCCTCCTTTACCAACAATGCCTACGCAGGGCTTCTCAATCTTGTCTTTCGCGGCGACCTTTTCGAGCAGTGGCAGCACTTCATTAAGCGCAGACCGGTCTCCACCTGGGCACATGGATGGGCCAGCTCGCGCCGCCTGATATCCACCGCTGACCCCGCACCCGATATAGCGAATGCCGGTGTCTTTGACCTTGTGCTGCCGGCGTTCCGTGTTCGCAAAGTGTTCGTTGCCGCAGTCGAGGATGATGTCATCGCGCTCCAAGTGCGGCATTAGGCCTTGGAGCACCTCGTCGCCAACACCGCCATGTGGGAGGGAGAAGACTAGTAGCCGTGGTTTAGAGAGAGATTTGCAGAGCGAGCTGTAGTCTAGTCCTGTGTTAGCTGGCAGACATGAGGTTTGATTTTGGAAGCTACCAACCGTTGTACTTCTTGACTTCGCCGTTGTATCCCGACTTCTCAGCCTTCTCGATTACTGCGTCCATTGCCTGTTCGGATGGGTCTGAGAGGCTGACATGAACACCGACCTCTGCGAACAGCAATGCCATGCCACCACCCATGCTCCCACACCCAATCATGGCAATCTATCCTCGTCAGCTCGACTCGGCTGCTTGATAGCGTTGTACTGACTTTCTCAAACTTGGCCATGGCTTAGAGTGTTCGCTCTTCCTGCTCGTGCTGTCTAGTCCGAATAGCACCTGCTAGTGTGACTACCAAAATGAAGATGTACAAGTAAGTCAATGAAGAGAATGAAGGCAGGGTAGGATCGGCGTAGTGTACGAGGTTATCGAGAAAGCGAAGCATGACGATCGAACAATAGTGCCTGTGACAAGAGTTTAAAATATTACGAAATGGTGGGCTGTTGGAGACCTCAGAGTGACGTCGGAGGGGTCTAGTTCATTGCCAGGATAACGGTCTTGTGTTCTGTGAGTGTTGGATTCGGCAGCCACGATGAGTGTCTGGTCTCAGGCAGGAACTACATGATGAAGACGGCATGACGCCGGTGCGCCCGAGTGTGTAGCGCATCCTTCTTCTCGGGTGTTGGAATGGGTGGACTAGGAGTACACGTCCGATGCCTTGGAAGCTGTACGCCTATGCCGTGGACCCGTGCGTTCTAGCACTAGCTACCTGGGCTATTCCCAAACGGGATAGGTAGAATTTCACGATCCATAAGCTTCACCACGGTTCACCCACAACAAATCGCGTACCCCAGCTTCCGCCTCCACCAACCACATCTCCGCATATCAAATCTTCACATCGCGACCATGGCCGACACGGAAATGGAAATTGACCAGCCCGAGCAGCAGGAGCCCGAACCCTCCTCTGCGGACCCCAAGGCCAGCGACGCGCGCACAGCAGCCGGCGCAACAGCTGTACGCTCAATCGAAGGCTGGATCATCATTGTCACGAATGTACACGAGGAAGCGACGGAGGAGGATCTGCAGGACATGTTTGGCGAGTTTGGCACCATCAAGAACTTGCACATGAATTTGGACCGCAGGACAGGTTACGTCAAGGTATGCTGGGGCGATGCCAGCAGTATATAGAGGCTGACTCAGCATTATTAGGGTTACGTTCTCATCGAATACCCCACACTCGACGAGGCCAAGGCCGCGATCAAGGGCGCAAACGACGAGGAGTTGCTCGAGCAGAAGATCACCGTCGACTTTGCCTTCGTACGACCACCACCGGCCAGCAAAGGGCGCGCACGCGAGCACGACAGGCGACAAAGCGGACGCGGAGCTGCTAGAGCAAGAAGCAGGAGTCCAGGGCGCGACGGCGAGGACATGGAAGACTGAAACTCTTGACGAGATGCGCATCTCTGATCGCGAATGACTAAGCGGAGGCTATCGCTTGACCGAAGAGACACGTATGGAGCCATTGCGGTCCTGACTATGGCGGAGACGAATCAACAAACATGAAAGACGTGCTAAGGCACGTTGGATGATGAATGAAGCTTCCCGGCTTGCCCTCCGCGCGAGGCAGGTCGGGCTATGATGCATAATATGTAAGTCTGGCCAGCGCTCTATCAATGATGCAATTCTGACATCCTTGTAGATCATTCATGCGTGCTTGACTGTGATGCATGACTTGGCGTATAGTGCTGATATAAAAGTTTTCTAGTTTTAGGTCATCTTTAAGATTCTTCAGACTTGAAGAGCTCGATCGGTTTTCCTAGGTCAGCTTATCGAAACGGTGCGAACGATCTGAAAAGTCTGGTAATCTGGAAGGTCTGGCAATCTGGACGGTCTGACGATCTGAACGGTCTGACGATCTGAACAGTCTGACGATCTGAACGGTCTGACCCTCTGATGGGTCTGAGCACTAGATTCTGAAAAATTTTGAACATATAATACAGGAAATACCATTGTGACCATGTAGGACACTGCCACGAAGATATCGGTTGTGCCAATGACTGTGGCAATCGATGTTTTCGGCATTCGAAATCAAGTCGAAATTGAACTCATTTCTGACGAATCCAGCTGCGTTGGTAGCTGCGAAAGTTGGAAGCACTTGATTACAGTAGATACCGATGAGCAACGGCAGTCGTCGATGTCGCACACTTTGTCTACGCTGGACTACTTCCGCCTTCCATTGCACCGACGGAGCCCACCCCCCCAGTTGCGCAGATTTTCAGCAGGTCTGACATGCTTCCCGTCATGCGTCTCAGCTTACAGTACATGCACTACAATGCTCTACAGGAGGTTACTGCAGAACGCCATCTTGTATCCTTGCAAGCACTTCGCTGCCTAGTGTGATTCGTTTCTACAAGCATAACCTCAAAGTTCAAGTACTAAATTGTTGAGACTGCTCGTCCAGCAGCAAATTTATTATAGGTGGTCTTATGGCCGTACATACGAAGTGAGCAATTTGGCTCAGACCCAATGGTGTCTCTACACTACAGCCTTCTCTCCATCGTTGTCTCTGGTACCAACGCCATGCGACATACCGGCATCTTCGAGCGGATCTGTATGAGCATCTTTCTTATCATACAGTTGCCTTGAGACATGTGTATTAAGGTACTTGTCGAAGTCCCGCATAGCTATTGAAGCTGCGATGGACAAACCACCGATGGCGACAGCAAAATAGTAGACATAAGCGTAGGACTTCGAGTATGCATCGCTGACTGCGACGTTCGTAGTGCGAAGAATTTCGGGCGTCATTCCTTGAACTTGAAGAAGGGCAGTCTGATTGGCAGCCGCCGCAGCCGTCATGAGCGCTTCCAACGAAGACTCGGGCAGTCCAGCGGCCAGAACACGTCCTGGTACAATAGAGGTGAGGTAACCAGGAACTTTGTTGGTGTACACTGCAATGAAGGCTGCAGTGAAAATGGAACCGAAGATCGTTCGAGACGCGGAGATGACGGCTAGAGTATGTTAATGGACATTTCCCAGCACGATGAGTGGAAGTGAACTTACAAAAGGCAACGCCCAAATCTGCATCCGACACAATGTACTGGACGATAATCGCAGCTATAACCTCGCCCCAGCCAATGGTAAAGCCTGCAAGAAAAGAGAAGGCAATTGCCATTGACTTCTTCTCTACGGTGATGCTCGCCATTGCGCCAAGGAAGGCAGTCATCCAGATAGAAGAGACAAGAATCTGATATCTGATGTGACCAATCCACGACATAAAGGGACCGAGTAGGACGATGCCGCCCCACAGACCGAATGCAGCTGTGGTGGAGAGCCATGCAGTCTCCTGCCATGAGCTTACTGTCGAGCCGAAAATGTAGGTGACCTGTTGTGGCCACATGACGAACAGCGCGATGTTGATAACGCCATAGGTCGCCGAGATGATCTCCAAGCAGGTGAAGCCTCGCAAGTCGCGGAAGAAACGCATTGGCACAATCGGTTGCTGAGGCGTGAGGAATGTCTCATAGAGGATGAAGGACACCACAGCCACACCCCCAGAGATCAACAAGCCCATGATTTTCGGAGACGACCAAGGTTGAGCTGGACCACCCCATGAGATGCCGACCAAGAAAAGCGCAAGCCCAGCGGTCAAAAGAAAGACACCGAGCCAGTCAACCTTCTTGAGCTCTGCGATCTTGCTGGACTTCTTTCCATGGAGCTGCGTGTACGACGGAGGATGATAGAACAGAAACCATAGGATGGTTCCGGGGACTGGTTGCGCAGCACATTAGTATTTGCATGGAGCATAGGAACCTTTGCATACTTACCCATCATGATGATGTAAATGTAGAAGATCCACCTCCAGTTCGCAACTTGGACCAGAGCCAATCCAATGTATGCACCAAAGCCCGTGGCAATCACGTTGGGTACGACAACCAAAGCAGTACCGATGTACTTGTCCTTATTGCTCACAAGCTCACCAGCCAATAGAGGGTAGGCTGCAGGTACACCGGACGCAATGCCCATGATGACTTCCGCTGCGATCAGGGTCTCGATCGACTGAGCTGTTGCAGCCACAATACCTCCGACAATCGCGAGCACACACGAGCCCAAAGCAAAGTTCCGGCGCCCAAAACGGTCGCTCAGTCTACCAAATAGCAAGAGAGCGATTGGCTGTGCCGCGGTCCAGACAGTACTGACGAGAGCGACATTTGTGCTGGGCCCGATGTCTGGGTAGACAGCGGATTGCAGCACTGCAGCAAGAGCTTGGAACTGGAAGTACGTTGCAACGACGACTATGCTTGTGCCCGTAAATGAGCCCACGATCTTGGGACTCATGAAGTATCCACTTTGCAGTTTGGAAGCATCCGTCGCCAGAGCTTCAGATCGCAGCCTGTATGCTTCATCTGAGTCGACCGAATCATGGGAAGAAGCATGCTCGCGAGGCGGTTTCTCGGAGGACTCCTTCGTGGGAGGAGCCATGTCGGCCATGGCGCTCGTGCTTCTAATGCAGACAAGAAGACTTGAAAGTGTCGCAAGGTTATGAAAATGCTGCTGAAACGAAAGGATGCAGCAGATGCAGCAGAGCAGCAGTGAAGTGATTACCAGTACACTGGGAGCGGACGAGCTATAGTATACCCCTGTGTTTAAGAAGGGACTTCATTTCCCCATTTTCCAATAGTCTACTGTGGTGCTCGTCTCCAGATGGCTTGCTGATACGCCGACTTAGTGACCGAGTTCGATCGAAATGCAGCAATTGCTCTGAGTGATGGGGACGTTTCCCGTTCGCTACAACTCACAACCGGTATCCCTTGCAGATCTCGTTGTCCACATGCACTGCGGTAATCTGTGCCTGTTTCGATGTGATTGGGCTAGTAAAGTCCTACGACTGCATGCTACCGATCGGTCAATCCCCAGCAATGTTCGAGAGTTCCTCGCATTCATACCCCAACAGCACGACCGCCACGACGCGCCTGTCTCAGCCAGTCAGTGGACCAAGCCCTTATTCCACTGACGCTTCTAGTGAAGCAGTGCTAGGCGTACCGGGCAGTGCTGCCATACGGTACCTAAGCGCTCGCCTAGCTTTCCCAAAGCACCATCCCCAAGGATGTGATCTTGGCGGTGAAGCGGCACGAAATTGTTGAACTGCCGTGCATGTCAATAACGTCCAGGGTTCAAACGTCGTCGCGCGTCCACGCGAACCGCGCAAGCAAGATACCGTAGTAGGGATCGACTATGGCAACGGGCCGTTACGTTTTCACCATCCATCCCGTGTTGGTGGCGCGCGGACAGAATAATAGCTCCCGGCGCGCGGACACCCGCTTACTGATCTAGCCCAAACGATCCCTAGTCCCGAGTGGAGTGCATAATTCCTACTCCACATGCGCCATCGCGTGCTGTCTAGAATCACAAAAGAAGGAAAGTATCAATGTAGATCGAGCAGATGGACCCCCACAGCAGTTCTTGCCGTGCCGTGAAACGGTTAAAGTGCCGTGCCCATGACGCGCGGAGGGGTTTTGTTTTCGCTTGACCGGATGCACAAGCTGCATCCGCGCGGTCTCTTCGAAGAATGTGACAGCTCGAAGCTTGGCCACGTCGTAGTTCGGAAATTTTGACAGATGGTAGATGGTAGCGGCGGGTGTGACAGAAAAGCTAGGACTCCAGCGTTGCGAGTTTGCTCTTTTCGAATTCTCTTTGCGTCTTAGACACTAGTATGTGGTTTCGCTCATTTCAGTGAAATGCCTAATCGACACTTATGTGACCTCACAAAAAAGGTTGGTGGAAAGCTGGTGCCTGCCTGATATAAGGAAATAAATGTTTGCAACAACTTCACATGACGAAATTTAAACTTTGTGTTATTTGTACATTGACATCAAGTCATATAAGCAGATGCTACTGTCTGCTGGTTCGTAGTACTAGGGGTATACGCTTCCGAGGTGCAAATTAATACTCTCCGTACATGCAGACAAGTCTGCAAACATGTCTCTCCTAATCCCAATCTCTGTCCCTTGCGACGACTAGATCTAGTGCTGCCTTCTCTCATGATGGTCTATGGTAATTCGATGATCCACATGGATACCACCAGTCGACTCTTGTGTGGCTTCCTCGCGCACGATTCGTTTTGTAGATCTGTCATCTCCTAAAGTTGAGTTGCTGTCCGCCAGGTCGCCGCCGTATATCCTGGTCTCATTACCCTTTTCCGAACCGAGAGTTCCTTTCTTGGAGCCACTCTTCTTGCTGCTAATGCCATCTTGAAGCTCATGGTAGGCCTCCTCACCACTCGGGTCGGTAACGCGCTTTCCGCTACCGCGCAGAGTGGATCGGAGACTGAACACTTTTTCAAGAAGTGGGCGCAAGGCGGGGAGGTTTGCTAGAACCACACCGAGGCCAAGCTCGGCATGTGCCCAAGCTGCGACTGGCATGGCGTGGTAAAGGAAGTCTGTTGTTGCACTGAGATTCAGTGTGACCGTGAGCCGAACGATGGCTGCTGTAGAAGCGAAGACACCGAGACCGAGAAGTGCGATGATTGAGATCTTGACCCGAATATCGATCTGCACGTTCCATAGCAGTGGAATGGGACTGTGTTGCTCTTAGTAAAGACCACTGTGGGAGACCCGGATACACTTACCACAGGGCACAGAACCAATCTGAGAAAATCGAGACCGCTGAGAGTGCAAAACTGAATCCCGTGATGTTGCTCTGTGGTTTGCAAGAACCACCAGGGACCTTTTTCCAGTTCATCTGTATAGGGGTACAGTGGAAGAACTCGTAGACAGTCGTTGAAGCCATGACAAGGAACACAGCAGCCATGATTGCGTAGATAGACCACATGTATGCTCGGCGCTTGTCTGCAATACGGAGCAGAGTGAAGCAAATGGCCCACTTGACCGGAATTGCTGCAAGGCAGAACATAGTTTGCATGATGAACCACCACTGTCGTGAGTTAATACCACGCCTACGAGCAAGTATCAGCAATCTTGACTTACAAACATTGCCGTCTCCCTCTCTTTCGTAGTGAGCTCGGAGTCCCTTTTCCCACCACCGGCGAATGCGATGCCCAGCATACCCATAGTAGAAAGTGTAAAAAGTGGCTCCAACTCTGTTAGCACCGTTTTGACGTGAGATTCAAGGTTCGAATCGATTACTCACAATCGCAACGACCATCGACCAGTCATCAGGTCCCCATGCTCTACGTGATATACGTATGTAGAACCGAAGTACCCAGGTGATGATATCAAATGGTAACAGTACAAGAACCGCTAGTGCCAGCGATAGTGAAGTTGGGCCTGCCATGTCTGTTCACGACTTTCGTGCGTACTTTCTGTGAAGGTGACCCTGTGCTGTCCTTTGGGAGGTAAAATCTTATTAAATGAACAGTCGCCAAGGGATACCCTTATTCGATACCCAACAACAGTTCCCCATGAGCTTCTTGGTGGTGACCGGACCGCCTGCATGAAATCGGACATGAAAACGAGAGTCTGGTCAATATCACATTTGTTGTTATTGGTCCGAACATGGTTGTGATTAACGGATGGAGATCGACAGACGCTCAGGCACTGCTATGCGGCAGTGCTAGAGTAGCAGTAGAGTCGTGACCCGGTGCATCAAACAGCGCGTACGGAATCGACAAATTGGAACGGATGCGTACATGATTGAGGCCCAATGAGTTCTACGGCTCACTGGCCCGATGCGTTATGTTCGGTTTTATGAGCGTTGTTCCGGAATAATAAGTCGGGCCTACCCTGGGGACGTTACACGCAGTTCCCCGGGTACAAGGTTGGCTCGTGTCTTACGGGCCCGTAACGGCGCGTTCGCAAAGACCTTGGATTACGACATTTGTTTTGGAGGCCTGCATTCAGTCGGTCGTAAAGCCTGTGTCTGGCCGCGGGAGACGGTGCGCTGCCCGGCGCCCAGATGGGAAGCAGAAGGGTCCAAGAAAAGCAAAAGGCCGCCTCATTCCCAGTTGTAACCAATACGTATCAAGCTTGGCTTCAGATCTGCTCCTCGACGTTTCATTCTTTTTTCAAGACCTTGTGTTTACTGGTTCGATCACTCCAACAGCTGCGACTGATCAAATGCTCATCGTGATCATGGCCATTGATTGCCCTGCAAACAATTTCCGTGTCACATCAACGACCTCACATATGATGTCTTTTGCTTTCGACCAAGAACGTTCCCTTGTAAGGCTGCGGGTGAAATTTTGCGCGCGATATCCACTGTCTAATGTACATTTCTCTGACATACACGAGCAAAATGACAGGGAACCTTGAATCTTGGGTACTCTTGTCTTACTTCTCTGTGTTGGGGACGGGATATGCCCAGTGGCTCTTTACATACCCCTGGCATTTTCGCACGCATGTGCCAGAGGAGGACGCGAGCTTCTCTTTGGGGGTATCTACTGTGCCACCAAGCCACCATCAACATTCAGAGTGATTCCTGTGATCCACTGCGCGTCGTCACTTGCAAGATATACCGCCGCTCTTGCATGATCGAGTGGGTGACCGAATATGCCCCTAGGAATACTGGCTTTGATACCCTCCACGGCCCCGGGTAGAGCTCCGCCTAGCGCATCATCAAGCATGGCTGTTTGAGAGACTAGAGTATATTAGTGACTGGATAAGATGGATTTAATTTGGTGTACTCACATCCAGGAGCGATGCAGTTTGCAACAATGCCCTCCTTTGCAACATCGAGTGCGATAGTCCTTGTCATGGCGGCCACAGCGCCCTTCGAAGCAGTATACCCAGCTGTACAACGTAAGTTCTTTGAAAGCTGATGTCCAAACCGCTCAAGTCAGACTTACTCAGGCCCGGCATGCCAATGTTCGACACCATGGAAGCAAGGTTAACAATCCAACCGCGAATGCCGTTGGCACGTGGTTCTTGTTTTAAGAACTGTTGCACACAGTACTTCGATCCGAGGAACACACCACGTGCATTGATCCGCATGTGAGCATCAAATACGTCTTCATCTACTTCATGGATGGGCTGAGGGTTGCCAGCTTCGGTACAGATACCAGCGTTGCCCACAACACTTTACTTGAGGTCAGCATTGATGACTTCGGTTTAGGATGTGATCGTTTGGTAAAACATACATGTCGAGTTTGCCGTATGTTTCTACGGTCTTTGCAATGAGACCCCTCCAACTCTCTGCTATAGTAACATCTGTCTCGACAAAGATGGATTTGCCGCCCCTCTGGGAGATCCAGTCATGTGTTGCTATCGACTCCCCCTTTCCAAGAGGTCTCAGATCAGCGCAGACAAGAATGGCGCCCTCCAAAAAGAACTGGTTGCAGATCTCCCTGCCAATGCCTTGAGATGACCCTGTCACTATCGCAACACGATCCTGAAGGCGCTTGCTGGACATTGTAGGTGTGTAATTCGAAAGAGGGTGTGTGCAAGGGAAGTTCCGATGGGCTTGCTGCGGGCAAGAGCAATTGGAGTAAAGGTGTGCGTGATTTACATGAAGTATGAGCACGGTCTTATGCGGTTCCAGCCGTGCGATTATCGAGGCTCGGCTGCAGGAGTATGTTATGTTTGTGCTGATCGCTTTATGTCCGATGCAGTATTTTATTCGTAGATCTGTTACCAAACTACAAGGAGTAACCGCTCGAAGCGAGGCCTCCTCTTACAGACCGATGTAATGACCCCTGTTTGTGCACACCTTGCACATGCATATAGATATGCCGCAAGTGTGGGGCCGCTTTCTTGGAAGAGCAGACAGCGGTCCGATTATATCTTCTGTCACATGTTATGGGTCGCCGAGTCGCCAGCACGGTAAGAGGTCAGAGCACAGATCTGATCTTTGTAGACCTTGATTGAGCAAGAAGACATGTCGCGACCTTTCGAAAACAAACTGGCAATCATCACCGGAGCTTCCAGGGGTATGAGATTACCAAGTGATCAGTGATCAGTGATCCCTGTTTCTGACCATCATCCAGGACTCGGTGCTGAACTGGCGCGACATCTAGCAGCAAAAGGTGCTAACATAGTCATCAACTACACATCAGATGCATCCACTCCCATCGCGAGAGAGCTTTCGTCTGAAATAGAGAAAGTTCATGGCGTCAAGACATTGTTGGCTCAATTCGATATCACAGCTGTCAATGGTCCGGAACGGCTCATTCAAGCTGCTCGGGCAGCGTTCACCAAGAATGATGAATTTCGAATCGACATCTTGATCAATAACGCAGGTGTCGTCAACCCGGCGCCTTTAGGTTCGGTCACTCTCTCAGACTTCGATGCAACTTTCCAGCTCAATGCTCGCGCGCCGCTTTTTGTGTTGCAGGCTGCATTGCCATTCCTACCGCACGACCGGTCTGGTCGCGTTATAAACGTCTCTTCCATCACGACATCCATGGGCTTTTGGTGGCAGTCCTGCTACGCTGGTACCAAAGGTGCTCTCGAGTCTATGACAAGAGTCTGGGCCCGAGAGCTGGGTGAGCGCTGCACTGTCAACAGCATCAATCCGGGCGCGATGGCGACAGGCATGTACACCGGTCTACCGAAGGTGATGTTGGAAAAAGTCTGGTCACTCAACTACATGGCACCCCTTGCAGCGACACGCGATGGTATTGATTCACAGGAGACGATTGAGGCTGCCAAGGACATGGGCGGTAGACCAGCATACTTGGAGGAGGTGGCAGGAATTGTTGGCCTGCTTTGCATGCCCGAAGCTGGCTGGATCACGGGTCAAGTTATTGGTAGCAATGGAGGTGGGGTGATGACCAAAGGATAGGCAAATTACATCAATTTAGAACCACTTCTAAAGCAGGCGACCGAGTATGTAGTTGAGCAAAACTGTGATTTCTCGAAAACCTTCACGGTGCCCTCTTTGTGACTTCTCCATCTCCAGGGATGTTCGAAAGTCAGTGCTTCATGTCGCCGACCTGCGCCTGCAACCTTGATACGATGATTACTCTGCATACAAAGAACACATGGACGGACCTTACCCTCTTTTCGGACCACCAAGATAACAAGAGCCTGCGTTATCACCTTCGTCGCTGGAACAGCTCTTGTGTTATTAATTCCAGTCTTTTTGCCATACCCCGGTGTTCAAGTACCTTGCAGCACTCTCCACAAAGTTTGGAGTTGATCGTCTCTCGACTCTATGCGTTGCCAACCACTCTCCCAAGGCGAGCAAGGTCCTCATTGATGCTCTGCAGTTCCTCACGTACCCTGCGCTTTAACACTACATTCCATTCCCTTTCCAATATAGCATGATCATCTCTCAGTAGTTGCAAATCAGCTTCTAAAAGCTCAACATTTTCGTTCATAGCCTTAGTCAGGTTCTCCTGTAGCCCTTGTGGAAGTGATACTCAGTGACTGCACACATACAAGTATTGCCATTACTGCTCTGTTTGTCTTTGGCTAGCATTATGATACTAGTATGTGTGTAGAGATCACATCGTTGCAATCCCAGACATTTGTGTAAAGGTCTAAATGCATGATTGCTCTTCATGTAATCGCCAACTTTGCTCCATCTTGCACAGCATCCCAGAATTCCTTTGGGCTCTCTACCCCCATCATTGTTTCCATCCACTCTCCATCCATCCAGCCCTGCACAAAGCACGTGCCGACAAGCTGATACGTGCCGTCGTCCCTGTCTCGCAGTAGCAACGGCACAGAACATCCGAGCACCACCGCAATGTGCAACACCGCACCGTTATCATGCTCAGGTTCAGATAGATAAGCAGGCGCAAGACCCATGTACCCATTCTCGGTGAAGAAAGGTCTGCGGCCGCGCAGGACCCAATCGGCGGCGGTCCGAGCCTCGATGGGATCGTATGAGGCCGCGAATGTAGGTACATGGCGAGACAACTTTGGAAGGCAGATGTATGGAACGTTTGGCGGATATTGATTGGGACTGTATCCGCTCTCAGTTGCAGGTGGCCATGCGGCTGTACCGTCGCCATGAAACATGGCCCAAGCTGCGCGCAGAGGATCGTCGTATGTTGTTAGGCCTTGCTTGCGATAGTAGGTCTCGAGTTCGTGTAACCAGAAGTGGGCTCGCCAGATGGACTTGGGCGCAGTGCCTGCTGGTATGTCTGGCGCATCGTCTAAGATCTTTCCTATCTGGTCGATGATGATGCCGGTGCAGTGTAGCGTTCTGCAGTCGAAAGAAATGATGGGACTGTCGAAGAGATCGCGGGTCATGCCTCCGTCTACTCCGTAGAGCTTGCCGCCTAGATCAGGCATGCACGACATAGATCGTGCCGGTATTTGATCTTTGCGCACTAGGCAGCTTGCTGTAGCTGGGAGATTCCAGTTGGGACACCAAGATGGGGCTTTCGAGTAGAAAGAGGCTGCATCAGGCGTATGTTCTACTGCTCCTAGTATGTCCAGTGATGCATGCTGCTCAATCCAAGCTTGAGAAAAGCCTGTATAGACGTCTTCGTAGGAGTTAGTGTAGTCTGGCTGGAAATCCAAGCCACTCTTGTCTCGGGCGAGATTCCATAGGGCAAAGATGTGATCTCTTGGATCTGTGCACTCAAAGTCTCTAGCGAGAATGAGTGTCTCCAGGAACCCAGGAGAGTTCTTCTCAAGTGGAGACACTGTAAGAAAACCTCCGCCAAACAAGCCGCCGCCCGCACGTCCGTTGCTCATCAGGTATCGAAAATAATATATCGTTCTCGGGTACCCAAGCATTTTGATGTCGACAGTTCCAAGAGAGGGATTGATGGCTTGCATCCGTGCGGCAAGGGACAGATCGCGCGTCAATAGTTCATGCAGGTGGTATACAGCCCTATCGAGCATGTCGAAGGTCACTGCCATTTTACCATCTGTGAGTATGGAAGGGTCCGATGCCCATGCGATTTCCTGATCAAACATCAACACGGCGCAGGGAGACACATGGCCTCATCTCACCTGTAAGATCCAATATCGTCTGAAATAGTGCCTAGTCGTAAACTTGTACAGCCCTCCACAAAGCTGTGCAAATCGCTTAGGCTTGATCCTGGTTTCGCCGTTCGTGAATTTGCCCTCCGAGAGGAATTCACCCATTTCATTCAGATGTATCACTGGGTGCGTGTCAAGTTCTGCCATGAAGTTTATCACCTCTTCGGTGTCACTTTCCGCTCGGCCTGTGTACGAGTACACATGTCTTGCACAGTCGTATATTGTCCCCATTCGACGCACTTGTCTACCGCGCTCAGAGATATCATCCTGATTGATGGAAATTGCATCGATCCACAAAGGGATGATTCTCTCTTTCATGCGAAGAGATCGGATCGCTTCCGCAAGTTTCTTCCGAATAGCCTTCCGTTGTCCGTTCAAGACCACATGTTCTGGTGTCTCGTCTGTTCCCCATCGATCTAAAAGTGGATAAATTATTAGTAAATGAGTGGCCCAAGCTGAGATGCGACCCACATGACAAGGCTATATAGGACGCTTCGCATCTGATCGGACAATGAGCCGCATGCATGACGATTGGTGCAGTTGCGTCTTCCGCGGGCATAATATTGATGACTCTAATCTCATCCGTGACCATGTCCAGCGGCATATACCGATAATCCTCCGAAGGCGCTTCAATGCTTGGTTTTGTACCAAGGCGCACAGGGCAAACTCGAGGCAGAACCATCTGGTCCTCATTTCCAGACCACTGTTTTGTCCAACTGCTGTACCGAGAGTCACAAACCGTTTCGAAATAGCCATTCCCAATGAGATGGTTATTAATCTCGTGCATATCTATGACCTCAGAAGCTCTGGCGTATATGGCGTCGCTAAAGTCTCGCGTCCAGTATGTTTCTTGTTCTCTGGGGTTCGACTCGACCACGCATGCATATCGGACCCATATCAATATTGGCTCGTCTATCTTGCTTCGGAGATATCGTAAGAAACGTTCAAGTGCTATCGAAACGAAGAGTGCACGACCGTCCGCCTCGATGGCTTCTCTTATGTTACAGAACCCTCTTGTGTTCCTGATGGCAGTGAAAGGCGGCAGCTCTGTGAGATCATAAACCTCGAGGTTGCAACACACATGTGCAGTAAGGTCTGTTGCGGGATGCAGTCTCAAAAGGCGGGCCTGCTTTGGGTCGGTATTCAAAGGAATGAAGTCGTACTCGGGGACTGTCAGCTCCGAGAACTCTTCTCC